CGTACTCTACTCACATACGTACCCCAATAAGCTCTTCTCTCCCCGCACTTTTTGCCTACTAACCACGGCGTTCGTTACTCGCTTGGTCGGTCGGCCGCGGTTGGTGCGCCGCAATATATATTGCGCACCGCATGCCCAGGCACGAAGCTTCACACCGACCGACAGACTCGCCCTGCATGTGCGTCGTATGTGTGGGTGTGTGGGAAGTGGATGTGTGGGTGAGTCGATGGGTTTGGCTTGTGTATCTCCAGCCCTCTTCCATCCTCCCACGAGTCCCCCGGAGGAGGAGGAGGGAGCAGGAAGGAGGCCGAAGAGGAGGTGATTCCCAGCAGATCGTCATCAGGACAGATGCCAGGCACATACGTATCTACACAACTTAGCCGGAAAGAGTGGCAATACACAATACGAATAATCGTACGTGCCGCGATAACGCGTGAGGTGGGGGGTGGAGAAGGCGGTTAAGTTGGATGAAACATAAAAAGAATCGGACCCCCACCAACGGAGCAAACAGCGTTGGCACAGGCATACCATATAGTTATTGAACTTAATAATTGCACCACACGGCGCCTCTCGGGCAATTGGGCTCCGCGCTCCGGTCGTGTTCATGGCCGTCACTCGTCTGCCCGCCCGCCCTGTCCTGCCCGCCTCTTGCGTTATGCTCGCCAAAGAAATAGCGCCACTGGCTACCAAGGTACCGCAGTCACTGATACCTGGTAGAGTACCTGGTCCTTCGTCTCAAGCTGCCTCGAGTCTCGACTTTCAACCACTTGCCAACGTATTTTTAGACCAAAAGAAAAAGAAAACAAATCGCAGAAATCGCCTATGTATGAAATCAATCACCGGATCCCTGATTCTAGCATAGCGTTGAATCTTCCTCCCCTTTGCCGGTTATTTGGATCTCTTTTTTTTCCTTCTTTTTTTCCTTTTTGATTTTGATTTCCATTTCCATTTCGATCTTTGATCTGTTTACTTTTTTGCAATTCCTTGTCCAGCCGCGTTTCGAATCCCAACGGATTGGCAGGGCCGCACGTGCATAAAGGCAGGCTTTTTTTGTTTTGTTTCTTTAGCTTTGTTTCTTCTTTCTTGCTTGGTTTCGAGAAGTTCCGTCAACCTTGAATGATGTGTGCAGAGCAAAAGCAACTGATCCAGATATACTCCATTGCTCATATGTGTTGTACATAGCAGCTGGTGAGAGCCATGCGATGGCCGAAGCCTGAAGGAACGTTCAAGTTATGTGTTCTTTCGTTCTTTTCAACCACGTTTATGCAGGCTCCCGTACCTACCTGCTCCACGTATTGTAGGTACACAGAGTACCTACTTTACACATACCGGCGATCATCCCCCGTGCGTGCGCACTCGTAGAGTACTCTATCTACATAACTACGGGGCGGGACCGGACCGAGAATCCCTTCGTTCCCTTCCTGGCTCCCCTCTCCTCTCCTCACGTCAGCAATTGCATCAGAAAGCGAACGGGCACTTGTACATCCCGTATAAGTACTTAAGAACCTAGATAGGTAGACGATAGAGTGTTTCGTGCTGTCTTTGGTCCGGGTGGTACATAGCTGGTAACTACTGACTACCCAGTACGTATAGTACGGTAGGTACTGGCCGTTGGATGCGCTCCCTGTAAATCTGTACGGCGAAGTTGACAGGGAAGGAAGGGAACGGGTTGTCACGTCTTCTCACTCGTGCTCGAGCGAGGGCGAGAAGGCAATGGTGGAACACTACCTGGTCTAGTCCGCTCTGCACCGCTCCGGCGAATTCGGTCCATGGGGGGAGAGGGAGGGGATAATGGTCGCGGTGGATGCTCTATCTAGGAATCTCGACAGGCGCCCGGCTGGAAAAAAAAATCCAACCAGGGGGGGGGGGGTTATCTCTGGAATTGAGTGGTGGTGGCGGCGGGCCGCAAAGATCATCGTTTACTATCGACGGAGATCATGTCCGTACATAGTGATATAGGCAAGTACTTGCCTAGATATGCAATGAATGCCTGCTGGCGGCTTGCTTACTCACTCACTTGTTCACTCATACCCGGACTGGACTCGATGTCCTTATCTGCTGTGTAGCAGTGCGAGTCGGCTCCTCCGACGGTTTTTGCGGATGGATGGATGGGTGAAGAAATGGCTTGACGTATGTAGAGTACTCTAGTAGGGCACTAGCAAGTGAACGGTACGGAACGGTCAGGTTTCCGTAGGGGTGTGCAGCGTAACCCGGTGCAGTTACCCAAGTTTCCATAGTGGTTGCATGACGCATCACTCGACACGATGTTGTCACGCCCGAAAAGTGAGGCGAAAGCACGTACATACTAGCCGACGACCTAACTGCTGGATGGGTTGTACCGTCTCACCGACCTCACCATTGTACACTGCAGATTGTACGTAGACAGACAGAAGCTTGGCCGACCGACACTGCAGGCGGGGCCCAGACTCATCCTGCACCTCTCCTCCCTCGCACCCTACCTATATCAACTTGCAGGATATACCTCCTCAAGCCCTATACTATATAACCCTCAGTATGCAGGGCCTCGATCCCACTTCTCCGCCAAATCTTGATCTCGCCAAAAGCAAATCCGCGACCCAACAAGACACGCCCCCCCCCCCCCCCCCCCCCAGCTCGGCCTTCCGTTGAGAGAGCACGGCATACCAAGTAGGTACTCTACAGTGCCTGGCTGTGGTCAACGCACTCTATCGCGAACACGGTGGGCCCGGAGGCATGGAACCTTTTTTTTCCTTTCGGACTCCCTCCATCCCTCCCTTTACTCTACAGCTTCTCCGCGAAGGTGCCACAGCGTCGGGTGCTTTGCTAGTAGGCCGTCTCTGGATCTATGTATGTATCTATGATACATACGGGCGATAATACGGAGCAGGTGTATATAGAGTACGTGCGGTACGTAGATGGGTACTTATACCCCCCTCACCCCCTCACCCCCGTGAGCTGCGCGACAGACATGGAGACACCGAGACTCCACTTCCACCGCAGACAGGCAGGGTGGCACCGGATCCGCTGCTGTGCTACGCACGCACGCACGGAACAGGCACAGGCACGGCCCAGCCAGAACTCCACCAGAGGACACTTTGTTGTCGCTGTAGGTCCTTCCCTCCGATCTGGGTGGCCGGATCGATGTACAATACATACCTGCGGTGACGGGGTTTCGGGACGCTGGTGGGGGGAGGGGCGTGTGCTGCCCCAGCCTCGCGGCGGCGGCGGCGGAGGCGTCGTCGTCGGCTTCCGTTTTGGGCGGCGTGGATAGATGGATGGATTGTCCGATGCGGCGATGTTGGCGTCAACCCCCGACTGATCTGCGTGGTTCGGCCAACAGGGCTAGAACTCTCGGTGCGTCGGGCTGTACGGATTTGTGGCGAGCAGCTATTCGATCGAGCATGCTGAGAAGCGCTGGTGCTGTGGGACGGGGCTGGAAACTCATATGTACATACATACAATGTACATTCCTTGAGGTCATCTGACCAGTGACCACCCGTCTCCGTCCAGACCGCACGAAGCAAGGAATAGCCTCGAGTGATACCTTGGGATGTGGCCCTACCCGCTCACTCACTCAGAAACTGAAACCTGCTCCATGATATCCATTTTGGAATGTCCTTCGACGGGTAATCGTAGCTAAGCATCTTGTGTGGGAATTCTCTACGCTCGCCACGGTCCGGACGGGAGGAATGACTGCAATCTGGAATACCTACAACCTGTAACTAGCCTGCAGGACGATTCCTCCTCCTACACCACCACCACCACCACCACCACCCTAACTTCTATGAGTTATAACTTCCATGCATATATACAGCAGACACATCCGATCTATCCTATAGCCTCTACCTACCTAGTACCTAGGGCCCTATTGATGTCCGATATCCGATGTCAGGAACTGCACAGTGCACAGTGCAAACCTTCCCGCAGATTCACACGGATTCACAGAAGGCGGATGCTCACGGATTCAGTGTTCTATCATACATAGTCCAGTCCAGTCCGTCGGTCCAGTCCATCCGTCTCGAGCCTCGGACTGGACTGGACTGGACTGGACTGGACTGTATCTTAGCAGTCCGTCTGGGAGCGGTGTTGGGACGGACTACATATTTTTACGCAGTCCGTCTATGGGGCCGGAATGGACCAGATCTTGGCAGTCTGAACTGGACTGGACGGACTGGACGGACTGGACGGACTAAACGGACTACAGTCCGGACCAGACTATGTCGAACACTGCACGGATTCCTATTCCTATGTATCCTGGCTGAGGAGTAGTAACTACCTAGTCCGTCCGTCCGTCCGCCCGTCGGGACAGCCGGCCATATCTGGCCGGGGGCTTAGAAGGTTGTCGTCCACTTCCTCGTCCACACGCCGAGTGACCTACTAGTAGGGGGTCCTGGGACCAGGTGTCTTTATGGAGGAGGAGGACTACTCTACAGGCTGCAGAGAACGGGGAACCAGGGCGGCCGTCAGGATGTCGAGTGATACAATATGATCCTACCTACAGGCTACAGTAGTAACAATCTACAGCATTCACGCGGTTACGGTACTCGCGGTTGCTCGCCTCCAGTTACAAAGCCAAAAAGCCACAAAGCCAGTCCGTTTTCCAGACTTCCAGACTTCCAGAATTCCAATAGGGTACTCCACTCTCGAGGAATCGGTCATTACCTATAGTACTGTATGTATCTAGAGCCAGGAAGGGACGGATCAACCATGGAGAGATCATGAACCTGAACCTGAACCTTTAGCAGATGCTAGATACTAGATAATGCCTAGCAGTATTGGTATCTACTCATATCAACTCATATCAACTCATATCAACTCATATCATAGCACTCTACTCTACAACAGCCTACAGGCAATTTTTTCCGTTTCGTTGTTTCCCGTTCGACGGTGCGCGATCGAGGCAATGGCTTTCCCCTCACTGTTGTTACCGTATGTACAAGTACACCAACTCACCAACCCACCAAACAGCATACCATTCCCACACTCGCCCGCCATCCACCATCGCCGGCGGCGGCGGAAAGCTACTTAATGAAGCTCTCCATATCCTTCAGGCCCCTCTTGAAGCCGTGTTCAAACTACGCCGATTGTCAGTGTATACATCCCCACAGGTATCCCTATACTCGGGCTGGGGTTAGGGCCGGACTTACCTCCCACAGGAACTGACTTCCGAAACCCGCCGTTTCGGCCACATGTTCCCTGAGCCTCTTTCCCGACCATAGGTTGACGAAACCAATCGTGGCGCCCTTCCTCGCGGACTCCCAAAACGTCAGAGCATCCCAGAACCCGACATCGTATCCCGCCGCGAACCGGTAGTGCTCCATGTTCTGTCCGGGGGCGTTCTGGTTCCAGTACTCCGCGTGTTCCTCGATAGCGATAGTTCTGATTCTCGCCTGCTCGCGCTTCGCCTCCGCGGCGATCTCGGCGACTCGCTGCTCGGCCAGCGTGAGGCCGACGGGTGGGACGACGTTGCCCTTGCGGCTCTGCTCGACGAAGCCCCATTCGCCGCCGTCCATCCACGCCATCTTCGCGGTCCAGAAGAAGGCGCCGCCGTTGACCGGCTTCAGCGTTTGCTCCCAGCGCTGCGACTGCGCGATGCCGAATTGCCGCACGAGGTCGGGCCGTGCCTCCGCCGAGACTTTGGCCCACGACTCGCCGTCGAGCACGCAGCTGTACTCGCCGATCACAGTGCCCACTTCCTTGTCGTTGTAGCTGGCGATGTCGCTGCCTTCTTTGGCGATTGTCGCGATGATCTCCGCCGGCGAGCGGTTCTTGTTGTACGCGTCGAAGCAGTAGTATTTGTGGATGTCGATTACCAAGGGAGGAGAGATGAGCGGGTTGCTACGGCGGGCGTTGTTCTTGCCCACAGCGTACTGGGATGTCCGTCAGCATTCGGAAGGGTGAGAGGAGCGGGTGTGAAAACAAACATCGAGGGCAGGAACACTGTTCCACGCATCGCTGAGATAGACCGGCAATGTCGAGTCGATTGCCGCAATTGCACCGAGCGTACCATCGTACCAAGTCCACATTCCGCGATCACCAGCGCCAGTGATGGCCTCATTGACCAGCTGCAGTCCGATAACCCAGACCTTCATGATGGGATCCTGTGCGACGGCCCTCGAGATAGCCACCAGCACCTCTGTCGCGCGCTGCCGGAACCAATCATTCTCCCAGAACTCACTTTTTTTCGAATCTATTCCGGCCATGGCACAGGTGAGTATGTAGGTACTTATTCACCCCCGCTCCACACCAGGTAAGGGCGGCGACATACCAGTGCCGGAATGCTCATCCGTGTTTGCGCCACCGGGAAGCGCGTGCAGATCCAAGAGCACACCGATGCCGTGCTCGGCTGCCGCCTGCACGTACCGGCGCACCCACATCCACGCATTCTCGTACACGGCCGCATACGGCTCGAACGCGGTGCCACCGCAGTAGTGCGGGCCGAGCGTGAACCAGCCAATGGGCAGCCGGACGGAGGTGACCTTCGCTGTGTCCCGCAGGAACACCCAGTCGGCGGGTGTCATCGCGGAAGCCCAGTGCTGGTAGATACAAATCCCGAGTCAACGATGGACGGGGAGCGGGAGTGTAGCTGCTACTGACCTCTTCCCATTTGGCCCGTGCGGATTCTATTCCGTGGGCCTCCACCCATGCGCTCACGGCGGAGAGCTCGCTGCCGCCCTTTGCCGTGTCGAGGAACATTCCCGGGAACAGCCATCGCTCGAGCACAAACACGGAGCCAATGTTTGCGCCGTGATGAGTGCGGTACCGGTTGATTTCGGGGACTGTTGGTGGGCCCATGCGGGGCTGAACCTGTGCCTGAGCCTGAGCTTGAGCTTGAGGCGGAGGCGGTATGCTCGGCGGAGGTGGGGGGAACTGCGCATGTGGTGGCGAGGCTGTATGTAACTGTTGCTGTTGTGGCGGCGGAGGCGGTGGTGGCTGGTACTGGTTCTGCTGGGTTTGCTGTCCGAATTGTTGCTGTCCGAATTGTTGCTGCTGCTGAGCATGAGGCTGCTGCGCATGAGGTTGCTGAGCATGAGGCTGTTGGAACTGTTGCTGGTGCTGCTGTTGCTGCTGCGGCTGGGCAACTGGCTGGGGATGGTGGCCGCTGCTGGCGCCATGGTCATCGAAGGATATTCCGAGGCGCTCGTTGAGCTTGAACTTCTTATCCAACCTGTCAAAGTATTTCTTCATGAGGAGCGACGCAGTCCAGTCGGGAGTTCAATCGCGGGAGATGTCGCAGTGGGTGTTTGTATTTGTATGAATAAGTAGCCGTATCAAGGGTCTGCAAGAGGGAGGGGGGAAGGTGGGCGGAATGGATTGTGGTGACGATGCCGAGGGACATGACAATGCCACTGTGGGAGGCGGGGTGCATAAAGTACTCGCGTTCCATACAGTGCTCTAATACTAATGTGATGTGCATCAGAACGCTCATGCAGTGCAGGGGATTGACTTGGTATGCATACAGGCGGTTTGGCCGTTGTTGTTGCTTGCGGCCAAGTGTTTGGAGCAGCTGTTGGACGATCCGCAATGTTTCTGATTGGCGGCTGCATGGGCAAACACCCGGTGCCGATTTCCCAGAGTGGACGGTGGACAGTGGACGCTGCGGATAAATCGTGAGTGCTATTTACTAGTAGTACCGGTACCGAAGACAGTGGATTCTCCAGCTAAACCGTGCCGATAGACCCTGAGAGCTCCAGATAAATCTTACATAAGTATGATCATACCTGATGCCATTCCCGACGCCCACAGCGAGAAAGAAACGTATAGATATAGTACCGACACGAATGCAAGACTCCACAATTCCGCCATGTCTGCCTACTACAATCCAGTCATCGATAGCGTAGATACCGTGGTCCTGATCGAGATCTGTCGCATCCACCAACCCGTTCGTAACCGCCCGCACCTGCAAGGTGGTAAGTAAACCACCACCACCACCAGCTCCGCCAGCTCCCAACAATAAGTTCGCTAATTCTCCAACAGCTATCTGGATATCGATAATGGAGCTTTGCAACTGGCCTAGCGCGAGTCACACGGCAGCCACCGAGCCCAGCGCTGCACTGCTGCATTCTCGCCCGTTTCAAAATTCAACGCGATAACTAGAGTGCCGTACCTACCGTACCTCTACCTGTTCCAACACTCCAATTCCCCCGGGCCCGTAGAAAGCTCCCCACTGTCCACATCGCCTCACCCCCTCCCCTCCAACCCGCCCTCTCCAGCCGCCCGCCCAACATCAACTACAACAACAAAGCACAATGACCCTCCCCACGACGCCGCACCTCCGTCTCTCGCGCAGCCTCCGCCAGCTGCACCCAGAGAGCGTGACCTACCTGCCGCCGGCGCCGTTCGAGGTGTTCCAGCAGATCCCCGCCGACCACGAGCGTCCAGAGTCATGGACGCTGCTTGGGACGTATAAGATCGCTGCACAGTGCGGATGGCTCTCACACTCCAGGATCGATGACGACGGCGCGAATATCTTCCTGGTCGGTACCGAGACGTCGTCTACTGCGCTGGAACGGGTCGGGAGGGCGGGGGAAGGGCTGGGAGAGCAGCAGGAGCAGCAGGAGCAGCAGAACGAGCAGCCACAACACGAGCAACCTCAGCACGACCAAGCCCGTCTACAAACCCCCGAGGCCGAGAAGCCGGACCCGTTCGCCGCCGCTGCGGCCTCAGAGCGCCCCCCTTTGCCGCCTGCGGTAGATAGCGTCCCGGTACAGCTCCCGCCCACACCTCCCCCGGCGGACGACGACCTAACAATCTCGTACACGCACGTGCCACTGACCGAGCAAGCGATCAAATCTCTCGACGCGGACCGCCGACCCTCCCCGGCCGCCATCAAACTGGAGACCTCGGCCGTCTCGATCCCGCAGAACAAGAACAAGAACAAGCAAGAGAATGAGAGGGAATACGATCCCGAGATGCCGACGGCAGGCTCCTACGCCGACCTGTGCGTCTCCATGAGCGAGAGCCAGTACTCGAATATTTCCGCCAATGACGGGAAGAGCGACGATGAGAGTGATCGGTGGAGCGAGATCTCGACCGGCCCGGTGGATCGGCAGTGGACGGTTGTCTTCGAGGAGAAGGATGAGATGGTTTGATTTGGAAAAATGGTTGCTGCGAGTTCGTTCTTTACCTATCTTATCTTATCTTGGTTTGCGTTGCTTTTTGGCCCTTTTTGTCGCGGAGTCTCCTGTAATGTGTTTTGCCATTTCAAAGGTTGGTGAGTTAGTCGGTCGGTTGAGGTTGGGAATGGGTCCTGGGGGGTGGGAGTACACGGTTATTATTATTATCATGATCATGACTTGACGATTCGGTATACCTCTCGCTCTGTTGTGGTTCGCTATTCCTTACCTATCATACATAGGGACGATGGGGGTAGTTCATGCTTGCTTGCTTTGCTTGCTATTCATATGTTCCTATGGTAGGTATGCAAGCCACCCCGCGCCGTGACCAAATGTGGGCCCTCAACTGGCAACTGCCGAGCTCTCTCTCTATCGTACAATACATTCGTAGTTCGCCAGCGGCCATACAAGTCCGCCCGCCCCACCACATCACATCAGCAAACACTCCTCCTCAGAGCGTAAACACTTCAAGTTCAACTTCCCACGCCCCTCCCAATCGCGGTGCACACCGCCCTTCCTGTCGACAGCCCACTCACAGCGCTCATCGCCGACGCCGCCCACCTCGCGCACCCACAGCCTAACGACCACGACGCGGTCCTCAAACACGACCACGACCTGCTCGCTCCCCGCCGACATGCCGAGAATCTCTCCAGAACCGATCGCAATATCTCTGCACGTGGTAACCAGCTCCCAGCCCACATCCACATCCACATCCTCCCGGCCCCTCCCCCGGCCGCCCCTGCCGCCCGTCCACGGAATCCGCTCCAGCGGTAGCACGTTCAGCCTTCCCTCGGCGGGCGAGAAGGCGATGTACCCGGCGACGGTGCGGCCGTCGACGATTTGGCTCCAGACGGCGTAGCCGGCATTTGCGTCTCCGCGGCTTTGCGGGCGCCGGTACAGCGTGCAGCGGGGCTCATACGGCGCCACGGTCGCGATGCGCACCGCGCCGCTCTCGCGCTCTGTGAGGATATAGTAGCTATCCCATATATGCATTGCGTCCGTGACCTGCACCCCGCCCGCGCCCTCCCCACCTCCGCCCCCGCCAGTGTTTAGGTGCTTCGGCACCCATCGGCGCGCGCCGCGGAAGTGCTTGAACAGTAGTTCGGCGTCATCGTCGGACTGCTGGTCGGCCGCGCCGGCGGCCGCGCCGTCCTTCAGCCCGTTTATGCGGCGCCGCGCGAGCTCGTGCGAGTCCTCATTGCTCCAGGCGGCGCCGAGGAATGCGGAGTGTCCCTGTGCGCTTACAGAGAGCTGGCGGCCCGACATGCTGAAGGATAAGGGCGGTGAGAGGTTGATGCTCAGGCCTGGGGAGGTCAGGATCCATTCGTGCTTCCGCGGCTGGGATTTGGACTTGGAGGAAACGCTGGCTCGGGCTTTTTGTTTTTCGGAGTGGAGTGGGGCCGCCGCAGCTTCCGGCCGGAAGAACCGGCCCCGCCGCTCCGCGAGCGCGTGGCTCGGGTGCACCAGCACCAGCTCCGCACCCAGCACGGCCACCAGCGGCGTCGAGTTCCTTTCCGGCGTGATGGCGATAGCACAGGGGTCCTTCAATCCGGGAATTGTGATGCTATATGTATGCACTGGCATGAATTTCGGCGTGTCCCTCGCCAGGAGCTGATACATATGCACTCCCGTCTCGTCCAAGACCGCAAGAAACGCCTCACTCACGGCGAGCGCCACCGCGCGCGCGCGCAGCTTGAGCGTGGTCAGCAGCCGCACCGGCGTCCGGCGGGTGTCGAAGACGTGCACGCGCCTATTCTTGACCGCGTACGCCAGCAGGCTGGCGGAGACGGCGAAGCGCCGGGTGCGCAGCGGGACGGCGCACGCATCGCGCCATGTCGCCGCCGCGCAGCACAGGTCCGATACGTCGTAGGTCACGGTCGAGGAGAACTCGCCGAAGAGCGCTTGTCGCGCGTAGAGGGACAAAAGCTGCCGCACCGCCGAGATCGCGAGCTTGCGCGGGACCGTGGCGGGCCCGAAGCGGGAGCGCAGGACCGCCAGGTGCGGTTTTAGAAGCGCTTGGGAGACGTAGCCGGAGGAGAAGAGGAGGCGCCGGAAACGGCTGCAGACTACGGAGGCGGTGAAGAGGGAGGCCGTCGGTAGGTACTGCAGGATTCGTGCGATGAGGGCGTCGTTGAAGGTGAGGAGCGTGCGGGGAGCCATTGCTGCTGCCGCTGGGCGAAGAGATCGGAGGGAGAGTGGGGTAGGTGTGTATGTGTGCGGCGGCGGAGAGGTGTTTGTAACCAATTCCTTCGGGCCCGGCTGCACGATGAGCTGTGTGCTGTGTGCTGTGAGCTGTGTTTGTGCTGTGTTTGTTGTTAGCTGTATGTACGTACATAGGCTCAGGACTGAATGGGGACATACGGACGGATACCCACAGGCTATACGGTTGATCGTGGCGTTTGCAAATACCCGAATGGCGAATGGACAGGCAGACAGCAGAGCCCAGGCTCTACCTAGGCATGTAGAACAGGAAGTGACGGAATACCTATATGGACGAGGATTGGAAGTGGAAGTTGGATGTTGGAAGTCGGACGTGGGATGTGGAACGTGGAAACGTGGTGCACTCACTCTCCTACCTATCATACTACCTACCCCGATTGCATGTTCGATATATTGGACTCTACTCTACCTACTCTACTCTACGTTGTAGGTATGATGCCTTTATGATGACTGACTGTATGCAGGAACAGGAGCAAGGGAGCCACTGTTTTGAATTGATATTGATATTCAATTTCCTGGAATGGCGCTCTCCTCCGCCAGTTCCAGTTCCAGGCGCGGGGGGAGCTACCCGCTTCGAAAAGGCCAGAAGCGCATTAATTTCTGTTAATCAGGCAAAGCAAGGCAGTTCAAGGCAGTTGAGTCATCGGCTACTTTACAGTACTGAATACTTGTTAGCTACCGAAGTAGGTCAAAGCGACGAGGAAGCGGTGGCAGGGTGTGCTGATTAGTTAGGTAGAATACTTGACATGAGCCGATGCGGAGCTCAGCTCTTCAGCTCCCTCCAGCTCGGAGTAGAATTGAGTTGCTTGCTTGATTGATTGCCTCCCCCTCCCCTCTCCCACTCCCGCTTCCGCCATACATACCCTGCATTAATTCCAGGCGATCTGGATCCCCTGCAGACTATGTACAGTCGTTTCATCGCCGTCTGGATCCAGCCATCATACCTAGGCAATCGCTTGTTTCAATCACTTCAAAGTTCAATCACTGCGTCGGCTCGCGGCGGCGGGGATCGCCAGGCCCCCCGGATATATACTCCAGATTATTCCAAAAGCTGGGATGGTGGACGCCTTATGTTCCCTGGCAATCTCCCGAGGACATGTGTGAGCGGGGCCGGATAAGCACTGCTCCTGGGAACATATTAGATATGGTGACGTTGTGTTCTCGAATACTGAAATGAACTTTTTCGTTGTGTCTGCAATTGTTCCTGCCGTATCAACCATCGCCAAACAGTACCTTTCTCACTTCAGGCCAGAACTCCGCCAAATCCGATGGCCCCACTCGGGTATTTTCGATGTATGACACCTAGATCTCTGGGCCCCAGAACGTGGTACATAGAAGGTACTCGACAGGAAAACAATTCCCGATAATCTCTGCACTTGCCACTGTCCAATATCGCCCGATTCAACTAAGCTGCCGTACCTAAGTATGTAGGTATACCCACAGGACAGGCTATCTACTGTACGTAGGACAAGCAGTCCGTCCATCAGTAGGGCCGCTCAGGGTGAGTACATCGAGGCGGAGAAGACGTACGCTGCTTCGTCATTTTGCGCCACGAACGTAACTACCGGTATCCCATCGCACATCGCACATCCCCCCTCCCTTCCACGGGCCCATCACCACTTCTCTTCGGGATTCGCCCTAAACTCCTCATAGTCCTTGAGGACAAAGAACGATATCTCGGTCTCGTGTTCTGCCTCGCCGCTTGAGAATCAGTACACCACATTTCCCGCAACCACCTCCGCCACCACCTCCGCCGCCGCTGCGAGACAGGACAGGTCAGGACACCCACCGCAGCCATAGCTCGCCAGCGTCGCGCTGTCGTCGCGGAACATCAGCGTCTCCTCTTTGTCCTCCATGTTGATGATCAAGTTGTTGGTCTTGGTTCCGTGCGCCTTCGTGTACAGCTTGAGGGTATCTGCGCGTGCCGGCGGCGTCAGTGTTTGCAGTTTGCACCCCGAGTCGCGCGGAGGGGAGGGGGGTCGGGGGAGGAGCCGCGCATACCGGGCTGCAGAGTCTTGTAGGCCTTGAAACCGGGCTGGGTTTGCACATCTTTATGTGTAGGTAGCGTGAAACCGCGTCAGCATTCGCGTCATCGTCAGCGCCATCGGGGGCCGGAGGTCGGAGGTCGGAGGTCGGAGTGAGAGTCTGGTGGCCGCGCGCCGGGGGTGACGTACGGGTCTTGACCAGTTCCTTCAGCTCGCCCGCCGTGAGCGCGGTCAGGTCCAGGTGGTGCAGAATCACGTTCTTGTACGTCCGGTACGGGAAGTTCTTGATCACGCGGATCGTGAGCGTCGCATCGGTGACTTTTTGGGGGCCCGGGCAACGATCAGCTTGCTTGCTTGCGCTGAGGAACACGGGGATGGAACGGGGACGGGAACGGGGAACAGGGACGGACTTGGGCGGTCGTAGATACTTGTTTCGGCCATGTTGTTGTTGTTGGCGGGACTCGGGAGTTTGCGTCGGGTCGGTGGTTGGGCGGGAATGTGGATTCAAAGTTTGTTTGGCGGATGGAGGAGAACTTGGAAACTTTTAGAAACGTGCGCCGGCTGGGGATCGATGGCGGGGTATCTATTAGCAAATATGATGCGAAATTTGGGTTGGGTTGGGCTGGGTGGTCCGTGCCCGATTAAGACTTCGCTTGGACAATCGATGTGCTTTCACATGTCGTTCACCCTCCCACTCCGTTCCCCATACGAATCATTTCCATGTCGGGTCGGGAGACTTTGGTGAATGGGGCTGCAAATACTCAATTGAGGCCGCTTCTATGAACTCACTGCCCCGCAGAAAGACATTCGTACCACCAAGTGTCCACCGCAAAGCTGCCGTTCCGACGGGTCGTTCACCTTTTCAAGGGTCATACACACCCATTTACATGAACAATTGTTTTTGAGGATCTGGACAGAGGACCACAGGGACGGAATGCTTCTCGCTTGGTTGGTGCGGAGCACCGTTCATTTCCTACGATTAGCGGCGGGTGCCCATTGGACAATAACCTGCCCCACTTCCTCCACAACCTCCTTTCCGAACACTTCAATTTACGTATCGTATTTTGATTGGGAGTCTGGGAGATATCAAGCTGGAACCCAGGACAACTGCCTCCGACATGAGTTGCACAACACACTTCCGGACGTAATCTTCGACTGGGCCGCGGCAACTGCTGAGGACACGCTGCGGTTTGCTACACGCCGTCCTTCTGCTCGAGAGTGGGCTCCTCCAGCGACTACATATGGATCTGAGACATGCTACGACAACGTACCATACCTTAACTGCGAATAGCTACTACCGCGTAGGCACCTCATCTTTAGCCGTCAATTCTTTGTCAGGTTTGTGCGTGAGAATGTGCTTGTTCACGGCAGCCAGGATGGGGCCTCGTCAGAGAAAACTTCTCTTTGTTTTGCTGATCGCCCCGCATTCCCTTCGTTTCCGCTGGCTGCTCTGCGCTCATACGTAGCCCATTCTCCGACAATCAATGATCACTAAATTCTCCCGTTGACGTAGAGTGCCCGTCCTCAATCCCGGTCTCATGCATCCCCATGACTAGCCTCCTCGGTAGCCTGAAGCCCACCTTCCACCGAGCTCATCTTCCTCTTTCCTCCCTCCAACCAACCACTTCACCGCCCCTCGCAACAATTCTCCTCCACCTCAGCATCCGGCGAGCGACGACGACGACGGGCGAGCCGTACGAATGATTCTCCCGAAGTCCTCCATGAACCCCCGCAGTTCTCGAATCCGCACATCCCCCACCAAGAGAGCTCGCACTGAAGTGGTGCTCGCCATCTCTGCCGATGGTAGGGCACAAGCAAAGGCCACCGTTGTGTATCAGCAGCCGGCAGTTCATGCAACCGTAACGGCAATCGACGGCGACGATAATATTTCCAGTGGATACGACTCGTTCGAAGAAAGCGATTCCTCGTTCGATGGGGATGCTCCGAGGGGAATGGCGCCTGACGGGAGCGAATACCTCTCGTACCGCCGCCGGAGGTGCAGCAGCGCCGTCGGTTCCGACCAGATGTTCCACAGCAGCACAAACTTGGCGGCCAGTTTTGGAGCTCCCAGGACGCCCAAAAGAGCCCGTGGTGTACTGGCGAGAGTAAACGGAAGGAGGAACAGGGCGGAATCTGCGTCGACGACTCTTCCGACACCGCTAAAAAGCAGTCCACCGCCGTTGAACGGCCATATCAGAAGATCGCAATCTTTCGCTACCAACCCCACACCTCAACTGCCTCAATTCGAGGACCTGGATGAAGACGGATCGGAGGCAGAAACGGTGGTTGACGAGCCGATTGAGCTGCCCATGGACATTGGTGATGCGGACGGCGATGCTCTTACGGCACTGAAACGGTTACTGGCTCAGAGCCGTGCCGCCGGTGGTGGTGGTGGCGGTAAGTACCTTCCGCTAGCTCTAGTTGGTGGTCGTGCTAATGTGACTTAGCCGGATCTTCCCCCGCGATGTTACGATCGGCCCGCCCCAGAAACACGTTAAAGCGAACCTACGGCACGCTCAATCGCTCCGGCAAACCCGGATCTACCCACGACACCAGCTCGTCGTCTCCAATCATGTCCCGCACGACCGCCGTACCCACGCCCCGTCGGAAGTTCCGTCGACGCCCCCTCGCCGATGGCGGCTTCCACTACAGACATCACCTCGGAAACGCCTCGCCCACAACCGTTACAGACCCCGACTATGATTCCGACCGGGCGCTATCGGATGTGGACGGGGATGCCACCGGCGAGACGAGGTGTGTTTGCGGACGGCAGGACGACGGCGGGAAGACTATGGTGGAATGGTAACTGCCTACCTACTCCACTGGCCGCGACTGGATGCTCGGTGCTGACGGGGTTTACAGTGACTCCTGCAAATACTGGCTGCACCTGAAGTGTCTAGGCTACGGCAACCGCAGGACTCTGCCAAAGGTCTTCATCTGCACCTACTGCATCCATGTGAGGCCGCAGCCGAGACATCGGACTCGGTCGTGAGGTGAGGCGATGTTCGGACGAAACCACAACGAGCAACTGCATTCCCCCAAAAAACCAACACGATCTGGTCTCCCTTCCACGGTTGACCAACCCCTCACCCCCACTTACGATTTTTTGCAATATTTCCTCTCTACGATATCATGGAGTATACGGTGTACACAGCGAGCGTCTTATTTTTTTTTTTTTTTTTTTTTTGGGTATAGCATGAACTTACGACGTAACATGTACCTTTTGTTTTGCTGCGTTTGGAGCTTTGGATAGCAACTATAAGCATCGTTGGCGAAGGAAACAGGTTGCGGATTTCCAATAGGTACAAAATGGATTGGGTGGACTCTGGAGGAGTTTATCTCGGGATCTGCGGAGATGTGACGATTTTTGATTTTTGACCCTGCATGAAAGAAGGAAATTTGGTTGTATTCAGAGAAGAGAGAGAGAAGAGAGAGGAAATCAAACTTATTGTCGCATGCATTACGGCCTGTCTACCTACTCTAGAGCAGAGTCGACTACCTATGGCGACTGACTTGGCTCCATGAACTTGGCTCCATGAACTTTGAACTTTGAAGCACAGCTGAAGTGAGACCATCGGACAATGCGGTGCCGACTGCGAGTGATGGCGTGTGCTTGTGCGCACAGTAGTTGTGTGCCAAGTTGGAGGTGGGACGAGTGATACACTGTGGTTATGTTGAAGATTCGATTGCGATTGCGGTTGCGGTTGCGGTTGGCGAAACCGCTGCGGCGGTTATAGGTAGGACTAAGGACATCAAGCGGATCTACGAAGTGAGACTCGTGGGTTCTACATACATAGGTAGTCGGGAAATGATGGTGGTGGCGGTTGTGGTGGTGGTGGTGGTGGAATCCATGGACTGGACGGACTACTTTTACGCAGTCCGTCCAGAATCCAGATGGCCGACGAGAGCCGATCTAGGCAGTCCGGACCGGACTAAATATGTCGACAGTCGAACACTGGATCGGATCAGACGACCGAGGATGCTGGTACTGCGATATCCGCTGGTACATATATACGTATGCTCATCTGCTCGTTCCGAGTTTCAACTGTGCGGGAACTTCAATCTTGATGCATAACCGCTTCGTATTCATGAAAAACAAAACAAGAAAAGGGGTTGGTGATGTTCTCTCGGAGCCGAATACCGTAGTTACGCTCTGGACTTTGGACTCTGGAGGATGAAACGACTGGAAATGTTGAGCATCATTAAATTTCATGAACGTAAGTATGTGGATAGTAAATACTTTACGAGTATGCACAACCGATTATATATCTACCGCAGAATCCGACTCGTCCGGCTCCTTTCCCTTCCTCCTGTCGATGGAGGGGGAAAACATATGCCTTAGCTATTCCACGCAGACGGCGGAACGATCCGTGGATCAGGAGTCGATTTCGTTTTTGTCCGAGCCAGCCCCCCCCCCCCCCCCCCCCCCCATCTATTACGCACTGACTACCAAAGTACTCCTGTCTAAACATCCACGACCCTCTCCCTCGACGTCCCGGCCGTGTTATCGGGCTTCAGTTTCTTGAACTGTTCGACGCCTTCCAGCTCGTACGGATACGACTGGTCGTTCGCCCTGTACCTGGACCTGGACCTGGAGCTGCTGGTGGGGATGATGCTTGCCGGCAGCAGTCGTCTCAGGAACGGCCGGAGCGTCGGTATGCTGCAGCAGATGATGGCGATGTGCGTTTCAATATTGGACCAGAGGGCGATGGGGAGGGCGCGGTCTGCGGTTGTGTTAGCGGGGTGAGGGGGCGGGGGGAGGGACAGCCTGGACGGGGGACGGACAGGTTGGGTCTACGGTTATGTTCTCGCTGATCATTTTTGCGGCCACGCGGGCGTAGTAGAGGCGGACTATAGCAGAGATCCAGACCCTATTCCTCCAGTACGTTAGCGATGCAGCACTCGCCCGCCGGGGGTAGTAAACTCGGGGAGACGCACAACCCGCCAAACGCAAACACGATAAATAGCCCGACCTTCTGCGAGCGGGGCAAGCGCACGCTGTAGATAATCTGCAGCGGACTCAACCACACGACAAAGTCGGTAAAGATGTTGATGACGCCCATGACGAGCTGCAGCGTGCCGTACGAGATGCACCGCCCCGTGCGCACGTCTGCAGTTGGGTCCTTGGACTCCCAGAACAGGTACGGCTTCGTCTTGCAGATCAGCGCGTGCGAGAGGAAGGCTGCCAGCGTGAAACACGTGCTGAAGCCGAAGAGAAACCAGAACGCCTTGCGCAGCCGCGGCGTTGGCGCCAGCCGAATGAGTTGCAGGAGCAGCGAGGACCGCGAGAAGCCGAGGCTGAGAATGTATAGGATGTGGAGGGGGTAGCCGTACTGGAGGGAGGTTGTCAGTGCGCGAGAGGAATGGCGGAGGAGGGGGAGGGAAGTGCATACCTTCAGGATCATCTCGATGTTGGCGTATCCAACCATCCAGGCGTGCTGGCCGAGACCGTAGTGGGCGCTGGCGAACATTGTTCCCGTGAGGCCGAGAGCGAGTACCTGATGACACCGCCGTGAGCGAACGAACCATAGCGAGTGAGGTGGTATGTATGGGTATAAAAACTCACGGCGGCAATGATGACACAATAATCGTCCCAGCCGACGACCCTCAAGATCACGGCGCGTCCATAGAGGCGGAACAGGACGATCAGCGTCGCCACGGCGGACAGTATCCCCGCCGAGATGGTCAACTGCGGCGTAAGCGAGTCGGTCGGAAGTCCTTGGGCTGCGATGGTGGCGGCGTCGAGTATACCGCTTGGCGGTGCATCACGCGCATAGAAGCCTGTGAACATAGCTTTCTGGCCATGTAACGTCGTATCGAATGTTCTTCGCTGGGAGCGGATGGGGGGTGGGACCGCCCCCCGTACATATATTCCGCCGCTGCACTGGGTCGGAACGGAAAAGTGGGATTTTATCCACCCGCAAGAGTCCGCCTCACCGACCGACAATATGGGTCGGAGAAAGGAGCGGGAGTTGGAATCACCATCTCGTCGGTATGTAGGTACAAGGTCCCGCCCAGCGGAACGTCTGCGGTGGTAGATGGGTGCGCGGATTGCATAAGGAGTGTGGCCAAGAGCTATGAACCTGGTTCTCTTACTCTGTATGTCGCCCCCATACATGGCCCTCCCTCAGAGGAGGTTTTCTGGAGTTTAGTCCGAGATGCAGCTGCTTCCTCTGGTACATATCGTAGAAACCACCACACCGGTGCGAGGGGATCTGCCTGTCTACGTGCACTGGGCTACCCATAGGTTTGCAACACCAATGCGGGGGGATTTCATGTACTCCTTTGTCGCACCAGTCGACAAGCCTCGGTTTGGGGGCCAGGACGGGGAACGACGTAGTGATCCCCCAAGGATCCCCCTATGCATAATACATACATAAGTGCATATATGCCAGTGCTAGCCAGCATTGCGACCTCCTGGATTGAATCCATGGGGAGACGAACGCACATCTCCCGGGCGTTGGCAAGCTAAGAAAGCAAGACAGAGGGGCAAGTGTCCAGTGTCCACGGATTATATGCCAATTTGCAGGCAGGACGCACACATGTGCGGTGCAAAGGGCGGGACGAAGTTCCAACCATGGAGGTTGTGGCCGGTATATAAATTTTGCTATTGAGTGGTGGAATTCATGGTGTGATGGATGCCTATTGGCCGCATAAAACTACCTACATACTTCGAGACATCTCAGGATGGTTGCACCGGACCGATCCCGGTAATATCAGCTGGAGAGTACTATGTATTAGTAGTAGAGTGTGGTTGGTTTCCTAGGTTTCCTTCATCTGTGGCTAAAATCGACCAGAAGGCCTCGTATTTCCACGACAAGCTGGGGGCTAAAGCGAAAACCGCTCGAGCTGAGAGGGAAGAAATGTGGCGGCCTTGGACTCTTGGAGCCATCGGACCGTCCTACTCCCATCTGTAAACACCGCTAACTATATACCCAGAGGGGAGGTTTTGCGCTTAGGGAGGATCCGTCGAATAAGGTTCGTTAGCGGCAATTGCTAGCGTACCTAGGTCTCAATTGCAGATTTAGCCACCACATATCAGCTAAGGAGAGATGGAGTATGTAGCATACCGGTAACGTGTAGTGCACAGCTCCGTGATATGGAGTGGTACATATACAGTTCCCGGTGGACGTTGTGAATTTTTGTAGCTTTGTAGCTTTGTAGCTTTGTGGTGTGTGGCGCGTGGCTAAAGTGGCCCGTCGGCCATCAGCTCAGTTGAGAAAGTCCAGATCCCAGGGAAAAACAGGCAAAGCGATCGATTGCGAGGTTGAAGCGATATGGGGTATCCACTTCACTGCCAGCGGTAACTAACGCAGAGTCACCGTCTCACAGACCTCGAAACAAGCGCGGACCGATCGTGAACGAGACCGAGCCGTCCAGCAAACCACACGCCACAGCAGCATTGTAGCATTTCGTGTCTTCGAAATGGGACGAGAAAGTCCATCCGCCGGATTGCGCATGTAAACACTCACCCCAAGTAACCAGGCAGCTTCCTGCCGAGATAGCCATCTTATGTAACAGCGTGCCTTTGCATTGCAGGCTGCGCTTCGTATATCGATGCCCGTTGCCTATTCTCCAACGGTAGGCACAATCGCGAACGTTTCCTCTCCCGAGCGGCTACAGAGTGCACACACCAATGAGGAAACCGCCGTGGCGCCGGTGCGGCGCGGTAGATGGTTGCAGCTTGCAGCCGCGATGTCACCTTTCAAGGTCCATTTATTGCCTCAACCCGAATCCAACTGCCAGATAGACATACCCTTGAGCTTTCACTGGGGATGGCAATGCACGGATTTAAGTCGACCTTCCCCAACGCGGCAGCTGCCAGCTCTCGTCCATTGACTCCAAAGGGTTTTCCTGGGATGCTGTGTTATGCGGCATGGGGGTTTCGAAGAAATAATGCCAAGCTCACTTCATCTGCTGGCCTGTAGCTCGCTTCCGGGCTTATTCCGACCTCCCGTAACGGAATACCGACTCTTCACATGTACATATGTAGTGTAAATAGAGTGCGTACACTCAGCATGTGTGTATACCATCGGTGGCGGCCCAGTCGCAGCATAGGACCTGCTCGAAAGGTACGGTAAGCAATGGCATTTCACGAAGAAGTAGGTACATACCTACCGCTCCAGGTGGTGCGAAGGACTTGCGACGCTTCACCAGATTATAACCAGCATTAGTTATAGTAGTATCTACTGTAGTTAGATGCAGATCTGCCGAAAGCTTCACCGCACTGGAGTTGACACTTACCTCGCCACCGTCGCACAGTGCTTGCGAACAACATGTACGTACCATTTGCCGGGAGTGTCTTGAGAAGAAAATGATCTGACATGTCTGTATCGAGACCCCACATTTCAGTTGTCAGTTTGACGCCCGGTTGTGGTTAACATAGGTGCTATACATACCAAGCCGAATGGCAATCGCGAACCACCGTTGATTCCGGCAGGTGAAAATGTACAATCTACATACGAACGGGGTATGTAGATAGATGGGTTTCAGTTTGAAAATAGAGTATCCAACACCCGAGGCGAGCTAGCAGCGACACATGTAGGTATGTATCGCTGGGCTGCCCCCGAGTCGGTCTGAGACAGCAGGAAACGGGGAAATACACGAGAAGAAGAAGTACCTGAGACAATATTGGCCTTTCCTTCGTTATCCACTTGCTCGGAACCACTTGCTGACCGGTAACCATCTAACTAGAGGCTATTTTCGGCCAGACTACGATCGAATGTATGTACATAGGTAGGTACAAATATTGCAGATCAGATCGTCCTTCCGTGCTCGATTTTCCGGAGTCCGGGCCGTATGTACTGGTACTGCGCAGCACACAGACCCCGACATCGGGATACAGGAGCACACACCAACCTTCACAGCTTCCGCCTTGGATCCGGAAGGTATACCGACGCACTGGAATCCGACATCTGACCTGCCGTACGCGTTTCCCTCAGAGATTCGACGTCCAAGCACCACCACCAGCCCTCTGAACCAACTGCTTCTGAAACAACGCAGGTATGCATCCAATCCAAAAACTGTCGCAACTTTGTTTGCATGTGCAAGTCGTGAGAGATGTGCCCCGCGTTTCTTGGATGAATTGGATGAGAGTGCCGGCGTGGCTCGCTGAGGGGAACAGAAAGGCTGAGATGTTTTAACCTCGAGAATTCCAGACACAGAGTGGAAGACCTCCCGCCGATGTATGTGCATGGGCTTTGTTCGCATGGTACCTGATGGGAAAGGGTGGCTTCCTGTAGATTCAGTAGATTCTGGCGGATGTCGGCGATCTCTGACCAATGAATCAAGCAACTTGTCGACTGCCAGCTCTTGCCTGTGATCTTTAGTTCTGGGCCGGAAGCACAGGTCTCCTAAGGGTGCTAGACAACGCCACGCGCGTGCGATACTTGCAAGTCTTGATGACATATATTTCCCGAGTGCGGTCACATATAGGTAGTGTTCGTCTAGGCCTGCGGACGTCGAATTAGTTATCGGTCGTGTTGACGAGCAGTGGCAGGCTCGCCAGACTGTCAGGAGTCATCTGGTAGCAAAGTACACTGAGACAGAAGTAGACTGATAGTGCGTCGAGGCCAGAATAAGCTTGAAAGTGATGACTGGTGTCAGTTGTACCAATTTTGGTTGCTGAGTTGTGTTGTGGTGGTAATGGGAGTTGAAGATACTCACTCACTCGGGTCGGGGTGCCGGGTGGTCCCCCGTGTGAGAATGGTATGTGTGAGTCGCCATTGTCCTTGGTGCCGTCTCGATGAGATGGGAAGACGCTTGCCCGAAAAGATCAGGCCGTAACTCCTTTAGGAAACGACCCAGAAAGCACTCCTGGAGCAGGCCGAGTGACAATTACGAGTCGGTATGTACTCTACACACGACTCTTTAAGTAGCCATCTCTACCTATCAAAACCCACTTCTCATACTGCTACCGACTAGATTACTCCCACCGAGGAACTAGACATCTCTCCTCTAATTCCAAGCTTCCCAGATTACACTTCATTCCATCATGGAGCCGACCGGCCGCCCGTCCGGTCGTCGCGGACTCGCGTTTCCGGAGCGACGGGTCCAGATTACAGACATGCCTCCCTTCCATCCGGGCCGAGGTGAACGTGGATCATTCCTTCACAAGATGCTTATCGGTAAGTTCTCGCCCAAGGACGTTCCCGAATGAATGGAGCAGGTTTCAGTTTCAGTTTCAGTTTCCCGGTGAGCGGGTAGAATCATAAAGTATCACTCGCGGATAGCTTCAAGCGGCTTGGAAAAAGACGTGGGAGTGGGCAAGGATCGCTTCCAGATCAGATCCGAGGCGTTTTTCGCAGACGAACGGTGCAGCTGTGCCTTCTGCTGCGCTTCTTTCGGTGCAATACGCCCCCCGAGTGACGGACGTGAGCGTCGATCCCATCGTGTCCATCAACGCTGGGTATGTGCCGTCCAGCTACGGTAGGGGTAGGAATACGGCATCTTCTGGGGGTCGCTTCAGCGGGTATATCGGAATACTGGGGAGAACGGCTACAACACGGCACGCAGTGTCGTACCTAGATAGTCGATTGATCCCACGGACGTATCACGTCCTCTATACGTACGTACAACCGGAGCACACATCGCATGATAGTTTGATACGGATGTCTGAGGGGTTCGACTCGTATCTACACAGTTGAATCTCAGCATTTGGAGAATCAACCGGTTTTCTCAAACTTCCGGCGGCCCGTAATTGAGGATACATGCAGCGGCCGTGTCCCAAGGGCCTGAGGGCTCCGACCTCGGCCCATCCCCTCAAAAGAAGCATTCTGAGCTATGAAAAAGTTCCAAAGCTGTTGCTATAAGCTATAAGCTATAAGCCCCCGCACACATCTCACTCGAGTCCACACTTGAGTTGCCTGCGGAGAGGTAAAGATGTTCCATTTCCCCACGTATCCATGAGTTTACTAGTACAGGATACACGCATGCATACACACACACACACGATAGGCGGCCATTCGTACCAGCCAAACAGCGCACAGCGACACGACAGAACTACACCACCCCTCTACCTAACCACTTTCTCGGGACCCTCATACCGCCTGCCCGTCAGCTTCATCTCCTCTTCGCACGTCCGTGTAATCTCGCCACATATCCTCTGCGATTTGATCCCTCAATTCCGCCATATGTCTTCCTCCGTTCCCCTGTACCGCTTCACTTTCCTCCTCTACACCCGTATCCGTTTCTGCATCTATTTCTATACTTTCTTCCCGTGAACTGTTTCCATCTCCATCGTGTACTTCTACTTCCACCCCAGTTCCCCTCCATCTATCCAGCTCACTCGCATCGTTGTTTTTTCGAATGAAATTGTGCAGAGCGGTAAGGGCAAAGACCAGCTTGACCCGAGTGGCGTGGGGATACTCAGCAGGAGCGAGAAGGATGCGGAACCGCCGCTTCAAGATTTCAAAGATGGGTTCGACACCGCTCCGTAATTGCGCATGACGGAGGTTGAACAGCTCCTCCTTGTTCTGTGGTGGGTTTTGTTGTGGTTGATGATGATAACGGACACTTCGGTAGGGTGGGAGAAAGCCCGGCCTCAAGCCGTGGCCAGCATTTATTAGATAGTAGCTTCCAGGCAGTACCACAAGGTCACCACCACCCAAAGCAGCTTGAAGCTCTCGATCATCATCGTGTACCGATCCTTCCCAACCATCAGGCAAAACATGGCAGAACAATTCGTCAAAGATACACATTCCAACAACGTTCTGGCCAACGAGGTCTCCTTTGCGGTTTCGGTTTCGATATCGTACTTCATGTCTTCCGTCCGGCACGTGTACATCGGCATGATTATGGGTACTACCGTCTGCTGGTGCTGCTGCTACACCAAGGCAATCTTTGAAGTACGGAAAAATTTCCGGATCGTTACGGATACGTGGAGGAGTGGTCGTAGGAGTAGGCTGGCTTGCGGCGGCTGCAGCAGCAGCAGCTGGCTGCTTGACAACAGCCGAGTAAAGCGCCGCCATCGCGTCGAGAACCTTTTTGAAGGCGCGGCTGACGGTGTCGCCGCTCCGTCGAAACTGTTTCTGTGCCGCACGGTTGGACGCGTTCTCGCCGACGATTTTGAGAAAGATTGCGAGCTGCTCTTCGACGGACATGTGCCGCGTCGGTTGCAGGTGGCCGTGCTCCATACACCAGTCGCGGAGAGCGAGAAATGTGGCTAGAGGCATGCGGAAGACGTCGAGAATCCGTTCGTCATCGCCGCAGGATAGAAGCTCTTCCACGTACTCGGAACCGCTCGATACAGGGGTGTGCGGCGGAGGTTCGTCGTAAATAGGAGCTGCCCATTCGCCAACAAGAGCTGCAACGGCAAACAATACTTGTGGGGTGAGGAAGTTGCAACCGCTGGACATTGTGGATGTTGTTGTACGGATTCGGGAAGCTGGTGATGAATGCCAGCATAGGTAGCCTATTTCAGTGATCGGATTGTCCACCACCATTGAAATTTGCTCGCTTAAGCTGTGAACTCTATGTAACTACCAGCAGATCGTCTGCGGGATGACGTATCCGCGCCACTACCCAACTCATATAGTTACCGCCTCCGCCGGCTCATAGCTGCTGCGCAACCATGGTCCTCCCACGAATCCCATACACGGCGCCGTTCCCTCCTCCGACGCTCTACCCCGCGCACGCGACCTCGCTCCCCGCCGCGATCGCCGTACTCCACGCCTTCCTCTCGCACCCATCGCACCGCAAAACCGCACTGATCAGCGGCGCCGGGATCTCCGTCGCCAGCGGGCTGCGGGACTACCGGGGGACTTCCGGCACCTACCGCCTCAACCAACACTACCGGCCCATCTTCTTCCACGAATTCGCCAGCCAGCACGCCTCACGACAGCGCTACTGGGCGCGCAGCTTCGTCGGCTGGCCGGCGACCGCCGCCGCGCGCCCCAACGCCGCGCACCGCGCCGTCTACCAGCTGCGCGCCCACGGCGCACTGTGCGGCGTGGTCACGCAGAACGTTGATAGCCTTCACGGCGTCGATGGTGGCGTGCTAGAGCTGCACGGGTTCCTGCGCGCGGTCGCGTGTCTGGCTTGTAAGACCGCCATCAAGAGGGATGTGTGGCAGGCCGAGCTGGAAAGGTTGAATCCGCTGTGGGCGGGGATACTGCAAGACGGCGGCGGCGAGAAGCTGCGCATGAACGCCGATGGAGATGTCGACCTCCCCAGCGCGGATTATACACAGTTCAGGTATCCGCCGTGTCCCGTATGTCTTGCAGAGGATAGAGGAAGGACGGTCAGGGTGGATCAGGATGGGGGGATGGAGGCCGGTGGTGACGGCGTGAAGGCGGTGGTCAAACCGTGTGTTACCTTCTTTGGGGAGAGTGTGGACCCAGAGGTTAAGGTGGCGGCGGAACGCCTGGTGGAGGAGGCGGATGCGGTGTTGGTTGTTGGGAGTAGTCTGGCTACGTATTCGGCGTGGAGGTTAGTCAGGGATGCGGAGAGGGCGGGGAAGGGGGTGGCGGTGGTGAATATCGGCGGTGTGAGGGGTGAAGATGCGTTCTTTGGACAAAAGAGAGCTGCTGGAGAGAGGGTAAGGCTTGAGGTGGACGCGGCTGGGGTCTTGGCGGGCGTCGTGGAGGCGTTTGGTGGGAAGTCGGAGCCGGCGAAGGAACAGCCGTATCTGGCGGCCAGCTGGACGGGGGTGGGAGGGTGAGGATGTCCTTGGGACATATCTACAGCAGGTATTGTGCATACATAATTTAGAAGGAGGACGAATACATATCGAGATTGTTGTAGTACATAAAAAAGGAAAAAAAGACCGGTATATCAAAGAAGGACAAAGCTGGCGGATCTTTTGATCAAGGCTGATACCTATCGGCAAGTCCTCGGATGTTAGTTATACGCAGCTCTCGGAATTCGGCTCGGTGTCGCATTACTGCTCGACACATGGAGCGGACGCAAATTAGCCCAGAATCCAAATGGTAGAGCGATATCGGGAGAGCAACATATAGCAAAGACCCGGCGGCTTACCGATAGGTGTTGGGCCTTGATCGAAAGAATTGACATGATGTGAATGATGTTGCAGAGGGGTGGGTGTAAATATATGAAGGCTGGCCCTCCGTGGTTCAAGTGTTCTACATAGTCCGGCGCAGACTGCAGTCCGGACGGACTGGATGGGGTCAGTCTAGTCCCGTCCACAGCTTTTGTAGGACGGCCTAAAAATAGGTAGTCCGTCCCATCCGCTATTTTGCTGGACGGGTCGGACTACATACAGTCGACTGCAGTCCAGAAATTGCCCAATATTTCAGCACTTATCCCGCTTGTAGGTGCAAATATTTTTACTTCATTTCGCGCTCATGCTATGTCTAAGTAGGTAATTCGCCCATAGAGATGCCTCAAATACCGGTAACAATCAGCATGAGTCTTCTCGACGCTCTCAATTTTTCCCGCTGCATAGCATTCTGCGCTTTGATAATTCATACTTGCTTAGCAGTCGACTGCAGTCCATCCCGTCCGAACCCACCGGCAGACCAGTCCGTCTAGACGAAGCCTCTAGACGGACTAGATGTAAGTAGTCCAGTCCCGTCCATATATCCGGACGGACTGGACTGGACTAGGTATACTAGGGAATAAACCTGCTTCTCGTTGGAAGTAAGAAGCGGAAAGAAGGCTCACTTTATAGCAAATGGATCTATCTGCTTGCATCGATGGGTTTGGATGCGGCGGATGAACTTATTGTCAAATATACTGAGATCGATAGGAGAACATTTAGGTAGGAAGATGTAACTGTTTTGTATCTTGCTTCTTCTTCTCCGGGCCCGGTTCCCTTCTATATATACAGAATATGTCTGCAATTGGGAGATAGACCGGCCGGCGAGACCAGACATCAGAGCACATCTCCTCCACCGGGTACAGTTCGCATGACCAAGTCTTTGACTCCTTCAAACAGTGCTTCTTGAAACATCACCATTGTCAGCGCCTTACAGCGGACATGAGGAGAGATCCTTCATGTGCTCTGCACGCCGTAATCTGACACTTATGTCAGAGCCTGGAGGGCATCGACACAGCAAAATAAACGTAATGCTGGCCCTCCGGAGACAGGTCACTGGTGACTGTTCCGCAAGGCTGTGGGGAATGCCTCGCAGATAGGTAGCCATTCCCCGATCACGAGTCTTCGGATTAACAGGCGGAGAGGGCGAGTCCTACATACTGCTCTAGAGAATAACTTCTCATACCAGAACTTCAGTTGCTGACCGCAGCGAGATTAAAGTCATCCGCATGTCAGCACTTCTCATCGTGCTCTTCGAGGACTCCATAGATGGGGTATCGAGGTATTCAACACGGCTGACCCCGCAGGCGCATTGTCGACGCATTATTCATAAATATGGAAAGGTGGTAAGGAAAAATCGGCACTTGTCACCCCACCTGATAGCTCAGGCGGCCGCTTATGCCAATGGTGATGATTTGGTTCGGAGACAGTGAGATGATCGCTGGAGGAGATGCCTAGATACGCAGGTCAGCAAGGCAAGGCTGAAGCCTGAGATGGCGTTGAATCTAGCGCATTGATGAGGTGATCGTGGGAGCCCATCGGTATCGACAGGTATGACCGCACTCGGCAAAATCTTCCCTAATCGATGCCTACTTCTTGTTCTAATGTACGATCCCGACAGATACCCGCGTGGAGTCGGTTAGACCGTCGGCCTCGGAGGTTTCCGCGGTTGTTTACAAATACCCCACACTCCGTCAGCCATTTATGCCGGGGCCATATAAACTCCACCCATCCCCACTCCACATCTCCATCAAACAAACCAAAAAACACGCAACAATGTCCGGATTCCCTTCCCTCAAGCCTTTCGCTACTTGCCTGGTATGTTATGTCCGCATCGGAGGGAACGTGGTGCGGCGCTAATTGTTGCTCTTCTTGACAGGCATCGATTGACCCCGGTATTCCGATCGGTTCGTCTCTCGGAGCTAACTATCACGATCAGCGGTGGCCACGCTAACACCCCGCTGTAGGCCCGCTCAGCAGTGGTGGTTCGCAAATCTTCGTCGTAAGCCCCCTCCTGCTCCTCCTCCTCTCTCTACTCAACAATTCTGACCCGTCCAGAATGTCCCGAGCGCAACGATCAAGTCGGAACCGGGCGTCTCGCCCTCGTTCAACGCCAGCATCGTGATGGGCGGCGACTGGATCCACGCCGATCCCGACGGCAAGCACATGCGTCTGGACGTACGCACGGTGATCAAGACGGACGACGGCGAGCACCTGACGTACGTGTACAACGGGATCATCAACGTCACCGAGGGGATCACCAAGATCCTGAGTGGCGCGCCCGACGCAAAGACGGTGGATTTCGGAGACGTCTTTGCGACACCCAAATTCATCACCGGCAGTGAGAAGTACAAGTACCTCGAAAATTGCGTCTTTGTCGCCGGTGGCAGGTTTGTCGTCACAGATAGCGGCGTCCAGGTCGAGTATAAGATCAGTCAGGTTGTTTAGGCATATTGGGATGATGTGTACTTACCGAGGCTCGAGACTGGAATTTTGTTTTGGTGTCGATATCCATGAAATTTGTTGTATTCCGAGTGATTACACGTGCATCACTCAACCACCGTCCACTCCCGTAGGTGAAGATTTCTAGTATGATACACACCCTATGGCCAATTCTCTCTGAACCTTCTTACCGATAGACCAACTACCTACACGAGTCTTCCTGAAGCCAGGAGTAAGCAACTACGTATCTACCTTTCTTTCCGCGATCCATCCATCCTCCCAGCCATCCCACCACTACCACTATCCTATTATCTCCAAGCCCTGTATGCTTAGCAATCCGGCTCGTCAGTAGTTACGCCTAGCTTGCTCGGCTTCACATAGAGTAGCGAAGCTTCGCTGGAGAAAGTGCCGAAGTTTCGACTACCTACCTAGGTGCGATTGTTCAGGTGAAGACGGGAAGGAAGGAAGGAAGATGCAGGAATAGTACTAAAATTTACAACTTCCAACTTCCAACTTCCAACTCCCAAGCTGTGCGTCCGTACTTTTTTTTTAATAATTACAGTGGAGATTCAACTGCTAGGTAGAGGGAAGATTTCAAACTGCACTGCTATTCGTACAATGATGATGACAAACTACATACTACTTCTACACGGCCCCGCTGAACTCTTCTAGGTGGAAGAAACCGATCCGCTCACAACCAACCATCTAGCCGCCGCCGCCTTTGTTTGCTCCCGTCTGCTACACAGCCGTCTAACCAACCTCTATACCATCGCCCAGACCAGCACACATCAAATGCAAAAAACAAAAGAAATCAAAAAATCAAACCACAACTTTGCCCCCACCACCACAGGCTTCATCGACCGACACCCACGGTCCCACACACATTGCAGCAGGATATAAAGCCCCCCTAACGAACAATCCAGCTAAACCATACAGAACCAAACCCAGACCGACGCACAAAAAAGAAGGAGAAAAAAGGAAAACGCTGGGAAGAAACCACGAAAATAAAAACTCCCGAACAGAGAAAGGAAGAAACCCCAAGTAAAGAGAGAGAGTGTGTGTGTTGTGTGTATGTTTTGTTGCTGTGGTTCTGTCACGGTTGATTATGCCCTCCTTGCGCCGGGCAGGCCCTCCCATGTTTCTTTGGTCTGAGGCATCTTGACGCGGCCAAAGCTGTGGTCCAAGTCCTGCGATATTTGTTAACATCAACTAGTTCGTGCAACGACGGGAGGAAGTATCATACCAGGAGGATCTTCATGGCGTTTCTGCTGCGAAGTACACTCAGGGGACTGTGGTCCTCGATGGGTCGTATCGAGGGCTTGGACGCTCCGGTCATGGAATCCTGGTCCACAGCCTTTCCGGGGAATGGCACGGTGGTCTTGAGAAGCTCGTATGCAGCAAGAGTACATCCAAATTGCGGGGAACTACGCATGATACGCGCGGGACCGCCCTTGAAGAATGCCTTGAATCCTTCTTCCCTCCAAACGGTAGTTGCGCAGTGAACCAAGCCACGGTAACTGGTCTGGCCCTTGCGGGCTTCGACCTGCAGTCGAGTTTTGATCACGTCGCAAGGGGTGGTAAGGTAGGCAGCGGGCATTCCTGCAATCGCACCGGCCGAGAGAAGCTGGAAAAGCCCCAAGCTCTTAGTCGGCGACTCGCCGAACCAATCCTTCTTGAGATGGGCATACGCGGGGAAGTAGATTGCCGAAAATGGCACGTCGCGGAGGAGACATGCGCTGGCACCCTTGTAGAGACCGACCAATCCGAGGTTCTGAACAATCCATAGAGCTGATCGACGGGGAACGCCCTCCACCGTCTTTGCGACTTCTCCTTGGATCTGGAGACGGATTTTGACGATCTCGAGAGGGCTGTGTGGATGCGTTAGTGCGTGATTTTCAATGTGCGGTTTGGAAGAAAGCTTACTTGGTGAACACAACCTGACAACCGCCAGCAGCACCACCGGCAATCATCTCCCAACCAAATGTGATGTTTCCGTCCTTGTCGGTTGCCCTGTTTCTCACCATGTCGTTGACTGTGAGCTTGATCGCTTTTTCGGGAGCAACACCCTATACGACGATATCAGCAAGCTGTCGTTTTCTTCTTTTCGCATTCGAGTCATGGGAGTCTTACAATCAACTGAGGCCCTAGACCGCTGTAAAGGCCACGGAATCCCTCGTTGCGGACCACCTTCTTGGCGCAATCCAGCGAGTTCTTGTACATCATCTCTCCGACAACTTTGCTTCTCTGGTTCTGCATGCGAGTCTTGACAAGATCGATCGGATACACCACAGTGGCACCGAACGCACCGGCAATGGCGCCCAATCCGAAATTGTAAGCAGACTCAAGAGCCTGTCCGAGGAAGCCCTCGCCATGACTGATGGAAGAGACAGAGGGCATGGCACTAGTAGAAGGTATGTGAACGGTCATGTGGGGATCCCTCCAGAGTGGATCAAGCACACGGCTAAACTCCTTCCACGAAAGACGGTCCGTGATGCTATCAAGTCCAGCGAAATGGAAAAGGATGTCGGCCTCCATGGGAGTGAAGTGAGAGAATCGGGTGATCCTAGCAGCCTCGTTCAGGAAATCACTCTTGGTAATCTTGCCGTCGCTGGACTTGGTGGTTGCGCTTCTGACGATGGTGTCGATCATATCCATCTCCCGGATGACATTCTGGAACGCGCGGACGTTGGAGTAACTGATCTTCGAGCCAGTTCCGATGTTGCTCAGCGTGTGAAGGTTCTCCAAAACGTGGTCGGAGAGCTTGTGGCCCGACGTCTCCAAGATGATGCGCTGGAACTCCTCCGGCTCAACAAAGCCAGAGCCTTGCTTATCGAACCGGCGAAACGCCTGTCGGACTTTCTCGCCCTGGAGAGCCCGCATCATCTGCGAGAACTGCGGATACGTGAGCTCGTGTCGGCTGTTCTTGCCGCCCATGTAAAGTGCCGCCCAGTCGCTGTCCCAGTTGAATGGGATGGTATCCTCTCCCTTGTACTTCTTGTACAGCTCCACAAAGTCATCAAACTTGACAACCCCCTTGCCCTCGACATCAAACAACCGGAACGCAATCTGGTATTCGGCATCGGGCTTCACCAACAGGAACTCAAACGCGGCCCACTCCTTAAGGGAAAGGTAACCCTCCTTTCGTCGATCGGCGACATCGAAGAGCACCCCGTACTGCTCGCGTTGGATCTTGTGGTAGTTGGCTTTCGACGGGGCAATTGCACCAATGAAGTCGTCTTTGGTCATCACCCTCTCTCCCGATGGGGCATTGTGTGTAGCATAGCGATCGAACAATCGCTTAGTCTCTTCCGACAAGAGAACGGGATGCTCGCTGCCGAGGAGGGACTCCTTGACCGCTTCCGTAACGGTAGCCATGACGGGCGTTCGGTAGGTATATTCGGTTTAAGAGAGGATGAAAGCTATGCAACTACAGACTGGAGGAGCGGGTATGAGTCAGTACCACTGATGTTGGAAAGTTTGCTCAAGATTCCCAAGGGAAGAAGCGTGACAGGCGGGAGAGGAGAGGCTGCAGGAATGCAATTTGGGGGAGAAGAAGGAGTCCGGGAAAAGGAAGCAGCAGCGGGAAGAGTCACTCGTCAGGAACCATGATAGGTATTTGACAAGAGGGGGATGGAGGGGAAGGGAGGGGGGCTATTCTGCGCTAATTGCGAGGGGCGGTCGTTTCTCTTCCGGTCCGCATGGCCTCGGCGGGGCACTTTCGGGAGAAGGAGACGGCTGCCCCTGTGAATGGACAATTTGCAGTTGACAGTCTTGTCGGACATTTGATCTGCGGTTCGTGCGGGGAATCGTGCGGTGAAGGCGGCACTTACCAAGGCTAATCTGATCGTGTGTGTTGTTGACGGACAGCGGGACGAGGAACGGGCACGAGGGAACCTTGATGGCAGCAAAGGGTCCAAGGCAGGGTCTGTTTAGGACTTAGCGTACGTAGGGAGTGCGAATGTGATGTGCGAAAGCGAAGTCAACTGCTAGCGACAGGAGCGTGAAGAGACGAAGTGGGAGAGAGAGAGGAAGAAGTATAAAGGCGAAAGGCCAGGTGGGACTTCTGGAGTTCAAGATGGAAGTTTTTTTTGGCTGGAAGTTCTATCAAAAAAAAAAGCGTAAGGGTCCCAGCTAGGCGCGCCACCGTAGAGCACAACACACACCAGAAAAAAAAAAGTTCTGTCGGGAACTCCTGCATCCACCTGCAGGACAACCACAAGATCACCAAAAGCAGGCACCAAGTATAGGCGGTCCTGCCGTAGGAGCAACTCCATACTCGTGTATGGGCCCTCCATAGGACAGGAAGAGAGATGGCGATATGTGCCGTCCGTTTGTACGGTGCGCTCGAAGCCAATAACCTCCACACCTCTACACTTCTTGAGCCTTCCCCGAGATGCCCGATGAATCTCCGCAAGATCAAGTCGGGAAATACACTCCAAGGTCGTACACAAGTCCGTCATCGCAGAAGGTCGCTGTTCGTCACACGGGATCTGTCGAGATCTCGTTCCAAATAGCCTATGTATCTTAAGGCATGACCATCCCAGCACGATAGATAGCATGCACATTCCAGCAACCAGGAGACGGGCTCAGGTAGCTGTTTCTATTCGAGAAGCATAGAATGCGCAGCACGCACATGCCGGACTTCTATGTGCTCCAAACGAACGAAAAATAGGGCTAGTCACGGCGAAGTGTCAACATCTCCCCGCATTTCTCGAGACCGATAGGTCCATGCTCAGCTATTTAGTAGGCACACGGGGACTAAGGCACCTATAGTTTCTACTTACTTGATAAATACTAGAGCACATAGATAACCTGTTAACACTAGTTATGATGCAGTTAATCCGCCAAAAAGCAAAGACTCCTTCGGCAGTCGAATGTTCCGTACTTGTATGGGTATGTGTGTAAGTACTTATGTGGATGACGACTCGGTGGGTCTGCGGTAGGTACCAGGCATGTACCTATCCTATGGCCCCCAAGGGCGGGCATCAAAGTCCACTCGCCGGAGGAGTACTTTCGACCTTCGCCACGACGAAGCTTTCCTCCAATCCAGATTTCAGGGCCGTGTGACGATCGAACTTTTCTCAGCAGAGATGTGGATGTGTCGCCCGGCCCTGGCTCACCCCGCCGCAACTGCAGTCTGCAGCTGACGCCATCGATAATAATTGTTTCCTTTTGCTTTTAGGCTCAATCCTCCATTGCGGCGCGACTCCCGCCGAACCAGAGATGCGCATGGCATGCAGAGGGATTCCGAGAGTCCACAGCGGCAAAGTTCAAGGTGTTTACTTCCGCTGCTGGTCGTGGACATTGTGTGGGGGAAGACGCAGTCGGGGAACAACATTCGGATTGCTCATCGATGTGACACGCAGAACCGATCAAGTAAGGTCCCGGTGGAGTACCGGTAGTTCTCCTATCTAGCGGAATGGTCGGCGATTCAAGTCCGCTCGGAGGTACTTGCCGCCTGTCTGACATCACAAGGCAAAGTCAGACGGAGAGACTTCTGCCTGCCATTCCTCCTCCCTAGCACGCACTCTCGCTCACTCGTCGCGATATGAGGCAACCGATTTAAGCGCAGAGACAACCCTTTCTGTTTGTACATATCTCTGCCTTCTGGTCTTGCTTTCGTCGCGAGCAGCTGCTCCAGTCAGACCTGTCACTAGGTATGGTGACATCCATCAACTAGAGTACCTAGTCAACCCATGCTCAGATCAAGTGTCACATTTTATGGAACACCCACGTGCAACTGCCGTAGGTATGCGATCAGCAAATAGTTCGAGGCACCAAAAAGACCGGTCCTACGCAGTCTTTTAGATGACACTCGCAGTTGTCTTGTGAATGTGAGAACGGAGAGGGCTCTTAGCAGACTTCGACGAAGCTATTCACGCCGGGCCTCCGAGTTTCAAGCTCGGATAGCTATCTTCCCTAGATTCATTCACTACATACAAGAGTTCAATTCCTGAGTCGCAATTGAAAAATCATGGAATCCGGTACCTAACAATGTGTTAACATTTTTTAAAGCGGGCTGGCGGGCGGGCGAGCTGGCGGGCGGGTGCGTTGTTTGTTGGTGGGAGGCGGCCATCGGGTTCGGGGTCATTGAGAGCCCGAACTAGAGTTGCGACGTCATCTAATCACATCACGTGACACATCGGATGTGGCGCGACAGGACAATCTGTCTTCAAGCTTGACGCCCCAACCGACATCATTTGTCGGCATCCCCAAAGCCACCACTATCCGCAACCCTTTTCGAGATCGGTCCTCCACGTGTGTGCGCAGCTTCTGTTTTCCTTGACGTCAGGATACGGCAAGAAGGATATCGTTCTCTTCACCATGCGTCTCGCCGTGTACGGCGCCGTACGTTTGCTCCTACTCTCCTCCCATACGTGCATACACCTGAGCTTGAGCTTCTCCGAGCTTCTTGGCCTCAGGATTATCTTTTGGGCCACCCCGCCATAACTTGGCTTTGGCTGACACCCAGATCCTCTGCAGGCTAGCTCCGTGGTCGCGATAGGAGTGGTACTGTCGGCTTTCAATCAGCGCGCCAATTTCTATTCGGCATGCGTCTACCTCGCTCAGTCCAATGCGTGCTTGATGGTATGCCGGTCTACCCCTCCTCCTCTTCCCGTCGGGCGCGGCACCAGCTAACTCGAGTCAGGTCCTGACCAATATATTGATCCTCCTCTCCATCATCTTTGGCCATGGCCTCCAACTACTATTCTACGGTCCGTTGCGTACGGTGGAGGTGGAGCAGATCTACGAGAAGGCGTGGTACGCAGTGACGGAGACATGTCTTGCCATGACCATCTTCCGCGATGAGTTCGATGTTCGGTTCATCGTGATGTTTGGAGTCCTGCTGTTTGTCAAGTGCTTCAGCTGGATTGGCAGTGGAAGGGTTGAATTCGTGGGTTTTCCGCTTGTTCCGCGTGCACCCCCGAAATGCTAATGAACGGACTCGCAGATGGAACAACAACCACCGGATCGTCCGATATTATTCCATGCACGTCTCGCGAGCAGCTTGTTACTACTGTGTGTTGCCTGTGGTGGAATGGTTTGGCATGCCATCACCGCCGTGTTGGAGAAGGGGAAGCCAAACATGATGGTAGTACGGCCCAATCAGTGCGTTGCATCTCTAGGGACCTGGCTAATCTCCACCCAAGGTGATGTTCGCATTCGAATTTGCCATCCTCCTAATCACCTCCACCGGAATCCTCTCGCGATATATCATCAGCCTGGTGGAGAAGTACATCCTGTACAAGGAGGCAACACGAAGAAAGGAGGCGAGAGCTATCGAACGTGCGGCAACGAGGCAGCGACGGCAAACTGAACGAGAGGAGAACGAGCGGAGACGTGCGGCCGGAGAAGAGGTCGAGGCGATTGAAGGCGATGATGAGGAAGAAGAGGAAGATGAAGACGAGGAACTGGATGTTGGTGGGTGGGAGGAGAAGGGAACTTGGGTCTTCTACGCCGAACTCTGCACGGGTATGCCATATTCCTTTGCGGTGCATCCATCACGAGTGCTTCCCGGTGATGCACCTCCGGAGACCTTGACTAACCAAAGTGATAGATTTCCTCAAACTCCTCACTTACCTCTCCTTTTTCTCTATTGTCCTTACATGGTACGGTCTGCCGCTGCACATCATCCGAGATGTGTACCTTACCCTGCGTTCGTTCATCACCCGTATCCGCGACTTCATTAGGTACAGGCGCGCTACGGCACACATGGACTCACGGTATCCGGACGCTACTAGCGACGAGCTTGGCGGCGAAGGCGTATGTATTATCTGCCGCGAAGAGATGCGCCCCTGGTCAGATGAAGGAGTGCCCGGGAACGGCGGTAGAGGGACAGGAACGCAGGATCAACGACACCGGCCGAAAAAGCTCCCTTGCGGTCACATCCTGCATTTCGCATGTCTTCGGAGTTGGCTGGAGCGTCAGCAGCGGTGCCCTACCTGCCGTCGGCCCGTGTTGGATGAGAATGTAAATGCCAACGCCAACGCCCGTAATAACCCCGCAGCTGCAATGGCACAAGGAAACGGACTCCAATTTCAAGCACAGTGGGGATTCGGCGGTTTACAGATCGGGATGGGTGCGGGCATGTTGGGCGATCTGATGAGAGCCCAGCAGAACCAAGCAAATCAGCCCCAGCAACCCCAGCAGCAACCACCACAGGCTCCACAACCAGGTGCTCAATTCCCACAGCGTGATCAGCAACAGCCGCAAACTCCGGTTCCGACTGGCGATCAGACGCAAGCCGGCGATGCTCAAACGATTCGTGCCCTCCAGGAGCAGATTCATTTGAATCAGCAGATGATAGAACGTGAGCGTGCTAGGGTCCTACAACGTCAGCATACTAGGGTGCAAGAACGTGAGCGTCCGACGAATACTCAACCTACTCCTGCATCGGCGGATCCAGCTGCACCGGTTGGGCCAGAGACGGGAACTACTCCCGCCGCCAACATTCCTGCCAATCCTACCACTGCGAACCCAAATACTGGCAATGGGCCAAACTTTGCGGTGCCACCTGCCAATTTCCTACCAACACCAAATCCAAACACGCCTTATAATCCCCCCTTCAACCCCTTCCTTCCGCGAGTTGGCCTACCACATGGAATGGTCCTTCCACCGGGCTGGTCTGTGGTTCCGCTCACCGTTATCGGAATGGGCGGGTCCGACCCAATACCTGCCGCACAACAGCAACGGCCGCCCACAGACCCCTCGGGTGTCCTTGCGGCGCGCCGCGGAGCAAGGACTTACCAGGAGAGCATGAGGAGCTACCACGCGCTTCACACCCCCACCAGTGAAGCCTCATACGAAGACGTTGAGCTAGGCGGTAGCAGCAATCGACCCACGATGCATTCCAGAACGGCTAGCGCCCCCGCTGTATCCACCACAACCACCACAATCACCACCAACACAATACCCGCCGCCAGCGCCCCGCCCTCATCCCCGCCCACCAACAACGCGGTTCCCGAAGCACTCGTGCAGCAGCTGGACGCAATTAATGACGCGGTTCGGCGCATGCGCGAGGCGGCTCAGAGCCTCGAAGACACTGCTAGGCAGTCTGTCTTCTCGGTCCCTACGCCTGCTTCGTTCGCAGAGACGGGCGAGAGACTCAATCTCTTCGGCGAGGGCAGCATGTTCCCGCTACCGGCTCAGGAGGGCGCTCTAAGGAGTTTGCAGAGCGAGGTTTTGCGGCGTGAGCAGGAGTGGGGTGGCGAGGCGAGAGGTGTGGTCGAGGGGCTGTTGACGGGCGAGGCCAGGAGGGAGGCCGAGGAGGATGGAGAACTGGTCGAGGTTCCGAGACCCACAGAGACGGAGAATGAGGAGCCAGCGCCTGAGGCGACGTCGAGGCAGGATAAGGGCAAGGGTGTAGACCGGGGCGAACAGGGCGAGAGGAGTGAGGAGTGATTTTGCTTGCGATGTCTGCTTTTTTCTCTCGCCTTGCAGCTTTGATCGATCGAGCTTGTGTTTTTTTTTTCTTTGGCATGGTATGGGTGTTGGAAATATTCGTTTTTCCCCATTTTTCTGTTTTTCCGTTCTTCAAGTTTTTTTTACTTTTGATATGATACTTACTTGCCGCGAAGATCCCCCGGAGGATAGCTGGAGGAGAGGGAAAAGATATCGGGCGGGCTTGCGCGCCCTGACAATGGCTCGGTGGCTGTGTGTATATTACGTACGGTATAGATGGTTATGTTTTACTACCACTGGGGAGATGTGGAGATGTGCGAACATATCTCGAGAGCCTGAACACTAGGGGTCACTCGGGTAATGTAGAGCTCGACATCCAGTCTGGGATTCTACTCCTGAGGCTGAGGAAGGTGTCGGAGTGGGAGTTGGGGGAACGGGAAGAGTCAGGCGGAGAGAAGGCGAGGCGTTGGAGGAGGTGTCAAGGAGAGCGCTGAGGTTGAGGAGCTGGGGTCAGTGCAAGCAACAGCCCAGCCCAATCAAAGCCAGCCCGCAGCCCGGCGCGTGTAGCCCAGCCCGGGCTGGGCTGGTCAGGGCAGCCCGGCTTTGAGCAGCCCACCAGCCCGAGCGCGAGTGAATTTTTATGGCGTCTCACTGCTACTCTTCGTTGACCAACGTTTTTCCAATCTGTTGTCGTAGAGCTACCCTACCAACTCTAGGATCAAGCCCGCCCAGCCCAACTGATAGCCCGGGCTGGGCTGCCAGCCCATCAGCGCCAGCCCGGGCCATCAGATCAGCCCACCAGCCCCAGCCCAGCCCATGGGATTTTCGGGCTGTTGCCTGCACTGGCTGGGGTCACTCCCATTGTTCTTCTCCTCACACATTCCTTCCTTCTTTCCTTCTATCATAGCAACTCCTGAGTATGGGGCATGGAGTCACTCGTCTCACTCGGTCCCGGAACTCCGGTCGGTACCTTTGTACCCTCGTACCTACCCAGCTACCCAGCTACCGATACTCGTTCTCTCAGCAGGTACATAGCGACTCCGGTCTGTATATGATACTCCGGCACTGACCATCGGCATCGCTGGGCTACCTACTCTACTGGCTCCTGGGCACCAGACTTAAGCTTAATCAAGCATCTGGGAGCAGGCGACCGGATAATTGCCATCTACCCATCCATCCATCCATCCATCCATCCATCCATCCATCCAGGGCGAATCCGCTGTTCGTACCCAAGTATGCATATCTAATCTTACTTTCTTTTTGGCGAAAGGCCTCGGTATAGCTAGTGCAGTGCAGCGGAGCGCCGGTGTAGGGCTGACCTGCAGTCGGCCGGCCCCCCCGCACTCTTTCGGTCTCTTCTCTCTCTCTCGCGTCGCCAATTTCCGGTGGCCTTCAGGCTGGAACTGTGTCGTGTAGCCTTGATGCAGGAACTAGGGGCCGGGACGGTGAACTGTCTACCACATGGCTTGCACAAGGAAGACGACGGTGAAGATTGCGAGCCGAGAGGTAGCAGTTGACTTCCCCTGATGCCTTCGCTACCTTCGCTCCCTATGTGTACTCTGGGTGTACTCTGGGCGTCCCTCGCTACGGTCCTCGGGGTCGGATCGGGGTCGGGGTCGGGATGCTGCGCAAGTTAGGCAGGCCCGAATCTGGAGATTCTACTTCCGGACAATACTGGGAACGAAATCTGGGGACGAGCTCTGGGGACGACTTTTGGGGGCGGAGGAGGAGTAGAAGGAGGAGGAGTAGAAGGAGGAGGAGCGGGAGGAGGATGAGGAGGAGGACCGAAAGGGGGTTATAATATAAACCTCCCCTCGCACCGCCGCCGATGCAGCATCATCAGCATCACCGAGCAGTTTCCTCACACTCACACTCATTACCTACCGCAGCACTCTCGCCCGCCCACCCACAGTAACCGCCAACCATGTACTTCACCACCCTCCTCCCACTGTCCCTGCTGCTTAGCAGCGTCCTAGCCATCGTACGCCCCCCTCGTCCCCCCTCCCCCTCCCCATCCCACCACCAGACCACACAACTAACCCTTTACCAGCCTTCCCCCCTCACCCGCCGCACATCCTACCCGCGCCTCGCCGCGCCCGCGGCCAAGTCGGTATCCGAGCTTCTCCTGGGAATCGGCAACAACGAGTCGCGGAAGTGCGAGCGTTTGCTCGAGGAGCTAGCTGCACAGGTCGGCGTGTGCAGCACGGTGGCGCAGATCGTCTACAGCGCTTCTGTGGGGCATGTTTACTGCGCTGCCACCGCTGAAACAACAGATCTGCCCGCCGCGAAGCAGACGTGTGAGTTCTTTTTGGGAGTGGGCACGCCGGCTGTGGGTGTGTGTACGGCTTTGGTGGGGGAGATGGTGCAGAAACTGGGGAGTGGGTGTGCGACTGGACAGGTTGTTCTGCAGGCGGCGGGGGATCATGTCGTTTGTGAGCTCGCGGATGAGGAGGAGATTTGTGTGTAGAGACTGCGGGTTGCGCCGTGTATGTATGGGGTATGAGGTGTTCGTGTTTAATCGGCTTAATCGGCTTAATCGGCTTAATCTAAGTAATTCGTGTATGGGAACCTTTAGGGAGCCTGTATATAGCGCGGTGGAAGATGATTTTATTGAATGATTCACATACCATCACTCGGGAGTATCATCTCCAACAATGTAGGTAGATCTGGGTGAACAGCTGTGGCAGGAATGTCTGGGAACGAATGTGTTTGAAGTTTCTGGTGAATAACCCACTAGCCGTTCGGAGAACCGGTAGTGGTGGGTGCTTGGAATATTCGGTGCGGTAGCGGGTCTAAATTTGGTCTTCTTTCTCTCTCTCTTATTACTAGAGTACCTGTGGTTCCTGGACCCGAACCCCCAGCTCGATCGCTCCAACTCGATCGCTCCAGTGAAATCACCTCCACGAGTCCTTCCAACTGGATCGTTGTTCCTGAGTGTCGAATCATAAAGCCCCAGCCTTTAACCATCACCACATATCTAGCAAGTCACAGCAGTAGAACCGGGATATAACTTCCAGCGGAAGACTTCCCAGTTGCCAGCCAAAGTTCTATTTCCAAGATTCCAAGATTCCAAGCCGCATACTCCCCGCAGGCCATAGGCCCCGTACGGTGCACGGAGTTCGCAAATCCACGATGCCCACGGTACTCCGGCAGCGAACTAGGTACACAACTTCTGCGCAGTGCACAGGGGATCGCACTCAAGGGACGCCAGACCCGCGCCCCCGTGCCCCCCGACTCACGTCGGTAAGTTACCCGCGGGACGCGGGCAGCGGCGTAGTCTTCGTGACCCTAGCCGCCAGCGAATACTTGTTGGTGCGTTGAATGGCCGCGATCATCTAGGTACTCTGCGAACAAAGCCAGCAGGAATATACATCGCACTGCTGCGTTGTCTACGTCGCCAACTGATCCGCCCACGTGCCGTGCGTGCGTGCCAGCCGTGCGTGCCAGCCGTGCGGAATGTAAGACGGCCACGCAGCGCTTAGCATTCTCTCCCCGGCGCCCGCGCGGAATGCGGTCTGCCAATAGATAACTACCTCTGCCCGGCGGCCCGTGTAGCTGGTCACCCGTTCGGTCCGTTCATTCCAGTCATCCATCCAGCCCGCACACTGTTCGTTATTCAAACTTCAGCCCGTCTCCGCTCTCAACATGGTACTCCGGTGATCGTAGTCAAAGTCTTATCATAATCATTCCGACTCACGATCACATCCCTCAGCCTCAGGCCCTCCAAATGCTAGTAAAATCCAGAAAGAATGTGTGGAATCAATGCCTCATGTACTCTAACGAACGACAGCGCAGTGCACTGAACCCAGACCAGACGCAATACTCAAAGGATGAATGAGAGTGATAAGAGCAAGTGGTAGGTATGCAAGGTAGGTAGATATCAAACAACGATCCTCAGCGGAACGAACAGTAGAACGAACGACAGAATGAAGGCAGAATGAACGGCGTATGCATAAGCAGGTAGTAATAATCCAAGTAATGCAAATCAATGCAAATCGTACATACTTCATATACAAATCCTACTCAAAGTATCATACCAGTAAATGCCCCCCCAACATGCAAAACCCACCCGATTTCACAAACAATGCCCACAAACGAAGCAAAAAGCGGAGCAACAGATGAAGCGGTACCAAATAGGCAGGCAAGAAGCGCACACAATTACAAAGATTCCAAAAAACAATGCCCGTCACGAAACCCCGATACCGATATCCCACTCCCACACTCCCACACATACCCATCGTAGCCCATCCCATCTATCAAATCACATAGGAAAAAATACCTACCTACCTACCCCACATCACGCAAAATCCAGCACCTCGACATCCTCCTCGAAGAAGCCCTCCTCGCCTCCTCTTCCGCTGACCACATCCAGCTGGAGTCCGTCCATCATGGCGGCCTCCAGCCCATCCTCTCCCTCCCCACAGAACGTCACGTCGCCGCGGCCCCCCGCATCGCTAAGGAATATCCTTTCCGACTCCATCGGCATGCCGAATACCCACTTTTCCTTTGGCGCTTGCGGAGCTTCAAAGATGGGCACTGGCTCGTTCAGCGTCACCTCCGCGAGTGTGTCCGATGCTGGCGGGAGGGAAGTCGACTCGGAGGGCTCGAGGGAGGGATCGGGAGAAGGTGTCTTTTTCGATCCTTTCTTGCCCTTCTTCCCACGCTTCGTGGTGGTGTCGGTTTCCCAGTTGGGTGGGGTGACGGACAGCATTGATGATGGCTGCGTTGCCGAAGGGAGGAACTTTATCCCCGGTGGACGGATCTGTTTCTGATATGTGGGGGGATCGTAGACAAACATCTTTACGCGGCGCTCTTGATGCCAGGGGATAAACGCGCTGTTCGTCTCGATCTCGGCCCAGGCCAGTGGCGTCTTCCAGAATCCTTCAGCATTGTTGTTTTCTTCATCCGTACCGCGGCCCCAGTGCGAGCGGAACGCCCAATATCCGCCTGCCTTGCCGTCGGATGGTTCGGCAAAAGTATGCTCGGATGTGGCTGGGACGTTGGGTAGATCGTATTCCCACCAGTTGCCGGATGCTACCCCACCAATTTTGGAGCCTTTCTTGCCCGAGCCGCCGGGGCGGAGCTCGTAGATGCGGAGCAGGCCACCGCCGATAACCGCCACGTAGCCGCGCTCCTTGGCCGTCAGGAATTTGACGCAGCCAGGTGATACGCCGGATGCCGACGGCGGAAGAGGTATCTTATTACCGCCAGCCGGTGGGTCGTTGGGAGAAGTGCCTGGTGCACCGGAAGTTCGACGGCCGACGGATGGTGAGCCGAACATGCCGCCCGGTGAGCCAACGGAAGAACTCCTGCTCCTCCTTCGTCGGGCGGCGGTCAAGAGTGGACGAGTGGAACTGTTAAACAGATCGACCGCATTCGACACGACGGCCCCAGCAGCGGTAGTCTGACTGTTCGCAGCTGTAGACGACGGGGGAGGTCGGCGCGGAGGCGGCCACTGAAGCGCGGCATAAGGCAAATCGTAGAAATGTGCTGTTCCCTTCTCAGTGATCACCGCAATCTTCTCTCCTCGAGGCGAAGACCAATCGACATCCACGATCGTAGCGACAGTCATACGAGTGAAGCGAGCAATCTGCCTGACATGTCGTCCCTGGGTATCGGGACCAGATGCTCCTCCACTCGTATCCAAAGTTCCCGGCATTGAGGCAGAGCGTTGATGGTTGAGAGATCCGGGTGGGTGATGCACAACCTTCAGCATGTCCCAAACGAACAGGATATCGCCCTTCGAGCTAGCAGTGAGCAACGACAGCCCTCCGGGTGAAAAACTCAAAAAACTGACACCAGCTGGCGGCAAGAACGTAGCCAGGGGAAGTCCATTCTCCTGCTTGGAATTTTTGTGAAGATCGACGATGCTAACCAACCGCGGTTCATGCACATATTGCACCTGTACCGGCTGCTGCTGGAACTGCTGCTGTTGTTGAAACTGCTGCTGTGGTGATCCGCCCATCTGCTGTAGCTGTCGGAGCTGCTGTCCCAGTCCACTGGGTTGCTGGGGATTTCCAATCTGTGCAATCTGCATACCATTCGGCTGTGGCACGCCCATTCCACTGGGCATCTGGTGTGGCAACGGCGGCGAGTTTCCGCCCACTGCACCGCCGTTCATGTAGCTCTGGAACTTTTTGAAACCAGCGTCGGCGGCCCATTTCGCGCCTCGGATCACCTCCTGCGTTACTTCTCGGGCCATCCTGTTTAGGAATGCCTCGTCCTCGAGTGAGCAGGCAGCGGAGATGGGAGGCTGGGATGGAGGTGCCGGTGCCATCACGGCGTGGGAGGTGATCGGAACGCCAACTTGCCCGCCCGCAGTGAGAGTTCCCGTGGAAGCGGGGCAGTATGCGAGCCATCGGCCAGACAAGGAAAACACCGGTGTTCCAATGGACGGAAAGCCCAATCCCAGGCCCATAATGCCGTCCGTCGACGCGTTCTGTCCGTGAGGGAATTGGACCGAAGTCCACACCTTATCCGAGCACTTCCACTCCGCCTTTTCCTGGTTCGGGCTCCCTCCCCTCTTTGCACCGCCGCTTCCGCCGCTTCCGCCGCTCGGACTGGCTTCTAAGCTAAACACGTAAACCTCACCGCTGGAGCCGACTCCCACAACGATCTTATCTCCGGTGACTTGCACGCGGAGGTTTCCCCAGACCAGAGGCGGTGCGAAATTGCCGAATCCCAGATCGGCAGTGGGAATGGGCGGACTGGTGAGGAGCTTACACAGTCTTGTCCTCGTGGTCAAACTCCAGACCTCGACGGTAGTCTGCCAGTCCGTCACCGTATCGCCGTCCTGCGAGCTCCGATGAGAGTTGGAAGTTTCCGGCCGAGATGGAGGGGAGGAAGAATACGGTGACTCAGAGAGTGGTGCTGCCGCCGCCGTCTCGTGATCGGCGTCGCTACCTGGTCCCTGTATGATTGGCGAGTGGACGGTCAAGCAGATCAGGGGCCTGTGAGCAGCCAGCGGGTCGTTGAACGGCGGATTCGGAAGGATCTGCGAAGATGACTCTTAGCAACTTATTTCGGACCTCGACACGTGTTCCGCCCCCAGATCATGTGCTGTATTTACCTTTGCACTCTTGACGCTGCCTCGCAGGCCCTCGAGTCTCCCGACCTGCTCGACCGCGCCCCGTCCGATCCGCCAGATATCTACACCCCCATCCCAGCCGAGACAGACTACATTGTCGCCGCCTCCACCACTTCCACCGCTTCCGCCGGCAAACCGAGGGTTGCCGCCCGACAATCCAAGTTCATCTACTGTAGCAAGTTCGCATGCGTAGTCGCCCTCTCCGGCCTGCAAATGGGTGACTCCATTCAATGGTACGCCCGCCGAGCGTTGAGTAGGAGCGTAGAAGTTGTTGTTGTTTGTGCCCGCGGTACCATAGTACTGTTCCTCGAACCCTGGATAACCCCTAACCTGCCGCGATGAACTGAAGCCTCCTCCTCCTCCTCCCCCAGACGAATACGATGCTGGAGCACTCGGTGGTGGTGAGGGACCTCCACTAAGACCTACGCCACCAGATTGCGACCCGAGACTATTCGGAGCTCCTGAAGACGGAGAAGAACCGACACGGAACGACGAGAACGGGATCGAGCGACCTAGTAGATCGCTTGGATTCTGTAGAGCGGAAAGGAGGGGAGATGTAGTGTTTGAAGGGTGCGGAGATCTTTGGTTCCGTATATTACTATGACTCATAAGACGACGCGTCAGTCTAGGTCTACAAACTGGTGGAGGATCTGCTGAGCAGATGTATATAGTATTTAGGCGCATGTCTGTTGGATTGGTGGGGGGTGGGGAGGGTATCTAGAGGGAAAGGGGGTGGGGCAAGAGCTGGAGAATGCGGGGCAGGGCGGGAAGGGGGCCGATGAGTATATATGGGGCTATGACTCAAGACGGCTGGCAGAAGCTCATGAGCAAACATGAGAAAGCTCCCGTATTGGAAGGGAGTGGATAGAATGGGAGGGACGGGGAGGCAGGGTGCACGGACTATTCCCTAGGATATATTCTTGGTCTAGACGTTGCGAAAGCAGCTCCAGCTATAGCACCGGAAGTGGTATTGGAGTTCGTGCTGTTGTTCTGAGTGGTCAGGGCGCCGGATACGGAGACAGACGACGGCAGCGAGTCTCTAGCTTGACGGGAGTTCCTGTAATGATCGAAGGCGGGCATGCAGTCAACGGGACGGGAGAGGGTTTGTTTGAGTTCTGGCAAGACCCTTCTCTTCTTCTCTCTCTTTCAAGCTCTCCGTCCCTTCGAGCTTGCTTTCTGTGAAAAGCGAGTACGTGCGGGATGGAGAGAGCAGTAGGAGGATCGGAGACGAGCTTCTGGCGACGTTTGCTCTGGGCTAGTTTCTTTTGCTTTCTCTGATTTCTCTGCTTTAGAGCAGGAAGTTTGGTCTGGGACGGTGGGAGGAAACAAGGTGGTGTGTAGAGTTTGTGGAGACGCCGACGGCGCGGGTTGGTTCGTGTGTCTGGTATGGAGGTTATCCGATTTGGGGGGATGAGTATTGATTGCGATGCGATAGCTGCGATACGATCAACGATCGGGAGGGGGGGTGGTATGCGGTGATATTCTGTTGAGATGGTTGAATTCTGAACGTCTGGTTGCTTTTTGGTATGTGTATGTAGAAGAAGGTTCAGGAGAGAAGCAGCAGGAGGTTTAGTTTTTGGGGGTGGCAGTTGGGAGGGAGGGATGAGCTCCAGAGGGCAAAGCGGGGGGTGTGATGGAAGGGTGCCGGGGGGTGGGAGCTGTCGAGTGGAGATTGGCGTAGTAGCCACGAGTAGTGGTACAAGCAGTAGCTAGCGTTCGGGATAGAGAGGCGCACCGGTTCAGTTGTGAGGTGGGGGACCGAGCAACAATAGGAAGAAATGCGGGCGGCACACACGGGTGTGGTTGGCTATTGTGATTGTATGTAGAATAGTAGAGAAGGTAGACATGTTGCTTGACACCTTCTACGTCCTATTCTGCTAGAGCAGTTAGGAGTTCAGTTATCTACATGCTAGTTATTGCCACTACAGTACATCAGCAAGCTGTATGTAGAAGTACGAAGATAGATACCGCAGCGACGAACTCGGTCGCGGGTCATGATCGTATGTAGTCGTGGTCGCGGGCGCAGGCACAGCAGACCGGCAGCAAGGCACGCAGGCACGTTCCATACAGCCTGCCGAAGCCTTACGAGCCACGAGATGGAGTGAGATAGAGTAGATACTCCAGAGTGCGTTTTCTGCCAGCTTCGATGAGCAGCTACATACCTTACCGGGTGGATGCAGCAGGAACAGCCCCGCCCCACTGCCATTCGATGATGACCACCACCACCACCCACCATCACCACGCACGAACCAATACCTACCACCCACACCTTGGTTGATCTTGCGATGATGTGATGCAGACGTGCTTTCTTCTCGTCGGGTCACGAGAAGCCCTATCTCTGTGTCCCAGCGTGCCCATGTACTCTATGTACTCACTTGTACTGTACATACCACTAATCTCTCCCACGTTCCAACCTCCGACAACCACAGCTGCCCACAGATAACCGTGGCCCGGCGCGCGTAGGACCGGGTTGGTATCCAAGGTATCTAAGAGCAGAGTAAATAGGGTAGATCGTATTCTATGTATGTACGAGTGCTTCTTTCGGGGAAGATATGATAGATAGCTCCTGAATCCTCGAGTCTCTAAATCGCGCGGCTAAGCTCTCTGCGGTGAATCCATCCTTCCATCCCCCTTTCCTTTCGGAGGTCCCCCATTCCCGAATCCTGATTGCGCTCCTTCAAAGTTCACAGCGAACATTCTCTACCATTCTATGATAGTACCACATTCCAGCCAGCAACGTGCTCTCTCGAGCGTTCGCGCAAGATTGTGGCTCGTGAGGCTGGCGAGCTGGCGAGCTGGCACTAATCACTCTGGACTCTGGAGCCTAGAGACCAAACAGGGGCCCCGGCCACCTCGTGATGTCGGCTACTTCCGAGATGAGCGACTTCCAACATCACAAGACTGGAATGTGCGCTGAGCCACAGGGAATGTGGCCGTGCAGAGCGGAGCGGATCATGCTTCCAAATTCCCAGCCTCCCGCGCTTCCGGTGATGGCCTGCGGCGTGTTTGCCGCTGCCGGGTGAGTGAGTTTCCATAGGTGGTGGCCGCAGTCAAACTGTGCGGAAACCCTTGCTACTCGAACTATGGATAGCATGAGCAGTGAGGATTTTGATTGGCCCCCGCTGGCAAGACCTCAGCTGATCCTCTTATATCCATACGGTATCGTACCTACATCCCCAAACAGCGACGACAACAACCATCACGACAACAACCAGATCAAAACAGACAAGCAGACTTAATCATGCACCAAGATCTCACTCTTCGGCCAAGTTAACTAGCATATTGCGTCGCCGCATCATCCAAGTTCCTCAAGCTCGAGGAGAACCGTCCCGTGTCGTCACTCGTGTTCGCAATATCCTACACTCCCATTCTATTCCACTCTAGCAACTTTCCGGACAGCTCAACAACTTCCTCCGGCTCGCCAGTACATACATACCGTCGTGAGATGATTCTTCTGGCTGGCTGGCAGCCTGGCTGGCGTCATGTCCAAATTCCACCATCTCATTCCGATTGCGGCACTTGTAGTGCGCAATTGAGGGGACGAGCTGGGCACTTCCACTTCCACTGGCGGATGGATCATCGCACCATCTACCGTATGTATTGGTGAATTTCATGGACTCCTCAAATTTCAATGTCATAGCTGGACCACGGCAAGAATCAAGTGCACAACGGTCAAGTTTCAACTGCCATCGACGGAACGGGCACCCGATCCAGTCCCCGGACTGTGATTCGGTGATGATTGATTCTCAAGTCTCAAGAGGACCAGAGGCAGCCGTTTTGAACCCCACGGGGTTGTGTGACGCACTGACGCTCCTCGATCTGTGACTGATGCTAATGCTCGGGGCGAAAGTGCCAGTGCCAGTGCCGGGCATGGACATGGACAAAACGTCTGCAGGTTCAAGACTTCAAGTGCATGACCGGATCCGATCCGACTGCCCATGTTCCCGATATGTACGATTTGGCATGCGGCTTCAGCCTTCAGGTTGGGGACGATTTTCGTACTTGGTGGACGTGAGGGGTGAGGATGGGTGCAACTGGATCGGATCGAGAGGGAGGACTCACGCTCACCGCTCGGAACACATTCTGTCATGGCCTCGACTTTTTGGCCGGTTTGTTGGGTTGGGTTGGGAAATAGGTACGGTAGGTATGGTACTCAGATGAAGCTTGAGGATCGATCCCGCGAGGAAGAAAATGTGCTGAGTACATAATCTTTGACCTTGGGGTACGCAAACACCGGTAGGTATACTACGAAACCAACCTTGACCACAGCCCCAAAGCCTGAAGGAGCGGCGAAGCATAACCTTCGAGAAAAGTTATGTAGCAATATTCTTATCCGAATAGCGGACTCAGGATCGTCGTGTGTACTCGTCCACGTACACATATGGTACACCACATACCAAGTTCCTTTATTCGGACAGATTACTCTAGGCGGCCGATTACCGCAGTTGCGGTCGAACACGACTATCCGGCGGCAAATCGAGCAAAAATACGGTACCGGGTGAACGCCTCGCACGAAACGTTATGTAGCAATATTCTTATCCGAATAGCGAACTCAGAATTGCCATGTGCACTCGTCCACGTACACATATGGTACACCACATACCAAGTTCCTTTATTCGGACAGATTACTCTAGGCAGCCGATTACGATACCTACGAGCAGTTACGGTCGAATACGCTTGTTGGCGGCAAACGAGCAAATAAGATACCGGGCCAACGCCTCGCATCTGCTTCACGGCGAACTCCAGAGGCCGACCTTGTTCTGTTCTGTTCTACCGTCCACGGCAAGAATTTAGAAAGAAAGAAAGCCTTCCAATTTCATCGGCTCGTGTGCATAGCACGGCATGGCATGCGCTGCATACAAATTGCCTCATCTTCCCACCTTCTCTGTCAGCAACACAGACGCCCCCCGCACATGTCCACGAATAGATACGGGCGTTGGGCAGAACGTTAAACGGCCTACGTAGGAGGTATGTACTCTAGTACGGGACCACGAAATTCTGCTGTCTGAAGACCCGCGTGGGTATGTATACTATAGTACAATACGTGTCTGCGTAGATAAGGCTGATCTGATACCTACCCCATCGTGGTTTAATTTCAGTTCGAAGGGGGGTGGGTACACGACCCCACCGACCGTGGGAATAAATGTGGACCACACTGTCTCGGTCTCTCGGTTGTCTTCGGCGGGGATTACGCTCGAGTCGGGCCGACTATGTACTGGGTATAGGACGGAAGGCAGTGGTTAGGTGGTCCGCTACGTAGTTGGTCACATGGCCCTGGGAATAGGGCGCAACAGAACAGCTTGGCACTGTGTGGCTGGTGATGCGGAGGTGGCGGTGAAAACATGTAGATACCCGTGGAAAGATTCGGCAGAGTTGGGAACGCTGGTGTCGACTGCTCGGATGGATACCGTACCAGGCCGAAGGGAAGAGGCCCTACACTATTAGTAACTAATCCTTCCTGAGCAGCGCCGGCTCGTTTTCGCAGAATGGTCTCTCGCTCCACACATGCGGCTAAGGCACTTTGCGGGGCGGGAAGCACTGACACTACCAGAAGAGCTCCACTTCTTCCGCGACGAAAGACGCTCGGATACGGTTATTGGGGTGTATCCAACCCGTGTATGTGTGTAAAAGCAAAGTTGCAATCCGTCTTGAATGGACTGGACGAGTGATCTAGAGTTCATTGTTGGTCTTCTAACGCGAGAAACTCAAACGGTCGCCAGCTTGTTGAATGCATCACCCCTCTCATCGCCACAACCATTCCAACCCAACCTCTAATAACCTTCTCTCCTCCTCCTCCTACTCCTCCTGATCCTCCTCATACTCGATCTACGCCGTTGCCGCCGCCTTCGCAGCTTCGCGCTTCCCGCTTCTCCCACCTCACTGGCTTGCCGTGTCATCCTCCCCCCCCCCGCTTTATACAGTCCACTACGCGCATCCTTTTCCTCCCTAGAGCACTACTCCCCCCCACCTACCCCCCCCTCCGCCCAATTCCGATGCTCAGCCCTGCAACGTGAACGAAACACGACAATAACCCCGCCAAAGAATCCCGGCAATCTACAAGCACCGGAAGCTACCACCCACCAGAAAAGCATGGCCGCCCCAACTACCAGCAGCTCCTGCGGCTGGTTCATCCTCAACAACCACATCATCCTAGAATCCATCATCACTTTCCTTCCCGAATTGCGCGACATCACCGCTCTCGCTTGTGTCTCCAGCAGCGTCAGCTTCCACATAAAGCATGTCTTCCCTTTCGCCGCGCGCAGGCTATCCTATCGCACCATCCCAAGCTCCACCGACAAGACCGTGCTCGGCTTGTTCGACACCTTCCTGCAGTACGGAAGGGGATCGCGACAGCGGAAAGATCTTAAGGCCGATGGCGGCACTATCATGATTGGCGGCGGTGCACCTGGCGCTCCCTTCACGGGATCGTGGCGCAACCTGCGACATGTCGACCTGTCGGGTACGGATGTCACTACGCGGACCGTCATGGTCTTGCTCGCGGCCACCTGCGGCTGCAGGATACCAGGCATGCGACCGCCCTTCAGAAAGGAGTGGGGGTTCCTGGTGGCGGACGACTCTGCCGGTGCCAGTTTGTTGAACGACCAGGGACTGAGGTTGAGGTCGTTGTCTGTCCAGAACTGCCGCAAAGTGTGGATACCAGATCTTGTGAACTTCCTCAGGAAAGTGCTCACTGCCGCAACTCGTCCGGCCAAGCACAGGGTCGGTACCCTTCAAGTCACCACTCCCCACCCCGCCAGTCAAAACTACTATTGCTGACGGTCCATCTTATTGGTTTTCTTGTAGATGAACCAAGCGAACATAGCTGCGAACAATACCGCGAATGGCAACAACAACGTCAACGCCAACCTGCTCGGTGGCAATAATGGCAACCTTATCGCCAACGTCTTCGGTGGTGGCGGCGCCATGAACAACGTCCTTGGTCCTCCTTTCCTTATGAACCCAGCCGGCGGCGGAGGAGGAGGAGGCGGAGGCGGTATCGTGGGTCAGAACAATCACAACGGCAATGGCAATGGCAATGGAAACAACGACGGACGAGCGCCTCTTACCGAAGCCCTTCAGAATTTGGGTCTCAGTGATGATGACATCCATGCCATACCTGGTCCGCTACCCAATTGCGCTACCGAATTGCGACAATTCGGACTACCAGCCTTCTCACTACGCAAGCTGAAGGTTGCTGGTGCGGGAGGTATGGGGTTGAAGTCTGTTGACGATTCCGTGACCTTTCGGAGCTTAGCATCTCTAGCCACGGTCACCGGATGTCTGGGTATTTCTCTGGACGTCGTCTTCTGCCAGGGTGCTAAGTGCGCGTATGGTATCGAGGTCGACACCGAGGATCAGGACTTTGTTGGCCAACATCATCGCGACACCTACCATCGCCCGCTGCCACACATGCCCGGAGAGCGCATCTTCGCGGACAAAACGGGCCGCGTGTTCCGCATTCCCAAGCACTGCATTCGCGAGGAAGACCCAGCCCCGGCGGCCCAGATCCCACCACCAGCAGCGCAGAACACCACTGTCCCACTCCCACTCCCACTCCTGCCGCACGCCAACGCCATTGCCGGTCCGGCGGCAATACCGCCCACAACAGCGGCCGCAGCGATCCAACCGGCACAAACAGACAATCAGCAGAACGTATTCATCCTAGGTCTGATGCAAACCCTTGACAATAACCCTCCCCCCCCCACGCCTACAGACCCAACAGCGCCTACGTTCCCAGCCGCGCCTCCGCTTCAACCAGCGCCCGCGTTAGCGGCTACAGCCCCTCCGCCGGACTCGACACAGCAGATCCCACTTGCCGTCCCCGCGCCCGTTCCCGCCGCCGACCCCGCCGCCGACCAGCAGGACCCGATGCAAACACCGGCTCTTCCCCCACTTCTCCCACCCGTCGCCCCCAACAGTCTTTCCGCTCCTCACAACCCACCCGCCTTCTTCCAACCCCAGGCTCCAAACCTGCGAGAGATCCTTCCTCCGCCGTCGGACGAAGACCGGAATCCGCGCCGCCGCATCGCGATGAAAGGCGGTCCGCGCGGCCTCTGTGAAGGTTGCGGCCGAGAGCTCTGGCTCTGCCAGAGCTGCAACAACTTCTGGGTGCTGTACTGTGGGGGCTGCGCTGCTAAGGCTGTCGATGTCAATGGAGAAGCGGACGCCGCCGTCGCTGCTGACCCTGACGCTACTGACGTGGCTGACGTGGATGACGACCTCGACGGCTCCGATTACGAGCCCGTATTATGATCGAAACCGGAAATGGGCATGGCGATGGGATCTAATGCGGGAGTTTCCGTGATAATTGATGATGTGTTCGCCATTCTACCTACCTAGTACCTAGTAACTACTTCTTTACATGTCAAAGTTTTACTCACCTACCAAATACTCATCCTGGTTTTTTTTTACTGCTGGACGTTCTGTGTTTCTGTGTTTCGTTTTTTTGCTTTTTCGGTTTCGTTTCCGCTCTACATACGCAACTACTACCTACCTACTACCTACGCACGAACAAGTTTGGGGATTGGGCTTGGATTTGCTCTGCTTTGCTTATTCTTTTTTCTTTTTCTTTTCTTTTCTTCTTTTTGCTTGGGGTTGGCTTGGGATGGCATGGGGATGGCATGGCATGGCATAAGAGAATGGCGATGATGTCTTGAAGTACACACTACATAGTACGCAGAGTACATGTACTTCTACTTCTACTGTATCTAAACATGACTGGATTGCACTGGACTGGACTGCACTGCACTGCACTGGACCGGATTGAAGGGGCACAGGGAGAAGGGGAGAATGGCATTTTGCTTTCAGGCGTTGGACTTGGACTTGGAACTGGGACTTGCGGACTTGGAACTGGACTTGGACTTGAAGATGGACTTGGACTTGAAGCTAGGCCCGGATACCTCACAGGTCGTGCTATGTATGTACATACCTACTCTTCCGATAGAAGTATGTACCTACATTGAACCTGCTCTATCACGTCCTGTAACTATGTATGTGCAATGGGTACATTGTAGCGGATGTGAACTTGAACTCGAAACCGAGATACATGATACATCCGTTGGGGAGGATGTGGAGAATGTGGATACTGTACTGTACTGTACTGTACATAATCTGGCATTGGCTAGCTGTCCGCTGTCCGCTGCTGTTGCTGCTGCTGCAGAGGGAGTGGGAGTGGCAGTAGTGGCAGTGGCAGTGGCAGTAGTGGCAGTATCGTGGTGATAGTTGTGGTAGTCTACATAATCGCCCCCAATTCACAACGGGCCTGTAATGGGCCTGCATGAAGGCTGACGGGATGGGATGCAGGATGGGGTGCGAGATTATGCACGTATAGCTCGTACATACCGCGACGTTACATGTATATGTAGTCGTTGGCACTGAGCACTGAATAGAGCAGATAGAGTACCGTGGTGGCGGGTTGTCTAATCTTGGATTTTGAGCTTGGACTTGGGCTTTGAGGATTGAGGATTGAGGATTTTCGACGCTCCGTGCTGTAACGGGCGTTGGGTACATATGGACCGACTGCGGACGGGGGACGGAGAGATTGTGTATATATAAGGTATGCACCTACTAGAGTAGAACGGATCGACTACAGTTATTCGGACGTTCCATTGTAGTCTGCCCCCATCTCAGCTTCTGAGTACAGTACAATATCCTGCACTCGAGTGCCAGTGCCAGCGTTAAGCTGGAACGTCCCAACGCAGCGCAACTCATATCTACCGGTTGAGCAGTGACCACTGCGTCGTGAAGAAGTCCATGTCCCAAGCCACCTACCTATACCTATGCCGATTGGTCGGGTACGGTTAGGTAGATATCTCAATCCCCCTCCGTCCTCCGTCTGCCCATATCGTCGTATCGCGGGTTTTGTCTGTGGGGTCGACGTGGCGGGACGCCTTCGTCTTCGTCTTCGTTCCGCTATCGAAGTTGTACCGTATTCGGACGGAGGATAGTCGAAGCGGTGCAGATTGCGAACCGGCACTAATTGCGAACCGGACCGCGATAGCTAACCAGGCCGCTGTACTATACTTACTAACTATAGTTAACCGGCTGCAGGCTGCAGCCGCGGGGGCGGTTCGAACTTGCTGTGATTGGCCGGCGCGCGGACGAGGCGAGTCGAGGCGAAGCGATATCGTCGGTGGCCATGGTGGACGATACCATGCGCTGGACGATATCGTATCGTATCGACTACATATCTATCGACACTACCTATCGACACTGGCTATCGATGTGCATGAAGATCCGGGAGTGTGGGAGTGCGATAGACCCTTAGTTACGTGTAATCAGCGCTGCGGAAGATAATGGTAGCCACCTAAGAATCTGCATACATGTGATATGAATAGTCGGCCCGTTCCCGTTCCCGTTCGGGCACACTTCTTCGCCGTCCCGGTACGCAAGGGATTCGGGCCGCGGGAGTTGTGGTTCGGAGAGGAATACGGTACAGGTTTAGATATATGATCGGATAGAATACTGTCCTCAAGAGCTCCACCAGAACACGTAATGTCCCGTACATATACTTACGGTTGATCACTCTCCAGCACTCGCCGCCTCCTCATCCGCCGCCACAAGTTGCAGGGAGCCAGCAGAGGGCCGGGGAGGGCCAGCGCCTGCTCCAGCCTTGTTACTCCCTCCCGCCGCCCGCCGCCCTGCCTCATCTCATCGTGACCCATGGATGTACACCCACCGTTCCCCCACATCATCCATTACCCCACCAGCCACTTCGATATGCACCAGGTCAATCGTTTGGAGTACCTACTCTTGAATCTAGATACCCTTACGTTTTACCATCCCCACGTCTCTTGCCATCCGCACGTCCCTAACAGCCCATCAACTTGCCATCGCCGCAACCGGCCACCACAGACACTCGTACATATGCAGCCCGTCGATCCCCCCGGATCCCCTACCGTAAGCCCTGTCCCAACGGTTTTATTTTTGTCTTTTGGTCCGTTTACACAATCCAGTGTCCACATCCCACCTGGGAACGCGGAATTGAGTTTACATTGCCAGCCCCATGCGGAATAATCCGACGTTTCCAAGGCGTAACTTGTTGCCGAGTGATACCGCTTGCACAACCGCACCAGCCATTCCATTCCGTTCCAATTCGTTCATCAGCCACATGCATCAACGATCCATCAACGATCAGATTTACAAATCAAACCGCCCCACCACACGTCAACATAGGTACTGCATCAAACCGCAGCAATATCAACAATCGAGTAGATAAACAACAAGCAGGCAGGCAACACGACGAGAAAGGAAAAGGAAAAGGAAAGAGATAACTCCGCGTCGGAAAGAAAGAATGAAAGAAAGAGAGAAAGAAAGAAGGAAGGCCAATGAAAAGAGAAACCCGACCGTATTCCCAACAATGACAAAACGCACCACGACCAATCTACAACTAGAACTAGAAGACCAGAAGGAAAGTACAAGAAGAAGAGAACCATTACTGATTAGACTAGAGCGCCGTTCAATCCAGCACGATTGGATTGTTGTTGCCCGGTTCCTAATCGAGTGCAATGGGGTTGTTCCTGCCGCCTCTGCTACCACCACCGCCGCCGCCATTTCGTCCTCCACGACCTCCGCCGTTGCTGCGCATCCTCTCGAAGGCGTCTTCGTACTGATCAAGATCTACGGCCTGTCTCCTGGTATTGCCGGGTCCTCCTCCTCCCCTCCTGATGCCGCCGGCACCACCCCTTCCGCCACCTCGACCCCTCTCGTTCCTGCGCGACGGAGGAGGAGGCGGAGAAGGAGGCGGAGGTCCAGGCGGCAAAGGGGGTGGAGGCGGCGGCGGAAGCGAGTCGCCCGCTTTGAGCACCCTCAGATCCTGATCGGAGCCGATTCGCTCAATGTAGACGCGCCTGAGCCTCTCACGCTGGTCCTCGATCTCGGTGTAATCACCGCCAATCAAGAGACCGAGGAGGGTGCGCCCCTTGCGGGAATCAAAGTCCCTCGCTGCCAGATTCGACATCTGCTCTGTGAGTGCGTCATAGGCTTCGCCGAAGCAAGCGAGCACCGTGGGAACGCAGAAAGAAGAGCGCGAGATGTTGTTATCCAGAACGTTGGGGTCCTGGATGACGAGGAGTGTTTCATCCTGGGCTTTGGCATAGGGGGGAGGTTGGAGCTCAGCTTTCTTAAAGTAACCAGGGTTTTGCTCGTCGACACGGATGCCGATGCGAGTGGTCTTGAAGCGCTTTCCGTATAGTTCTAGGAACTCGAGAAGGATGACCCCCAGGTTTGTAGACGGGTCCACCTCGCCACTGGCCACAGAGGGGAGCTGCTGTATGAGTGAGATGATGAGACAAGTTAGAGTAAACGAGCCAACTCCACCCTGATACACTTCATTCAAACCTCTCATCGCCAGGAACTGCTTGACGAGCGTGAGCAAGATCGGAAGACAAGCATACTTATCGCGCCAGTTCCTGAACGTGTCATTTGCCACAAGCCCAGATTTGTTCTCGAACGAGAGGTCAACAGCAAGCCCCGTAGCAGCGTCGATGTATTTCACAAGGGGAACCTTTGCCTTGGTGAGACAAGTTACAGTTCCATTTTCTGCAATGCCAGCATTTCTAATTGCAGTGGCAACCCTGTAGAGGAATCCTTTGGTGTCATACTTGGGCACATCGCGCAGCGCATAGTCGCGCGATATGACGACCAAGTCAATGTCCGAAGTAGGGAGATACAACTCCGCCGCGAATGAGCCAAACACCCGTACATCGGTGTCGTGGCTGAGGGTGTTTATCAAGCTGCGGAGACTCTGTATCACGTATCGACGGACTGCGTGTTCGTACGGCCGCGGTCTAATGTACTCGATGAAGTCGACGATCTCCATGTGAAGCCTGTGACACCATGAGACGACATACGACAGGAAATGGAATATACATACCACATAGACATCTTGAGTGATCTTGAGTGATCTTGGGCCCCAGTCATCCAAGGGAACGGATTGACACCAGGCTTGGCGCGCATCTCATACTTGACATTACCATCAGGGTTCCGATTCCCTCTGGATATATCATGATGTTTTCTCTTCCTACTCTTTGGAAGATCCTGTTCATCTTCACCAACGTCCAGTGCTTCGGGATCGTAGCTATCATCCTCCTGATAATCGTTGTAGTTATCAGAGTCAACATCTTCGCCCCACCGATTTTTCCGTTTCCTGTTGAGAGCCTTGCGCACATCTTTACTGGGTCCTGGGGGAGCACCTAGTTTTTGACCTCTCGACAGCGGGCCCACTCCTGGAGGTGCATCATCAACCGGCTGCTGTGACACATACGGGCCATGGAGGCGCTCCCTATGAGAGAATGGACGGCTACCTGGCACATCGACAGGAGAATCTGGAGCCCCGACGGTGCTATCATTCAACCTCCGTTTCTTCCTGTAATCCCCTTGATCACTGAAATCCGACTCTGGAGTTGCCTCCTTCTTCTTCTCTTCGCCGAAATCCAGCGATATGAAATCATCATTCGCTGCCACGCGGTCTGTCTTCTTCGCCTGGTCTGCCGCCGCCTTCTTTGCTTGTCTGATCATGGTAATAACGTCGACACGTTTCTTGTCCACTTCCACAAACTCCTTGCCTTCAACAACCTCCAGCAGCTTGTCTCCTATTGGGAGGACCTGTACATCCGACACACTCACAGCACCCTCTGTTGCTGGTGCTGCGGATGGCGCTGGTGTTGCTGGTGTCGGTATTTTGTTTCCAGTGGCGGACTTCACCTCATCATCATGAGAACCTTCGACCCCTTCAATTTTTTCCTCAGCGGGATCCTCGCCACTGAGATCAATCTCAAAGCCACCGGTGACCATCCCCTCCATGAGCTCGGGCGTCTTTTCCTTGTAGTCGAAATTGAGGATGGGGCGGTCGTGGGCAGGGAGCGGAACCCATTTCTTAAAATCAGGTTTTTTCCCCTGGTAGCCACCACGACCACCCGCAGGACCACCACGACCACCGCGTCCTCCCGGACGAAAGCTATCCCTGCCTCCACCAGCACCACCGCCACCCTGTCTTGAGCCGCGATCGGGCTCTGTGTCGCGGGTGCGCGGTGGGAGGTGGCGCGGATGCTCGAATCCGAATTCCCGGTCGCGGTAGCGGGAGTTGGCGTTTCCTGTGAAGCGAGGAGGCGAGCGCGAGCGGGAGCGCTGGCGGCTCGGACGGTACGAGTCGCCGTCGCCGTCGCGGCCGCCGTAGCCTGAGCGGGAGGCCATGGTTCGGTTGATGTGTAAATTCGGCGCGCGCGGGGGGGCGCTTCGGTCCGTGACGAAGTACGCTGTTGTGTGTTGAGGTGCAAGGGCTTGGAAAACGGAATCCGGGGGTGAACAGTCGCGACGATGGAGCAGACAACTATGGCGGCGGAAAAAAAGACACATTAGCGAGCTACTAGTGCTGTGAGTTGGCTACTAACGCCTTCCAGTATATCTTATCGAATCTATCGAAAAGCTGTCATCATCCGGAGAATTCTAGGAACATCAACTCTCACATTCTAGGAACTACCACATTCTCGGAACTACCGGAAATGTGCAAACATAGTTTGCTGTCGTCCGTTGGACAGTATCTTGCGACATCGGTTCGCTGTTCACTTTGACACAGGAACCTGTAAGGCTGAACCAACTCTTTCATCGACATTCTGTCACATTTCAACAGCTAATGCCCGCTCAAATGCTCCCGGAAAATACCCTCATATGCGCCTTTATAACGGCTTTCAGGATGGATTTCGGTGACATGAAGAGATACACAGGGGTCCATCGTGTGCGAAATCAAGTTCGACCCGAGGTGGAACTTGGAGAATACGCAATCTTTACTTTTCGAACTGTACGGACAGACCCCCTTGAGTACCTTCCCCACAACGAAAGAAGTGAGGACGCGGTTTGGGTGAGCTCCATGCGGTTCGGAGAGTTGGCATGTTCGGTTTATTTGTCACTTGATGGTTACATACCCGCTGTGGCTACGAATACGACCCTTCACGTTGCATCCATCAGCGACCCACCTTCCAGTGGACGAGCGCCTTCTCCATTTCGGGCTTTGTAGGGTGTCAATCTCAGCATGCGGTTAGGACCGTAGAACCAGCCTCCATAGAGAGACGTGGCGCAAATAGAGCAACACGTACCAAAATCATGATTCTATGCCACCCAAGTTTTAACACCCATTGCCATTTAACAACACCAGAAAAGAAAAAGAACAGGAAACAAAGTACCTTCTTGTGTGCATCAAGCTATCAGGACGCAGCCTCGTCGCCCTATCCGCTTCCCGCCCACCGCTCTTCCGAAGAGATCTCATTAGAAAATGTCTGCAGGATCTCTCGTATGTGCTCTTTTCCCTACTCCAAAGCATCGGGATCTTACCCCAGAACCTTCCTCTCCGCGCCCTTTCCTTTGCCCTTCTTCTTGTTCTTGTTCTTGTCCACCCTTCCGCCTTTCGTCTTGTTCCCACCGACGACCACCGGCTTGATCTCCGTATTGCTCCTCTTCAGCAGCACAGGATGACTGCCAATATACTTCCCCTGCATCTCCCTCGCAGCGCGGAAATACTCATCACCGTCCGCAAACGCAACGAACCCGTACCCTTTCGACTTGGTCGTGCGCTTATCCCTCACAACCCTCGCCTTCTTGACACTCGGATACTTCGAGAACGCCTTGAGCAGACTATCGTCCGTGACCTCTCCAGCCAAGTTTCCCACGAACAACCGGAAGTGCGACGGATCCCACTCAAGCAGCGTCGAGTCCTGCCAAGTCTGACCACCACCCTGCCTTACCACCGTCGGCACCTTCGCCGCCGCACTATTCCTTCCTGCCCCCGCTGCTCCCGCCGCCGCCACGCCGGCCCCACTCGCTCCGGGCACATCAACCGGCGGCTTCGGCGCCGCTCTCGCCTTCAGATTCTCCGCGTTGCTGGGGTCGTAGATACTCTGCTGCTGTGCGATCTGCGCCTGCAGCTCCGGATCCAGGTCTGCATATCTCGAATCGGCATGTTTCCGTCCTCCGTTGCCGCCGCCGACGCCAGGCAAAGGGAAGGGATTGACGATGTGGGGTGCGGAGGAGCCCTGCGCCGACGAGTATGATGATATGGGCGGCGGAACGTAGCCTGTGAATTGCGGCGCGTACCCGCTGCTGTAGTCAGCCGGTGCCGCACCGTAGCTGTGTGTAGGCGGCGCGCTGTGGTGGGGGGCGGACGCGACCTGGCGCGGTGCGAAGCGCGTGAAGGCATTCACTGAGGGCGGGGGGCGAGGAGGGAGAGAGGAACCGGAGGTGCCGGGGGGTGGGGGGTAGGACATGGTGATGATGTGGTTGTTGGAGTGAAGTCGGAGGTGAAGTTGAGGTGAAGTTGGAGGTGATGTTGGAAGTGGAAGTGTGATGGCTGATGATCTCGAGTTGCTGAGCGCAGGTGGCAGGTAGAATTCCTTGGAAGCATTAACGATGCGCCAAGCCATAGAACGCCACTCACCGCCACTCACAATATAATTGTGGCGTAAAAACTGTGAGCAAGAACAAAAGTTGAAAGTTCTCATAGCTACGGTACAGCTGTATTCGGCGGGGGTATAGTGGATTTATGATTCCAAGAATGCGGCGAGTCTGAAACTGAGTGACAGTCGGTGAAGAATTTCGACCTCATTATCTCAACTGCTAAAACGCAGATATGAACGGAGTAAGCGATTACACCAAAGGATCACGGCTTTTGTCGCACGACCGTCCATACACACTGATTCCACCAGATATTCCACATCCACAACTGATCTTTACTTTTGACCCAGCGCTGGCCATCTTGATCCATGAGCAGGAGCGAGAAAACAGCCTGATTTGTCCCGAGTCTACACCATTGACTTCATGGCTTTCTTAAACAACGCAGTTTTCGGGGTTGTGTCGAGAGGTTTTCAGATCCAGCGAGTCCTTCGACTGACTCGAATAACTCCAGTCCATTGGTTTCTGAACGTATGTTTTCATACGCCCTTCAGAAATCCACATCATCCGCCTGCCCCCTTCGTATATGCTCCTCCCGGCCAAACGTTGATACCCACATTCTTGCCAGAGTCACCACGATCATCCACACCAGCAGCAATCAACGCGTGTATCGGTGCAGGTTAGCCTATTTGCCGTGTCTCGTGAATAGAGATAGAAACCTACATGTCACATATCGAGTCGACATCAGACTGTGGGGCTGTCGGCCGATTACTCACATGTTGGGTTGGTGTTCAACTACCGAAGGCCTTGGAGCTCGGAGCTTGAGGCACGCTTTCCTGATTCCTATGTGCAATCCAAGTGGAGCTCGTTGTGGACATGTTATCTTGTAGCAAGGAGACATAGCGGATAGACCTCGTGAGTCGTGGGCTGGATGTGCCGTGGATGCGGTAAAATACTCGGGCAGCCAGTGCTGTGGGAAATTCCATCCAAGCTGTCCGAGGGAAGCTGTCCGCACCACCGAACAAGTTCAAGTCCAAGTTCCGTTATCTACATACCTCCCTCTACCCTAGCGCATATTCCCATGCTCCCACGGTTCGAAATCAGACATGTTGGAAATGGTCTGGGGCTGTATGTAGGTGGGGGAGGCACGGCACCGTAGGCAGCTGTCAGGCAAGGATGGTGAATAACTAACGCGCTCACCAGCAGGGCGTAAACAACTATCTCTAACTCCTGCATCTGCCTCGTGGACGCGTGGACCAGATGGGTATATTCGAATCACCGAGGCATCGTCTCCTCTTCCCCGTAGACCGTCAGAACCAACGGAAGAGTGCAGTGGCGGGGGGAATGGATGGATGGTCGTCGTCGTTGTTGCTGACAGGGGTCCGAAAAGTCACAAAAACCGCGAAGAAAAAGCAAGCTAAAACCCGCGAAAGAAGCTCAGGGCCACGCGGAAGCGGAAGCGAGCAGGTAGGTTGCAGGACCAGCCTGGAGGCGTGCGGGTGACGGCGGGAAGTATGCAACAAAGGAACCACGGTCCACGCCGCACAAAGTGCTCGTCCTCGTCGTCGTTGTCGTCGATGTTAATGCCCACCCTGCTTGTATGTAGCCAGGAACATCCATCCTATGGCCATCTAACGCAGGTCAAAGCATATAAAAGACCTCTGTCCGTCCCTCCTCCTGCCTTCCTCCCTCCCTCCTCCTCCCCACCGCCTCGATCGTCAACCATCACTACCACAACTTCAAACACCATATCCACTTTCCAACCAATCCCCCACCACCACTAACCCAAAATCAATATGTCTGGAGGATGCGGATGTTCCGGCGATGCCACCTGCACCTGTGGCACTGGCTGCTCTTGCGGCGTATGTCCTCCCCTCCGCCCTCCTCCCTCTCGAGATCCTAAGTTCGTTGGCTAATACAAAGCGTGCAGAAATAAACACCTCGACTCGACTCGACTCTTCGATGACGGCCCCGGCCGAGGATGGAGGATAGAGGAGGATGGAGGAGGACACGGGAGTGACGAGAGTTTGTATTGAAGGGGACGTTTTCTTGAATCTTGAGTGCTGTATCCGCTAGGTGTAGGTGTAGTAAGCCACCTACCTATTAAGGTGTTGAAGCAACTCGTCCTTGAACTCGTGAGCTTAAAACGTGATAAATACTACTATATGTGAGCTCCCTTGGCCTTCAGAGTTCCGGCCACAGTGACACCCCACCCCCAGAGCCCATTCATTCACCGCGAGTTCGCTCGAGATCCATCTCGTTCCGTTCCGTTGTTCCTATTGCCATTGGTATCGTAAACTGTAACTCTGCAACCCCGCATCGACGTGGTGTCTTGTCTTGATGTCTGTGCCCGGGTCTGTACTCGACACTCTGCAGCCCTAGATACTTACCTAGACCATACCATATCAGCGGAACCTCCCTTTCATACATACCTTCCTCCCGCCCTCCCACATTCCACCTCCCACCCAGCCACTCACTCACCAACTCGAAGAACAGGACAACTGCAGACCTTATATACTCAGGCGTTGCGGGATTTTCACTGTTTCATGCAGGGACCAAACCGGCGATACATTATGTATCTGTCTGTCGCTGCAGGCACCTGGATGGACACTACTATGATAGGGTCTGGTGATGCTAGATGATGCTATGGTACGTGCGGGATTACAAGCTCATTGATGTACCCCACGAGCGAGCCAGGAGATCACGAGTATTCTTCATACTTCAAAACATTTGATTTCCACCCCTTCCCCCACATCCTCCACCTTACAAATCCATCATAATCCGTCATGCATAAGCCAATACACGTGCGCCTTATCATTAAATCACCACCCCCCCTCTAACCAGCCATATACACGTCCGGGCCGGCAACAACATGCGGCAGCAAGAGCGAAACATTGTGGGGGGTAACATACAGGTCCGTATCCGTGAGCACGACGAACACGGTCCCATTAACCAGCGGATTCAAATTGCTATAAAGATGTCCATCGGGCTGTACCGCCGACGCGGAGTGAGTACCGTTATTATCCGTCGTGTTAACGTTATACAGCGGCGTATACGTAACATTCAGCTGCGAGATCCACGCGGCGAACGCGGGCTTCCCAGCGAACGTGCGCGTAACATAGCTGTTATTCGGACCGACATGGTCTCCCGCGTCCGAGAAGGTGAAATTCACCTCGCGGCCCGGGTGAGATAGCTGCGTACGGTTGTGCGTGAGTGCGGCTTGGAAGGCGGGATCGTATGCTTGAGGGTTGTTGGTCACGTTCAATGCGGGGAAGTTCTGCCAGGGGAGCTTGGGTGTGTCCGCTGGACACGACTTGATGTATGGCGCCAGCAGCGTCCAGGCGAAAGACTGCGGAACGCCGATTTGGAACCACTCGGGCGTCGGGAAGAGGCCTTCGAGCTATATGCACGCAAGAAGGGTTAGCGAGTGATATTTGGTGGGAGAGGGGGGGGATGCACTTGACGGAAGATCATTTGCTGCCGGGCTTCGGTCGTAATGGATTGCAGCAGCATTTGCGCGGCGGGCCGAGAGTCCATGTGTGGCAGGAAACCGTACACGCCCGCCTCGCCCCACCGTGTCAATTTTTGGCAGAAGTCGATGAACTCTGGGACGGTCTTGAAGGGGTACTGGTATTGGCAGCGTTTGGGGGCGTGAGGACCAAGCATGTTGCTGATGAGGGTGGCGTGGCCTGGGGAGGGGGGGGGTGTCAGAATTTCCACCAGTTATGGGAGTGTAATGGGGACATACCGATCTCCTGCTGCGACATATATGCGATCAACGCCCTATTCTCCGCTCCTATACCGGTCTTATTGAAATCCTCGTCCGAGAACATGTCCAGTCCCGCCTGGAACAAGTCGAGCTCTATCCACTCCTGATAGAGCGCCAACGAGAGCGACTGCCAATCAAAGTCCGAGAACGCCTGGTACACCGGGATCGAAGACTTGTTGGTGTTGACGCCTCCGGCGGGCATGTACGGCATCGGCTCCGGCTGCGTCAGGTTCCCGGTGTTCGGGTATGCATTCGACGGCTGCGGCGGGTTCCCGGACGGGATCCGCCCGGGCGTGCCGGTGGCGGACATGGCATTGGACTCGGTCGTGGTAACGGCCTGCGGAGCGGGTACGGCTCGCACGGCGAGCGCGAAGAGGCCAGAGGCCTGGAGGATTGAGAATCGCATTGTTGTGAGATTGATACGTGGGCGAACGCTGTGGATGCACGAGATCTGTGATAACTATCCAAACAACACATCAGAGACACTGGTTTATATACACTCCTCCACTGGCAACTACACTGATGCCGCGATGGTGACGACATGATCGAGTGTACATGAGTTTAGTACAAATGCCGTGGCCCCGTAGCCAGTATGCTGGCTGGCTCGTCCAGTGACCAGCAAGTATCCCCCCTTCGCTAAGCAATCGATCATGACACTGCGGTGGGTACTGTTAGCCCGCGGCCGGAGGCTGGGTCGTTTCCCCGTGAGTATCGATCGATGTTCGGCGAATCCGCCAACCTTGGCTGGCTGGCAGCACGCGTGGCCGGCAGCCAGCCCGCACGCCTAAGCTAAATCCCAATTGAGTTTGTCGGCCGTCCGCCGCCGCGGAGCGAAGAATGGTGATGTAGCCTCGACACTGGACAGAGAGGCCGCGCAAGATCCTGGTGCTCGGTGACGATCATGAGCGTCAGACCCCCCTCCCCACGAGTCCCTCCCTCCCAGTCGACGTCGAAGGAAGAAACGGAGGTTATGTCATAGTTATATCGGCAGTATCGGCTCACCCTCTAACTCTCAATTCTTAATTCACCACGCCTAGAACACACAATACACCCGCTGATCAGCGCCCAGACGGGGAGGTTGTGTACCGGAGCTTTTATCCAGCCGAGGCCGAACGGGTTCCTGGGAGGCATTTGAGAGTACTGCAGAGTACTGCAGAGGCGGATATAACTACCGTACCGCCTCTCTCTCTCTGCAGGAATGCGGTCTCAGGTGAGGTGGATCAAACAGACGCACAAGGTAGGTATCATGCCAATTGAGATGGACATGTTCAATCGCCAGCTTCATTCCCCCGACGCCGATGGGGATTCTCGTTGGCCACTGGAATACCGTACCTACTCTACTCGGTAATGGCGAAGGAACGGAGCTGTTGCGTCAGCGATCTCTTGACTTGCTGTCGACGACTTGACGGGCACAATACACAATAATTGCCCTTGCGCAAATATATTGTCGACAGGGTTTCTCGCCCGTGTACGATCGTAGAACTGAAAGCATCGATAGACAGAGTACCTAGAGGCGTGAGATCGGGCCATTGGGGAGGAATCAAGCACTGCCACCTGCCAGACCGCCAGACCGCCAGAACATCGAATAGCTTCTTCCAGCTGACCAGAGTGTAAACTGTAAACATGGAGATGTCAATATCAGATTCGCGCATGATCTCTCGCTCTTTCAACTGCACTGCGCAGTAACTATTACTTATTCCGTTCTGGCGGCTGTGGCCCACGCTAAGTAACGGCGTCCACATCAGCTCTAGCGCCCGGCAACCTCCGCCTGCATCCTAAAAATTTCCAAAATTTCCTTCCCGCCTTCACTCACTCACAGGCTCTCACCAACCTTCCACCTCACCAACCTTCCACCTTCCACCGTCCCCCTCACCACGCACAATGGCACGCACCAAGCCCCCCTCGACCCCCAACACCGCCTCGGTGACATCGGGAATCTACACATGGACGCCGCAAAGCGGGCTGACGATCTCCACGTTCTCGCGGGCGTCGATCCCTCGGCTGAAGAGCATACTGAACCCTTCGGAGAACCCGGCGTTCGAGTCAAAGACTGAGAACGCGAAGGCGCGCGCGCTGAAGGATACTGCAAAGTACTGCAGCAATGCGAAGTGGGTCGCGGCCCAGCTGCTGCATTATGGCATTCCTGCCGAGGAGGGGAAGGGTGTCATTGCGGAACTCAGGGAGGGCGTCGAGAGCGGTGAGGTACGTACTACTTTCTACTGAGGGAGGGTGGGGGAGATGAGAAGGTTTTGGTGGTGGGGCTGATACGTGGGATGGGATACAGATCGATGAGGTCCCAAAAGAGATCCTCACGCTCGAGGAGAAGCTCAAGCAGGAGTATTACATTCGCTATCCCAAGGATGAGGAGAAGGAGAAGGAGAAGCAGAAGAAGCGGAAACGGGAGGATGTGAAGGATGCGCCCGAGTCCGACGACGAAGAGGAGTCCGACGATGAGGAGTTCGCCGAGAGGGATCAGAAGCGCTCGCGTGGTGGAAGCGACTCGAGAGGTGGCAGGGGAAGGGGCAGCGATCGTGGCGGGTCGAGGGGAAGGGGCGGTGACAGAGGTGGCTTCCGTGGAAGGGATGGGGATTCGAGAGGTGGCTCGAGGGGACGGGGTGGGGATAGAGGTGGCTTCCGCGGTGGAAGGGATGGGGACTCGCGGGGTAGCTCGAGGGGAAGGAGTGGTGACAGGGGTGGCTTCCGCGGTCGGGACGGTGACTCCAGAGGCGGCCGTGGTGACTCTCGTGGTGGATTCCGTGGTGGGCGTGACGGCGACTCTCGTGGTGGACGTGGCGGTAGCCGTGGTGGTTCCAGGGGTGGACGCGGCGGTCGTGGAGGCGACTCGAGAGGCGGACGTGGTGGGCGCGGTGGACGGGGTGGCAGAGGTGGTAGAGGTGGTCGCGGCCGGGATTGATCACGCCTTGAAAGTTGATACCCGGAGGTTCGGCATACTTGTTAGTGGTGTATAAAAAGCATATGAGATTTCCAGACACCAGCGGCGCACTTCCGAGCTATGAGTGATATCCTGTGCCCCACTAACTACAAGTCTGCAAGTCCCATGTCCTCAACCGATCTGTCCAATATATTACAACGACATGGGTAGGCACCATTCGCGGGATATGACATCCGCACGCACTGCAGAGGCCCAGGGCATGCAACGGTACACAACGCCGGCCGAACGGGCGACGGGCAGATCCAGATTAAAGATCTCCGGAAACATCCCAATGCGAACTTGTAGAGTACTTTACACGACTGAGGACTTACAATTGCAATCGTGTGAGTACAGTATCACGTGCAGTCGGAGCCGGTCTGTTGGGTTGGGAAACAGAGTAGGTATTCGACACAGCATACGGCAGGTACATAGCATGTTTGTCGTTGATTTCAACTTGCAACTCGGAGGCTAGATGGCTAATAGTAGCAAGTCTCGCGATCGCCGTGGCCCGTGGGCAGAGGAAGGGAGGGAGGAAGCAACCATACCGTATATAATGCGTGCATTCCAAAACGGACGGACCAGTACTTATGGTATGGCATGGTGGGTATGGTATATGGTAGGTATACCTACCTATGGTATATATGGTATGAGGCGACGTGCGGATTCTTCCACCGGAGATGGTTAGATGGTCAGATGGAGGTGGCTTCATTCAGAACTCCTCACCCCCGAATCCCGATAGGTAACTACAGCTCAATGCGGCAACCCCCGAGGGCCAGCCGTGTGTTTCGACCGAATCGATCCAGTTGGATCCAGTACCCACCTACGTTCGGTATACCTACCTAGGCAACAGCCTCTCATCCACCAACCGTTTTCCCGTTTCCACCGGACCGAATAGGAGGCAGATACTCTATGTAGGTGGCCTCCTACACAAATCGATTCTCTTTGGGCCTCTCGAGAGATCATCAAAAACCCAACGAAATGATCCGTTGCAGAGAGAAGGCCTATGGCTTTAGTCACTGGTGGATACCTACCCAGCCCCAGCCTTATTCGCCAGTTCTCTTCAAAACACTTCCCCGCCTGGCCACTGGTCACTGATCACGGTCACGGACACTGGCCATTTGGGGGGGGGGGGGGGGGGGGGTGAGACTGCGAAACGCCAGGCTGATCTGCCAGCCTTTCTCTTTGCCGCGCTGATCTGATAGTTATGCGGAGCTGGAATGGGCTAGGATGGGATGGGATTGGATGAAATGGGATGTGATTCGAAACCTGCCGACGACGAGAGAGAGAGGATGAAGAGGATGAACTGTGCGCACGCGGCGGTGGTCTGCGCAGTGTATCACTAGGCATCACCATATTTTTGGGGTTTTGGGGGTTCTGAGGGGGGCAGATGATGAGAAACTGGCGGCTAACTGGAGTTTGAGCCTGCCTGCCTGCCTGGAGAGCCACTCCGTTTCGGCGGCTGGAATGTATCTACTGCCAGTAAAGGTAGTACATAGTAAAGATGCCATGAATCGTTCCCGTGGGTAAACCTTACAGGCCAGGCCCCCAGCTGATGGCGGGGAATCATGGGGACACGGTCCCGAGAGATTCCCGGTCACGATGGGTAGGTAGGTAGTAGGTATAAGCTCCACGAGCCCCCGAAAATTCTCGACGAACGCGTGACTTGGAAGTTTGCCAAGTTTGGCAGTTACCCAGGCTTTGCAAGTGACCACCGACCACTGACCACTGACTACAAACTGCTGACGGTTCGATGTGGATGTGGATGTGGATGTGGATTCTCGCAGTCGGTTTTATATGGCTACAACTTACTCTCGTACGCCGTACGAGCGTAAGCGGGGAATTTCACTTGGCCATAGCACCAATGAGCATGCATGCTTATTTCTGGGATCCACCCCACTTGCCCAGTGCCCACTGCCCAGTGCCCACTGCCCAGTGCCCACTGCCCAGTGCCCACTGCAGGCTTACAAAGCCCCACTCACTGCTCACTGCTCACTGCTCACTGCTCACTGCTCACTGCTCACTGCTCACTGCTCACTGCTCACTGCTCACCGCTCAGTTCCGAGCTTCGTTCTGCCTATCAAACGTGCAGAATCGCAAGTTGCAAGTTGCAAGTGATGGCTTGCGTTTTTTCTCTCCTCTTCCGGGGCAGCGCCAACTGCTAGTTACCTAAACACAGGCAAGCTGAGAGTCGACTGAGACACATCATCGCGGGACCAAGATACTCTACCTGTGTATCCACCGATGCGGGGTGTACGTACATCTACTCTGCCCAGCTGTCTGCACTGTCCAGATCAGTTCTCCGGAGGTGATCACTGGCGATGGATTGCTGGGTGGGGCAAGCACGTATGGCATGTACCAACGTACGATTGTCGAGACTCGACACCGATAGGTACCTGTCCATATGGGGTGTCTGCCTCAGGTACCGGTACATACGCCCGGTACCTATTACACATCACATCAGTGTTCCGCACCGCACACATTCCGCACAGTGTTCCGCTCCACATACATGCGTCTGCGCACTGCGGTGCGGAGCGGTGGTCGTTGGCGGGATGAACAGCCCCACACACACGCACACACGGAGAGTCTGGGGTTGTTGGGAACTCGGAGGGAAGGACGCAGCGAAACATCACACGCAGCAAGCAAGCAAGCTGGGCTGGCGTTTGCCGTAAGTAGATTGTGCGTCTCGTCACCACCCTTGCTTGTGCGACCGATTGGCCTGCAGCCCAATGGTCAACTAACTGGGTAGGGCGGGTTGCATCTGGAGTCACACAGAGGTATGTTCCAGTCCGAGATGTTGTTGTTGATGATGATGATCCACAGCAGGCAAGTCAGCCCAGAGAGACAGCCAGCCCAGAGAGACAGCCAGCCCAGAGAGACAGCCAGCCCAGAGAGACAGCCAGCCCAGAGAGACAGCCAGCCAGACAGGTCTCGCTGTTCCAGAACGGGCGGATCGCGGCCAAGCCAACTCGACTCGACTCGGTTCGGCCGCCAATCGTCCGCTCTGGGACGGGGACTTGGGGAGTGGGCCTGGGGCTGAACGAGAAGCAACCGCCGACTGTATGATAGGTATGATACTGCGCGAAAAAAAGTGACAACGGGGCTGAATGGTTTCCCTTCTGCGCATGCAGACTGTCTGAATTCGACGGCGGTTTCTTCCCTCGCTCCCTTCTTCAACGAACCCACACCCATTGATCCCCCACTGTCATCCTGCTACCTACTCTATACCGTTCCCTCGTCCTCGGTTTCTGTCTGCACCGCGCCATCCGCCTCCCCACCGCTCTGTATCTCGAATAAGCCTTCCCCCACACCATCACCACCACCACCACCACAACTACCGCGCCCCTCCCAAAGCTCGCACGAGCTGGGCTCGCTGCTTCTTGGTCCCACCACCGCCACCTCGTGTGCCTGTGGGATGTGAGTCGAGATTGCCCCCCGCCCGGCAACTCCACACCCTCTGGTCCATATAGCCAAAGTCCTACAGTCCCCGTCCGCAAGTAGCTAGACATACGGTACGTAGGTAAACTTGACATCGTTTGACGTGTCCGACTACCAGCAGGCCGAGATCGAGCTAGAGCACCCAGTTCCCTGGCTAACGAGATTCTACGAAAGATCAGCAGCGCCAGAACCCCGTCGCCTGCGGGCTGGAACGTCTAGTGTTGGCGTAGCACGCCAAAAACCCAGCCACTGTGGTACTTCCACGAGCGAGACAGCTTCTCTCCCGCCTGTGCTTGCCTGTGCTTGTGCCTGTGCTTGTGCTTGTGCTTGCCATTGCCAGCCAGGCTTGGAGACGGCTGACGAACATCATTATCTTTCCGCCTTTCTTGACCTGACTGAGGCGAGCCCTCTGTCAGATAACAACAACAACAACAACAACAACAACAACAACAATAACAACAACACCTCCTCCTCCACCACCAACACTAACACAACACCAAAACCAGCCCGTCTCTTTCCGTCCGGGTATCCGCCAGCCAGCCAGCCTTCACACCGATACTCCCGCCCCTCCGCTCGCACGAAACCTCAGAACTTTAATTCGGCCTTCCGTCAATCGTCGTTTCGGTCGTCGGCACATCGGGGCCCCCATCTCAGTTATATCCTGAATCGCACAACACAGCCAGAAACGGAAGGAACGCTGAGCCCCCAGTCATGAGGTTCCGAGCTAGTACCTTCTTGGCGTTGCTCACATTTACATTCCACGAGCTGCCCTTCGCCCTGTGTTCGGGTTCACCGGGCGACGCAACACCACAGCAAGTTGATGGAGCGCATCGTCCCCGCGGGCTGGTAGTGGAACGTCAGGATGTTACCGTGACGGAGATCGGTACCACCAACGTGGTTACCGCGACCACTCAGGTGGAGGCTACCGTGACAGAGTCTGCGAATCCCATCCTCGAGACCAGGACGAGCACGTTAACCGCGGCGCCTACCACGCCGACGCAAGTAGGTTACATGCGCTGCCGCCTTGTTGAGGAAATGGACTGATGTTTGGCCATTTTTGGTTCGTTGTGAATAGACCACTACGCCGGTAGGTTCCCATCACTCCGATAGTTTCACATTGAATACGTACCTAACTTGATATCGTAGACTGTCGCTGCTCCCGAAACGACCATTACTGTGAGTAGTAGTTTATTCAATTCGACTTGGACAGTTTCCTGGTCGTTGTCTCCTTCTCCATCTCCGTCTCCTTCCATTAGGCCAGAAGTTCCCCAGGGGAGTTCGTCAACTGACAAACAAAAGTCGAGCACATTGGGAGGCCCAATACCGACATGCCCCGTAGGACACTACCAATGCCCAGCCCAATACTCAGGTAAGCGCCCCCTTCATGTTGGCGGAGATCTCGCGCTCACTCGGAAAAACTCGTAGGAGGGTGCTGTCCTAGCGGATTCGGCTGTGCCGTGAGCGAGTGTATCCCGCCGGCAACAGTGACATCGACACGAACCTGTATGCCCAGTTCATCCTCATGCCCCGACTCCGTCGGCGGCGGCTGCTGTCCGGATAACTACAGCTGCGGCGTCACCATATGTTCCCCGCTAGCCACCGCAACGGCTATTGTGATCACGGAAGCCACTCTGACCTTCACGAGAGCGCCGTTCGCAATGACCGCAACGCAGATAGTAATGAAAGCCACCGATATCCCCATCAATGCCAAGATCCCCGCCAGCACCGCGACCTCCCCCCACCCGTCGCAAAGCAGCGACCCTTCCAAAGGCACTACCCTCCCGAAGATAACCCTCGTCGGCATCGTCGTCGGCTCGGTGATCGGCACCCTCCTCCTCGTAGGCGTAGCCTGGTTCACGCGGTACCGTCTCAGGCGGCGTGGGAACACGGATGCCTTCCATGCCGCGCACAGCCGCGACGGGTTCATGCCCGCTCCCACAGGTCGCACGTACGACCCGAATCAGCCTGTGCCCAGAATGCAGCGTACCGTCCCGCACCGTGCACTCCCGGGCTTTCTCGCCACGCAACAGCAGCAACAGCAACAACTACAGCGACAACTACAGCAGCAACAGCAGGCAGGCAATATGTACGCCGACCCCGCGAGCGCCACGCACCAGCCGGGCGCCGCCGAAATGGAGGTGAAATACTACCAGCACAACCAGGAGGGGGGGATCAACTACGCGCCGGTACCGCTGGACTCCCCGCCGCTGATGGACTACAAAGAGAACCAGGAGCGCGCCGAGCTGGGGGATACGTCCTTGCAACCGCAACAGCAGCAGCAGTCAGTGCTCCATGAGGTTGAGGGGGACCTGCCTGCTAGCCCGAGACAGACGAGAAGGTGGAGCAATGGGCTGGAGCGACTCGGGATCAGACGCGGGAATAGTACGAGTGGTGGCGGGGGGACACATTTCTAACCTTCTAGCCACATGTTGATCCTGCCTGTATAAGGTCCCCGAGTGTGAGGCGAGGGGGGGTTGCCTCTCCACCTCCATCTCCATCTCCATCTCCATCTCCATCTCTCTTTTGTCATCCATCTTCCATCTTCCATCTTCCATCTTCCATCTTCCCTTGATGTACTACTAACGGTCGCTTCTCTCTATCTATCTACCTATCTATCCACCTATCTATGTTTACGGTACGGTACGGGGATGGACATGCGCATTTCTGGTTTCTGGTGTTTCGTTTCGTTTCGTGCATTCGCTTGGTCTCGTTTCGTTCGTTTGTTTCGTTGCTCGGTGTTTTTTTTTTTTTTTTTTTTTTTGGGGGGGGGGGGGGGGGGGGGGGCGGGCGCAGGAAAAGTACTGCATTTACATTCGCTATTTTTTTTCTTTGTTTTGGGCGTGCGTGGTGGCGAGGTGGTGAGGTGTTGCTTCTTGTTTATACTTGCTTTCTTTTTCTTTCTCTTTTCTTCCTTTTCCTTTTCCTTTTCTTCTTTGCTTTGTCTGATACCGGTATCTGGAGGGAGGGTATTGGAATATGGAGGTTGTGCAATAGGTGGATCGGGGGATCGGGGGTTGTGCAATAGGGGGATCGGGGGTTTGTGGATACCCACCGAGTGATTATTCTCACTTTCGAGGGGAGTGGATGGTGGAGTGGAGGGTGTGGTTAGGGGAGGAGGGGGGGCAAGTTGATTGTTGGGGGGATGTATACGAGTGGTCTACATGAGGAGGCGAGGGTGTTGGTGGGGGCGGGTGGTGGTGATGGGGTGGTGGTGACGGGATGGCGGACACTGGGGAATGACATACACGATGCAAAGTGCCATTGAGTTGCCGAAATGATGGTGCTGCGAGAGCTACAAATCATCCCGAATGGCGAGGCGAGGGTGGGGGAGTGGATAGGTTCTGCGAAGAAGCTGTACGAGACACACCACCGAGGAGTGAATGAGTCTAGTGAGTGAGTGACTTCCAGAAACAACCAGACGGATTCACGATGGCGATGGCGGAGTGCGAGTCATGAGTCATGAGTGAGTAGCCCAGCGCCGGCAGGAGAAACGTTACATACGTAGCATGGCAGGTATGAAGTAGGAAGTACACAGATGGCATGGGTATCGAAGCCTGGGCATTGTAGCTTAGCCATAGCTGTCAAGTCGTAGCGGGTATACCATACACCTCGACCTCGACCGTGCAGTCGCCAGCGGGCTCATCCCCCTGTCACTCGACAGCATTCACGGTCCACCCGTCTCCAGTCTCTAAAAGTCCAATCCAGTCGAGCGATGAGATGGATGAGCCAACCCGAGCACGTTCATCGCTATCACTCGCCTCTCGAGTCTCGTCGACACATCTCTAGCTATTGCCCAGCTATTGTCCAGCTATTGTCCAGCCATTATCTACTACTGACTAGTAGTACCAGGGTGAATTTGCTATGTACGGTGATTGAACGACAGTAGGAAGCTACTCGTCAGTCCAGGAACCGGGAAGAGTCCTCACACCGTACCGTCATGGTTCATCCACACAGGCCGCATGGTCCAAACGCCTGCCAGCGGTGAAGAAAACAAAACCAAAACCAAAACCAAAACCAAAAAGCTGGGTACTCGTCCGTCTTACTATACCTACCTACAGCGCCCACCCAGCATCCAGTATGTACCATGTTCAACCACAGATCCCCCACCACCGGCCGGACATCATCGTACGTAAGGGTAGTAATGGTTCGGCGTGCATGCACTTCCTTCCCGTCCTCGCACTTCCTTCCCGTCCTCGCACTTCCTTCCCGTCCTCGCACTTCCCTCCCGTCCTCGCACTTCCTTCCCGTCTCCGCTCCTTCTGTCCCTGCCCCATCTCTCGTTGACAGTCCCGTCCCGTCCTACCGCGTCCGGAGTCCGGACGGACCGGGCCCTCGCTACAGTCAGTCAGTCAGTCAGTCAGTCAGACGCATTGCATTGCAATGCAATATACACCTGCTCGTCCTGCTCCCCCAAGTGCACCCCGAACCCCCAGAATCACGGGCTGGAGCCTGGATGTGGATGTGGTCCTCCAGCCTTCTCGCGGGAGGGGCGTTTGCTGATCCTCTGGGCTGTCCATCCGCGGCTGTCTGAGGTCTCTAGTGGTTGCGTGAACTCCACTTTGAGCTTGACGGTTTTCGCCCCTCTCATCGTTGTGGCCGTGGTCTAGATCCCGCATTGTAGGCTGCTTCATGAGTCTCACCCCCACCCTACACCCCTCCATCTCCATCTCCATGGAGCACCAGCGTTCCTCCCTATTGGCTTGTCGACATTCACCACGATCATTTCCCATCACATCACCACGATCACTTCACCCCACACCACCCATTTCACACCAAGCTCACGATCTCGTATGCATACCGGAAAATCCACTCAGATTCAGATTCAAGAAAGCGCCTCCACCCTACCTCCACCCTACCCACTACCCACTACCCACTGCCCTACCCACTACCCACCCATCTTTCATCATCTTTTCCGCATCCACCCATCCATCCACCCGACCACCCACGACCACCGACCACCAACCACCGACCATCCCCATCCAAAACTCAGATTTCGATAGCCAACAGCCAACAGTCCACACGATTCCCAACTCACAAGACAAGACAAGACAAGACAAGACAAGAACACCGAATATTCAGAGTACCGTACCTAGCTAACCTGCAACAACCAACAACCAACAACCTGCAACAACCAACAAGCATCCAACAAGCAGCCAACAAACGACAAATCAAGCAAAGACAACCAAGCAACGACAACCAAACCAAATCAAGCAGCAGGACCAGACAGCCAGACAGCCAGACAGCCAGACAGCAGACAGCACAGACAGATTCGCAAAAACAGACGACTCGCAAGAAAAAGTGAGAAGAAAAAAAAGTAATATTTGATTCCCTATCCCCCCCCCCCCCTCCCCCCCCGCTACCCCGTCCGTCCCGTTCCCGTTCGCGTATCCAGTATCCGATATACAGTCCATCGTGAATCCCCCGCCTCCCCTCCCCTCCCCTCCCTCCGTCTATGTATCCCAATCCCATCCCTTCCCTTCCCGTCCGTCCCGATTACCGAAATTCCAGTTTGCGTGGTCGTTGAAAGCGTTGCTGTAGTGGTGGGGTGGTTTTGTATGGTATTGTGATTTGTTTGATTGTTGGGCTTGTCCGAAAAAAAAACACAAGACTCTCGGCCACCGAGGTTTCGAGGTTTCGTATTGGATGGCAAAGAGAGAAAAAGGAAGGAAAAAGGAAAACAAATTATCGACGACGTACAAGGAAAGAAAGAGAAAGAAAGAGAAAGAAAGAAGAAAGAAAAAAGACAGGAACAAAACGAAAGCCCACACCACTCCTTCGATTTCGATTTCGAGCAAGGATTAATACTGCGAGTAAAAGGGAAAGACACAAACACAAACACAAAGTAGAGGTAGCGTCCCGGGTCCGCCCCCGCTGCGTTGGGCGGCGTCCGGTAGAATTAAGCCGGTCGGGAAAGGAAAATGGCGAGAAAAAATGGGGACCCCATCGTGCACACTATTCCTGTGGTCTTCCGCACCGTAACAGGGAAAACCGACCCGGTAGTGTTTGGGGTATCTAACACGAGAAAGAAGAAGAGTAGGAACGAAAAGAGAAATGGAAGAAGTGGAATTTTGAGGAAAAGCAACCAGATGACGAAAGTAGCGTGGAAGAAATGGGCGTCGTTACATTCGTAGGGAAAAAGCGAATGTCAATGTAGTCGGTCGAGCCAGCTCCGTTCGTAGGTTAACAGATCACACAGCATCCGGCACTCTGCTGCGGGGCGTAAGGGTCCTCCCGCTTGTCGACCTGATGATTCCGAGTCAGCCACGATGTTACATGTGTAGAAGAAGGAGCGCTAAATGCAGATGTGGATGGATGCGCATTATGCGCTCTCCATCACACCAATGGCTGCAGACTGCAAAACGCATGGATGGGGCAAGGCTTACAGTTCCCCAGGTGGATGGTACCATGAAGTCCTTCGTTGTACGCGTGTAGTTGATCAGACTAGACGTTGCCTTTGTCAGCAATAGCTTTCGGGGTATCCATCGCACTCTCCATCGACCCGTGCGATAGAGAGACGCGTCGCTTGTAAAGCGGACCGATATCGCACGAAGCGATAAAGGCGACAGGCGGACAGATGGGGGAGGGGGAAACACTTACGACTGACAAGCGTCCGAGACCTTGATCCTCGGTCTGTCCAAGTCCTCGCGTAGCCGGGCGTTCAACTCTGTTAACCGCCTCAACTTCAACTCCGCCATAGATTGTTTCTTCTCCCTAACAGCGCCTGCCGAGTGGAGTGCCATTTTGGCTCGTGAACTACTTGGGCCGTCCGTTGTGAAGGATTTCTTGATGAATTATTCCCGGAGGAATAAATGCAGTACCCGCTGTTGTAAACGGCGGGTGGTGGTTGATTGTTTGTGGTGACTTACGGTAGCAGGACAATGAAGTCGCGCAACCGAAGCGAGCAGGGGTTGTTGAGCGAGGTTGATGTTGGGTTAGGAGGAGATGTTCGTGGAGGTGACGAACGAAGGTTGACGGAGGAATGAAGGGAGGAGCAGGTCGTCGAGGCAGGGAGGCTATGATGTGTTGGGTGGGTATTGCTTTCGGTCGATCGATTCGAGAGGTCAGGAGGAATCGAGGAGGCTGATTGACTAGTGTTTCCTCTCTATCTGTTCCTGCCTAGGAGAAATGTGAGAAGATGGATGGGGACCGATTCGCTCGAGGATGCTTGTCGGATGCGGTGAGCGAAAAGACGGGTAAGGGTATTCTGGGAGTTGTGGTGGTGTTTGTGGTTGTGGATTGTGGTGGTGGTGAAGTGGGTTGGAAGGTGGTGGTGGGTGTCGGGGGGTCGAAGGAGGTATGTAATGGGTGTGTAAGTGCGAAATGGAGGGTGTGGTGGGTCGAGCTGCGTTGCAGTGTGTGAGGCGGCGGACGGCGAGTGCTCGAGACGTGAAACGAGGAACGAGCAAGAGGAAAGGAGGGAACGAGAACGAAAAGAAACTCTTTCTTTTTTCTGTTCTTCTTCTGGGTCTTCTTTCTCTTCTTCTCCAGATCGCTTTCTTCTCTTTCCTTACTGCCGGATTCTGGGACCAGGCAAGAAATGCACTGACTTTGACTTGGTTACTAGACAACGGGAAACGACCGACGATCACGCGTCAGATCTCTTTTTCTTCGCTGAATAATGTGTGGGTGCGTGTGAGCGTGTGGGTGTGTGCGTCGTAAATGAATGGAAGAAATGGAACGGATCGATTCGAATTCCTCTCACGGATGAAAACAACTGAACTCGTTGTTGACGGTGAGTTGGCGGTGACCTGACGATTGATTGGCGGACACGGACGCGAGGGGGCGGCGGGCAGCGTTGGGTTGATTGCGCGCGAAACAACAGAAAGAGCGAGGGGAGAGGGAGTGAGTTCGAGGGAGGAAGAGAGAAAGAGAGAATCACCAACTTCACTGCGAACGATGTGTGTTTGCTGAGGACCCGGACAACTGGTAAGAGTTCGTGAGTGGTTCAGGGGGGGAAAGAGAAGCAGGCGATAGTTACAGGCACACACACCCTCCCTCAGCAGAAACAGCGGGACGAGAGACGAGATGACCATTTGACCACCCCGGGCGAGCCACCGTAGTTACTCACCTCGCACACCACCTCCTCCACCACCACCACCACCACCGCACCTAACGTACGGCCGCTAACTGTCCCCATGCTAACTCTTCACAGAAAGGGGGAACTGACGATTTTACCGATGCCTGTCCGGATTCACCAAGCGATCCCGATTGCGAGCCATCGCTGCATCAGCTAAACTGTTCCCGGGCCCAGGACTAGTGCAGGTGGGGTATGTCTCGAAATTAGGTCGGCCAGAGTATGAAGGTGGGTAACTGGCTACCACGGCAACGGTTCCATCGAGAAGAACCCTCCAGAGAAGGAGAAGAAGACGGAGGAGGAGGATCATCGTGACCACCAGCAGATGGTAGCGGTGGTCGGTGGTCGGTAACTAGACAGTTGGGGGCCGCCATCACAGTGCAACCACAAGTGGAGACAGATGACGATTCCGCTTCAATCCCCCCTCCCCCCAACCATTGCCACAGATACTACCGTACTCGGTTGCATGTGGCGAGAGCAGAGCGAGAGAGAAAAGAGCAGACGGAAGAACTGCTTCCTTCCTCCATGAGTTATCGTGAAGGAAAGCCATCTCCTTCCTGCACGGCCCCCTGTCCACCCTCAATTTTCCCTCCTCTTCCCCCATGAGCACTACTCTACCTCTTTGGACGCTAAACCACTACACCACTAGTCCTCCTCTCTCCGAGTATCCACCTCCTCCTTCAAGTTTCACCTCATCTCTCGACAATTCATCCACACCACGCCGCCAGGCGCTGCTGCGGAATCCACGCCGAACAGTGCGACCATCTCGACCATCACGACTTTTTTTCTTCAGCACCAGCTCCCAACTCCAAGTCCGATACATACTCTACATATCACGCCGAAGCGAGGGCGCGGGGTACTCTATGTATGTACCGGCGCACTCTCTCTCTCTCACTCACTCTCAGCTGCCCTCATCCTTCCACTCGGATTCGGCTTTGCCTTTGCCTCATGCATGCAGGCATGCGCAAGCCACTCTACATGCTCTATGTACACACATACATGCTCTACATACATCTTACATACCCTCCCTGAGTCTCCTCCCCTGCCGAATTCCCGGTCCGACTCGCTTTCCATCCCAAAAACGGAGAGGACAGATTTGGATGGCGAGAAGCCGCCGCCAGTGGCCACCGTGAGTCCGCGACTCGCGATCAGTGCCATCTCAGATCTCTCCTTCGCTCACACGCACGCAAGCGTGGGAGCGATCGGACGGAAACATAACTATCGGTGCATACCAAGCCTCTGAGGGAGGGACCGAATAGAAACATATCAACACATCGATACCGCGGTGCCTCGGAGGGGTGAGGGAGGAACCTTCACCGGCGCACCGGTTGCAGCGAACGGAGGCAGTGGAATACGGTCTCTGAAGTATGCAGCGACCTACTCACTCTCCCACTCTGTGTCGGATGAGTGCGTGTGTGTGTGTGCATGCCGGGACCGCCCAACCCAGCACAACCCATGTTGCAGGTAGATTGTAAGCGATGGAAACATGATCCTGGACGGTATAGTAGAATAGGGTAGAGTGATATCCAGTGATTCGGCGCTTCATGGGATATCATCCCTTTAACGGTGAAGAAACTGGGCGAGTGATGGGGCGTGGAGATGCGCATCGCGCGCAATGGAGTGAGTGGCAAGCCACAGCACTATATATCTTTCACGGGCACAGGAGTGTAAGGATCGGATAGACACATGCATTTCGCGGGTCCCAAAAGGGAACACTCGACAGAGGCAGAGGAAGACGGTCCCCGAAGTGCAAATGATGTAAGCACAGTACCCTGTGCCGGATGAGTGCATGCCCGTCCCAGTCCAACCCATGTTGCATGGAGATTATACGTAAGCGATATAAGATGACCCCGGACGGCAGCGTGATGCCGTGTGATTTCATCCCTTCGGCTGGTGCTGTGGTGTATCACTCGGTCACATACAGACACGCCGGGCATTAGGGATTTTCTGCTGTCAGCGGATCGGTCGAGCGCGGGATTGAGTGGTTCAGCTATGTCAATACGTGCTAATCCGGCAGGCTTATCTAGTGGCCTATCAAGTGGCCTACGGATTGACCTATACGTCTATCCCTTCCATGCCTTGCTGCGATGGATCCGATACCTGTGCGCAGCTAGGTAGAGGTGAAGTGTTGCAATACATCACTCGAGCCCTTAGTCGCGTGTATGTACTGGGAGAGCTTTCTACACCACCTACTCACGCTGGAGGGGTGGAGTGGCGAGGCTACATTCGGGGATCGGAACGGAATTGTGTCTGCAAGAGCAGGAGTTGTCTGCGAGGGGAGGAGGAGCTGCCAGCGAGAGCAACTTGCCACGATGGACTAGTGTCTTCGGCCCAGCGAACTACTACTGTTGCAACTTGCAGAGCGATGGGAGAGCTGTCGGCGGGAGGCAGCAGGAGGATGCAGCAGGAGGATGCAGCAGGAGGAGGACGTAGCTGCGGGAGGAAGCGAATGGGGCAGCACCAGCGTTGAGGGGTCCAGTGGTGCTGCATCCTCTCTTGGCCGTCTGCGTCTGCGTATGCTTCTGCTTCTGCTTCTTCCCTTTCTTCTTCTTCTTCTCCCTCTTCTTCTTCTTCTTCTTCTTCTTCTTCTTTTCATCACCATCATCATCCAGAAAGACGACCAACCTCACATCTTCTATTTTCCTCTGTGTGTGCTTTCTTCTAAATCCCGCCTCCGGCCTGGGGAAGTGTTGGCCAACGAACCACTCCCAAAACTACCTTCGACTTGAACAGCCTCAGCTCGCCTTGTCTTGTAACTTTTGCTTGCTATGGTGTTTTGTTTCGTCCCAAGTTGCAAACTTGCATGGAAAAATCTGCGAGATCGATATGGAGAATCTTCATTTTGTACAGAGAACGTAGTACGTACAACCCATGGTGGTGGAATCCATTCGTAACTGATTTCAGTTCATGTAATGTACTTAGCTGCAGTGGACAGCGCATAAATCATTCTTTGGGGCAGCAACAAAATACCAAATACCGTAGATATTGGAGGAAGAAACGGCAGCAATGGTCCATGGAAGTCTAGGTAAGATACCAATGGGCACAGTACATAGACCAAAGAACCGGCAGATGAAATATGAACCAACAAAGTCAACGAAAAGGAACATGAGAAAATGGTATATTGACGAACTAGAACTAAAATAAAAAAGCAAAAACAAAGGGGAGGTGTTTTCCCTCGATCACCACCTGTTTATGTAGCCACACTATCAGTATACGCACACCGGGGGGTTCGTTTTAACTCACTCGGCATGCGTCGTCTTCGGTCCTCTCGTAGACCCAGCCCAACAACGAAACAATCTCGTCCTCCTCCCAATCAGCTCCCGAGGAGGAGGGGGAATGGCGCCGAAGCGCTGGAGCGATGTTCTCCGCTCGTTGCGACTTCCTTGAGGTCGCCGGCCATGACTCATGAGCATCGTGCCCGCAAACATGGCCAGCTCCGCGTGCCGCGTGCAACAGGAGCTGATTGGTGGGCGTCTTGAGGAAATGTGTACCTGGGTTCCAGTATATAGGAACCCGATGCAGATGGTAGGCATCTGCCCCTGCACCCCCCCAGCCATTGATGACAGTAAAAATCACGGGGTTCTTGAAATTGCCGGTAAGAGAATTCTGGTCAGCGGAGACTGAGGATGAGGGCGGGTGTGGTTCTTACCTGGCTTTGAACTCTGCGCCTTTGGTGGTCGGCCGCGGCTGCCGCTCCTTGGAGATCCTGGACGACTGCTTGGGAATTGACTTCTTCGCTGCACGAGGCATTGTGATGGTGTGGTGGTTAAAGCGGAAGGTTTGTGGTGAGAGAGAGATAGTGGGGGTGTAGGCTTGCGGAGAGAGAGATTGTCTGTGTGTGTCGGTTGGTTGAGAGAGAGAGAGGGAGGGAGGAAGAGAGAGGGAGAAGATAACGTAGCGCGGCAAAGAATCGGCGAAAATGAAGAATGAGTGAGAATTTGAGGTTCTATTCAACTTCGAAGAGCCAGCTTAGCCCTCTGCTGCCACCGGCTAGACCCAGATTCAATTCGCGAAAGGACACCGAGTGATATTGGTGATCGCAACTCATCCCTACATACGAGGTAGCCATAACTAAGCGCCTGGCACCTGGCACCAGTGGATCTCGATGAGACCGCTGGCTCTGCATAGCTTTCGCAGGGCGAGGTGGATCTCTTGCCTAGACTCTGGTGTGTGTACGCTTGGCCGTTTGGCCCGCTCAGCTGCTTCCCCTTGGAAGTAGGTAGTTCATGTGATTTTCTTCTTTTTTAATCTGTCTCCCTCTACTGTAGCTAACCTGAATGAAGGAATATGAGTGAGCGTTGGTAATTTGCTTGTATGGGGGCAAAAAATCCTGTCCACCATCCCCGCATACATCTCGATCGAGTGAGAGCTCATTACTGCCGAGCGCCAGCATAGATCTCCTCTTGTAACAATGTAGGCATGCTTTCTATCAGCCTTTGTAACATCTTTGTGGTGGGGTTGGCGGGGAACTGGGCTGGCACAACGACGGTCGCACACCGGGAGCGGAGAGCGTGAGATAGGTACAATAACACGGGTAGGTGCGTTTGGGCAACTACTCCCCGCCCTAGTTCACACGACGTTTCTCGTGTGAAAATTCTGGCGATGTTTTCTCGCCATTCTAAGGAATCAACTGGTCAAGAGGCACTGCAAGCTTATATACAACGTGCAGTAACTCCAGGCTCACATCTCCTTCCTGACCAAGACTCTCGACTCAACGGAGTCAATCCTCTTACCAATCTTCCTCATCTCATTGGTCGCAGCCTTTGCTGCCTCCTTCTGCTGCTGCATAGTCTCCTCGAAGACATCCCTCATCCATCCGGGAATCGGTGCCTTCCCCGGCTTCTTTGTGGGGTCCGACGGCTTGTAGTTGTACACCACGATGTCCTCGAGACATCTCGCAGCTACGCGCTGATGCTTCTCGCTCAAGACTATGAAGGTTAACCCACTGGCCCCACGGCGCGCGTCAAGGGACATACTGATGACATCCAGCCCAAAGGAGTCGTCCTTGATTTTCCCAAGCTTATGATAAACCGTGACCTTGTCGGGGTACTCCATCGGCTGTCCTCGATCCCATCAGCGCCCCTATCACCCCACAGCCCATCCACAGAGAACATACAAACTTGTAGTCGACATTGATACTCCTCAGGATCAGCCCGAGGCCTCGCGGCGTCCACAGGTCGCTCCACCTAGTGTTGTTCGCGGGATCGACGTGTTTCGCAAGGTTCCACGCCCAGTTGATGCGCGCGCTCTCCGCCCACCGGTTGTACGTAACGTTGTTGACATGGCCTAGGTGTCTCGATCAGCGCGTTCGATTCGACGGCGTGGGCGCACGCGTGCGCGCGGACAGACGTGGCGTACCCTTCCCTCGTCAGCCTCGTCCGCACTCTCTGATCTCTATGAAACATACCATAGAATCCTACACCCCCACCACCGTCGCATCAGCCGGTGCCCCTAGCTAGGTAGAGTACTCCCTCCCTCCGTGTCTCGGAGGAGAACAAACCATATCGCCCCACGCAACCGGCAGTCTATACAGCCCTCTTCTCTCGGCAGAGATGAGATAGCCCTCAGCGCCCGCAATATACCTCCTCCACTCGCGAGTCATGTCCTGCAGGATCTGCCCGGCCTCGTCGACTTCGGCCGCCGTGCACCCGTGGAAAAATAGTCGTCCCAGACGCGTTTTTTGGTCCGAGAGCCAGCGCGCGTTGTAGGCACTGTTGTGGCGACGCTGCTGGGGCGCGAGGAGGGTGCGAATGCACGGAAGGCGCAGGCGCATCTTCATCGCCATGGTTACTGACTTGAGGAGGAAGGAAGGCGTCGGAGTAGGAGTCGTTGCCCCGCCGCGGTAGTCGTGGATACCTAGTGGGGTTGGTGGGGGTGGTACATAAACGACAAATTCGGATAACTATCGGAGCCCCCCGCATAGACATGGGCCGAGGTGTGGGGTCGAATGTTACAGGAACTGAAGAGTCCACATCCGAAGGATAATATTGGGAGAGCTCGTAGAGGCTTTATTACTGAGCTTTGTGGATTTCAGCTTTCGACTTCGTCATGTGAGAATGATGTGGATCATGGACGGTCATGCAACTAATCAGCATTTATCACTCTCTACTACCTAAGCGAAAGCCATCACATAGTGGGAATAAGTTTGACTTCTTATGTCCATGTCTTTGGAATCCAGGAAGATCGGCCAGTTCATCTGTATGATACCGCCCGAGCTCTTGGAGGAAAAAGACCATATTGTCTTGAGGTGGCCTCAGTATACGCAAGTGCTTCCACTGGGTACCGAACGTGAGCGTTTTCATCATGGAGATGACATTGACTTCCGTATTCATCTTGGAATGATACCTCGAACATCCAACTAGGCTGGAAGTACGAGTATATGTACCCTCTTGTAAATTGCTTAGATGAGAATGTAGGTACTGCAGATCAATGAAACATCACAAAGTAATACTCGACTGTCCGTTCACATGGAAATTCCAAGATAGGTACCTGACTCCCCCTTGATCCCTCCCCACCATTCAGACCTCGATGTCGCCTAGTCACTACAAGAAACCTCGACATTCTTCGAATACCGGTAGCAGTTTTACGAGGATACTTCCTCGTTATCGCATCCATCAATCGTTTTGTGGTTTTTTTTAAAAAAAAATCATCAATGCACTCGGCCTTATGTACCGTAGATCATGACAGGTACAGGCGGGTCCACCAATCATTTTTTGTGCCATTATCAGTGCCTTCAACCTTAATTGGATCGTGGTAGACACACTGCTTTCTCTTCATTATCCATGCATATAGGTACCTATATCAATGGGATAGCCAAACACGTAAGCCGAGTGGTATTTTGTGAAGAATACTAATTAGGCAGCACCTACCATAGCGCGATAGGGCAGCAGACAACTAGCGCTAGGGTATCTGCTGCACTTCTATATAAGCTGTATCCTCCTCCACCGGTAAATTCTCACATCTGGATAAGCAGCCAGCTCTTCCCCCAAACACTTTCTCAACTACCTGTGCAACATGGAGTCGAAGACAGCGTTCAAACCGAAACTGCGAGTACGAGTGCGGCCTTCAACGTCGGTTTCAGTGCTGTGGGGAATCGTCGCTGCGACTGCCGTGTGGCTGCTTCTCCGTCAGGTACGTCTATTAGGCGGTTGTGCGACCTCGAAGCACATACGTTGGTCGGCTAACACGGAGGCTATCATTCTAGTATCGCGCATTGCAGAGATCCCGCCCCAAGCGGGAAGTCATCACATCCATCCGCGAGAAATGGCAGCACATGTTGGGATTGCCAACGGTGATAACCGGCGCTTACACCAAAGTCCCACCCCTTCCCCTCCGTTCGTACTTTTTAAATAATAACATCCGTAGTTCAACCAAGCCACTTTCCATTACACAACTTTCCGCGGCCGGAAGCAAGTGGTAGTCTGCAGCTCCGAGTTGATTGCGGAACTCAAGAGCGCACCCATGGAGGCGATGAGCTTCACTGCCTGGACCCAGGAGCTCCTGCAGTGTGATATCATCTTTCCGTTGTGGAGCGGTGGGGTTAGGACGGCAACTCTGCCGCCGTTTGTGAGCAGGGTCACGTTTAGGTGGTATAAGGGTGCTATCACGAAGGATTTGCCGAAGAATTTCCCGTTCATTAGGGAATCCGTAGGTAGGCAGTTGACATATGAGCTGGTGAGGAGGGACGGGCCGGTGCATGACGTTGCGAGGAATGGGATTGTTGGGGTTATTGCCAGGTTTGTAGCTTTTCTTTCGGGGAGAGGGTAGGACTAATTGTCGGTAGATTCCTAGTGGGAGAGAAGCTCTCCCGCGACCCCGAGTTTCTCAAGATGCTGCTAGAAGTCTCCCAGCAGATCGCATATGCAGGCCCCATCTCCTCGATGTTCCCACAGTTCCTGAAGTCTACAGCAGTCAAGTACTTAACCCGCCTCGACAAGACGACCTCTTTCGTCAGCCAGAAGCTACATGCCCGAGCAGACGCGGAGGCAGGGCAACCTCACGAAGATGTATGAGATCCCCAACTGTTTGGGGAGATTATTGCTGACGGAGAATAGTTTGATTTTTTCTCGTTCGGTCTCACCGCGTTGGAGCGGAACCATGAGGAGTCTTGGACTGTCGACCGACTCATCACTGAGACGTTCGTCAACATTTTTGCGGCATTTCATACTACCTCCATGGTTTGTCAACACCATAAATTGATATCCCACTTTCAAAGCTGACTGATGGGTGATAGGCGTTTGCGGTATTCTTGATTGAAATTGCGACCCGCCCGGACTGCCAAAAGATTCTGCGGGAGGAGGCGCAGGCCATCATCGCCAAGAAGGGCTGGACAATGGAGGCTATTGACAGCATGTGGATTCTCGACAGCTTTATGCGGGAGACGAGACGGACACGACCGCACAGCGATGGTATTGATCACTGCTGCTACACGTGGGATCCAACTGATTTGGTGTGAAGTTCTCTTGAACAGATTAGTCATGAGGCCAACCACTCTTTCGGACGGCACCTACCTCGCGCCGGGAACACACATCGGCGCTGCATACGCGCCCCGGGAATCCGACCCGCGCTACTATGCCAGTCCCGCTACCTTCGATCCGCTCCGCTTCTACACGCCCCGCATCAATTCACCGGACCCTTCACACGCCCGCTTCACCTCCACCGACGTCGAATCGAACGAACACCTCGGTTTCGGCGGCGGAAAAAATCCCTGCCCGGGACGGTTCTTTGCGATGGCAACCATCAAGACGGCGCTGGTGCAGCTGCTGCTGGAGTACGAGCTGACGCCGGGAAGTGATAAGATGGAATACGTGTGTAGGTTTGAGGAGCATCAGTTGCCGAGTTATAAGGATCGCGTGAGATTTAGGAGGTTGTAGGTGGAAATGAATCTACCCGGGCCGCGCTTAGATCATGTCTCGGAATATCGGCAACATACATAGTAGTTTCGGCATGGAGATAGTTCGCTGGTTAGTACTCCGTAACTAGAATGTAGCCGTAGGTTCCTTCTACCCGTGATTTTTTCAGGTAGTTAGATACCAAAAATCCGCTGCATTTCTACGAACCCAGTCTTCAGTAACGAATCCGGCCCACGGACCGGAATTTCGCAGTACACTTCCGTGCGGACCGTGGTTAACTATATAGCGGCGTGCTTACGAATATGCCATGAAAGTGCAAAAACGTAACTGCCGCCTAACGAAACTGCCCATACGCTCGAAGCCGACGCAATGGGCATTGTCCTGGTGATTTTCGGGTGCGTTGACGGTAAAGATCGAGTGACCGTTGTGCACTAGACAGGGGATACGGATCAAATGTTCAGAAGGTGCAAAAGCGAGTTCGAAGATGGGTATCCTAAACCGGAGCCTACACTCAGCATCTTGTGAAGACGAGCCTACACTTGAAAAAGTTGTACCTACAACTATCCTTACCTTTCAGATGCCCATTGTCAGGTACTCGCTACTTCCTATCCGTGACCAAGAAGGAGTAGGTTTTACCCTTATGCCTAATGGTCAATCAATTGCCTGTAGATATAATACTAGTGTTATCGTAGGTAAGTAGGTCTAATTTCTACCTTCACCCATAACTTCTGTTGCGATTCTCGTCCAAAAGCCACAATGCACATCATCACGCCACACCATCACTCGCCGAAGGTTTTGCACATTGGTAATATTGGTAATATCTGCACACCTCTCGAATCCTGTTTATTTTCATACTTGCATCTGCTTCTGTCTGCAGTCATCCGCTATTTTTTGCGAATCGGTCGAGAGTAATATTTACTCGTACTTTTCCCAACAACTTCCCGAAGCAGGACCGAGTGAGCGGTGGATGCACAAATGTGCCTACCCACCTACCTACCTGGCTCCGAGACGTGAAGAAAGTTGACGGGATTAAGTGTTTGCCCTTGAAACTCACTCCTTAAGTGTGCCGTTCAATTCGCTGATCTGAGTCGAGCTCTGGAAATTGTTCAAAGGCTTCACTCGTGGATGGGACATAAAACCTGTGGTAGTTTGGCCTCGTACTGTTGCCTACTTCTTCACAAATCTTGGGATACCGCTTTACCGACCATATTAACCTTCCTTAATACTGCCTTGGCTCCCTACAGCATCGTCAGCTATCCTTTTCCACCAAGAGACACCCGATAAGCCTGGTGGGTTTCGCATTTCAGCCCGATAAACCCGCAAAACGATGAATACCATCTCCGCATGGCAGTGCCTTCTCATCGGAGGCTTAGCCTACACCATTATCTGGAGTATCTACACCCTCTTCCTCTCGCCACTACGTAAAGTTTCCGGCCCATGGTAACTTGCCATTCCCCCCCATCATTCGCCATCACTAATCCACCCCACAGGTACGCCAGCCTCACGCGGCACTGGCTAACGCCGTACTCGGCGGTAGGCCAGCAGCAGACGGCGCTCGACATGCTGCACCGTCGGTACGGCCCGATCGTGCGCATAGCGCCGACAACCGTCAGCTTCGCGCACGCCAGCGCAACCCCGGCGATCTATTCGCGCGCCAGCGGCCTCCCCAAGGACCCCGTCGTCTACGACCAGCTAAACGTCCTGCACCGGCGGCACTTGTTCGTGATCCACGATCCAGCCGCGGCCAAGGCGCGGCGGCGTCTGCTGGTTGGCGGGTTTGGTCCCGCGAGGCTGCGGGAGTTTGATGGTGTTGTGGCGGAGATGGTGGAGAGCGCGGTGGAGAGGATTAGCGAACAGGCAGGGAAAGAGGGGAGCGCGGATCTGCTGAAGTGGTTGTATTTCATGGCGGTCGATGTCGTCTCCGCGTTTGGGTTTGGCGGCGCGATTGGGATGCTGGAGGGGGGCGAGGTGGGTGCGATTTCCAGAGTGAGTGGCGGGCGAGGGCTAATGGATGGATGGATGCTTAGGAGACGCCCATTATTAAGGACTACAAGGCGATGACTCAGTACATCGGTCTCCGCCTTGCCTTCCCCTGGCTGCTCTGGCTAGGAAGCCGCCTCCCATTCGGCCCCGCGCAGCGGATCCAGGCCACATTCGACCGCGTGGAGGACTACGGCGCGGAGAAACTGCGGGAATTCAGCGGAGAAGAGGGCCGGCTGAAGAAGAACACGATGCTCGCGCGGATCGTCGAGGAGCAGAAAAAGTCAAAGTCCGATTCGAGGTATCATCTGGACAGGAAGGATGTGGAGGCGGAGGCGGCGGCGATGTTATTTGGCGGCACCGACTCGGTGTCCAATACGCTCGCATACACGATTTATGCCATACTCTCGCACCCAGAGGCCCACGCCAAGCTCCTGGAGGCCCTCGAGCCGCTGAAGGCCCAAGACACCAGCACGCTCCGCGACGATGATTTCAAGGAAATCCCGTACCTCCAGCATGTGCTCGACGAGTCGCTGCGCCTCTACGGAGCAGTCCAGGTTTTTCTCCACCGCACCGTTCCCGCGGGGGGCAGAAAGCTCGGCGGCGTGTTTCTACCGGAAGGAACCACGGTGGGCACGCAGGCGTGGAGCGTCCACAGAAACGACGAGTTCTTCCCCGAGGCGGAAAAGTTTATCCCCGAGCGCTGGGAGCAGCCGACGGAACTCATGAAGAAGATGTTTATGCCTTGGGGAGGCGGGTCGAGAAGTATGCTGCACTGTTCCGTCCCTCGGTGCTGAGGCTTGTGCTAACCGGTGGTAGTCTGTATTGGTCGGGGTTTGGCAATGATGGAGCTCCGGAGAACTACGGCGGTTTTCTTCCTCAAGCTGGGGAATAGAGTCAAACTTGCACCCGGAACGAATGCGGAGTCCATGGAGGCCGAGGCGTATTTTGTGATGCGGCCGAAGGGAGGGAAGGTCGAGGTGGTCATCACGGAGTAATGGGCTGGAGTCAGTCAGGGTGAATATTGTGCTTTTGGAGTTGTGCTTTGTGATTTCAGCTTTTTGGTAGTTACATTTTACTTGATATCACGTTGGAATTGGGAATTCGAATCATTGGTGGCAATACCAGACACTACGGTACCTACCTAGTATATCACTCGATGACTTAGTCGCGGTGGAAGGCACAGTCACCCGTTTCATTCCACTCTCAAGATTGCACCTCTTATCTCTATAAGTGGTTAAAACACTCCACACTTCACAGCTCGATCACTAATTCGAATGCTCACCAGAAAATAATTTGCGAGTGATATCTCGAGTCTCGACGTCATACATCATATGCCACACTGCCACACAAACGCCGCCACGCCAACACCGCCACACAGACATCTACGCCGCCACACCGCCATGGATATAAAGTTTCGTTGTGGTGGGAGGACCCTTACGGGGTTGCCTTACGGAACCAAACTTCAAGCTTCGGCAAACGAAGGGCTCGAGCTTACTCTGCCTGCATCTACGGAAGACATGCAACACCGTCCGATCTTCCGGGGGCGAACAATTCGTTACCAGTAGTGTCGCACAGCCCGGTAGGTTTTCGTGCTGACCTGCATGCATTGAATTGAGTGCACTCTAGGAAGGCGATCCGTTTTCCTCGCCGGTTCCTCGCCGGTTCCGTGGTGTTCTGTCGGACGTTGTTGATATGTACGCGTAGAGTAGGTACTCTCTGGTCCTAGTGGATATGCATTTCCACTCTAGGTAGATCCGGCTGTCCCCAACGGCCCACGATCATGTGCTGTGCTGGTGGTTCGGGAACTTTGTCTTCCGGGAGTGGGCAGAGCGTCGGCCAGAGTCTATCCTTCTCCCTCCCTGCATGCGGACTAGCTGGATCGCGGCTTCAGGGTGCGACTCGGGTCAAGTCCCGTTGCTCGTGGGGGATCCTGGGACAGGGGCTGGCGGGAAAAAGGAGAAGGAACACGGACAAGAAGAACGACGCGAAGCTCGCTGATAGGCTGGAAAGTCACAGCTAAACGCGAAATTTCAAAGCAAATGGAAGGAAAAATATTAACATCCACACACCCCAACCCATCCCTAACTCATCGCCTCACCCTCCGGCTCCGATCATCCGTGTATGGGCTGGTGATTCGTTCTTTGCCGGGCTGCCTGTCTTTCGTCTTGCCGTTCCTGCCTGTACCGTCGCTTTCGGGGGTTAATGTCTAACTGCTCTAAAATAATTGCCATTCCTCGTCCCGGTACTTAATCGCCTGTCACCCCCCCTCCCCAGTACTCTCCTCCTCCTTGCATCTTCTTCCCCAATCACACTCGCTCGCTCGCAGAACGGTTGTGGTCGACCTCCTGAGCTGCAACGGACGGACACATATCACCGTCGTTTATCACCCTCACTTCGCTCACGACTACCATCAACCCGTACTGCGGTACCTGACAGTCGCTATGGATATCGTTTTGGGTGTCTTCGACACCTTTCTGTTCGATCGGTTCTACGCGACGATTCTCCCCGGTGCGGCATTCCCGTCCGCCGGCAATGCCACGGCCCCGATCATTGAGAGGAAGCCGATCGAGTTGGACTCCGTTTCGGAGTACTTCGGCTGGCAGCCGTCGGAGTATGCACATGCCTCACGACTCGAAAGGGACAATGACGTTCGGCTATTGCTTTCGCTCTTCCTCATCACATGGTACGGACCTGCCTCTCTGTCACGAGAGTAAGTCGAGCAGCTTGCTGACAAGTGTTATACAGGCTCTTCGGATATGTCATCTACTTCACGTTCGCGACGTTCTCCTACGTCTTCATTTTCGACAAGGACACCTTCAAGCACCCCAAATTCCTCAAGAACCAGATGCGCCAGGAAATCGTGCAGTCGATGGTGTCGATGCCCGTGATGGCCGTCTTCACCGCCCCGCTCTTCTACGCCGAAGTCAAGGGCTACTCTAAGCTGTACATGGACGCCGAGAAATACGGCATGTGGTACATCATCGCGCAGTTCCCGATATTCCTGATGTTCACCGATTGCGGAATCTACTGGATCCACCGTGCCCTGCACCACCCGACCATCTACAAGCACCTGCACAAGCCGCACCACAAGTGGATCATGCCCACGCCGTACGCCTCGCACGCCTTCCACCCTTTCGACGGCTTCGCGCAGAGCGTGCCCTACCACGTTTTCCCCTTCATCCTGCCGCTCCACAAGTTCAGCTATCTGATCCTGTTCACCTTCATCAACATTTGGACCGTGATGATCCGTACGCTCTCCCCACCCCTCCCCCATCTTACGCAGGAAATCAAACTAATAGCCGCGCAGACGACGGTGAATACGTTGCCAACTCCCCCATCATCAATGGCGCCGCCTGCCACACCATGCACCACCTGTACTTCAACTACAACTACGGCCAGTTCACGACGCTGTGGGACCGCCTCGGTGGCTCGTACCGCAAGCCCAACATGGAACTGTTCTACCGCGAGACGAAGATGAACTCCAAGGAGTGGCAAAAGCAGGTCAAGGAGATGGAGGATATTGTGCAGGAGGTCGAGGGCGACGACTCCTTCCGCGAGTACGCTGCTGCTCCGGTCGAGGATAAGAAGACCAAGTAGATGTGCCGCGAGAGAAAATACGCAGTGGCGTGTTGTACAAAAGCGAGACGAGGCTGTAATGGGAGAGTGGCGGTGTGGGAGGATGCAGTGCGCGGCGGTGTTTTCGAGGTGAGAGTCGGTTTCTGAGTCGTTTGGGCAGACGTACAGGTCAATAGCAGAAGGCTAGTCTGTATGTCTGCCGTCTGACTTTGAAACCGTCTTCTCACCTCTTTCCTCCTTTTGCGTTTTGGGTCGCAACGGATATCCGGAGTTTGTGTTTTTCTTGTTTACTTTTTTCTTTGTTTCATGAATAGTAGCACGGTGGATGGTGTGACAAAAGTGCGTGTTTAATATTGATCGCTCTTCTCTTCTATTCTCCTCATTGTGAGAATATACCGTGCAGGGCTTGTGAATAGTTAGATGCAAACATTAGAGGCTAGTGAGATATGCGTGCCTGGAAACGCTCATGTTGTGCATGTTGCTCCCGCCCAAACGACAGCCATAGAAACGGAAAGGGAAACAACTCCACAAACCAACGCTCCATAATAAACCCCATAAACGCCATCGCCCTCCCATAAGTAGCCATAATCTGTAGCCATCGCAATCCCCCGCGGCCTATACCCCACTGTGCACCATCCCCTCGCCGCCCACCCCCTCGCCCTCGCCCTCCTTCCCTCCCTCCTCCACCTCCACTTCCAAAAACTCCCTAACCCCCCTCCAAACCTCCCCCTCCATCTCCCTACCCACAACATCATTGCGCGCATTCAACATGCCCACATCGATCTGTCCCTGCGCGACGGGTATCTCCGCCGCCTGCAGCTGCATGATCTGCCGTCGCAGGCGCACCGTGATGCTGCTCAGCAGCGCGTGGTATCTTTCAGCGTGGTGCGTGAAGACTTCTTCTGGGCTGGGGGTGGTGGAGGGGTCGGCGGGAGGGAAGGGGGAGAAGGGGGTGGTGGAGGAGAGGGAGGAGGTGGTGGAGGAGAGGGAGGTGGAGGTGGGAGGCGTCGTCAGGCAGCGGATCGCGGAGCTTGCGGTGCTGAGTAACAGGGAGATGTCAGCGTCGATGCTGGTGAGGTCTGCGATCGCTGCGGCGGCGGTGGGGAGCGGTGGCGGCATCGTGTGTGTTTTTGGTGTGTGGTGGGTGGTGTGTGGGGTGTGTGGTGGGAGCGGTGGGAGCGGGTTGTCGTGAGTGGTGTGTTAGGTGTTTGGTGAGGGGTTGAATGGCAGCGGGTGTTTGGGGATAGTGGTGGGCAGCGGATTGAGGATTGCGCACGGTTGGTTGGCGTGTCAATGTTTCGCGACGGGAGTAAATAGTGGCTTGCGTGTCTCTGTTTCACGACGAGAGTCAATAGATAGTGGCTTGAGTGTCGGGCAGCTCATCCGTCCAGCGCCCATGTGTTTGGTTTTAGTGCGACAAACATCTCACACACACCTCCGCCGGGTGCCGCTTCCGCTCCCTTACCCGGCGCGCCCGTTAGAGTTGCAATCGGCGGGCACACACCCACGCGCGTGTTCTCGCAACAAATCACTCATCCACACGCGTCTCCACTTTCACAGCGCTCCGATTTATTACCCACTCTCCTCCACGCCCCCCGCGCCAACAGAACCCCGGGCGAATACGGAATAACGATACGGCTGTTTCAAAATGGGGTGAGTAGTACAATGAACAGGATTTTGCGCGCGCGCAAAATAATGTGGTGTGGCGTGGTGGCTAACGAGAATGTGTGGTTGTTGTGGTGGATAGGAAGCTCGTGAGGTTGGAATTGTTCAGTGGGTTCTTCCCGTCTGCAGCGGAGAATTGGGATGGGAGTGGGATGCTGATGGGGAAACAACACAGACTTCAAGTCGTATAAAGGCCACCAGACGATACACCTCGGCGAATCGTACTTCACATCGATAATCGGGCCCAATGGATCCGGAAAGTCGAACAGGTACCTTTTGTTCTACGGTTGTTTCCGCGGTGTGTGTGTATGTGTGGCGGATGCTGATCGGAAGTGTGATGCGACAGCATGGACGCGATCTCCTTCGTCCTCGGCATAAAATCCTCACACCTCCGCTCCGCGCACCTCCGAGAACTGATCTACCGCGGCCGGAAGCTGCGCAACGGCGGTACGGCAGGCGCCGACGAAAGCACACAACGCGACGACCCCAAGAGTGGCTGGGTAATGGCCGTGTACATCGACGATGACGAATCGGAACACAGGTGGAAGCGCAGCATTACCGCCGCAGGCGGCAGCGAGTACCGTATCAACGATCGGCAGGTCACCGCCGCGGAATACAACGCCGCACTGGAAGAGCAGAATATTCTTATCAAGGCGCGAAATTTCCTCGTGTTTCAGGGTGACGTTGAGGCGATTGCTAGTCAAAGCCCTACGGATCTTACGAGGCTCATTGAGCAGATATCGGGAAGTCTCGAGTACAAGGCGGAGTTTGAGCGCCTGCAGGTTGAACAGGAGAAGGCGGCGGATCAGTCGAGCTTTAATCTCAACCGGAGGAGGGGTATTAATGCCGAGATTAAGCAGTACCAGGAACAGAAGCGCGAGGCTGAGCAGTATCAGGCGAAGATGGGCGAGCGCGATGAGGCGATTGTTACCCATATCCTCTGGAAATTGTACCACTTCCAGGAGAAGATGGAGAGGAATAAGTCCGCGATTGAGGAGCACCATAATGAGATGAAAGAGTTCCGACGAGCGCATGAGAAGTACGCACAGCAACTGGAGGAGGCGCAGCAGGAGCAGGCGAAGGCGACGAAGAGCGTTAGTAAGCAGGAACGGGCTATCAAGAAAAAGGAGAAGGAGAGGGAAGAGAAGGAGACGGGTTTGGTTCCTGTTGTCGAGAAGATAAACATCTCCACCGCGCACCTGAAAAAATACCAGACTCGCATCCGGGAAATCACGAGGGACTTCGAGAACCAGAAAGCCACTGTTCAGAGTCTGGAGAAGGATCTGAGTGTGGTGAAGAAGGCGCAGACAAAGTTCGAGAAGGAGCAGCAGAAGGCCGCTGAAGAAACCGGAATCGCGCTCTCGGATGTCGACCTAGCCGAGTACAACAAGCTCAAGGAGCAGGTCAACACCAAGATCGCCGAGGAGCAAATCAAGATCGACAACTTCACCCGCGAGCAGAAAGCCGATTCTGAGGCGGTGAACTCACTCATCTCCAAGGTCGAGCAGACCAAGTGGCAGCTCTCCAAGCTCGAGAGCGAAGTCCAGGACCTCGAGGAGCGACGACAGGAAATGAAGACCATGATTTCTCAGCTCACCCAAGATATCAATGCGAAGGAGACGGAACATTCGGCTCTGGCGTCTGAGCGGATTAGAAATTTGCAGAGACATAAGGAGCTGGACGAGAAACTCAAGGATTGTCTCAACAAGCTCATTGAGGCCGACGATGGACGACGACAGACCGAGCGCGAAGTCAAGGTCAAAGAAACCATTGCCGCACTCAAGCGTATCTTCCCAGGTGTCAAGGGGCGTGTGGCGGAGCTCTGCAAGCCGAAGATGAAGAAATACAGCGACGCGGTTTCGACAGTCCTCGGTAGACACTTTGACGCCGTTGTGGTCGATAGCGAGAAGACGGCGAAGGACTGCATCGAGTACCTTCGAGACCAACGTGCTGGACAGGCCACATTCATCCCCCTGGAGACCATCCAGGTCAAGCCGTTGAACTCCAACCTCAAGAGCATGCACAGGGGCATGAGGATGGCCATTGACACCATCGACTTTGACAACTCGGTCGAGCGGGCGATGCTCTACGCCTGCGGCAACGCTGTCGTCTGTGATGACCTCAAGGTGGCCAAGTACATCTGCTACGACATGGGTGTAGAAGTCAAGGCTGTGACTCTGGATGGGACCGTCATCCATAAGGGCGGTCTGATGACAGGAGGAAGGGTCGGTAGCGGAGGTGGTCGGCGGTGGGAAGACCAGGCTGTCGAGGGATTGGGACGACTCCGTGACAACCTCATGGCACAGATCAAAGCATTGCCCAACGATCGTCGCGCCCCGCAGGAAGAAGCTCTCCAGGGCGAGATCACTGGTCTCAAGCAGAGCTTATCGTTCCATCGCGATGAGCTATCTCATCTCGAGCGAACCCTCGCCGGCAAACAGAAGGAGGTGGTTCACCACCGGAAGGCGCTCCAGAAGCTGGAGCCGCAGCTTGCCGAAGCCACCGAGTCACTCGACCACCTCAAAGCCCAGCTCGAGGAGCTCCAGCAGGTGGTGTCCAAAGCAGAGGATAAGATCTTTAATGCCTTCTGCAAGCGACTCGGCTTCGAGAATATCAGAGTGTATGAGATGCAGCAGGGAAGCTTGCAGCAAGAGGCACAGCAGCGGAGACTAGAGTTCAAAACGCAGATCAGCAAGCTCGAGTCTCAATTAGTGTTTGAGACTGGGCGGTTGAAGCAGACCAAGGAGCGGATAGAGAACCTGAAGACCCTAGAGCAGAGGGATGAGGCATTGATCGAAGAGCAAGAAGCGCTGAAAGAGAGCATCCAGGAACAGATGGATACCATCGAGGCCGAACTCGAGAGTATGCAGGAGACCCTGAGTCGGAAGCGGGAGGGATTGGAGGAGCGTGCAAAGAAGGTGGCAGAGTTGCAACGGGAGGTCCAGAAACGCTTCGGAGAAGTGGAGGAGACCAACAAGCAGGTCGCCGCATTGGAGTCCGAAATCGAGCGACATGCAGCTGGACGGTATGCAGTCCTGCGGCGGTGCAAACTCGAGGAGGTCGAGTTACCACTCACCGAAGACTCCGCGCCCATCGACGACCTGCCCATCGATGACACGTTTCAGCAGCAGCCAGACCCGGATGCTATGGAAGTCGATGAGGACGAAGAGTCTAATGCCGTTAATAACGTCTCCACACAAGACTACGGCATCGAAGTAGACTTCCACGCCCTACCATCAGACCTACGAAAAGACGGTGATGAAAAGATCGAAGACGACCTGCTGGAAAAGATCAAGATCCTTACCGGCGAACTTGATCGCATGGCACCAAACATGAAAGCCATCGAGCGTCTCGAAGGCGTCGAATCCCGGCTGCAGGAAACCGAAAAAGAATTCGAAGACTCCCGCAAAGCTGCCAAGAACGCAAAAGACAAATTCATCGCAATCCGCGACAAGCGCTTTGAGCTCTTCAACAAAGCTTTCGCACACATCTCGGAGGAAATCGGTACGGTATACAAAGACCTCACCAAATCAGCAGCCTTCCCACACGGTGGAACCGCCTACCTCGACCTCGAAGACACAAACGAGCCCGTCAACGGCGGTATCAAGTACCACGCCATGCCCCCCGCCAAGCGCTTCCGTGATATGGAGCACCTCTCTGGTGGAGAAAAGACTATGGCTGCGCTGGCACTGCTCTTTGCCGTGCACTCGTACCAGCCTTCGCCGTTTTTTGTCCTCGACGAGGTCGATGCTGCCCTCGACAATACCAATGTCCAGAAGATATCGAATTACATCCGCACCCACTCGGGCCCCGGATTCCAGTTCATCGTTATCTCCCTCAAGGCGGGACTGTTCCAGCAGAGTGATGCCCTCGTTGGCATCTATAGAGATCAGGTCGAGTGTAGTTCTAAGAGCTTGACGTGAGTTCCTCCCACCCCTCAATCGTTCTAATAAACACTTACTAACTGTTGGCAGGTTGGATTTGCAACAATACATCGACCAATAATCGTTGTCCCTTTTTTTTCTTCCCGTGTAGGATTTCCTCGTTTCTCTCTTCTTGTGTTCCTTAGTACCTAGTGGGTGGCCGGGTGGTCTCTGTTGCTGAGTTTCGAATCGAGTATCTACTTCTGCTTTTTTCCTCCGCTCTTTTTGTGTCTTTACTTTGCGGATTACCCTTGATCGAGAAGATTTTTTGCTTGCTTGCTTGATTGTATTTGTAGTTGCACCTTTCTGTTTCTGTCTCTGTTTCTGTTTCGGGGTGCTTTTTTTTGGTTGGGGGGAATCGGGATATCAATACTTGGGTAGTACCTAGTACCAAGTAGTACTCTACCTTCCATTCACCGCTTCTCACTCACGGCTATCTACTATGTTCTACACACACACAACACGGAATTATCGAAGGACCTGTCCCCTACATGCCCGCGCGGTTGTAGGTGATAGCCGGGTGGAAAGTGAAAGAGATATGTAATCTGCCATGATAAGGTCGAATGCAATGATGATTAAACAAAAAACCTTCCCCTACATGTCCGGGGCCCGGGCGGTTGGAGATCTGTTGCAGTGTACTAGCACGTCGGATTGGGCAGCGGCAGTGCGTTTGCACAACGATATTCCTCACTTAGGTAGTTATCTTGTCTCTGAACTGGTTACCGCTGTGCTGTGTTGTGCTGATGGTTATGTAGAGTACCATCTAACTATCTCCGCCCTGCCTACAGGTTTCTCTGGAGAAATTCTGTAAATACACTCGAATGCTGTTGATATCACTCGCTGCCAACATCTCTACACCGGCCCGGAGTAGGCCGAGTTCGAACTTCGTGCACCGCAGCAAAGTTACAACAGCACCGGCACTAATCGCACCCATAGCAGTCGGAGACAGTGAAGATGAAACGGTATATATACTTATATCCGCCATGGTCTACCTACCATAGTAACTGAGGCCAAATGCAATGCCTCGACAAAATCAAAATAAACCAACCAACCGCGCCCCCATCGCGTCCCATTATGCACCCAACACCGTCTCCCCGCGGGCCTCAAACTTCTCCACCCCCACCGCCTCAGCAGTCTCCGGCCCAGCCCTCCCCTCATCGCCGGAATCACTAACACTGGCACTGCTCCAGTCGAGCTCTAGCTCCTCGCTGCCCCACGAGCGCAGCAGATGTTTCTGCTCCCTTGCGAGCCGGCGGAGATCGTTGCTACTAGGTGCCTCCTCGATCTCGATCTCGAGGCCGCCGCCGCCACGGAAGCGGGTCAGGTCGCGGCCGTGCTCGACCTATGTTCGTATGTATCAGCCACATTCCACTCCACAAGGGGCGGGGGTAAGGGGGGAGGGGGTGGGGGGAGGGGGGGGGTAGCAAACCATCCTCTCGATCTTGAGCCGATTCTCAACAAACTTCAGCTTGGAGTACGTGCACCTTTGCCCACTCTCTAGCATTCTCGCGAGCCGCTCCCTAGTAGGATCCGCGAGGATGTACCAAAAGTCGCTGAGCGCCGTTTTCGGCCAGATAGTGATTGTGCCGTCGAATTTCTGCAGGAACACGGAGCTCCAGTCCTGGCTCATGGGGCGCGGGAGGAGCTCGAGGTGCCGCAGAACCTTGAGCCACTTGGCCATGTCGAGCTTGAGGTACTGCTCGAGTGCGGACCCGAGGAAGCCGCCGCGCCAGCCCTTGCCGCGCCGGTGCGTAACCGGCCGGCCGACCGCCCCCCGTGACGAGAAGAAGAAGATGTTGACGTGCGGATTCACCTGCGAGACGATCGTGAAGTTTACGTTGAAGTGCAGGTTGAGCGAGCGGATCGGGATGTCGGTGCGCAGACTCCCGTCCTTCCACTTGTTGCCGAAGCTATAGGGAGCAATGGTTCCGGAGCGGGTTTTGGTCATCAGCACGACCGGGTTGAGGATGCCCGGGACGGCGGCGGAGGCGAGGACGGCCGAGAATATGCAGCAGTCTGGCGCGGTGAGGTGGTTCAGCAGGAGCGAGGGCGAGTGCGGGTCCGACGGGATGCAGGATATGTTGAGGATCCGGCCGGTGCGTTGGTACGCTTCCTTGAAGGTCATGGAGCCCCGCGTGAACCAGCAACAGCGACATGCCCAGTCGATGCTGTCGAAGCGTGCGCCCGTCTTCCACCAGCGGCGGATCCAGGTCAGGGTGTCGTCGTGACAGGCAGTGATTTTGTCGGCGAGTTCGGGGACGAGGAGTTGGCGGAGCTCGGCGTCGGTACGGGTGCAGATCAGGGCCGCGACGAGCGCACCGCCGGAGGTGCCGGTAATGATATTCGGGAGGAGGTTGGCATCGAGGTGGGCTTTGACCACGCCGAAGTGGTAGTATGAGAAACTTGCACCGCCAGATAGACACAAAGCCGTCTTGCCGTAGTTACTCGAGAGGTGTTTAAACAGCACTCTCTTCTCATCGATGGACAGCGACGGGGTCTCGCACAGAAACCTGAGCGCCTTCTCGACTATCCCATATCCATCAGCCACCATCACCACCGATCACCACTGGAGCAGCGCACTCACCTTCATCGACGAAATTCTGCACCAGTTGCTTCGTGCCATAATAGCTCTGGCTGTACATGCGCGCGCTCTCTATGCCCGCAAAATTATTCTTAACGCACATCTCGACGAGCTCCCTAAGCTCATGGACGATCCTTTCTTGCTCCCCCTCACCCTCCCGCTCCTCCGCCTTCGCCTCCGCGCCCTCCCGCAGCCTCCTCAGCTCCCTCACGATCCTCCTCACCGTCTGAAAGTCATAATACGCAAACGCGTCCTCCTCCTTCCAGGCATCAACCCCCAAGTATTCGTCGAGCCTCTCCGCAGCCTGACACCACTCCCCGTACCCCCTCGCGGCCCTCAGCCGCGCGCGCAGCCGATTCCTCTCGCCGCGCCACGTAATCCAGTACTCATACTGGCTGACATAGAAGCGGGTCATAACATAGAGTGCGGCGAGAACCGCCATCCACGCGGCCACCACCACCAGCAGCGGCCACTTCAGCAGCGCGTACACGAAGCCCTCGCGCGTCTCGTCTTTGCCCGGTTTCCGTCTTCGCCCCCGACCCCGCCGTGGTATGGAGGAGGCGGAGGAAGGGGCGGGCTTGGGCCGTATACGCTCCCGTACGGGCCGCCAGTCGTTCAAGGCGCTGATGAAGTGGTCGTCGCTGTCTGGGTCCGGCGCGGAGATTGCACGCGCGAAGGAGGCGATGTCTATGCGTGTTCATGTTAGCTGGCTATCCCCCTCTCCTCCCCCCCCCACTCCCTCCGACGAATGCCCCCTGGAAATGTAGAGTAGAGTAGAGTGCAGTACCCACCAGCATCGTTCGCAAAGCTCGTATCAAAGTCCGGCAGGTTCGGGGGGTTCGGAGTGTCGGTCGGAGTGTTCGTCGGCATCTTTGTATCGCTATCGTAACCGTGGGAAGTGGTGGTGCATCCTCTTGCTCTTGCGTGCTGTGTTTGTTGCGTGTAGTAAATATGGGACCCCGAGTGGCGAAATCTCCCTGGACTCGGACTTGGACTTGGTGCTTCGAAGTAGCTGGAGTAGAGTAGCGTTGTGTTGCGTCACTGATGGATGGCATGGGGCCAGGATCAGGGGCTCGCGCTCCCTCCGAGCTTCCCCCCAGTGCCCTCAGTGCCCCATACTCACGCGACTAGCCAACCACCATCCACCCACCCGCCCGGCGCCCGCCCGCCTGCATACGGCATATCTCGATTCTGAGATCTCGGACGAGATGTGATGTTTCTATAATTGTATTGCAGCAATGTATGATACGAACGAACGAGTAGGTACTGTGGTATGGTATCGCGAAAAGTAAAGCACAGTAAAGCACAGTAAAGCAAAGGTAGATAAAGCAAAGCAGACTTTCAAACGCCGTACATGATCCTCTCCTTACTCCCCCTCCTGCTCCTCCACCTGCTCCTCCTGCTTCTCCTCCAGCTTCTCCTCATGAATGGCTTTTGATGGACATGGACAGGACAGGCAGGCCCACTGCAAACCAACAAAAAAACGTGACAAAAAAATCAAAAAAATCAAACAAAACCCGAGTAAACCACCCAATCCGATCCGATCCCGATCCGTCGCCCATGATAAATAAGATGCAAATGATGATAAAAATCCAGAGCAGACCCTCCCATCCGTAATGACGCCGCAGAGACAACAAATGACAAGATAAATCACACAAAACAAAAACGAACGGATGTCAAATGAACCAGCACTGCATCCCCCACCCAGCAGAAGTGGCTGGCTAAGTAGCTACGCCTTCTTCCTCCCCCACCAAGCGCCAAACTCCATGCACTCACCGCCGCGCAGCCCATGGCCATCGAACCAGTTCCACATCAGCTCACGGTACCAGCCATCCCACTCGTCGAGGTCAATCTCGTTCGCGTCCCGCAGCATAGGCTCCATAGCCTCGATGAGCTGGACGAACGCGAGCTTTGCGAGCTGTCGTACGGCGCGCTCCTCGTCCGCCAGCGGGGACGGGTAGCAGCTGTCGATGGAGGTGGAGGATCTCCGATTGCTGTAGTGGTGCGATTGTGCGCCGCTGCCTCTCCGTTTCCGAAAGACCTGTTTCGACGAGCCCGCGAGGGATTCGACGCTGCTGCCGCCGGTACTCCGTCGCTTCGAGCAGGTGGAGCTGGAGGTGTCAGATGCAGAATCCACGTTTGGTGATTCCCACCAGATCGTGTCCAGCGGGAGAGCGAGGCGTTTGGTTTGTATGGCGGTCACGTTGTCTTCCATGACTATGCTTGGGCCGGCGAGGGTGCATGGTACCGGCGGGAGGTCGCGGCCCATGAGCGCTTTCTGCACCCGCTCGTTCCATTGTTGGATGAACGCGTTTTCGCTGTTGGGGTTGAGTTGAACCATGCCGCTCACGTCGTAGGCACTCGATGTCGGCGAGTAGGGGATGCTTGTACGCTGGATCGTGCGGATGACGTAGTCGTCTTTTCTAGAGTTAGCATGCGATGATCGACACGGACCGAGGCGGAGACGGGGAAGGAGACGGTGAAGGAGACGGAGACGTACTGCACTGGAGCTCAAAGCACCCTCCCGGTCTCAGCAGACGCATCATCTCGCCGATGATGCCGGAGTACATATTCTTCGCCGGTATCGACAGCATCATATCCCTCGCAAAGATGAAGTCGAACGAATTATCCTCGAACGGCAGCGGGGCCATGAGGATGTTGTGCTTGACGAACCTAAAGTTGACGCCCTTCATCTCCATGTATGTGGGCTCGAGGTCGAGCCCGGTGAACTCGATGTCGGGCCGTCCCAACGCCGCAAAGTAATCGGCCATGCTAGCGCTCCAGATGCCACTGCCGCATCCCAGATCGAGCACCTTCTCGGGGATCTTCTCGCGCTTGAAGTCGGTGCAGCAATACCCGCCGTAGAGCTCGCGGCTGAGCTCGTGCCACAGCGCCTGCCGGCTCATCTCCTTGACGTCGCAGGCGAGCGGATACGGTATCGAGTCGTCGTTGTGGTATTTCCGTCCATTGCGGGTTGTGAACGGAGGCTTTGGCTGGGCCGATGTGCGTTTCCGCAAGCGTGATGCGGGCGAGTTTGGTATCGGACTCATGATCGGATCGGAATTGAGGAGGAATACTGCTTCCATGGGATGGATTACGAGCTTTAGGAGGCGGGCGGGGAGGAGGGGGAGCTAGAGTTGTGGCGTTTTGTGTTGGCGGCGGCGTCGCGTGATGTTGGCGGGCGGGGAGGGGGGGGGGATGATCAAGGACACGTGAATGCGGAGAATCAAGATGCGGCTTGCAGGAGTACTCGAGGGAGATCGAGGGATGGATCGGGCGGGCGGGTTGGATTGATGATGGCAGAGGCGACGACAGCGGACACGCGTGAAACAGCTAAGGATCTCGACACACAAGACGTCAACGGTTTTGGTTGGGTTGGGGGCAACGGAGAGACGAGACAGAGCCGAGACAATTCTCGCAGTGATAGTGGGCGAGAGCACAGCACGGAGAGCGGTCGGGGAGCACATGGTATTTAGGTAAGATGCTGCAGCGAGCGTGGGTATGTAATTGTAGATGATCCAGAAGCCAGTCAGGAAAGAAGAAAAGAAAAGAGAGAAGCAAAGCGGGCGGGCGCAAAATTACCGACCCAGTGCGATGGGTGGGGTATGGTATGGGGGTGGGTATGGGGGGTGGGTATGGGGGGGATTGTGTGTGTGGAGTGAGTGTGTTGGGTGGAAGGGCGGAAGGGTGTGGGTATGGAGGAAACAAGGCCGCAAATGAAGCCGTGCCTGGCTACTCGTCCACGATGATGAAATGAAGCTTTACTCGACGGGCTCCTAGTGCGGATCCTCTCACCTCGTCCTGTTGTTTCCGACTTGCTGGCAGCGGGCCAAGGAACCCCAATGCAGGCAAGCTGAGGGTCCCAGCAATTTGGTTGCTCCGTCCGTCGGTAGATGGCCCCTTGACCCCCTTTGACCCCCAGGAAGAAAAAGCAACGTCTGGGAGGGGGATATCGGGAGGAGAAGATCTCGGGATTTCGGGGAGGGAGGAGGACCGAGTGGGGGGAGGAGGGCTGGAGGGCTGGTTGGTGGAGGAGGGTGGAAGGTGGAGGAGTGTGCGGGCGGGTGTGCGTGTGTAAGTGGGAGTGTGTACGGCAGTGGTTGAGTTCTCTTTCGAATCCGGATCCTGATTCCTCCTGCTGCTGCTGGTTGGAGGTTGCGGGATTATTGTGTGATGTCCGTCTGCCGTCTGCAGACGGATCGGTACAAGCTTCGTTCGTTTCGAAACGGTTTGGAAGCGGTGGCCGGGGTGATGGAGCGTGAGTGCGTGAGTGCGTGAGTGCGTGAGTGCGTGCGCGTGAGGAAACAGACAGCGGTAGAGAAGTTATGGCGGTGGTGGTCGTGGTGGCTAAATAACGGCGATGGAAGTGTGCAACCTGGTCGCATGTGACGAGGCGAAACACAGGCTCGCAGTCTCACACAGGCGGCGGATATCTATATCCAGCTCACTCGCGGTAACCATTCTGGACTCTGGAGTAGGTACCTTCAGACGACTAGAGTAGGTAGTACTTTGTGTACAAAGTCCTGCAGAACCGAGCTCAAAGTAGGGCAGGAGGTATGATCTGTAAATAAGATACCGTCGTAGCTGTAGGTTCTGAGATGCGGGTGCGAAGATGTGAGGAAGGATGCTCAGCAAAGGCATTCCCAGGTCAATCCCAGATCACTCGAAACGAGCGAGTGAGAGAGAGTTCGAAACGAGAATAGGTAGATACGGTAGAGTACTGTGTAGAGTACCTCTCAGTACCGGTAGCCTATAGAGTCGGTCCATCGTCCTAGTGTGCACTCTACCATACCCACTACGACTAGAGTGGGTACCTATTCGACATCGCCGCGTATCGGGGCTCAGCGGAATTACTCCTGGTGATCGGCGAGCGACGGGCGGACCCAAAGATACATCCCAAGCCAACCGGAGGAACTGCCATGGTGACAAACAACCACAGCTCCAGATTCACGCATGGGCAACTGGACCTGCAGATTTCTTCGATGCTTCGAGATGAACCTCCGAGGAACCGAGGGCGGGTCGGTCGGTCGTATGATTCTAGACGGGGAAGAAGCAACAACAAAACAAAGCCTCACATTCCACGGACATGTGGACGAGGGCACCCTGGAGGTTACTTCGCTGAACGAGTACGGTATTCTACATAGGCAAGTACCATTACTTGGTATGGAGGTACTGGTACATACCGGTACTTGAAACAAAATTCGCTCGTGTTGCCGCTGTTATGTAACCACATGCTTACTCGTGTCGAGTACTCTACGGGGAGGAGTGAACTTTGAAGCTTGCGGCCATGCCCCAACCGGTGTCTGCGAATTCTCACGATCCGGCTTTGACTTAGCTCGCGCGCTCAAACGAACTCGAGCTTACGTGACATCCCTCCCGGGTTGTTCGGGCGTGGGCCGGAGCTGCAGCCAGCGGAAAGTCACTAACTACTGCAGTCTCGTCCCATCCATTTTGTGTTTCGCTAGCCAGCTGCTCGTCCGTACTTACGTAGATTTCTACGCGGCCGAAATGGAAGGAACAGCTTCCAGCTTCTTCCAGCTTGCAATTTGCAATTTGCAGCCTCATCGTCCCCTTCAGCCTGCCCGGGGATCCTGGCGTTTCTCGGGCCTTTCCGTTCTTTGGCTCTTCGCCGGAAGCGAAAGTCTGTTTCGACATCGGCAATGGTGAGGGGGGGATTCGGAGCAGCGGATGTTGTGTATAATAGGTCATCATATCGTGCGTATGTAAGTCGAGTACGTACTACGATCGTGCGGCCACGGTCACGGTCACTCGAGCTCTTTATGCTTTTGTATGTACCGTCTCATCCGACGCCGGAACGTTTGAACGAAACGTGGCTGCCACAACTTCCCGCTCACTTCTACTAGGGGTTGCGGATAAGCGTAACTTTGCCGCTTCTCTGCAGCGTTAAGTATACTCTGACTTTGCCGCTTCTCCAGAGCATATTCGTACTTCTCCACTTCTCCGCTTCTCCACAGCGTACATATAGTACTCTTACTATGCCGCTTCTCCAGAGCGGCGCAGTGACTGTGCCACTTCGCCCACATTCTGCACTCGGTACTTCTCGTACCTCTGTACGCACGGCAGCGCATAAATTCCCACCGTCAGCACGTCCAAGTAACGTTTCGAATCCTCCGAGGTGAGAGTGAGATTGCATCGGCGGAGGGGAGGGGATGGGGGAGGGGGGGAGGATGACGAGAGCAGGGAGATCTCAAACAAGGGGTCAACTGGCTCAAGTTATGCAGTCGAAGCGAGTGTTCGGTGCAGTGGAACGCAGATGCGAATCCGGAGGCGGGCGACAGGATGGATGGGACATCTGGATTCCTATTGCAATTGATGAGTGTCGCGTGGGAGATAAGGATGGGGTTTTCACTGTGTGAATCGCATCGCACACACAACTATCCGCCATCTCGACCTGGCCCTTTGCGCTTCCATGGCGTGCAGCTTGAGGAGAAAGACGTCTTTGCCGCAATGGGTGCCAAGGGCCGGAATGCTCCCGGGTGAGCAGTTAATAAGGAGATTTCTGCTGCTCATGCAGACGAATTGCCTGCGACGAAGCATGTAACTATAGTTAGTACTCCACTCCACTTCCATCCACTCTGGCGGCTCTGTGCATGATGGTCATCGTCAGTCAGTGGAACTTTGGCTTCATCGCACACAGGTTGCCTGCGTCGCATCGGCTCGGCTGGTTGTTTACCTGGGAAGAGCGTGACTGAAGCTGGCAGCACTTCTGGCGGCTCAATCCACAGTCTTTGTTTCCGAGCGTCTCCCCCAAGTTCCCCCTCCTTTCCCCTCCGCTTCCCCTCGCTCCTTTGACGTCCATCCATTCATCGATCTATCCACCATCGACGGATCTCGTCATTCAGGCCACTCGGTCGCCCGTGCAGCAGAGTACAATCACAGACAGTTACTCCGTTGCCTGGGTGCTTCCCCTTCTTCTGTCAGACCTCAAAAGAAAATTCTTCACGCTCCCATACAGTGACACTACCAACTTACCTTTCCCTGCATTGTTGCCTCAAAGTGTTGCTGTTGCTATTGCTGTTGTGTTGTTGTTGTTGCTGTTGTTATTGTTGTTGCCTCTCGAAACTGCCTCTCGAAACTGCCCTTGCGCTCCTGCTTCTCTTCGCCGCCACGCCACCCAAACTGACTCTAAGCCGCACCTCCAAACCAACCCCAACTCTCTCCTCCATCTACCTCTAGCCTCCTCCGTACCTGCCCCCCTCGTACTCGCAACGTCACCTCCAAGCCCACCTCTCCATCCCATCTCTCAACCCGTCTTCAACAACTCATCCATCCTACCAGCGACACACATCCGCCGCTCCTTCAACCCTATCGCTCCCGCTCACGATCACGATCACAAACCCACCTCCGCCATCCCTCCTCCACGAATTGAGCCTTCCGCTGACGTTTACGAATCTTACGCACACCCACACCCACACAAAGACAGACATCCGCTCACACAAATAACCTTCGGCCGTTCGCTCCGCTCCACCTTGTTACTCTTCGCTGCTAGGCTGGTCATCGTCGCTGATCTGCCCCACCTATCGCTGCCCCTCCTGCCTGTCCGCTTGCATCCAACTCCATCGATCTTTTGCGCCGGGGTGAGAAGAATAGAATAGCAGGACCAGACAGAGAGGCGGGAAGATAGAGAACGAGAAAGACAAAAAGAGAAAAACAGAGCAGGAAACGGAGTCGGAACCTGCGAAGGAAAGAGAGACAGAGAGCGAGAGAGGTACTATCACGGGTGCCTCTCTGATGTGCAAACGAAGAGAGCGACTATACAATACACTGGGAGACGCTTACACCTCCGACACGTAAAAAAAAAACCAAACGAGATCCAACCGTCCGCGCACAAGGCTTTGTCTGGGTCATACTCAGCATCTGCCTTCTCGGTCCTTCGTAGTTAGTCGAATGGCTGATGGTTATGCCCACTTTCAGCATCCCTATCCAACCTTCTCACCGCAACAACGACTTCGGCGAGGAACACCCCCTCAGACCCCCTCTCCCTCACGATCACCCGCTCCACAGTCCCCTGGAGCGTACTTCTTTCAGAACCCGGGACACTCTCACACCATGATGAACCCACAGTCTCACCGTGGCTATCTGCCGCAATCAAAGTTCATGCCCGGCTTTGGACAACAACATCAACAGGTAGATCAAGGTATGGGCCATGTGCAGAACGGCGCCAACAATTCACTCGGCGGCGGTCATCAACACAATCTCTCCGGCGGCTTCGGCAACGGAAACTACCCCTCCCCCCAACACGCCGTCGCTACCGCAAATATGCAGAACGCCTCGCCGCATTGGCAGGAACAACATGCCCTGCTGAATGCGTCCCGAAGCTCTAGCGAACCCCATCATCACGCACGCCAGGCTGCCCTACTCAACAAGAATTCTTCGGCGAATGTGACGGTTGCTGGAGGCGTCAACCCGAATTCGTACAACCCCCCGGTCTCGCAGAACCGGAAGGACGGACCCCCGGCCGAGGTGGCAGAGCTGCGCAACGGCAATGGAGAAATAGAAAGGCAGGACTGGAAAGCTTTAGATCTGGGAGGTCAGGGACTTCATGCTCTGTCGAATGCCCTCTTCGCGTACACCTTCCTCGACAAGTTGTATATTAACCACAACAAGCTCACCAAGCTTCCGGCAGCCCTCGGAAAGCTCAAGCTGCTGCAACTTCTGGACGCATCCAACAACCAGTTGACCGAATTGCCCGCAGAGCTCGGAATGCTGACCAATCTACGTCAACTCCTGGTGTTCGACAACAAGCTCACGTCGCTCCCATACGAACTCGGTTCCTTGTATCACTTGGATGTTATCGGCGTCGAAGGGAACCCTCTCCAGGAGTCTTACAAGTCGATCCTCATGAAAGAGGGAACTCGGTCATTGATCGTTAATTTGAGAGACAACGCGCCAGGTAAGTTTCCTTCTCGATAAGGTTCACCCCGAAATCTCCGAAACATCCGCTAACGGATTTTCTTAGAGGAAGCTTATCCCCTTCCTCCGGTCGAACGCGATTGGGTTGTTCTTGCCGAGCCCGAAGGGGAAATCGATTCATTCCAGGTCGTATGCTACAACATTCTCTGCGACAAATACGCGACTGCGAACCAGTACGGATACGCTGCTTCGTGGGCGCTCAACTGGGAGTACCGCCGAGACCTCATCCTCCAGCAATTGATCACCGCGAAGGCCGATATCATCTGCCTTCAAGAAGTGGATGCGGACAGTTTCGATGAGTATTTCATGGACAGGCTGAAGGATGAGGAATATGCCGGAGTCCACCAGCCCAAGAGTCGTGCCAAGACCATGTCCGAGAACGAGAGGAGAAAGGTAGATGGTTGCGCAACTTTCTATAACACCACAAAGTATTTCACCTTGGATGGATCTTTAGATAGGATAGGGGGGAAGGGGAGAGGGAGGACGTTCCGTGCTGACCCGTTGTTTTTCTTCTAGGTATACCATGCTCGATAAGCACATTCTGGACTTCAGTTCTTCGGCAATCCAGCGCGAGGACTTCAAGAGAACCGCCGATATCTTCAACCGCGTGATGCCGAAAGACAACATCGCCATCATTACTTTCCTGCTCAACAAGCAGACTGGTTCGAGACTCATCGTCGCCAATGTTCACATCACCTGGGACCCCCAATTCAAGGATGTCAAGCTCGTGCAGGTTGCTATGCTATTGGAGGAGATTCACCGTCTGGCATCGAAGTGGCAGGATTTCGGTAATAGGGAACTGGAATCCGGCGTACCACCTCCCCCGCCGTACGCGGAACATACTCAGATTCCGCTGGTCATCTGCGGTGATTTTAACTCTATTGCGGAGAGTGGAGTCTACGAGCTCTTGTCTCGAGGATCCATTGGAAACGACCACGACGATCTTTCCGGCAGGATTTACGGCAACCTCACCAGGGATGGCATCTCACATCCGTTCCCGCTCAAGAGCTCGTACTCGAACGTTGGAGAACTCAAGTTTACGAACTACACGCCTGGCTTCACCGGTGTCATTGACTACATCTGGTACACCACGAACTCGCTGAACGTCACGGGCCTGCTGGGGGATGTGGATGACAAGTACCTCGCCACAGTCCCGGGATTCCCAAATATACACTTTCCGAGCGAGTAAGTTTGACAGTTCCTAACCTAATTTCGTGGTGTTGATGCTAACTCGTTGCTTTCCAGTCACATCCTCCTGCAAGCAGAATTCCAGGTCAAGCCTCGGAAAGAGGTCGTTAAGAAGCCACCTCCACCCGATTTTGGCGGAAGCTCTTCACGGAACAGATAGCGGTTTTCACGGACGACAACCGGGGAAGCCTGGCTTCAGCTGACCTTTCCAGGTATTGTTTGGTGGGGATCGGTTGTTTGTTTTTGCGTGAGCACTGTGCCGTTTGTCTGTTGGTAGGGTTGGTGGGCGAGGGAGGCGTACTATAGGGCATTTGCTTTGGGCGTCGTTTCGTTTCGTTTCATCTTTTTGTTGGCTCAATTTCGTTTTCTTTTGCGGGTATCCTTTATTTTCTCAATCTCTCAATCTCTCCATCTCTCCCTCCCTGTCTCTCCCTCTCCCTCTCTCGCTCTCGCAGCCGTTGAAGATCTCTGTCACGTTTGTTTCTTCATTCCCTACCTATTCGCCGTCGTGTCGCCTTCCACAAATATACCAACCCAAAACGTCATGGCGCCTACAATTGACGTGACGTGTTTTTTTTTCCCCATCTTCACTTTGCGTTGTTGTATGATCGGGTGGTTCAGGTGTGATGCGATCATGTGCTCATGTGCTCATGTTCATGCTTCAAGCTTTTTTCGTGTATCTGTGTGTGTGTGTTGGGGGGCTTCCGTTTTGCTGTCATCTCTTTTTTTTCCTTTTTTTCGGGGCTTGTTTCGTTTCGTTCGTTCCGCTTTGTTTTCCTTTTCTTTTCTTTTCTTTACGAAGGTACCGGGAATTCTGGTCCAGCTACTTTTTTCCCCCTACGATGTGTGCTGTGGTGAGATCGGGCGGAGGGGTGGAGGGGGAGGTTGGAGGGGGGGAGGTTGATTTCTGCTGCTCTTCTGCTTCTGCTCTTCTGCTCGCATGATATGCTTTTCCGTACTTACTTTACTTACTTTACTTACTTGCTTGGGGTGTTTGATGAATTGTGGAAGAAATACTTTCTGCGGTATCTACAGAGAGGACGAGTGATGTGCTGTGTAGCTACTATATGTGGGATTGGATCACGTGTTATACTACCGTAGTAATCGTGAACATGGAAAAATCCGAACCGCCCACCCACGGAATAAACCGAGCCCCACCACCCCACCACGACGACCACGACAATGCTCCCCCTCCGGCTCCTCGTGCGGCCGCTCCGGCCACCGCAGCACCCGCTATCCCTCGGACTGCGGACCTTCTCCAAAAAATCCAAGCTGAAGCCGAAGCCGAAGCCGAAGGCCTTACCCAAGCCCGCTTCGAAGCCCAAATCCGCGCCGAAGGCCGCGCCCAAATCCGCTCCCAACTCCGCGCCCAAATCCGCGCTCCCACCCCCACCGCCCTCGCTGACGACACTTTTATCGCAAGCCTCAGGACCCACGCTGCTGTACGCGAAGCACTCGGGCAAGTTCCTGGCGGCATCCTACACCGTCGCGGCAGCGTTCGGCTACATGTGCTGGGATACGTACGAGAGCCGGATCGCGCACCCGCCCGTGCCGCTGCCGACGTGGATGCGCGGCGCGTTTTTCGTTACCATTGGCGTGACCGGCGCGTTCGCGGCGTTTTTCGCGTGGAGGCCTGTTATGTACGTACTCTACTCAGGTTGGGGGAAGGTGGGGGTTAATGGGCGGTGGGAGGATAGGCTGCTACAGAAGATCTACGCGCACCCCGTCGCGGGGGCTCCAGGCACAGTGAAGTTCGTCCTCCATCGCCGGCCGATTCTCCCCGGCTTGCCGGACCGCAAAATCACCGTCGCCCACGCGTCCGATATCACGTTATCGCGGGTGCTGCAGCCGGTGGTTGCTGCGCCGACAATGGCGAAGAAGCCGCAGATCGGAGGTGTCAAGCGCATGGGAAGGATGCTCCTCGAGGCCCCGTTCACGTTCTTTCATGCCGCGAAGAATTTGGTCGTTAATGATGAGTTTGTTACGGTGAAGGTGAAGGGGGGCGGAACGTACTCGCTGCATCAGGACGGGTGGGTCTGGGAGAGGCGCGGGATTGATAGGTTGTTTGGGACTAAGGCTGCGACTAAATACTAGGGTTTGGGACAGTTGATGGGGAGTGTAGATATGGGCACGCACGCATGATAGTGGTGAACGTGAATGAAGGCCGGGAGTGATTGCAAACAAACGGAGGACTCGGGAGTGAGTGACATAGTGCACCGGAACCTCAGCGCTCTCTCTTGCAGGACACGTTACGTTACACAAACTGGTCCGTGCGTCATCAAGCTCGTTAGCGTGATCCGTCTCCACCCAACAACTTCAATCCCAACCACTGCCGGCCGCCACCTTGTGGGAAAGAAAGAAAAAAAATCTTGGAAACATCAACTTTCTTGAAGATTTCATCCACCATCACCACCGACCCGACCAGTAGACGACCGACCCCACCGCAAAGATGATCCAGCGTCTCTCTCTTCGCGCCTTCGGATCGCCGTTGCGGCGGCAGGCTCTTACTAGGGGTGCGTAACCCTACGCTTTTCACTCACGGTGGTGACGGTAGTGGGAGGGGAGGGGAGATAAGCGATTTACTGATCATAATGCGTGCAGGATTCCGCACCGCGACGGCCTACAACGCCGCGCAGGCAATGACCATGCCCGCCATGAGCCCGACGATGACGGAGGGCGCAATCGCCACGTGGAAGGTCGCCGAGGGTGTGTACCTGCCACCTCTCCCCCGCTAAACTACTCCGCTAATCCTCGCACCCAGGTGATTCCTTCTCCACCGGCGACGTACTCCTAGAGATCGAGACGGATAAGGCACAGATGGATGTGGAGGCGCAGGACGACGGGGTCATGGCCAAGATCGTGGTTGCGGCGGGGACGAAGGGTATAGCGGTCGGAACCCGCATCGCGGTGCTCGCCGAGCAGGGCGATGACCTGGCTACGCTCGAGATGCCGGAGGATGAGGGCGCGGCGAAGGACACGGGCTCGGCGAAGAAAAGTTTGGAGCAGGTGAAAGAGGAGATCACACCTGCCCAGTCGAAGAAGGATGTTCGCGAGAACACCGCCGGTGAGGGGAAGAAGGCGGAGTCCGAGTTGGAGGCGAGCACAGAGTCGTCGCACCATGGGAAGCGGCCAACTCACCCGTCGCCAAGTGTGATGAATGCGCTGCGGATCAATGGGCTCTCGATGGAGGAGGGGTTGAAGATCCGGGGGACGGGACCGAAGGGCCGCCTGCTGAAGGGTGATATCCTCGCGCACGTCGGCAAGATCAACAAGTCTGCGCCCGCCGACCTCTCCGCACGGATCAACAAGATGGCGCATATGGACCTGTCGAACATCAAGATCAAGCCAGCGGCTCCTCGCCCAGCACCCAAGAAATCCGCCGCTCTCCCACCACCCCCACAAGACACCTCCATCTCCCTGTCCATTTCCCTCGCCGAGATCTCGCGCGTCCAAGAGAAGATGCAGCGGACGCTGGGCACTCACGTCCCGCTCTCTGCGTTCATTTCCAAAGCCACGGCAGCGGCGAACGCCGCCCTCCCGCCGCGGGCCCTCCCACCATCCGCGGACGAACTATTCAACGACATCCTAGGCCTCCCCAACGCGCCCCGGCGAACCAGCGCAGGCACCTTTGCACCCTCGTTCTCGCCGCTGCATAAGTCGCCTGCCCTCGAGGTCGGGAAGAGCGACGTGGATATCTTTGATGAGCTCCTTGGTGGTGCGGCAACAACAGTCGCGCGCAAGGTCGCGGCCCCCGCCCAGGGGATCGTCGCCGGCGGAGAGAACGTAATCACACTTACTGTGCCCCCGGCTGAGGAACAGCGCGCGCGTGTGTTCCTGGGCCGCCTGAAGAACCTGCTGGAGAGCACCCCCGGAGAGCTGGTCGTATAGTTCGTTTGTAGTTAGATACCTAAATGTTGAATGCTTGAGATGTTTGAGATGTGTGTGTTTGTGTTTGTGGGGTGTGGGGGGATGTGGTGATGATGTGGGGATGTACCTAGGGGATGTATCATAGTTAGTGGGCGGTTGATGGGGGGGGTGTTATCGTTTTTAACTTGATTTTATACTGGTTTTACTGGATTTATGTACTGGTTCTACTGGATTTACTAGCACGCCGAGGATGCCGAGGAACCTCGGGTGCACAGCGGCCTTCCGCTTCTCCGAAAATTTTCTTTCTCGGCCCGTAGGTGGGAGACGAGTGATTGGCTGTGGTCATGTTTGTACCTTTATCACTCGAATTCAATTTCAACTTTTGGAGCATGGAGATAGTGGATCAAGCCCGGAAGTCGTCACTCGCCTATAGTTATACCCGAAGCGCGAAATCACGGAGGCTAAGTGGGAGGAGTTCAAGGCATGGCTTGACGCGGGAGTCACTACATATCAAGAAGTAGAAGAAGTACCGGAACAACCGGGAATTTTGCTATAGGTAGTAGAGACCGGACCCGGTCACGGTCACGGCCCAGGTCCCGAGCGCCTGGCTGGAGGGTTATACTTACCACTCTAGCCAACGCGAGAGTGGACTTGAGAGTTATTGGGGCGTCGGAAACTTTTGGTGAGTGCATGTGAGAGTTAATGCGGCGTTGCTGATACTCGTGATGTGTGAGCGAACGTGAGAGTGGATGGGACGTTGCAGACATGTGTACTGAGGGTGAAGGTGGGAGTGAATGGGGCATCGGAAACCCTTGGTGAGTGCATGTGAGAGTAAACACGGTATCAGGTACCCTTCGGGCTGCGGCTACTGAGCGAATAGTCTTTTAGATGGTTAGCGGAGACTGTCCGTGGAGATGGGACGGACGTGCTACATACTCATCATACCTATCATACCGGGAGTAAATAGTACTGCCTGGCCTATCAGTGACGGAGGCACGACTCGTCACTCGCTCCACGCCGGGCTCACTGCTGCTTACAAGTTACGAACTTACGATGGCATCACCAGAACGCCATGAGCCTAGTGTTTCCCACGGGCAACTACAGTAGCAGGAGGAGTTTCCGCGCCGTCCCGTTGCGAGCGTTGGAGTGGTGATGGAGGACGAAGTACGAAGCACTTTTCCATCCGAGAAGCTACAGCATCTTCGAATCCCACGCTCGGATATCTACCTACCTACCGGTATCTACCGGTCGGCATGGATACCGGAGCCCTCTCGGTTCGATTGCGGCGCGTTCTCCAGTAAGTGGCTGCGAATGGCATGGTCACCCGTTCCGTCCAGTCCCATCCGGTCCCGCACCGGCGTTCCGTCCCGTGCGGATATCTGCTCATCCCACCTACCCACCGACCCCGTCGTGGGACGTTCCACTAACTTCCACGAATCCGGCCGGCCGGCCAGCTCGAGTAATCAAATATCAATGATCGGGGAGAGCCCGGCAGCGATGGTGGTGGTGGTGGTGGTGGTGGTGGTGGTGGTGGTGGTGGTGGTGGTGGTCGTAGTGGTGGTGGTAATAGTGGTGGTGGTAATAGTGGTGGTGGTAATAGTGGTGCGGGAGATCGACAGATTATGCAACCACCTCCTCTTTCGATTGCGAATACGTCTGGGGGGGTTGGGGGGAGTGGTTGGGGGCTGTGTGAAAGGTTGCTGGTTGTGGGATACTAGTAACCCGGGAATGAGGGAGTTATGATTGTGTTTTGGGTGGAGGGAATGGGAAGGGGGTGCTCCGATGTTTGGGAATTACTATGCCTACGGTGAGGTGAGGTGAGGTGAGGGTGAGGGTGAGGTATTTGTTTATCTGGGTGGGCAGGTGGGGGGGTGGAATCTGGATCTCGACTGTTGTCCTGTGTTGTCCTGTGCTGTGGGGTGCTGTGTGGTGCCTGGATGGTGGGTGTGCATGTTTTGTCAGTTGTGTGGATGTTACCGGCCGGCCGGCCGTAAAAGACTCAAGACTCAAGAGAACGAGCGCGTATGTACCGAGAAGATGAACACCTACGGTACTTGGGTATGCACAAATACTGAGCTTACATACATACATACATCCGGCCCTCTGGTGTCCATGTGTCATTGTAGGAGACGTGTACCTACCTGGTATCGCTCTACTGCCCCGGCCAACAGCCAATGGTCAACGGCCAACGTGACGGCGGATTGATAGGTAGTAGAGGCGAACAAGACTTCCCGGGGTCTGGGAAGCAGCAAGCTCCTGCGTTCCCCGTGGGCCGTGGCAATGAGTACCGTATCATACCGTAGTTACAACGAAGCGATTCATCTGCCAGAAGAGCGGCCATAGGCTCGCACCCCACCCCACGGAGGCACGTACTGGCAAGCACTGGCGAGAACCTACATACATGCAGCCTGCGGGGCATCGAATCCCTCCCCACCCCACCCTGTGTTTCGGCGAAAGCGTTGCTTGCTTGCTTGTGGGTAAACGAAGCTGGCTGCTGGCTGGCTGCTGGAAGATGCTGTTTCCTCCACTCCGGTTCGCGGTGCTTATTCCGTCCATCCATCCGATTGCCAGCCATCCAGCCATCTAGCCAGCCAGCCAGCCAATCAGTCTCTCTCACGGTGGCGGCGGCGACGAATAGAAGCCTGCGTTCTGCCTCCACCCAATGCCCAATGCTCACGGCCAATACCCACCGCCAATGCCCAATGCCAATTGCGATTGCGCGATGACCCCCCCCCCCCCCTCCCCCCCCCCCAAACCAAAACCAAAACCCAAAGCACTGTTTCTTCTTTCCTGGAAGCGCGCGGCCAATCAAACCACCGATCCACACCCCTCCCCCGCGTAGGTTCCTATCCTATCGGCAAACCTCGAATCCGCTCGGCCAGCCAGTCGGTGCGTACTCTACTCTCCCGGTACTCTACTCTACAGCTCGTATGCTAAACGAAAGAAGAAAAAAACAAAACGAACGCAAACCAAACGTTCCTCCACCCCCGTCCCCCGTCGAGTTCGGTTCCGACAAGAGTGGATTATGTAGTTAGAATATAGAGTAGAGTGCATCGCGCTAAGGCGGGCGCCCTCTAATACCCACCTACATCCTAAACTACTTATAATACCGGTACATGTACGGTATCCTGTGCAGTGCAGTGCAGTGCGGTGCATGCAGGACCACATCAGCGAGACGCTCGAGTACTCTGTGGTATATAGTACCGCGCAGGGTTGGGAAGATCGGAACGTCTGTGAAGACTGCGGACGGTGGACGTGGCGACTGGGAAGTCTGCGAGGGTGCTTTGGAGAGATACCGTAGAGTGGAGTAGAGTACTTACAGTGGAGTAGGCACAGTGGAGTAGTTACAGCGGACGACAGCGGACGTTGCAGAGGATTAGAAATCTGCCTGGGTATGTAGGTAGATGCTCGCTGGACGCCGAGGTGCTTGCGGGAAAAGGGAATTGCCGGAGTAGATACATGCGAGTGCTGGTTCGTGAGCCGACCAGCAGCTGCGCTGGACACGCACATGTGTCTTGAAACTACTAGCAACTACTGCTGGCGAGGCCATTCCAGTCGGATCATCGCACTCTCGGGCCTACGTACGTACATAGGTGGGTACTTAGGTATCTGCTGGCCAACACCGTCGTCAATCTACCTAGGTGGGTATTCTATTGGACGATTGCATATAGAGCACGGTAGACCTGCTTCTTCGTCGACGTCGGCCGGATGATCTATACACCGTTTATGCCGTACCGTAGTTACCGTAGTTGCCGGACAAATTCTCCGGTATCCGTTGTCGCGACTCGTCAGCCCTGGCAGTGCCGGCTGGGACACCTCGAGAACAACAAATATTCTACCTGCCTGCGCAATCAGCAGAACCGATAGGTACCGGTAGGTATGTAGGCCTGGGAGCGAGCGAGAGAGAGATATCATATGGCCGTGGGTAACGGGTCTGGGGGTCTGGACTGCCTACAGTGACAGTGACAGTGACAGTGACAGCTAGTTGGTGTTGGTACCGACTTCGGTCTCGTGGACGGTGGCCACAGAGTCGGTTGCTACTCTAAACCGGGTACGAGTAGTGCCTGGCTATTTTGGCCGGCCTGACTGTTACCTGTAAACCTGTAAACCTGTTATGTACCCAGAGTACCTTGTCGTCGCCCATCGGCGGCGGCTATCCACGCCTCGCCTTGCCACGCCTCGCCTGCCAACGCCTGCCTGCCAACGCTGGGTCCCGGTCCCGTGTTCTGTCGTGGGTTGCAACTTGCTGCTCATCCGGGGTGTGGCGAAGCGACGGCCAGAATCCGACTCTTGCACTTTTTGGCTGGTTGGTACCGGTACCGGTACCGGTATGTTGCATCGAGTGTCAAGACTCAAGTTGTTAACATCTGCTCTGCACTGCTCGCTCGAGACGTTTGTGCGACGGCCTAGCACTTCCTTGCTAAAGATCGTTGCTCAAAGAGTAGCCAGCTCTGCCTAGACTCTAGGTAGAGCAGCCCGTCTCGATTCTCTAGACCGTCGGTGTCGGTGGCGAATACCTATCACAGCCGTGTACTCTACGGTGCCGCCCCCGGGTCCCAAGACCCGATTCCCGACGTGGTGATACATATCATAGAGAAATCGAGGCCTAGGCTGGCTGCCGTTCCGGAAGGCTGAAGCAAGCAAGCCGCACTCCGTGGAAAAAGCTGAAGACAGCCCCGACATGCCACCGGGGTGCTGAGAATCTGAGATGGTGATTTCGTGTGTGTCGTTGGTTTCATGAGAGATGTGGATGTGGATGGATAGATCATGGGGGCGACCACTGACTGCCGGCCGTTGTCGTCGTCGAGTCATGAAGATCGGATTTTCACAGAAGGATCGAGGTCTTTATGCCTGCCGTAACTTGTTCCACGGATAAGGACTACGGCTTGTATGATATATCCGCAATTATCAATTACGGTATGCGGTGCCCAAATATGTATGTACATGACCCAGGTTGTGTATGATATGTGATTACCGGTATACGCTTGTGCACTCACTGTATCATGTATGTAGGCGAGGGCGCGGCGCAGAACTCGGCACCTGGATGCTGGCTCCTTCTGTTTATCCTTCTTATGTACCATGTTTTGCGTGTTTGGCTTCGTCGTGTGGCATCTCGGCCTACCTACTTAGTTACCGCTGCCCGGTCGGAGCGGGCGTGCCAGCCAGCGTCGAACCGACTGCCATTTACCGTTTACCATCTCCGGATCTGACTCTTCAAAGCTCCTTATGCATACCGGTACCAGGCCGCCGACCACCTCCGACTCACTCCCCTCACCAAGCTCAGTACATACCCCGTCCGTCCGCCGTAGGACCGTAGGTTCCTCATCCAGGCCGCGTACGGCTCCTCCGCACCGAGTGCCGATCCGCTTGGTCGACTTGACCGAGTGACGAGTCCTTCCGTGCGCCGTTCCCTCCCGAGTATCAGCGGTTGCCCAATGAGCTGCTATCGGAGGATCGACGTGTTGGCGTTCGATGCTCAGTGCGTCCTCCACCCACTTCTCCGAGAAGATGTTCCCATCGTGGGGGTTGCCTACCTACCTACCGCAGAGTTCGACTTTTGCAGCGCATGGCGGAATCTGTATATCACGGTGCTGCTTGGAGGCTTGGAGGGGAAACGTATGTGCCGAAGCAAATGTGCCGAAGACGCTGCTGCTGCTTGGACTCTGGAGGGGAAAAGAAGTGCCGGACGTTGAGTGAGACTGTGAGAGAGTTGCGGGAGACTGTGAGAGAGTTGCGGGGCTGGCTGGGCGAATGCCCAGGAAAAGGGCCAAGGTGTCGTGCTCTACTTACTTTTGGGGAAGGAGTATAGGTTGCGATGGAGGTTATTACAGCAGTCTCATTGTCATTGAGCCGAATTCCTCGCCATGTTGCGCTTGGCTGGCTGGAAGACCGCCGCCACGCCCGTTGGACGATGGAGATGTTTGCAGCTGCGAGCTCCGAGTGGTACGGTACGGTACGCGCGGCAGACCCGATTCCCGAGCCACGGAATGATGCGTGGCAGATTATAGCTGTTCACGGTCTTGTACCGTCGTGATTCGTGGGCAAACCCCCGGTACTCTATATGGTAGGTACATACACTGCTTTGCACCCCACCTATAAAACCGTTGTGCACGGTATGTGGTTGGTTAGCACCTTGTCGAACTCATCTCCTCCGCATCGTCATCCAGCGGTGGCCACTATCAGTACTCTGCCGTACTCTGCCGTACTCTGCCGTACTCTGCCGTACTCTGCCGTACTCTACCGTACCTCGCCTCGCCTCGCCTGGCCTCACCTCGCCTGCCAACGTCGGGTCCCGTGGGTGGTCCTGGGTGGTCCGTGGGTGGCCCGTGGGGTGGGTTGGGTGTTTCCGGCGGATCCAAAACAAAGCAAACAAGTGTGGCAAACGGGCAGTACCATTGGTACCATACCTACCATACTCTATCCACATCCACATCCACTCTACCCTACCATCACCAACCAACCATCGCACGATTCCAGTACAAACATTGCCAGTTAACTCGTCACACCGAGCTTCAAGCGTCGGCTGGAAACCGCCTGTTCAGAACATCAGAGACAGACAGACGACGTCGTGCGACGGCTAAGGATTGCCATCCAACCCGAGCGAGCACTGTATATTGCACTTGTGACTTCCCTGTTATCTTTATCTTTGCACTAGATTCCTCCTTGAGGACACGGACGCGGATTGCCGAATGATAATAATAATCAGGCCCCACCGCTCGTCTCGTCTACTCTGGTGGGGTATGTGCCGACGTGCATGAGCTGGGGAGTGGGAGGGGAGGGGAGGGGAGGGGCGCTCGGATGCTTGGTTTGGTTGCTTGGTTGGTTGGGTGTGGGCGTGTGGGAGCGAGCTGAGCTTGAGCTGAGCTGAGCTGAGCTGAGCTGGTGGGTAGAGTATAGTAGAGTGCCGTGCCGTACGGGGGGCGCGGCGGGTACGGAGGTAAGGAAGCTGGAAGGAAGGAGGAAGGAAAGGAAAGGGATGCGCGCGCGCCATCATAGGTACATGCGCTACATATTTCCTAGGTGCAGAGCTTCCCAAACCCACATATGCGATGCGATGCGTCCTTCAGTACTCTACTTCAGTGTGTCGGTCGTTTCGTATCCCATCACATCACCGCAGACACTCTATGTATGTACCATACACACATACAGGTTATGTAGTTACGCAGGCAGCAAAAGCAAAAGCAAAAGCGAAGAGAAAAAGAAAAATATGCAGCGCCCCCCCCCCCCCCCCCGGCCCCCCCCCATGCGCGTCACATCACATCAGGGACGGACGGACTCTGACGGACGGACGGGGATCCGGGATGACATGCCCCCGTGCAGTGCAGCGGTCTGCAGCGGTCTGTTCCGAGAGACGTCGCGTCGCGTCCCGGGGACTTATCTATCTATGCATTCAGCCTTGCTTTTTTTTCCTTGCGGTTCTTTGCTTTTGCTGGCTGGGGAGCGGTGAGAGGTGGGATGTGGGAGCGTCACTGCGATGGAGGCGGGATGGTAGTGGACGTGGCAGTGGATGTGGGAGTGGAAGTGGAAGTGGGAGTGGGGTGGTGGTGGTGGTCGCGGGCGCTCATGGCTCGTCACTCGGCACTCGATGTTTGGCGATTGGCCGTTGGCGGTTGGCGATTATTTCGCACAATTACTCCAAGACCGCGATGGCGAGCTTTATCGTCGCGGACGTTTGTTTGCTCGCGGTTTGCTTAAGGTTGCGAGGACGTGGGGTGTCGATATCGATAACTGCGTGCTCGAGCAACGGCGGCCATGGACACAACAGCTTGCTTACCTATCTGATAGGTAGGTAGGCCGTCCTCGTCGCCAGCTTTCCGGTATCCATGCGGCATCCCATGTTCATCAGACCGGCCGCCCACATACACACATACATTCCGTACATACATCGCATACACCCGCATGAAGGGCGCATCACAAAGTACATACATCACACATCAGTACTTACATGGGCATAGATACATTGCATATGCCCACGGGGCTTCCAAGTATCCGTACCATACCGGTAGGCGTGTAAGTACTTGCCGAGCAATCTACACACCTCCGCGTTGCGTTGCGTTGTCGATGAGATGTACTTACTTCAGAGTACTCTTCGCACGCAACGCCGCCGCATATACATAGCATACCGAGAGTATCCCCCGTAGTTAATAACTGGCGGCCTATACCGACCGCGAGGGGATTTCGGCGTACCTACTATGGAGACAGAGACAGAGACAGAGACGCCAGAAGATCGATATTGCGGTGGATTCAGTAGCTGGTGCACGTGGGGATGGAGTACATCATGTATGCAGGATATGGACGTAGGTAGGAGGTACATACATGAGGTATCTACATGCATAGAGTACTATACCTACAACATGTACATGAGCCAAGCACCGCTGAGTCACGTCCCGCAGTAGTTGGCATCCGGACTGCATATCTACACTTGGTAGCGTCCGTGACGTCCCTTTCATGCGTCCACGGTCCCACACCTCTGTGCCTGCCTGCCAGACTGCCTGCCTGTCTGCCTGTCTGCCTGTCTGCCTGTCTGCCGCCGCCACCGGACGAGGAGGCGAGTGAGGCGAGGTGGTATACCGGTACTCTACTCTACTCTACTCCGGTAGCAGTTACACGACCGCGATCCACAGTGAGTGAATGAGTGAATGAGTGAGTGATCAGTGGATGAGTGAGTTACAACTTACCGGCAGACCTTGGACTGCCTGCCAACCATCCACCGGTATGTGCTCCATCGACCATCGAGATCTGACCAGTGACCGGCCGATACCATGCGGCGCATGTAGAGTAGAGTACTCTACTACATACCCAGCAGAGTACCATAGTACCGTACAGTAGGTACAGGAAAGTACAGTACGCACGGCGTCTAGAGTGCTTGCTCGGATGGGATACCCAGCTACCATCGCGTCTATACCGTCCCCTACAAACTCTATGTACCATGTGTACCATGTGTCGGTAGGTAGAGTACATACTACACCCACTCGGAATTCTCCGAGCACATGCCCTCCAACTCTCCAACGGTCAACCCGATCGCGAGCACGAGTCGACGCCGCCCTGCGGCCCCGGTCCTACTCTACAGGCTATGCATACAGCGTGAAACACACGTCGAACGCTGTGGTCCGCTGGGCGTTCGATAGTATAATATACTAGTAGTCCCGCCCTGGTCCGTGCGCACCCACGTTCTCGCCCTACCCACAGCCCGCAGCCAGGTCTGTCTGCCGCCCAGGCTCCAGATCCAGACTCCAGACTCCCGGCCGCGCACGTTCTTTGCTATGTAAACCCCGCAGCACGTTCCGTCTTGGTAGGCAGGTGTGTGGGTAGAAAAAACGTTAATTGCGTGCGAGTGCCAGGTGGGAGTCTGGACAGTGGGAGTCGGAGTGTCGGAGTTATCGTGCGCGGCTGTCACTCGAAGGAGTCGGGGGGAGTCGGGATGAGTTGAGGGGAGTTCTGGATGAGCTGGTGCCTGCTACCTATGGTACATACTCTGCTAACTGCCAGTGCCGGTGCCAGTGGCAGTACTAATGGCAGCACCAGTGGCAATGGAAGTGAAAGTGAAAGTACCACCAGTACCAGTAGCTACCAGTGCAAGTGCCAGTGGCAGTACCAGCCACCTCACCATCCCATCGAGCCTCAATCTTGAAACCTCAACCTTCAAACCTCAACCTTCAAACCTCAACTCTCAACGCATACCTTCCTATGCACACAAGTATACAAGTATAAGTACACAAGTAAGCACCTATCGTACTAGGTCCCAGTAAGTAAGCAGGAGCCTCGATTATCTTCAAGATAAGCCCCCCATGCCCCCCTCCTCCCCCCCCATGCCCCCCCATGCCCATCCGTGCCCCGCTACGCCACGATAACGGGCGGAAGCCCAAGCCCAAGCCCAAGCCCAAGCCCAAGGTGTGTGTGCGAACCCTGGGGTAGGGTAGGATAGGGTGGGGTGAAAGCTACTCTACTCTACTTTACATACCCCGTTTCCGCAGGGAGGGGGAGGGGCTTCCGGGCTTCCACGACGACGACGACGAGGAGGACGACGGTATTGCTGAAAGTCTGAAGCCTGAAGCCTGAAACTGCCTTCCCTCCCGTGGTCCATGGGTATGGTATCATAGGCGCTTCGAAACGGTGCCGCGGGGCCTGGCAGGGCGGGGCGGGGGATGGGGGGGGGGGGGGGGAGGGGGATTTCTGCCTGTTCTTTGATGGGCTTCATCCCCCCCTCTCTCCAGACTCTGGCTGGGTATGTACCGTACATAGTAGGCAGAAGGCAGAAGGCAGAAGGCAGAAGGCAGAAGGATTTGAATTTTGATGTCCGGGATGTGTGTGATGTGTGTGATCCCATCCTGTGCTACTTACGGAACGCATGGGCTAGCCGTCCCGTGATCACCAACTCAACTCGACTCGCTGGGTGTAGAGTGCCAGCACTGCCGGTATGGAGTCTGGCTAATCCCGAAGCCGGACGAGAGAGGAAAAAAGGAAAGGAAAAAAATGAGAAACGGAGGAGGAAGAAGGAAAACCGAAAGGAAAAGGAAGCTATGACGTTACGGACATGGAAGGTCGTTGTTGGTCGCTAGGCGATGCCTGGATAGCTGCTCTGCTCTGCTCTGCGGTGCTCTGCGGTGCTCTGCGGTGCTCTGCTCTGCGGTACTCTGGTTGGTTAGAGACTTGGAATACCATGGAATCGACTCTAGAATCTACTCTAGATACCGGTACTCCTCGGGTGGGGTTAAGATACAGACACAGACACAGACACAGACACAGACACTGTTCTCCGGGGATGGATCCTTTCGTTTCTTCTTCTTCTTCCTCATCCTCATCCTCTTCTTCCTCTTCGTCTTCGTCTTGTTCTTTCTCATCCTCGTCTTCCTCCCTCGCTCGGATGACCACTGACCACACTCGCCGGACCAGCCTACCCCGCGAGTTCCAGAACCACCATGCACACAAGTACACAATAGTGTAGTACCCATCCGCATCTCGAATTCCTTCTTCCTTGACGTTCCTTCTTCCTCGCCCCCAGGCCGAGGGGGCGAGAATATATCTCCCTCGTGCACTCCCTCGTGCCCGTGAAGGTACGTTGCTTTTTCCACCCCCCGACTCCCAGAGCGTTTCGGCGGACGCGCTGTCCTTCAGAGTTCAGACCAGTTCAGACCAGTGCAGACCAGTTCAGACCAGTGCAGGCCAGTTCAGGTCAGCGTGCTGCACTGCACGTGCATCTTGTATCATATGTACATCCTGCCGCCTGCGTACTCTAGGTACTCCAGGCATGTATGTACTCCAGGTATGTACTCCAGGTATGTGCCCCGCAATTTCTATGTATGTATGCGCAATAGCGGCGATGCGTTACATAAGACTCCATAAGACGGCATAGGTGCTCTAGGGTATGGTATGGTATGGTATGTCTGGTGGTAGGTGGGGAGGGGAGGAGGTACGGGAGCAGGTCGCTGCTGGCCCGCTCCGCATGCCCGCCAGCCAGCCTCCAGGCGCCTCGATCCCGAGCATGAGCGTTATGAGCATGGTGAGCGTTATGGGAATGGTGAGGGTAGTGAGGGTAATGAGCATAATGCGCTGTCGTTACATATCCTGCCTACCTGCCTGTCTGTCTGCTTGCTTGCCTGTCTGCCTATACCGTACGAGCTATATCCCCCCCACGACACCGGCGAGTCCACGACACCGGCGAGGCGAGAGGGCAGAAAGTGGCAGCAAGAAAGAAAGAAAGAAAGAAGGAAGGAAGGAAACGTATGTAGAGAAAAGAAAGAAGTTCGAGAAACGAAAAAGCAAAACGCTGCAAAACGCTGCAACACCCACGGCTCGTACCAGCCTCTAGGAACGATAGAGTCGGGACCGACTCGTTAACCAACTCGGAGAGATGGTGTTGCGGCGACCGCGGCCGTGTTCGTGACGGTGGAAAGTCTCCGATTGGTCCTCGCGCTACCATACCTACTATAAACACTCCGTTTTTCATCCAGCGTATCATATCATGCGGCTCCCTCTCACCTTTTTGCTTTCTTTCCTTTTTATCACTTTATTTGCTTTTCGTTCGTTTGCCTTTCACCTTCCCTTCGCCGGACAAAGCTGGTGAGTCGAGAGTCGAGAGTCGAGAGGCCGGGATAGGTATGTAGAGTATGTATGGACCGTCTGGATGTATCTATCATATGCTATAGTACATATTGCTCACGCCGCGGCGCCGCCCCCAAGCAGTGAGCACAAGCAGTCCAAGCACAAGCACCCCACAAAAAGCTAAAATCTCCGTCCCCAGATATCCCGGCCCTTGCCCAGTGCCCAGTGCCCAGGTGCCCAGGTGCGCTCGAGAAGAAGAAAAAACCATGCGAGCTGGGTTGGGTTGGGTTGGGTTGGGTTGGGTTGGGTGGCGGGCCTCAGTGTGGACAGTGTGGAACCAACAAAGACTTTTTTCCTCCCTTTTCTGCTGATGCTGATGCTGATGCTGATGCTTCTTGGATATAGCTGGCTGGCTGGCTAACTGGCTGACTTACTGGCTGGATGAATGGATAAGATTTAGAGTGTCTAGATATCTATCCCCAACTATCCCCAGGTATCCCCAGTTATCCCCACGCCAAGCAGGCGCGCGTGGAGCGATGAGATAACTGTGTAGATATGTAGGTAGGTGGTACACACCTATCTTCCCGAGTCCCGGCTGGTCTGCGTCCGCGTCCGCGTCCGCGCGGGTGGGTGAGATGAGAAGAGAAGAGTTTTCACGAAAAGAAATGTGGAGATACCGTATGATGTCTATCGTCTTGTGTTCCCACGGATAGGTGGCCTATGGGTATGGCGAGAGAAGAGAAGAGTCATGTGCGGAACGAAACGAGGCAGTGAAACTTCGTCTACATATGTGCGGTATCTATCTGTCGGCAAATGAAGGCGAAGACGGGGAGATGGGGATGCAAATACCAATGCCAAGTTCCAGACGGAGGTCTGGAAGTCTGGAAGTCTGGGAGACTTTCTGTGTCGAGTTCGGGCACTAATCGGGTGCTGTATAGTACCTATCTGGCATGCGCAGTGGGCTTGATGTATAGGCATGATGTATAGGTATGTGGGTGTAGTTCTCCTGCGGTGAAGCATGGCGGACGTAAAAGTTTAGCACCAGCAGCTCTCCTCCTCATCTCCACCACCATCATCATCGTCGTCCTCATCAATCGCCGTCGTGGTGGTCGTTGGAGAAAAAGCATTCGTCAGCCCGTCAGCTCGCAAACTAGACCGGACCGGAAGTCGTCCCCGTCCCCATCCCCGTCCCGTCGCCGTCAGTGTATGTAGGTAGGTAAGATAAACTTTGCTCGAGTTGTCGTGATGTTTAGCTTTGGCTTCCCGGAAGGCGGGGAGGCGGGGGATCAACGAGATGAGCATGGCGGTGACCGTACCTACTACCGTAGTAGGTAAGCAGGTAGGCGGCTACCGCATGTATGTAGGTAGTATATGTATCTCGACGTCAAGTTTCGCCGACGTTGCCTTGGAAGATCGCCCCCGAGACTCGAGGCCGTAGAGCTGCCGGATCTGCTGTCGGATCTGCTGCCGGATCTGCTGTCGGATCTTGTGGGTTGATACGTCAACCTTCCCCGCTCAGCACTTTGTCCACTCCTTCCTCCCCTCCTTCTTCGGCACCCCGAGCCAGCCCGAGTCAGCCCGAGTCAGCCCGAGTCAGCCCGAGTCAGACCGTTCTACGTTCTCCGTCCTCCGCGTTCCGTCGGCCGCAGATTTGCAGACTCGCAGATGAACCCGCGCGTCCGCTTACCTACCGTAAGCGGTCCCCAAACCCCAACTGCAGCTGCCTATACATACTCTGGAGTACTTACTGTGCCTCCTGCCCCCGCCGCGCCCCCCACAGATACTCTACATACGATACAGATACAGACACAGATTCCAACGGTGAGATTTGCATGTATGTATGATCGTATCTGGCGATGTCATTGGACGGGTCACGAGCGCGTAGAGTATGCTATGTATGTATGCTGAGTATGCGGGGGCACTGGGGTGGGGCGGGGCAGGGTGCGGCAGGGATTACCGCGTAGAGTATCGCCACCACCACACTGGGGCGAGGGAGAGCTCGGGGAATCCTTACATACCCCGTAGTTAACCCCGTATGTAACCCCGGGTGATCAGCCTTCAGGGTCCAGTCAGGATTCAGGAATGGGAATAGGAATGGGAATAGGAATAGGAATAGGAATACATAGGAATAGGAATAGGGATAGGAAGCGATGTGGTTATGTGGGTAGGTGGGTAGGTGGGTAGGTGAAATTACTGTGGCGACTGGCGAGGGGGACTGGACATAAGGTAGCGGGTAGATATGTAGGAGAAGGGAGAGAGCGCGGGGAACGAAGGATGGGAGGTGGCGGCAGTAGAAGCAGGAGAACGCGGGGGGGAGGGGGGGAAGAGGGGGGGAAGCGCTGTGGCATGAAGCGGTATCCGCCAGCCAGCTGTGGGGTAGTTGCGTAGGGTAGTTACGTGCAGTGCAGTTCACTTCAGCCTGGAGGTGCTGGTGGATCGTCGCCGTGGAGTGACTGTGATGCTGTGATGTACAATACCGTAGTAGGTACTTGCTCGATTCCTCCTCATGCTATACTGATATCCACGGCGAGAGATCATAGAGTCCCCACCAGCCCGTATGTAGAACAAACAAACCGTGTATGCGTGTATTTGTGCGTGGGGGAGGTGATGCGCTCGCCTTCGAAGTTTGAAGTTCAAAGAAAGAAAGATCGTCGAACCTTCTCTTCTCATTCCCTCCATTCCCTCAAGCCTCGCCCGAGCAAGCACGCTCTGATCGTCAGTCGGCACTCGCCCACAACTCTAGAAAAGAAAAGTAACTCTTAATCCCGTGGTCTTTGGAACTCCCTCATCCCGCAAAAAAAAAAAAACACCAACCACAAAACCACGAAACCACGAAACTACGAAACTACGAAACTAGAGAACGAAACATACGCGCAACAACCGCTGCAGGCCAATCATATCCCCAGCTGGGGGTGGGTGCTGGGTGGGTGCTGGGTGGTGTGCACCACTCACGGGTCCGTCGAGGGTGGGAGGGGGGGTATGACATCGTCAGTCAGTCGAGAACAGAAGGGAAGGGCAGAAGAAGAAGAAGAAATCCCCACGGGGTTCGCTGCTGGTGGTGGTGCTGGGTGGTGGTAGTGGTGGTGGGCGCAGGGACCACTGTGATTGGCGCAGGCTGGAGGGTTGGACTCTGGAGGCCAGGAGGGGGGCGTGGTAGTGTAGATATGTATTTACTAGTATTTACCTTCCGGTAGCGTAGCATAGCGGGGAGGGGGCGTGCGAGGGTGGAAGTGCGAGGGAGGGACAGACGAGGATGGGATGGGATGGTGACACTTATTTTGGCCTATTTTGGCTTTTGGCTTTTTGGCTTCGTGGCTGTATGTCTGACTGTCTGGCTGGCTTGGAGGCTGGGCTCCGAGGCTGGCTGGCTTAGTGGTGGTGGTGGTTGTGTGGCTTTCGTGGATGTGGACCCTGAGCTCAAGCTCGAGTTCGCAGTTTGAGGCGCGGGAGGCGCTGGTGACGGTACTTGCCTATAGTACGGTGGGGGAGCAGCAGCAGCAGCAGCAGGAGGAGGAGGAGGTACAAAGGCCCGCTGGGAGCCCGCGAGCTCGAGGTGTTGACGATCGCTGGAGACTGGACGACAACGACATGGGAGGACTACTCGTACCTACTCGAGTACCTACGGACGGGCTGAATGTATCATCATATGATACCAGGAAGAACAGGCATCTACACACCCTGGAGTGGAGAGGAGTGGAAGCGCCATACCCCACTACACGCTCCACTACCTACAGGTATCTACAGGTAGTTCGACCATCAACCGGATATCACCCTCACCATCACCAGGACGACGCCTGAGACAATCGATCAGATACCAGTTACCAGTTACCAGTTTGCGGCAGCACGAGTACTCTACCCTCTAGTACTCATATCAATCCTCCGACGTCGGACCAGACCAGCAGACAAACGACCGCCCGTCCGCCTGGATGGAAAAACCGTCCGTCCGGGCACCGAATGACCCGTATTGTACAATACCCACCACATCACGGGCCGATGATACTCCAGGTATATACATCATACATGACACCACCCCGATTGCACGCGGGGGGATCACAAGCGCCAGCTGGGCGTACATACATACGTGCCGGTGTTTCCTGCCTGCCTGCCTACCTGCCCAGTGCCGGCCTGAGGACTACCTGCTGAGGCCACCTAGCTACATGCTCTAGTATAGCCTGAGTCCGTGAGGCCTCAGTTCGCCTTGCGGGGCTACGGGGCTACAGTCCTTGTTCCCAACTTCCTAACTTCCCTTGGATGGGTGATGTTTGTACTTACATAACTGACATAACTCGCTCGTATCTGCTACCTGGTATAGCTACTAGTATATCTACTACCTGGAAAGATAGACGCGAAGAACTGTCCTAGCGAGCACGACATCCTTCCAGTACCTGTGTAGATATGTAGATATGTAGATAGTTGGATAGGTAGTTGGATAACCAACCGGATCGTCGTCGGCGGCGGTGGTCAGTTCGGCCAGGTCAACGGCGGACGTCTCGACTCTCCACGTCTCCCAGCTCTCCATCCCTTCCTCCCAGCTCTTCCCAGCTCCCTCCCTTGCGCGAATCTTCAGCGTGTACATAAAGATATACGATAGATAGATAGAGGTAGCCAAGTACCTACACCGCGTAGAGTACTCCCCATACCGGTATACCAGCCTGCCCGTCCGTCCATATCTACCGCAACGAGCAAGCAGATGCGCACGCGCTCTTTGCTCTTTTCGCACGCGCTCTTTTCGCACCGCACCGCTTCCGCACACGCTCTTTTTCGCACCGCTTCCGCATCGCATTCGCACCGCCGAGCTGAACGTCCAATGTTTTACCCCCCCAAAAGAGGGTTTCATTAATATTTTCTGGAGGGGGGAAGGGGGGGGGGCTATTATTTTGTTGTATTTTCTGGGGTGGTGGTGGTGGGTGGGAGGGGTGAGATGCAGTTGGTCACAAAACGTTTGCGGAGGTGGAGGTTGGATGGAGGTGAGGTGCGATAGGGTGGGGATCATCCCACTCGCTCTCGTCGACCGTGAGGGGGGGCAGGGGAGTGATAGCGTAAATAAACTGCTGCACTGCTGCAAGTGAATGCACGTACGGGGGGAGGGAGGGAGGGCACGCTCGGCACACACATGAGTTGGGTGCAGGATGGGAAGTGCTCTAACCACTGGCTCCGTTCCGTAAGATTGTGGGATTATTAGACGGGGCAGGCAAACATGTTGTTAGAAAGAAGATGCGGCGGAAAGGAGCAGACAGAGGCGGTGAGCGTTCGTTCGTGAGGTCGAGCTGGAAACAATCGCGCGACAGCCGTTGCGAGGGGGGCGGGAAGTTCTCGCTGCTTTTTCCAATTGTTCTTTTTTTTCTTTTCTATTCTTCTCTTTTCTTTTCGCGGTGCTGCGCTGCGAGCGGCTGGCTGGCTGGCTGTGTCTGCTGTGTCAGGTTGTGTGGTTCAGTGGTTGAATGGTTGAGTGATTCGTCAGGTTTCCCGTTCCTTCAGGACAACAAAAGGCAACATACGGCGGGCAGGGACAAGCAGGATCCGGCACCTTGGGGAAAGCTCCTTCACGGCCTACCGACATACGCGGGAGACTGCATACATTCATATAAGAAGGAGGACGAGGAAACAGGAGGCGGCTGTATCTGGCTGACGGGGAGATTAAAACATTCGAGTTCAGCGAGAGAGCGGGCGCGGGCGGGCGAGTGCGAACAGCCCACGACGAACGAGTTCGCGAGGACGAGCGAAACGGATCAACTAACTGTGAGGACGGAGGTACACTATTGGCTGGCAGCTGCTAGTTAGTAACATAGAGCAGTAAGTGTCGCAAGCCTAGACTACTCCACTCTACTGTCGGCCGCCGGTCGCTCGTTAGATAGATAGACGCTGGTCTGGCCTGGCTGGTTGGCAGACGATGATGATGCTGATGATGCTGATGATGCTGATGGCATCGGGGAGGGATAACGCACGGAACGGGGGTGGCAGATTAATAGATTAGCTTGATGGATGGATGGATATGGGGGGTGGAGGGTGGGGCATACATGCATGCTCGCATCCATGGCAAGTTCGCTGGTGTGCAGAAGCAGAAGCAGAAGCAGAGCAGCAGCAGATCCAAGGGTCCCATCCTAGTCGGCGCTGTCCGTCATCGTCAAATGCCGTGGAATAGGAAGTGCGAGTAGCAGAGGAAGTCGCTGGTATCCGGACGGAGTTGGAGTGGCATTCGCAGCCTGTCCGAGTACCCACCGATCGGTCGGTCTCGGTGGGAGTGGGTGCGTACTTGAAGGGACGGGCGGTGGCAGCAGTGAGGCGCGGCGGCAGTGGAATAGGAATAGAAGTGGAAGTAGATACTCGAGCAGCAAGGAGCAGCGGCAGCGGCAGGGTACATAGTGAAGGTGGTGAGGATTATGAGAGTTGTGAGGGTTGTAAGGGTGGTGAGGGTGGTGTAGTGGTGAGGGTGGTGTAGTGGTGTAGTGGGTGTAGTGATGAAAGTGGTGGTGGTGAGCATAGTGGAGGTCTCGATGGTGTATCATCAATAACAACACCACCACCTCCACCACCACCACCAGCACCACTACCAGCTTGCTCCGACACTAAAAAAGTTCGCCTCGCTCGACTAAAGAAGCACACGGCCCCCTTCTTGCCGTAACTAACATCCACTCCCATCTCGACTCCCTCCGACTCCCTCCCTCCTTCCTCCTTCTCCCTCCTCCTACTAATCCACCCCCGTCACCTCTTCCCGCTCTACCTCGAACCCTCTCCCCTGTTTCCTTTCCCTCTTACCTACCCCCCCTTCCCCCCACCCACTCCCCTCCTCCTACTCTCCTCCTCCGTCGTTTCGTTGTTTATTCATTCTCTTCTCGTGAAGGCGAAGAAGTAGAAGAACAAGAACGAGCAGGAACGCCGACGTTTCTACGCCCACCAACCCCCGTCGCAATTCTCCGCCACGACTGCAACCCACTCCCCCCTAAACCCTTCTAATCGACGAGCCGTTCACTCGGCTTGCAACCCGTCACCCGACCTCTTCCTCCTCCATCCATACCCTCCCCGTCGAGAATTGTCGTCCATCACCACCACCACTACCTCCACCACTACACACCTAACCATACGATCATCCCCCTGCGCCGGTCTCAGCATCCATCGGAAGGAAACCGCACTTTCCCCAAGTGTTTCGACGCTCACCATTCTATCGCCCCCAAGCCTCCAGTCTTCTGGTCACGACCTCTACTCTCACCCACTCACCCACCCACCCAACCCCCACCATCCATCCATCCCACAACCTGACGAATAGACGAAGTGTGCTGTGTGTGTGGTTGCTGCTGCGCGTGTATGCCCGTTCTGTTCGTTCGTACTTATTCAGCCTCGCTCCGGAAGCTTTGTTCGTCACCCATCATCATCGCCTGCCCCACACTATTACTCGACAGAACCACTACCACTACTACTGCTATTACTACTGTTACTACCAACTACTATTCCCACACGTTCCCTTTCTCCGTGTGTGCCTCGTGAAACAGCTTGCCTCGCGCGTTCATTCTTTAGTGTGGTGAGTTTCTGACGCAAGCCCTGTCCTCCTGTCCTATCCTGCCCTGCCCTGCCCCATCATGTCCTGCATTCCTGCACTCCTGCACTGTCTGTCCATCGCGCCCAGATCTTCCGCTCAATCATATATGCTCTTCCCTCTCTCGATCCTTCCATCCTGTAGCCCGCTCGGTGCTTGTACGCAGCTTGTAGCGACAAGACATCATGCTGAACATCCGCTCCTAGGAAAACTACTGGTCCCTGCCGACACAGCCGCTTTCCGGACACTCAACTAACCGATCATCATAAACCCTCCCCCCCCTCTCCCACCTGACCGACCGTCCAACCAACCACAAAACAGCCACACGTCGCTGTTTGGCAAATAAAAAAGTTTCACGGACGACATTTTTTGGTCCCAGCTCTCTCCCCCCGGGAAAAAAAAACCTTCCTCGAAGACACGCCACATACATATGTGTTGATAGCTGCCATGGAATCAGAAGACGGCCAATTATTCATCAAGCGGATCGCGCACTTCGTACGGACGCACGAAAAAGCGCTCGCAAATGCGATCCAAGCCCAGCAGCGATGGCAGCCCGTGAGGCGCGGCAGCGATATCCCAGGTTCGCCCAGGACGCCGGTGGGCACCGCTCGGGAGCCCAGTTCCGGGTCCGCCGCGAGCAGTCTTGCATCCGCGCTCACTCTTCCCTTCACCTCGCAGTCCTTGAAGCTGGCCAAGCTGTCTTTGACTCCGCACCATCTCTACTACCTGCTCAGCCGATTCGAGGAACTTAATATCGCAGTGGGCCCCATGGGTGTTCGCCTGGAGAACATCCACGCCGAGGCCTCGCCCGCCAATTATGTCTCGTTCTTGCGCGACTCATCCACTCGAAGAAATAGATCTTCGGATAGCCTCTCGATCCACTCGGTTTCTAGCGTTAGGAGCGTCATGTCTGGCATGTCTAGCATCTGGTCCAACTTCGGCTTCGGCCCCTCGATCGCGACACGCAACGAAAAGGCCAAGGCTGCGCTCGAGGCGGACCTCAAGTACTTGTACTCGTCGTTCACCAAGGTGCCTTGCCTGAGACTGGCACCTGACCGCAAGGCACGCCTCGTCGAGGGCTTCGAGGAGTTCCCATTCGACACCGCGGTACCGCTATTGGCTTTCAAGAACGTCAGCACTTTGGAGATTTGCGATATCGACATCAGACAATTCTTTGGCTGGGATCGGATGGCGGAGCAGCTCCGGAGTCTGGTGGTCAAGAGGGCCGGTATCGAGGACCCGGCAGAGTTGTTGATTTCCATCGTGCTCGACGACATGGACCGTCGTCGTCGGAGGTCCGCCAAAACCCAGTCGTCTCCCATCATTTCGTACGGATCATCGACTCCCGGGAACTCCTCCACTGATGTTGGCACCTCTTCGTCCGGTCCTCCGTCGCCTTCGTCGCAACCAGCGGTCGTCGGCGCCCACGCTGCGAGTGCTCCCGTCGGACACTATCACAATATGTCCCGAGGGCCTTCGGAATCTTCGCGCTCCAGCTCCAAGAACCGCCCGCGCAGCAGCTCGCCATCCAAATCTTCGACCCGGCCTACATCCCACCGCATGCGAAGATCGGGTTCCGGCAGCAGCCATTCCTCGGCCGCTTCCACCGTCCTACCGTCGCCCATCAGCCTACCACCCGCCAAATGGAGGATGCTCCGGCATCTGTCGCTGTCCGATAACGGACTTCATTCCATCACGTCCGTCGCATTGGTACCACTCGCGGGATCTTTGACGTCGCTCGACCTATCCAATAACCTATTCACTGCAATCCCGGAAAGCCTCTCCATCCTGCACAACCTCCGCGCATTGAATCTGTCGGGCAATATGATCGATTCTCTGCATTCCTTGACCCGCAACCCGTTGCCCGCCATCACCTCCCTCAACCTTCGGGCCAACCGACTGTCGTCGATCGCTGGTATCGAACGGGCTTTGACCCTGGAACGCCTCGATCTGCGACAGAACAAGCTCACCGACCCTACCGAGCTTGCACGGCTGACGTCGGCACCGAACTTCACCGCCGTGTGGGTCGCCGACAACCCCTTCACCAGGACCCATTCTTCGTCCTACAGGATCACGATCTTCAACTTGTTTAGGAACACCCCGGGTTACACGGACGACGTTCTGTTGGATTCGCAAGGCCCTGGCATGATGGAGAAGCGGAGTCTGATCGAGAGAGTGGCCGAGGCACCTAGTGTCCCCGTCGTCAAAGTCCCCAAGCAGCAGCCCGTCACAGTACATCAAGTCACGTCTCTAGATTCCAATAAGAAGAAGGACAACAGAACCGACGAGAAGTCGATACCCTCCGCCGAAGTTGCACGGGCAAAACGGAAGACGGGCAGACGGAGAGTAGTCGAGCTTAGCCGCGAAGACAGTAATAATCTCAACAGCGATGGGGCGGACGCACAATCCGTACGCACACTAGTCCGGTCACCAATCAACCCCACCGTTCGCACACAACCCCTCTCGACCAAGAAGCAGTACCGCATGGATATCGAAGCGGCCGCGCAAGAGGACGCATCTTCCGGCGCGGAATCGTCGCCACCGCCGTCGCTACCAAACGACAACGTTGACTGGTCGATCCGCGGAGACGAGTACCGACGTAAAGTCGAGGCTCTCAAGAGCGAGGTTGGCAGTGGGTGGCTTAGTGTTCTCAGCGAGGAGGGATTGTCGTTAGCATCGACAAGAAAGACCTCGCCTTCGGATCCTCCACGGTAGCGATGCGATATGCCTCCGTACTACGGCGTTTATGACCTTTTCGTCCTTTCAAGACCGCCTTTCTTTTTTCCTATAAACTTCTGCTTGTAGCATATGTTATTACCTGCTTCACCTTTACTCTGGTTTTCCCCTCCATTTTATTTTCACTTTTTCATTTTTCATTTTTCACATAGGGCAGGAGTTGTGGTTTGTTTTGATTTCACGTCTCTTCTCGCTTTGGCTTTTGTGAAGCATTTACGATCGTCTCTTTCTTTTTCTTTTTCTTTTTCTTCCATGCACGTTTGCTGTCATGTCTATTTTGCATCGTAGGTTGCACTGCTATTTTTTTGTCTTTTGTTGATGTCGAACGGGTGGGCGGGGGTCGGGTTTTGTATTTTTCACAGAGGAGCGGGAGATGTTGTCGTTGTCGTTGTCGTTGGCGTTGTTTGGGGTGCGGAAAAATGGGTTATACGATTGGTTGGTTGCGGAACGGGGACTATATGGGGGTGCCGGTGCCGGTTGGGAGTGGGGGATGGGGGTTTGGGGGTTTGGCGATGATCGGTTATAGGAGAGGTGTTGAATGGAAAATCTGCCTTTGATCTTTTCTGAGATGCTGAGATTCTGAGTGCCTGAGATGCTGCACGGGCTGAATTGAGTGGTGAATGTGAATGTGAATGGACTTGAAGTGACTGATATTTGTTGGCAGTACTGATGAGGGCCTTGTGATGCACGGATGGAGTGCGCACGCAGCACGCTCGGTGGTTTACGGTTTACGGTTTGAAGCCGACGAGACCCGGCAGCAGCGGACCGGTACGGTAAGCTGTTGTTATTGACAGCACTCGCAGATTTCGCCGTGGAGTGGGTATGGGATCTTCACGGTTCCTCGCGGTGTCGATGTCGATATCGATGTTCCCACGATGACGTCTGGTTGGTTGGTTGGCTGGCTGGTTGGTTGGTACCATATTGCGCATTGGCTATATATGTAGAGGTGGCATTGGCATTAGTATTGGCTGTTGTGTATAGAGTATAGAGGTGGGTATTGCGCATTGGCATTGACATTGGTTCGAACTTAGAGTTTGGATTGGTTAGAGGTGGGATTGGTTAGAGGTGGGATTGATTGGAGGTGGGATTGTGCGGGGGGGATTGTGGGGAGCGGGGGGCGGAGGGCGTGGGACGGGGGATGGGCTGTATGGACTCTCATTGAGCGGGGCTGCCGCGCTCGGGCATCAGGATTCACGTATTAGGCATCAATATCATGGCTTGCGGCTGTACTGTAATGTGCACTTCCAAATGCGAACCAACTTACCTACGCAGGAGCCTGGAGGAGAGGTGGACTGCGCACGCCGCACGCCGCACGCTGTATGGGGCAATTCCTACAGCCTACCTACAGCCTACCTACGGCCTACCTACGGCCTACCTACTCTACTTACACACCGGTTACTCTACAGCACCGGTCACAGTACCGGTTACAGCACCGGTCACAGCACTGGTTGCTCTACAGCACCGGCAGAACCGGCAGCTCAAGGTGGGTGGTGGGATGGATTGAATTGAAATGGATTGTGATTCAAGGCTGTGGACTTGGAATTGGGTTACGGCAATCGTGCAATCGTGGATCGTGCAAGACGGATGGATGGGTGTCTTGGTACTGGGGCTTGGGCTTGGAATTGAGTGGAATTGGTCTTGGAATGTGCGGTGAAGGAAGCGGACGGTGAGCGGACGGTGAGCGAGTGGTGGAGTCGAACGATCGATGTTGGGGTTGTTGTGGAATTACTAGCCTGCCTAGAGGATACTGAGCTACCTACGGTACTCTAGAGGGATCGCGGTTTTGATGTGATGAATGGACCCGATTCTTCTAGGTATGCGGTATCTGCACCAAGTATATAACGCCCGACTGCTGACGCCTCTGCAGCAAAGTGTTCAAGTACCTAGCCGGATCACCACCAACCCTCAGGTGTGGTGGTGGATCGAACTCGAGTGTGAAGAATAGCAACTACAATCGCGGAGTCGCGGACTGCCGCCAACTTATCGAGATCATAGCAGGTAGGAACTATAGTTAGGTAGTAGACGCGATTACCGCGCTCACCCCTCTCCCACCGCCACCCAACCTCACCGTCACCGTGCAGTTGGCGATTGATGAACACACCTCCATCCCTCTCCCTCTCTTCCCAAGTTCCCTCCACCACAAAGGTATCTCCAGTACTGTAGGTATCTCCCGTACCGTAGGTATGTAGGTACCCAATCGAACCGGCTTTAGAGAGAGCGACCACCTACCTACCGTATCGTCATACGACAGCTCCAATACCACCACATAGATAGTACAGTACCTATGGCGCCGAGTGAGAAATCCGGTTTACCGCTTTGCCTTTGCCTTTGCATGTGTGTGTGTGTGTGTGTATGTGTGTATGTGTGTGTGTGTGTATGTGTGTATGTGTGTGTGTGACTCTGACGATCGGATCGATTCGGTACTCTATCGGGGGACGGTGAAGATCCAGCTGGACCAAACCACGCCCACGCCCATCCGTCTTCCCCGGTACGGTGCGGTACGAAGTGTCAGTAAAATCTGTGAGGCGGAGAGTACTGAGTAGAGTACTCTGCCTATGTAGGTAGAGTAGTTATGAGGCAACGCTTCCCCCTGCAATCCCCGCTGCTCTTTTTTTGGCGAAGCGTTTTTTGGGGGAAGGGGGGGTTCCTTGATTTCGCGTTCGTTCGCTTCGGATGAAATCACCGACCGACCGACCGATTGACTGACCGCAAAGCAAGCACCGAGGACAGCTGAAATGAAAGACATTGTTTCAATTTTCGGGGCTTCGGCTCGGAGGACGCGCCGTAACGGTACAAGTATGGTACAAGTACGGTGGAAGTAGGTATAGGTGATCGGTGCTGGCAGGCTGGCAGGTGCCGATCTACCGTCCCTGCATCGCGGCGTTCGGGTGAGCTTTCGGGGGCGGGGTAGAGTGGTGGTGCTGTGGTGCGGTGGCGGAGGGGGTGGGAGGATGGGTGGGTGGTGGTGGTGAGGGTGGTATTGTGGTGATGTTGGCGGTGGTGGTGGTGGTGGTGGTGGTGGTGGTGGTGGTGGTGGAGGTGATGGTGGTGTGGTCGCTCGATCCCCGTTATCCCTCGCGATCTGGCGCGTGCGGTGCGGTGTGTATGTGTGTGTGACATCATCCCATCCAGATCACATCACATCCACATCCACATCCACATCTCACGTGTAATCTCGATATAGTGCTTGAACTCCTCAGTGCCCAGTGGCCACCCCGCCCACCACCAGTGACCAAACCAAACCAAACCCCGCGACTAATCTTACCAATAATGCTACTGCTGCAAAAATCGAAACCGGAATTGAAACATCACGTCCAATGTCTCGCCTGCGACGAGCCCATCCATGCCGACGATATCCGCTACCACCGCACGACGAGGCGCCACGTTGACACCGCTAAGCGCTGCGGCTTGTGGTGTGCGCTGTGCGCAAAAACGTTCATCTCCGCGGCGGGGGCGAGGGAGCATCGCGAGTCGCTGCACTCGCCGCGGGATGTACGTGTGGTGACGATGGAGCCGCGGAGGGCAGTGGATGGCGCAGAGGGGAGGTGTGGTATCTGCCTCGAGCTGCTGGACGGGGAGGACGAGGAACACGAGAGCTCGACGGTCCACACGGATGCGTGCAAGGCGCTCGGCCTCTGGTGTGCGGCGTGCAAATGCGTCCGGGCGGCGACAGCGGCGCACGTCTGTCTTGCTTCTGCCTCTCCCGCTCCCTCCTCCTCTACCTGTATCTGTCGCGACTGTGGAGAGCAGTTTCCAACGCGGAATCAAAGGAAGAAACACAAGACGCGTGGGGAGTGCGCGGTGGTGGGGGAGCCACGGGGATGTTTTTGTAGTGTCTGTGCGGTCTTTGTCGCGGCTGAGGATGTGCGCGCGCATAAAGAGGCGGAGGGACACGGTGCGATGGCCAAGCAGAGGGGGTTGTGGTGTCCACTGTGCGATGTCGCTTTCATCAACGAGGCGGGGCTGGAGAATCATCGTGTGCGGAGTACGAGGCATTTGGAGAAGGTGAAAAGAGGCATCGGAGGGGACGGGAGAGCTACGGGGGGCATAGGTGTTTGAGTACGGATACCCATATTCGAGCAGTTATCCGCCGGCGCGCATGAAACGTCACTCGAGCGTGTGAGGAATATCTGCCCGCCCGCCCAGGCCCGCCGCCGCCGAGGTCGAAGTGCGCTGGCGTCCAACCCGAGTGACTGCTTATGCGATGGTCCGCATCTGCATCCAGTCGATCCTGCATCGGGAGCTTCCGGCCCCTCTCCTCGCCGCGCCGGGTGCTTCCTCCTCCTCGTCTTCCGCGGACCATCCACGCACCGAAGTTGTGATATCCCTTTCTGCAGCCCAAATGTGAATGAATTCGAAGCCCATACTTCTTATACTCTAGGCCACGCACCCGGCACCTCACTATGTAGTTAGCCCGCATTTTCGTCCCTCCTCCTCGTCCGTCCACCGCAACTTCTAGACCACTCTCTTCCCTTCCTCGCATTTCCCTCCGAACGCAAAGCATCTGCACACGTCCGCTGGCCCTCATGCACGAATAACTTCTGCTGCCTACTAGTAGTCCTATCTAAGCTGCCTCCTCCAGTAGTGTTCGCCCCCACCCTACGTCCACGTTCTTATCGCTGGCGTCCATCGGACGTTTCTACGTGTGATCTGTGCTTTTTGCCTGCCACGTCCGTCGGCCTTCAGGGACGTAGATCCCGCGCGGCTAATGCACGTACCTACCTACTGTACTCTAATCAGGTCAGCAGTAATATCGGTATATACTTTACGTACGTACGTACGATAGATACAGAACTTCATTGCCATGTAGAGTACTCTACATACAAAGTACCTACCGAGAAGACTTCGGCTTGCTGAACTCGGCGCGATGATGACGCTGGGCGGGGCGGGGTGGGTGGGGGCTGGAGCGGAGGTTATACATCAGTAGCGGGATGCGGTTTGCGGAGGAGATGGCTGTTTGTACGTGCAGTGTTTGTTCTCGCTGGCGGGGAGTGGGGAATTGTATGTAGTAGCTGTTTAGCTGTACCGCGGTTGGCGCAGGCTGTCGTCCCATCGTGGGCGATTGGGGGGGTTTAAACTTTCTTCGGGAGATTTATTTATTTTTATCTTTTTTATTTTATCTTCTTCCATTCCTTCGATCCAGCCAGCCAGCCAGCCATAATTTTCGGATTGCCGACAGCTCCGCCCAGGAGGCAGGAAGCGTATCGTAGACTCGTAGGTATGTAGACTGCCACACACGAGAGGGTCCGACGGACGGAATGGAATGGTATCATACCCACCCACCTACCCCGGCCCCCGGACAGAGGTGCTTATGTAGACATGGGGATATCGGAGTACCTTGTGTATTGTACCTACTGTACTCTACTGTACTCCACTCTACCGCCACTAGGTCCGGGATGCGGGATGCGGGATATGGGATGCGGGATATGGGATGCACGGGATGCGGAATGCGGGATGGATGCGGGATCCTCTAGGCTCTAGCTGCCGGCACATACATACATCGGACGGTGTACGATGGGGCGGTATGGTATGTTTTTTCGGCATTTGCGAAGGCGGGTTATAGTTACCGGTGGTATAGATTGCGACCGTTCGCCCCGTTATATGTGCCGTGCCGGCGCGGGGGTGTGTGATTCCAGGAGGGGCCGGTTTGAAGGGAGTAGTGATGTTGTATGACTCCTTACTTGCGCTGGGGGGCGGGGCGGGAGGGCCGGGCTGGAGGGAGTAACTACTGGTAGTGATATTGTGTGATTCCGATTCGGGAATTGGTCGGGACTCGGGATCGGAGGGATTTCGGGTACGGTACTGTGCTGGTGGATACTAGTTAGCGCTCTTGGATGCCGTGTGTGTATGTAGCATTGCTCAAAGTTGTCGATGGAAATTCGGGTTTTATAGGTATCATGTGTGAGAGCTTGTGAGGGGGGCTGGGCTTCAGAATGGTGTTGGAAATTGTGGCTACCTATTCGCATATCCTCCGCTGTGACTGACAGTGTCTGTTCACGGCCTCGGTCTCCGCAACAGTGGCTACGAAAGTCCTCGCTCCTCGATCCGCTGGTAGTTTGTGCTTGTTTATCACTACGTACGGCGCTGAATAGGCCATGAATGCTTTGTGCCAGCTGGGCCTATTGATACATAAAGATGTTTTATGGTTAATATCATAATTCTTCGTACATACTGGCCGCTGCACAAGATTCACACATCCGCATCCTCTCCATCCTCTCCCTCCTTCTCCTCCTCCGCATCCTCTTCAATCTTCGCCCTCTTCGCGCCCCTCCCACTACCAGTGGCAGCAATCTTCTTCCCATCCACCCCACTCTCCTTCTTGATATTCTCACACCACCTCTTGGCCCCGACCTTCCCCAGCTCCCTGATGCCCTCCCTCCCCCTGCGCAACTCGGTGTACCTAGCAGCGACACACCACCACTTCTCCCTGCCCGTCTCGACCTCATCCAGGGCGCGATCCAGCAGCGCGCGCTCCTTAGTACTCAACGGCTCGCCGCTCGAGACATCGTCGAACTTTAGGAACCGCTGGAAGCGCATCCGCACGGCGTTCGCCGTCAGCCCACCGCCGAGAGAGTCGGCGATGTCGGACCAGCGAGTTCGTGGGACAGAAGAGTATAGCCGGAGAAGATGCGCGTCTTCGGAGGGTGTCCACGTGTGGCCCCAAACACACCCTCGGCTCGTGGTGACTTCCCCTAGGCTCGATTTTTCGGCCATTCCATCAAACCTGCACTTATGGTGGGGTCGGAGGGTGTCCACTGACGGGACGATCGGAAACTAGGAACGTGGAAGCTGGAATGCGGGGGACCTACCTATGTACATCGAGGGGGACACTAGCGGGGGAGGGGACCTGGGTAAGCAAACCACCTAGGCTTAGAGCATGGTGATCCTACCAGGGGAGGTCGCGGAGGATGTCATCTCGTGGGTATTGAGCAGGTTTGCTTGCTCCCAGGATAGAGATAGACACCTGTTGGTGTGATAACGGGAAAATGATGACCCGACTAGGTAAACGGAATATCACCCCTCGGTTTGATATTATATCTTCTCGCTTGTGATGGGCAGTACATTGGATTGCGGAAATCCAGAAGCCGGAGTGTAGTTACTACTCGGATCCCACTATCTGAGAAGACGGGTGGACGGCAGGAGCTCTGCACCTAGACCGCTTTCGAGGACGAAGATGTCTCCGCCTGTGGTTTGTAGGCATGTTTGTCTGCTTCCAGGGTGAAAACGGAAGACCTGGAGAGGATGGAAAGAGGTGTATAGCGAGAAAGCGTGCCCTTGTGGTTTCATCTAATATCCACCGGCTTCTGATTGTAGTGTTCCAGAAAGCGGGAAGGAACGATTGCGTTTTCATGCCGAAGAGGTCCCGCCCGTTCCTGTTGTGTGGAACCGCAGATGGATGGATTGATGGAGAGATATAGCATCTTCTAGGCGAGGCGACCAGTAGAATTCCCCAGAACCTCTGTCCAGCTGAAGCCGCGTATCGCCAGGTATATAAGAGCCCCCCTTCTCCTCGTCGTATTCACTTATTCTCACCGACACACCCAGCCACTCACCACACATATATCCTCACAAACAAACATGGCGCCCAAATCCCGCCCCTGGACGCCCGACGAAGACGCTATAATCCGGCGGCTGCGGCGGCTCAATCCACCCGCGACCTGGAGCGCAGTAGCCGGCGCAGTCAACGAGCTCCCGTTGAGCGAGCGAACGGCCATGATGATCAAAAACCGCTGGCACAACTATCTCAAGCAGGTGGAGGTCGCGTCTGTTGGCGAGCCGTTGAACGCGCGCGAGAAGGAGTGGCTGAGGCGCGCGGTGAACGAGCTCGATGTCGGCATTGGCAGGTGATGGTTCGTCACCGCGAGGTATAATGAGCTGAGGAAGGGCCGCGAAGCAGAGGCGAGGGAGATGGGGAAGGCCGCAGTGAAGTTGTCGTGGGAGGCTATAGAGAAGGAGAATGGGAATGACGTGGCGGTGGAGCCGGTGAAGGCGAGGGGCGGAGGTGCGCAGGCGGGGTCGCCAGTGAAAAGGAGGAAGGCTGCACCGCAGATGGATGATTCCGAAGAGAGCACGGAGGCTTAGTCGGCGGAGTTGGGTATTGAGGAGGATATGCACAGCAGCGAGTAACTAGTTGGATCACGGCTGGCGCAGTATTCAGGTTAACCATATTCTCACACGGGATTCAAGACAGGTGTGTATAGCAAATATATGCAGCATCGTATGTACGATATAATTACAATATACCTACTGCCACCGCCACAATCATTTCCCTTATGTAGCAGCAGTAGCAGTAGCAGTAGCAGTAGCAGCAGTATTTTCAACCCTCTCCATCCCCGATCCCGTGCCCACCTCCGCCGACGGCGGCGCCCCATACCGCTCGCGCATGGCGCGGTACTTCTTGAGGTAGTACAGCGCCTCGATCTCGCGCTTCACGAACTCGGCCCGCTCAATTCCGTCGCGGATCTGCTGCTCGTCTTGCAGGCCTGCCTGCGACATGAAGGCGCCGTGCAGGCGCGGCTGGAAGTACGCGTAGCCGAGGGGATAGTCGCGGCCGAGGTACAGCTGGTTCATGGCTTTAGCTTTCTGCTTCTGCTTCTGGTGGTTGTGATGGAGAATATTAGGACGGGGGGCACACGAGATCTTTGTAAATGCGCTTCACTTGTGTACGGAGTTGTGATGCAGTCATTTCGTGGGAGGCTGTGTGGGGAAGGTGGAGAAGTTGTGGAGTTTTGGGCAAGGTGATGGATGGGATGGGTGATGAATGAAGTTGTACATAGAGTAGCGATGACGTCGGCTGTGGAGTCTGGACTCTGGAGACGCGCGGGATGGCCGGACGATCACATAGAAACGATGTTATGCAAGGGTTCCCATCACAATCTATTACTAGCTATCCTAATACCTGTCCAAGCTACCAAGCCAAACCAAAACATCACCACGATTATCAATCTTCCACTGTTACTACCATACTCTCGAGACCCTAGGCGGCGCTTGCGCTGGGTGAAACGGGGACGGGGCCTTGGACGACCAGCGGCTTCTCCTTGGACAGGTGCGCTATGCTCTCGTCCGACAGGTGAATGGTGTCCTTCAAGACTTGGGGCGGGGTCAATCCGAGCCTATCACGATCTCTATTAGCCAAGCACACAGAAGAGAAAGAAAAGAGGAACGGCATACCATTGTCCAGCCGAGATATCCGTAAACTTCTTCTGCTTCAACACCTCCAGCAGGATCACATCCTCGGTACCGATGTTCTGGATGTAATGACTGCACGCCTGCGGGACGTAACCGACATCTCCGGGGTTGAAGTCGAAAGTCCTCGCACTGCCCGGAGCGACGTAGACCGACATGCGGGCGTGTCCCTGGATGAAGTAGCTCCACTCATCGGAGCTGGGGTGCCAATGAACCTCGCGGATAGCTCCGGGCTTGATCGTGACCAATGCTGTGCTGAAGTCCGTAGCGATGGGGAACGTGTTGGTATCGAGGATCTTAACGGAGCCGCCGGGAACCTCGAGGGGCTCCTGTTCAGACCAGTGGAAACTGTACGAGTCGACGTTGGGGATAACGCCGGCTGGGCCGGTGATGTTTTGTGCTTGGATGTCCGCTGGGGCTTCGGTACCGTTGAAGATGAAGAGGTTGCCTTCCGGGAGATTGGCGAAAGCCGATGAGGGGAGGTCGAGTTGCTTCTCCCAAACATCGGTGGGTGTTCGGGCCATCATCTGCGATACAAGGAAGGTCTGGAATTGTCAGCTGGCTGCCACTGGCATAGGGGTGGAGGAAGCGACTTACTTCATCTTCCGAGAAGTTGCCGTCGTCGAAGATCAGAAGGAACTCGGTGCCGTTCTCGAGACCTTGGATGTAATGCGGGATTCCGGGAGGGAAGAACCAGACGTCTAGGCTTCAATCAGCTTCCGTCTCCATCAACATCGCTTGGGGGGGACATCGTAGACATACCTCCTTTCTTAACGTCGTCGATAAACGTTTCACCCTTCTCATTGATGGCCTGAATGCGGGCACCTCCAGCGATGATATACGCCCACTCTCCGGACGTGTGCCAATGCATCTCACGATATGCACCAGCTTCCAGTCTCTGCTTTTTATTAGCCCGTATCACCCTTGTATCACGGAGGAGCCAGACGAACCATATCAACACCAGCAAACTGCTTCGCCGCCGGCATGACGCCAATGTTCTGCTGACGACTCCATCCCGCTCTGTTGAGACCGAGCTTGACATGGCTCAAATCCATGGGCCAACTGAGCTGCGGGACATCACCTATATCACCACCCTGTCAGCCTCAAAACTCCTCTCCCGGCCCCCTTCCTACGATAGGTGAGTACATACCAGTATCACTCTGCGGTGGAGCCAAGATATCAGGGTGAGTCCTGTCGATTTCCGGCTGCTTGGGGCCCGGGTCGGTTCCGCCCTTGGTACCACGAATCGGCTGTGGCGTGGGCACGCTGCTGAAGTCAAACGCCACACCATCTTTGTCGCTCGCCTGCAGCGGGGCGTAGACGATCTCGTCCTCGGGGATAGTCGTGTCCTCGGTGGCCACGGGGAAGGTAGCATCATTGCCACGCAGGGAAGTCGGGCCCAGGAGCGAGCCAGAGATGGCGAATGTGCGAGTGGGAACCGGCTGCTCGCTGTCGATGGGAGCAGCTACGGCACAGACGGCCAGGGCAAGGAGGCTGAGGAATTGCATGTTTGCGATGATGGCTGGTGGATAGAGAGGGGTAAACACTGAGGATGCAAGAGAGGCTTTATACCGCTTTACGTGGACTTGCGGTCCTCTGTTGAGTTAACTGGCCACTTACTTCGCACACCAGTCCGGCCCGAAGAACTATCGCGAGCTTCCTGACTGGAGTGTGATTTTTTTTGATTAGATGGATTGTTCCCAAGCGATCCCACATACTCATCCTCATCCGCATATCCATCTGCATGGTGATATTAAACATTCACCCTCCATCCTCCTCCGTGATGTATGACGTCTATCACTCACAATATCCACATCGGGAAAGTCCAGTGTACGTACCCCATGCCGTGACCTGGATAGTCATCTCAGCGTTCACATGGACATTAACCAGCCGCACTTCCCGTGTACGCGAGAGGGATCGCGAGGAACTTGGACCACTCGCACCGCGACTGAACGCCCGTCCGTTGGTCTCGTCCGTGCACCTAACGTAAATCAAACTGCCGAGGCTGAAGTCGAGACTCCAAAGCAGGAGACGGAGTCCAGACAAAGACTGATCAAGACCGGGGAATGGAGCTCGCGATTACTATTCGCGCATCTAGAGTACGGTGGTTAGAGTACGACCTGCCAACCACGCGAGCGGAAGTCTGCAGGCTCACATCATCTTCCCGTCGCCGCCGTCCCAGATCACGGAACGCACTGCACTTCACTGCACTGCACTGCGGGAGACACGAATCATGCCTTGCCAAGAGATCTGGCCGCTTTCCATAGGATAAGAAATCGCTAAACCAAGAAACCTTAACGATCCACGTGGAGTCAGCGCCGGGCCTTCCGCTGCACTCGTAGGATGGCGATTGTGTTACCTGTAGGGACGCTTCCAACCGGCGCAAGTGGAGTAAGTACAAGGTATGATACCTATTACCTACTCCAAGTCGCATGCACGGCTAACTCGGCTTATCCATACCCATATCCTCGTCACGGGCCGGCCGGGAGCGAAGTTGCGGGGGATACCACTCCCCTCTGGTCTTCCTACGGCTGGAGAGGGGCGGTACACCTCGATGGCTACCCCGGCAGGTTCGGATAGCGGCTGACCCGATCTGGGAATACCTTCATGGGCGTCGAACTGCCGGCCTGCCTGTTGGGTTAGCGATCTGAATGGGGGGGGGGCTGTGTTCTGTGTTCATCCGCTTCCTATCTATCCCCGGACGGGCCGGAGCTACTGAATCCGAGCTCGGGTGTCTGTCTGGGGGATCCGCGTCACTCTCACGAGAGTCGGGAGGCCGTGACCCAATCGAAGTCCGTCCGGTACGATGTTTATTTGTCACTATACTATAGTAATCCACATCTCGGCACCCACGGCGGTCATCGATGTCCTTGCTGAGCGTTTTGTTTTATTGTTTTGTCTTGTCTTGTTTCGTTTTGACTCGGGCGCGATATCATCATCGCTGACTGTGAATTGAAGTAAACGGCGAGGAGAGGGGTCGTCGGGCTCCGGAATGTAGCCTTGACTCAGAACTGTCTCGCCCGTAGACTCGCCCAGCAAAGGGAAAGGGTGCGTAATCATGGAAGTACGGCACACATAGGTAGGATGATAACTATACACTAACCCGGGACAGGGTACTATGGCGTGTAGGATGGTAGTTAGCGGTAAGAACAAGCTTTCTGTGCCCCCCCCAGGAAGCGCTTAGGGGCGGGGGCTTGTGCAAGTTGTTAGCTCCAGGAAATGCACTGTGATTGTGATTGTGATTGTGATATGGAGATATCGCGATTCCGGTGCCTGCCTATTACTGTAGGATGCGGCACTTTATGGATCGATGGCAACATCGAAGAAGAGAAAGGCATGAGAATGAGTAACTCGGTACTATACTCCCATCGTCGTTGCATTATTCCCTCCTATACTCGACATCCGAGATTCCCCCAGTATCCCTCCCAGGCTTATCATGAGCTGATAAAAAACTCCAGTCACGTACAGTAACCATTCTGATCGCGTCTCCCCTTTAATCCAGCACGTCCTACAGCCAGAGGTCTTCTTCCAACCGAGGCGAAGCTTTTTTTCACCCTCCAACGCTCGAACCAGCTCTCCCACGTCCTTCCGCAATATCTTCAGTTCCTGACGATCCTTGAAGAATTGAAACTGGAGTTCGTCAATAATAGCTTTCCGCTGATATGTAGATTATTCTCTGGGGTGTGGCCGCCACATCGTTGTGCCGATGAAACGGCGCCCCGCGGTCTTTCTGCGTATCGAAAGTGCCTAAGAATAAGTAAGGCTGCGGTTTCGGAGGGAATAGTTCAACAAGCAGCATCCATGGTGTGTAACACGGCTCGCTGTATGTATAAGTTATAACCATACCTGCCTGCCGCCATCTCCTCTGCGCCATTCCCAGTATACTTAAACTCGTACACTCCCCCTCTCCACATCCTCAGTGTACTTAACCCCGTACACTCCCCCTCTCCACATCCTCAGGAACGTCCCCTCGATCGTAACCCCGCAGCCTCAGCAGCCTCAGCAGCCTCAGCAGCCCCAACAGCCCCAACAGCACCGGTGCCAGTTCCGCCTAGAACTCCGCATCTTCGAGACCCTCACAACTCACGAGTCGCCGTACTGTTATATCTGGCACTCTACCAGGTCTACTCCAGTACGCAGCTCCCGGTGGAAACGACAACCACCTCCAGCCTCGGCGCGTTCAGCGAGCACCGCTCGTCTCTGCCGTAGGCCCGTACCTCGGCAGCGTGTGTACATGGTCGAGCTTCCGCAGGAAGTACATAGCGGCGTTTGTTGATGCCATACACTACGAGGTGCTTAGGGATACGGTGGATTTTGGGCAGAGGATTGGTGGTGGTCCGCTGGCATTGAGTGGGCTTGGTGGTGGGTAAGCTACGGTAGCAGCAGGAAGAGAAAGAATCACGGGATCAGAGAAATCAAGTGCATCGCATACATGAGATGGCGCTTTAGTTGCTACGTTGCTGGTGCCGGTTGGGTGAGTATGGTACATACCGGTATCGTTGACTGACTGACACCTATTCGGGTTGACTAATATGGCGGAGGGGTGTACCTAGACCATAGCTTGTCATGTTCTGGAATTTTATGGGCTATCGCTGGCCATCCCGTTCCAAGGCTTTGTCTGGTCGACATCTTCTAATAGTAAGCTAGAAGAGGCTTGACGGAGAAGTTGGCAGGTCAATTCATCGAGGAGGTTGTTGTGCACTAGTTATGAGACTTTGGCCCGGCAAATTGTTGGGCCTGAAGTGGGAAGCATAAGTCGAATAAGCATTTCAAGTACACAAATGGAGTCTTATACTCCAAGGTACACTGAATCTATTTTTCCTCTTCTAGGCTTGGCCCCGAAGCCTCTGAAATGAGGGGAAAGCACGCAATTTATCGGCTGGCTCCACAGTATATCACTCTTGGTACCTCGGTGGCGGTAGCAGAATCTTTGTAACCCTCCTAAAGGTTGAGCTTCTAGTCGTAGCTATTCCATTTCGTCATAGTACTTTAGAATCAGAGCAACAAAGCCATGTGTCCGGTAACCGCATCCGCCGTGGCCCCAACACCTACACTTGTCTTTTCTTGCTGTGTGCGGCTGCCACCCAATGTCATCTCCTGACCATCCGTGCTCCAACCGGTTCCGAACCGGACCCTCAGAGCTCGGGATAGGTTCCTTCACCGCCTTTCTGTCTCTATGTATGGCCCATTGAATGAGTGAACTGAACAGAAGAAATCGCCGCAAGTAGTCGTCTTCGTTGTCGTGGAGGCTTCTATCATCATTCACCCTGATTCTACACCTCGACCACAAAATCCTTCCTGAACCCCGTGCCGCCCTCCCCGGTCGCCTCTCGTCCATTCCTCGAATACCCCCCCTGATTCGCCACAATCCTAACCCCACTTGTCTCCTCCACAAAATCACACGACCAATGTGTATGGCCAAACGCCCACACCTTGACCTTCTCCCCGCCCTTCCACTCGTGCCATCCGGAACCGAGAATATTTGTCGAAAACGCACTCCGGAAGAGACTCGCATCAAACATCGGATTACTTGTGCCCAAAATTAGTGGCGCATGGTGCGTTGCAATGACTACCCTCCGTCCTTCTTCGACCTTCGCCAGCTCCTCCCGCAGCCACCCCAGATCCGCCGCGTGCTCCTGCATGTACTCCTTGGGCCCCCACTCCTTCACAAGATGGAAATCGTTCAGGCCCATGGCGATGCGCGCGGTTGCCGCGGGGTCTAGAGATGAGTGCAGTGTGCACCCGAGGATCGTTACGTCGCCGATGTCGACACGGCGGCGGTGCAGCACCGTCACCTTCCCGTCAAGCGCCTTTTCCAGCTCCACGGCGGCGACCAGCCCCTCCGAGCGGGAGAAGCGGTAGAACTCGTGGTTCCCGAGTACGAGGAAGACATGCTCGAAGTCCCGTGCGACGCGCTTAAGGAACGGGATGAAGAGCGACGCTTGGATGAGCAGGCCGATGTCGCCGGCGAGGAGGAGGTACGGCGCGTGCGCGGGAATCTGGTAGCTCTCGTACTGGTGGCTGTTTGGTGGCAACCCGAACTCGAGGTGTAGGTCCGACAGGATTTGGAGGCGGAATGGGGGTTGCGAAGTCATCGAGAGAGGTACGGGGGATAGTAGGCGGACTGTGACGGGCTTATACCCCGCTGAGGGGCGGGGCACTGGGGTGGCAAGCGAGTGAGGTGGGGAGCTGATGTTGGCGCTCGGTAGTTGCCGAGACCGGCGTCTAGGTGCCGGATGCTGCCTGTAACGAGTGAGATTCAGTGATCTCATCCAAGGGGGAGGGGCGGTAAAAGACTTTGTGCGGATGCGCATGGCTGTTACTTCTTCTCTCACTCGTTGCACATAATTTCGGCTCGTGGTCGGTCCTTTGGAATGCCATTTCATCAAGCGAAGAGCCTAAGCTTGGAACTCGGAACTTGAACTGCAGCCTTTCGGATCACTGCAAGTACCTATCGGCAACTGGAGAAACCGCGAATCAGTACGAAAGAGTGCCGTGTAAGGAAATTCTGCAGTCACACCATATTCCCGACAAATGATTTAAACTTTTAACTCGAGTATATCTGTCCTCGGCGATTCTTCGTTTTCGTATCTATCTCTATTATAAGCGTAAAGCGTAGGTACAGGATCTCTATTTTATTCGCAGGGTTTCGCGGAAGCAAAATTACATGTACTCCTCTGACATGCGTTACCTGGGCAATCTGTACATGTGTGGTTGTGGTTGGACTGCAGTCACCACTCAGCTTCACCTGCAGCGGAACGGTTGGACTTGTTACAACTCGGCTGGGGCGCTCACATTAGGAGCCGCTCATTGCAAATCACTCACTCCTTCAATTCTGGCCCTCTTATTTGCTGCCTCGGAAGTAGCCGCAGAGCCGCTGCCCGGTGGCCGCAAGGCATATCTGCATGGACCAGTGGTAGAATATGCTTGGTAGCACATGGGCTTAGTAAAGAACAAAAAATAATTCCTAGATCCTGGTGCCCCTCCCTCAGCAAGATAACCTTCGAACCCCGAACTCTCTTCCCTCCTCCTCCTCATACCGCCTCTCACCTCAACACAGGGTCCTTCTTCCCTTCCCCCGAACGAAACAAGTCGTTCGTCGCTCAAGTCTTTTTCAAAGACACATCTCCACTCAGTGCTACTATCTGTCTCTTTTTTTTTTTTTACGACTACGACTTTCCCGGTTTCTCTCTTTTTGACAACTTTTCCGTTGCTTTGCTCCTTAGAATTTTCAGCTCCTTTTACTTCAAGTTACTCCTCGTTCAGACCAGTCAGCCGTTTCAGCTCAGCTCCTCATTTCGCTCACGACCATACTCGATATCACCAAACCCCCTCAGACCGCATTAATGTCACCAGGCGTAGTAGAAAACGCTCCTCCGCAGGTTACCCTCACACTCGCAAACGGCGCCCCCGCTTTCGACTTCGAGGCTGTATACACCACAATATTCGACGCAAAGACCTCGCAGGAGTCCCTCGATGCCGCTACATCACTCTGCAACGGAATCGCCGCTGATCCTTCGACCGCCCACCATGCGCTGGCCATCCTGCTCCCCCAGGTGGCAAAGGCCGCCGCAGATAAGAAGTCCGGAACGAACCGGGAGAGCGCTATGATTGTCTACGGCGCTCTGTTCGAGACGCTTCCGCACAAGGCTCCTGTCACCGAAGTCCAGCTGGTCGCTACCATCGGGAATGTTTTCGATGGTCTCGCCGATAAGGGCTCTGTTGTGCGCGAGAGCGCGCAGTATGCTATCGATGCTCTGTTCGCAGGATTGAAACAACCTGTCCTGGTGTCCGGGCTGCTGGTCGCCTTGATGGAATACCTCAAGTCGTCAGGATCCAAGTGGCAAGGAAAGGTCGGCGCCTTGACGCTGATCGGAAAGTTGGCCGAGAAGGCGGTTAAGATCGAGCAGAACCAGGGCGAAGTTTTCCTTAAGGATGTTATGGGCAGGGAGCTGGAGGCGTTGATTCCTGTTGTCGAGAGCGGCATGCACGATCTTAAGACTGAGGTTCGTACAAATTCTTCCTTGCTTATTCCCCTCCGATGCTCGTTCGAGTGCTGATACGTGAATCACTGTAGGTTTCGAAGGCTGCGATCAAGACAACAACAAGCTTGACGAAGCTGCTCAGCAATGAGGATGTCTCAAAGCACATTCCCACTTTGATCAAGACCATGAACATGCCCAGCAAGGAGACTCTGGCGAAGGCGATCCACGCTCTCAGCATGACCACCTTCGTTCAGACCGTTACCTCCCCCGTCCTTTCTCTCCTCACGCCTCTCCTCGAGCGTGCTCTTACTTCCCCGCAAACTTCTCAGGAAGTCCTCCGCCAAGCGGTTGTCGTCACTGAGAACTTGACTAAGCTTGTCCACGACCCCGTTGAGGCTCGTGAGTTCTTGCCTCGCCTGCTACCCGGTGTCAAGCGTGTTCTCGAGTCCGCCTCCATCCCCGCTGTTCGTGAGCTGGCCAAGAGTGCCAACGATGTCATGCTCAAAGCTATGCGTGTCACCAGTGGCGACGAGGAGAACACCATTGGCGAGCGTATCTCGGTTGAAGAGGTCATTGGAGAACTCTCGGTCCGTGTTGCGCCCCTGCTGCGCAAGGAGGAATTGTCCTTCTTTGAGAACCAGGTCAAACTCTATATCTCTGCCATGGCCAGGGAGGTCATTGTCATCCGGGAATGGTCGCGTCTCGAGGACTGCGTCGCTCCTTACCTCAAAGATCTCGTGCACGGAGGAGAGGAGAATGCCAAGAGCATTGCTGCAGATGTCGAGAAGTGGGCCCGCGAGACGGATCACACCAGGTTCGGAAACATCGGCATGGTGGACGACGAATACGCGAACGAGGTTGAGGTTGTCAATGCCAACTTCTCGCTGGCCTACGGAGGTATGATGTTGCTCAACCACACAACCCTGCGTCTGCACCGTGGTCACAGATACGGTCTTTGCGGTCGTAACGGAGCTGGAAAGTCCACGCTCATGCGCTCGATCGCTGAGGGCAAGCTGGAAGGTTTCCCTTCCAAGGACGAGCTTCGCACCTGTTTCGTGGAGCACCGCAGTCAAGGCGATGAGAACGAGCTGCCGATCGTCGAGTACATCAGACAGTCCCTCATCACCGACAACCTTCAGGAGGGTTTCATGGGCGACGATGGAACCGAGAAGATCAAGGAGACTCTGCGCAGTGTCGGCTTCGAGGGTGAGCGTGTTGACTTTAGGGTCGGCGAGCTCTCTGGAGGTTGGAAGATGAAGCTGGCTCTCGCCGAGGCCATGTTGAAGAAGGCCGAGGTCCTGCTGTTGGACGAGCCTACCAATCACTTGGACGTTGGAAATGTCAAGTGGCTGCAGGACTACCTCAAGGAGCACACCAACATCACCAGTTTGATCGTGTCCCACGACTCCGGATTTTTGGACGAAGTGTGCACGGATATTATTCACTATGAGAATAAGAAGCTCGCTTACTACAAGGGCAATCTCGCTGCCTTCGTTGAGGTCCGTCCCGAAGGAAAGGCCTACTACACGCTCTCCTCCTCCAGCGTGCAGTTCAAGTTCCCTCCTCCTGGCCTCTTGACTGGTGTCTCGTCCCGCACTCGTTCCATCTTGAAGATGACCAACGCGACGTACACGTATCCCGGTACCTCCAAGCCTTCGCTCAGCAACGTCACCTGCTCGCTCTCGCTGTCCTCGCGTGTTGCTCTCCTTGGTGGTAACGGTGCCGGAAAGTCCACTCTCATCAAGGTTCTGACCGGAGAAGTCATTCCCCAGGAGGGTAAGGTCGAGAAGCATCCCAACTTGCGTGTTGGATATCTCTCGCAGCACTCTCTCGAGCCTCTCCAGTTCCATTTGGATAAGACTCCTAGTCAGTACCTGCAGTGGCGTTACGCCAACGGTGACGACAGAGAGGTGTTGATGAAGGCTACTCGTAAACTCAGCCCCGAGGACGAAGCTCAGATGAACACCCCCATCAACTTGGGCGAGGGTTCTGGTGCTCGCAGGATCAACAATATTGTCGGTCGCCAAAAGTGGAAGAAGTCCTTCCAGTACGAGGTCAACTGGGTTGGTCTCGGCCCCAAGAGCAACACCATGATCTCGCGCGAGACCTTGATGAAGCTCGGCTTCTTCAAGCTGGTACAGGAGTTCGACGATCACGAGGCGTCTCGCGAGGGTCTCGGTTTCCGCAAGCTCGAAGCTGCCGACATCCGCCAACACTTCGAGGACGTCGGACTCGACGCAGATCTCGCCGAGCACAACGAAATCGGTGGTATGTCCGGTGGTCAGAAGGTCAAGATCGTCATCGCCGGAGCTATGTGGAACAACCCCCATCTCCTCGTCCTCGACGAGCCCACCAATTACCTTGACCGCGAATCCCTCGGTGGTCTCTCCCACGCCATCCGTGAGTTCAAGGGAGGTGTCATCGTCATCTCCCACAACAATGAGTTCGTCTCTGCGCTTTGCAACGAGCAGTGGTGGGTCGAGGCTGGTCGTGTCACGGCTGCCACGCGCAATGCGGCCGATAACTCCAAGTTCGAAGGCGGGCTCTCGGTCAGCGGCGCCAACACGCCGCTCAGCAGCGCTGTTCCCAGCGCCGTCACCAGTGCTGCGGCGAGTGCTGCCAGCAGTGCCGTCAACTCGGACGCGGAAGACGAGAGCATGAAGTTCAAGGGACGCAAGTTCCCCAAGAAGAAGAAGATGACCAGGGCTCAGCAGAAGGACCGCGAGGTTCGCAGAAGGCTGAGACACATTGAATGGCTGAACAGTCCCAAGGGGTACGTTTTCCTTTTTTTCCCCTCCATTATTCACGTACAGCTATACTAACATTATCATGTAGGACCCCCAAGCCGGTAGACTCAGATGACGAGGCGGAGTAGGCGAAGTAGGAAGTAGTGCGGGGGGGTTTATCAATCAGAATAATGGGGGATAGGATTGGATAGAGAAAAGTTTTTTTTTCGTTTTCCCTTTTGCTTGGTCACTTTGGTGTTTCGTTTTCCTTGGGTCGGGTCTTTAGATTTTTTTTCTCAGTGCGGTAGTACCTATGGGGTGGCATTTGCTGCGTGTTGTGTGTGTTGTGTGTGTTGTGTGTGTGTGTAATAGATTTCTTACGACGCGTGCTTGTGGCGGATTTGAATGATCAGATACGGTTGTTTACCTACCTACGTCGTTTACTATGAAGATGTTCTAGCCCAGTCCCCCAGTTCATCGTCTCTGTGCTACCTAGTACAGAACTCCGAGCAGATATCTCCGCGTCTTCACGTATCTTCGCGAGTCGTCCAGGACTGGATTGGATGGGTCGGTATCTGTCATGGATAATCACTCGTCTACCTAGGACCTGAGCATGAATTTTGACCTGTGGCCCGTGGGCATTACTATCTAGGTACATACTGTCGTTAATGTAATGGTCTCTCTCTCTTGCTTTGCAAATCTTGAATAACCTGGCCTGGCTGCTATGGAAGTCTATCATATATCTAGGTAGTAGATGGTTGCCCCGTGCGGCGATACTTGGCTTCGCATGGACTGGGTCTCCCGAAACTGGATACCAATGGAAGGTACCTTTAATGATCGATACGGCCAGGACAATCCCTTGCCATGGTTACATAGGTACATAGGTGGAGACGACACGATACTAGTAGTATGACAGGAATACCACATGACAATAACCCAATTCCACAAGCCGATCAACTCATTATGCACACACAAAAGATAAGACGAAAAAAGCCCAGCAAGCTCAGCAACAAATTCAAGATCAAGAGAGAGAGATCACAGTGCACACTCCGGCCTTCTCCCTTCACGAACCCGGCAATCTAAAAATACAAAATCCAGACCTAGTGGTGTCCTACGGAGTTCTAGTCCACCGCCTACTAAGCAGCAAACCTTTTCCTCCGCTCGTCGGCCCTCTTCCTGTCCTCAGCACTCATACCGCCAGAGGGCTGAACCGGCTTCTTTACACGGCCACTCTCGACGACGCCGGCGCCAGCTCCAACTCCCCTATTGCCCCTCCTCCTACCGCCCTGCTGCTGCTGGTTTTGCTGCTGCTGGTTTTGCTGCTGCTGACCCGCGGTCTCAAACCTTCCGCGCTTCCCACCACGCCCCTGCTGCTGCGCCGGCTGCGCGTCTCCGCGCCGCTTCTTCTCGCGCTCGACAGGCAACGCCTCGTTGAGCCCCTTGACCTCGGTCTTCACCTCCTCGATGCCGAAGCGCTTCTGGCGTTCCAGGGACTTGAGGGTTTCGCTCTCCTCGGCGGACAGGCCGAAGCGCTCTGCGCGCTTCTTGCGGCGCGCGATTTCTTCGTCCAGCGAGGTCGTGGGGAGGTTCGCGCTGAACGCTGGGGTGGGGGTGGTGGTGGCAGTGGGAGCAGCGGCGGCGGCGGCGGGGGTGGGTGCGGGTGCTGCGGCTGACGACGTCTCGTCTGTTACCGTCGAGGGCGAGCTGGGCTCGTTGCCGGACTTGGTGGCGGGCGTGGTGCTCTCGAAGAGTGACGCGATCGTCTTGCGCTTGGGTTTTGTGTCGGTGGAGGGGGAGGCGGCGGCGCTGGCGGTGGTGGTGGTGGTGGTGGGCTCGGCTGGTGCGGTGGCGGAGGGAGTAGTGGGCGCGACGGCTGGGGCGGAGGTAGCGGTGGCTGGTGCGGCTGCCGCAGGCTTGTCGTCGTGCTCCCAGTCAACTTCGTATTCCTCGTCGGCGCTGGGGAGGTGTGCGGCGGGCGCGGTGGTGGTGCTGGTGGCAGTGGGAGCGGCAGTGCTGGGTTTGTCGGTCGACGTGGCGGTCGATGGCGAGGACTCGTCACTCGCGGTAAGACGCGAAATTAGGTCGCCTTTTAGGCCGTTTGTGGGGAGACCACGCGCCGTGAGGGCGTCGCGCAGCTCGGGGACCTTCATTTTGCTGTAGTCGGCGGGCATTGTTGTCGTTTAGTGGTGATGATTATGGGAAGGGGGATTAGTGGTGTTGTGGTGTTGTGGTAGATGTGGATGTAGCTGTGGTTGTAGATGTGGTTGTAGTTGTAGTTGTGGTCAGTGGGGTGGAGGTGGAGATGGATGGATAGAGGTGAGAAAAAATGGTCGGGGTTAATTGTGGCTGGGAACGAGGACGGGACGCGCTCTTACGTGTTCGGATCGAAAGGGGCGAAAGAACTCCAAGGCGAAGAGGCGGCTGCGCGGGCGTTGGCGAGAGTGATTAGCCAGAGCTGGAAGGTGATGAGGTTACCCGACTGAAAATCGTCAGGCAGGGCTTAGGGCTGAGGAGGTTTGTTTGTTTTGTTAGTGAGATGCTATTTCTGGTCGACAGCGTGGAATCGGGATTTCACGAGACGAGCTCTCCAGACTGAATCGGCACGTCCAGTCGAGCTCTGAAATGCACCGCTGCGCGTGCCGTGCCGTGGCGCTTTGTTTGTTTTGCCCTTCAGTCCGTGCCACAAAGAAACAACATCATCAATAACAACAACACGCGACTCACACGTCCCCCCCACCCTCGGCCTCGACAATGCGATGTGAAGCAGAAGCAGAAGCAGAAATGAATTCCTCCCGTCCACGGCAGCCATTCAGAATGACTACTACTACAACCACTACCACCAACTTGCCCTCGAAGCGTCCAAACCTCATGATCGGCCAGATCCTCGCCGACAACAGCATCCTCGACAAGCCGCGGCCGGGCCCGATTCCGCTGTCGCGTCGGCCTCCTTTGGCAGAAGTCAAGAACAGCGCGTCGGCTGCCTCGCCGAGGAAGCGGAGAGAGAAGGAGAAGGAGACTGCGCCGGAGCCGTCGCAGCAGAAGGAAAAGAGACAGGAGAAACCCAGCCTCGAGCGTGAACCTAGGGCGAAAGGCCTACCGCCGCCGCCGCAGCAGCATCCGCCATCAGCTCTCACAGCACTCCTCCTCTCGCACTCGTGCACAACGCCAACCCTCCCGCCGCTCCCCGCCCCGCCGCGGTCTCGCCAGCCAGTCCACAGCACCGCCCTCTCCGCCGCGCAATCCGTCCCGCCGCCCACAGCCCCCACCCCCTCCCCTTCAAACCACCTCCTCCGCCAATTACGCAAAACCCTCGAAACCTCTCCTCCGCGGCGGCGATTACAGCCACCCCCACCCCCACCACCAGCCCACCCTTCTCCCCCGCAGCGGCGATCGCAACCACCCGCACCGCACCCCACCACCCCCCCAATCCCAACAATAACCCTCGACTCCCTCCCGAGCTTTACACACCACAGCGAGCACGCGATCACCTCTCTGCACTCGCCCTCACACATCACCCTCCTGCTGCGCTCGACAGGCAACATCTACACGATCACGCGCAACACTTTGACAATCGGCACGTCAACCTACTGCATAGAGGACATACCGTACAAGCACCTACCCGCATTCCGGTACGTGCGCCGCTTCGTCGCCGCCGTAAGGAAGCGCACGGTTGTTGCCTTCGGAGGCGTTGGCGGGCTGCATGGACGCGTCTGGGCGGATGGGAGAGGGGTTGTTACCCTACAGCGGACGGGCGCGGGGGAGGGGAAGGGGGAGGGGGGGGAGACAGAGGTCGAGGTGCACTTCGCCGCCACCGGCGAGACGGCGGGCGCCGAGGGGGTCACAACTGAGGAGCTCAAGCACGCGCAGAGGCTGTACGTCTGGCTAAAGAAGCACCCTGCCGCGCTGCCCCCGGCGCCGGCGCCGGCCCCGGCGCCGATGGTGGATGGTGATGAGTGGGAGTTGACGCCCGAGACGAGGTTTGTCAAGGCCGTTGGGTGGTGCCGGGAGCTGGGCGAGGGACGGTGGAGCTTGAAGTTCCTTGATGGCGTTAGGGTCGAGATTCGCGGGGGCGAGGTGTTGTGGATCAGCCGGGAGGGGGCCAGGTGGAGTGTTGCTAAGGGATTGAGGGATGAGGAGGTTAGGAGGAGGGTCGCGTTGTTTGTTAAGGCGGGTGTGTAATATACATACATACCTCATACCTACAACTTGAGACTGGAGACTGCAGCGAAGAGGTGGGATGGCCTGCAGCTGCAGTTCTTTGCTGTGGAGTTTGGCGTGTAGTTAGTTCTGGAGTTTTGGCGACGGCTTACCTACCTATGTAAAAGCATGGCTCATCACTCTTTGGTGAGTGACAGTTCATGAAGATGAAGGTCCATGATCATTTTTGTGGTTTGAAATCGAAACCGGCGGTTAAATCACGGCTTTTCCGTATCTTACTGCCAGCATCCATTCAGGAATCAGGATACAATTTACCATTGCCGGGTATCACAAATCGTATGTCTACCTAGGTACCTACCTGGGTAGTACATAGAGACAGTGATTGGAGGACTGGCGTCTAGATGGATAGGTAAGTACCTACCTAGGTACTTGCGGTGCAATTCCTCTATCAGCACTTCACCGCCACCTCCCCGAGTGTGTATAGTAGGCTGTGGCTTCACTCGAAGGAAGCTCTGGCGGCGGTGGACATTTCACATGGGGACGAACAAAGATATTGTTGCTGATTGTGTGTCAGTGGGCGTGGCGACGGCTTTCTAGTTTTTGCCAGTATAGTATATCGTATCATATGTAGAGTAGGAGTGGATAATCGAAAGTGCCGTTTGGAATGACTGAAGAAAAATGTTTGGCCTGGTACGTAGGTGATATGATGAGGTTCAGATAGAGTATCCACCTACTATACACCACATGATAATAGAGTCAGGCAACATATAGAGTACTTGTTCAATGGGTAATATATTCCCACGCCCACATACAAGCTATGAGGGCGTTCATCTCAAGGACTTTCATCCTTCGCCTACATACTGTATCCCAACCCTCCGTAAACCCCAAGAAAGCAAAGAAAAAACATACCAAACATAACAGCACAACATAAAACCCTTACCAAATCCGAAAAAAGAAAACCCATAATTATGTACACGTACCAAACACCCGCCTCCATTATCACCGCCTCGTACAAACACAGCTCAATCCGTCAACGCATCAAACTTGGACATCCTCCTAATCTCCGGCCCCCAGCGCTTAAACACCCACGGAATCGGCATCATCGTCAGCGCGATGAAGCCGAACAGGCTGGTTGCCCAGGCGATGCCGAGGTTTTCGAACACTGCGACGAGAGGGTTAGTTGATGTGAACGAGAATGAGGGTGGAAAAGTGGAAGGGGACGTACTGTCGACTGTGAACAGCGGGAATGCCATGGCCAGTACGTAGCGCAGCAGCCCGAGCGCGGCGATGGCCGACGCGGCGACGAGCGGCGTGTACACTTCTAGGATGTACATCACGGCCGAGAGCTGGGTGGTCATTAGCATTCATTCCGTCATGTAGAGTTAGGGGGCGGGGGCGGGGGGGGCATACGAAGACAAGGACCAATCCGGCGCCAAACGGCACACCGGCGATGCACGGGACAATCCAGTGAATATCCGATCTGGCGGTCCAGGCGAACCAGAACAGGCCGACGGGCATGAGCCCAGATCCGATCATGGCGGGGATCAATCGAATCTCCGGGGGCGGGGAGCCATGGTGTGCGCGATGTGCGGGGACGTAGAAGATCCTGTCTTGGATAAGGTATATGATACAGCCCAGACACAAACCTACCGCAATGCCCAAGAAGCACAGGCCGGTCTCGCCAAGGTTCATCCCGTACTCGCGCTGGAACACGAAGGGGTACGCCTCGAAGAAGCCGAAGAGCACTGCGAACGCGAAGGAGGAGTATAGCGCTACGGCTTGCACGATCGGCTCTTTGAATAGCATCAGGGTGGGCCGCGCAAGGGTGATGGTGAAGATCATTTTCAATGCCGTCTTGGGGTCCAGTTTGGGCGGCAGGGTTTGCCCCCGCGCGAGTGCTCGACGTTTGAGGATTACCGGCTTGTATGATTCCTCGAGTAGAGCCAGGGGGAGGAGGAGCGCAGCGCCGCCAATGGTGACGATCCACATGGTCCAGCGCCAGCCCATGCCGTCGACGAGGTAGCCTCCCACGACGGGGCCTAGGGGTGCATCAGTAACCATATCACTCGGATGTGTTGGGCAAGCGGGAGGAGCATACCGAGTGCTGGTCCCATGAACGTTGCGAAAGCCTGCACCGTCACCGCCGAGCCCGAGGTCTTGAGATCCCAAATATCGACAAACGAGCCTGCCGAGACCGCGAGGGCAGGACCACCGAAAATGCCCGCGAAGGTTCGGCACACGGCAAGCGTCTCCATGTTCCTGGCAAAGCCGGCGCCCATCGAGAAGAGCATGAATATGGGCAGGTTGACAAAGTATACCATCTTCCGCCCGAAGACTTCGGACAACGGCGCCGAGAACATGGGCCCGAGCCCGAGACCGACCACGTACATCGACACACCCAGCAGCGCGGTGGTGATGGACACGTTAAATTCTTCGGAGACTTCATAGACGCCTGCTGCGTAGACGGAGGATGTAAATGTACTGCAACCAGCGTCAGAACGGGCTCCCGATTCAGGGACGGCGCAGGGGATAAAAACTAACACGAGCAAACACAGAGCACCAGGAACGATGGTCCCGAACCATCGCTTTCGCATTGGCCAGTTCCACGGATTATCGGGATCCTCAGGACAGTCCCAGTCGAGGCCGACGGCGACCTTCGCATGGGATGTCGAGCTATCATCGTTCGAGCCCCGGACAGTAGTTGCCTCGAGATCGATGGCCGAGGGGGAGACCGAGAGCGCACCGTCGTCCGCGTCTACGATGGTGGTAGCCTTTGAGCTCATGATTGCTGTTTATCGTCTTTTGCTGTGGTCGTGGTCGTTACGGCCGGACTTCGAACTCAAGATGTGACCCTTTGTTGCCGTCGCAGTCTCAATAATTTCAGCCGGGGGGTGGGGGGGCCAAGGGCCGCTATGTATTGAACTCTGGCCCTCGCAGAAGGGGGTGTGTGGTTCCCGTTTTTTGATTTGCATGCCATTTTGCTTTTAGGGAGGGAGGTGGTGGTCGTGGAGGTGGTCAAGGTGGGTGGCGTTCGGATGTGTTCTGGATCTGGGGAAGATCCCGAGAGCTGGGTTCGCGTAGTGTTCCGAAAGCGGGACTTTGCGCCGGTTGGCTCGAGGGCGCGGTGCAGCTACGCCCCAATGGGAAAGACGGTTCACGGCCGGTAATCGTTCATCTCCCTTCCAGCCGTGCCTAACTATGGGCTAGTTGTGGACGTGGGTGGGTGGAATTCGAGAAGCCGGTGCTTTCTTTCTTTCGTTACGGAGAAGGGACTCGGTAGCATGTAGATGTGTACAGCATACATACAAGTGCTGTATCTTCGGCGGGACGAAAGCGATGGACACTGAGGCCGCGGGACATATGCATTACGCTGGGGTACAACTACTAGGCACTCTACACATGGAGGTTCTGGCAGCAGTGGCATGATTGTCGTGATGTGCAAAAAGGGCGGACGCCTACATAGCAGGTACTATGCCTACCTGCACTCCGTTGCGAAGTATGGTACATACCAAAGTAAGTATCTATCTGCGGATCAACAGCCAGGTATGTTACTATAATCAAGTATACTCACATACCGACCGACAACACCGCGACCCTCCTGCCACCGCAACTTTCCTGCTCACTCGCGCCCCCCCTCATTCCTGCGATCCCTCGCATGCCGATTCGAACGACAGAAAAACAAGCGTTCTGGCGTGTTTCGGAAAATCTCAGCTGCATCACAGAAATCCACGTAATCTGCACATGCGCAGCGGCATTCGCTGCCGTCAAACCCACTCCACACGGGCCGCTGCACACTTCACACTTCACACTGCACACAGCACACCCTCCTCCGAAGCACCCCTCTCCGAAGCACTTCAGACACAGCCGTCGTTCGTCGTCGAACCGGGGAACCAGAGACATGACGTTTCTGTCCGGTTTCTCGCTTAGCATCACCTGCGATTCGTGGTCGGCCATCGGGAAGCACAGAGGCGGGCGTACAGGAATCGTCCGTCTGCTCTCCGGCCTGAGACACGATCTTCATCTCCTCCGTTCAAGGGGAGGGCTGAGTAGGGAGATTTATACCTTACTCATCTGCTTAGTTATACATGCTACTAGTGGTATGGTAGGAAGGTGCTCCTATGCTTCCGGCCCTGGAGGATTCGCCGTATCCGGAGGGCAACGTCGCAGAAGCCGGAGTCCGAGCAGAACAACACTAGAGTAACACGTAGAATCTCTACTACTAGTAGTACGTGCCGCAACTACTACTCTTACCTACGTAGCAGTTCTAATCGAGCGGATCGAGCACAGACGCCCTTAGGGGCGGGCTCTCCGAGACATTTGTACGCTTTAGCTCGCCCAACTGTTTATCCGCGCGGCTGGCCCTGGGAGTATGAAGTTAACGTTCTCATAGCACCTATATGATAGGACAGTATACGTTCGTTCGTTCTCCATTCCGGGCTACCTAGCCCATACACAGGATCGACATGGCCAGGTATGTAGAAACCCCACCTCCGCATCATCAACAAACCAACAACTTGCAACTTGCAACTTCCCCGTCTGCGGTGCATGCAACGACATCTGCAGAGATCCGCTTTGGGGATCTACGCCCGCTGTCTGCCGGCTCGGGCTCGGAGGAATCATACCAAGTGTACATATGTACAGGAGATGGTGGTTTGACAGCCGGCAATAATACCGCCGATCGTTGGTGATTACTAGCACCTAGAGTACTCTACCTTCACCGGGTCTCAATCTCGAGCTGTCAGGCGGTCACGCCACGATGCTGCGTGGTGGGGGCGTGTTCTCGAAGAACTCGACATGATCCCTTTGTTTGTCATGTTCGAGTGCGGGGCAGCCATGTCAATCGCAATATATGGACTTCGGAGGGAACGTGGGGGACAGGAATCGAAACAGAACCATCACCTTCACACAACGTCACTCGTGTTGGAGATCGCCATGAACCATCCGCGGAAACGTCTGGTGGATACCTTGAGTACCGGAGTTCCGCGTTGATCGGCTTCAGAATTTCGCTTCCGGGCCCACATGTGAGAGATCTGCGCTTCGGCTTTCAAGAGCTCTTTAGCCCCGGACGAGAGACGTTGGAAAAAGCTACTGCTGTTACATAACCAAGTACTTGCGTGCCTAACTGCACTTGGTACACTAGGTATTATACGTATGTACCAGCCTCCAACACTAATCGTATGTACCGGCGGAGGAATTGCTCAACACGGCCTGCGGCCTGCGGGGAGTACATACATGCCTCTCCATCTAACGGCTAACTTGCACCATCTCCTCCACCTCGGGTTCAGCATGGATGGATGGGGCCGGGCCAATCGGTCCCCTCAACTCGATGGTTGTACGTATGAAACCCTGTCGTCAAGCTGGCAACAGCTCTGTGTTCCGTCCGTTCTCGAAACCGCCGCGCGAATCACATTCCACGCCGTTCAACTCATTCAGCCGGAGGAGCCCGGCGGAGCCCGTCAGGCTCCATACCCTACCTACACATCGGACATATACCCCCAGCTGGTAGAGTTCATAACCAGCGCATCTCCGCTGCCGTTTCCATTTTCATCCCCCGCCTGCACTGCACCGCACTGCATCCACTGCATCACTGCCAGTCCCCGCCCCAAATGGCATCAAAAAATATCCCCCCTCCCGGTCCCCTCAGCGCCAGCAACGACCCTCCACCCCTCCCCCTGTAGCACGACCCTGCCGCCTCCAGCATCAATCATAACAGCCCTAACCACGGTCTTGTTCCCCGTGTCTGCCCTCCCCCCCTCCACCTCCGCCACCCCACCACTACTCCGTCTAACCGGCGTCTTCGGCCCTTGCCCTTGCTCTCCTCCCCCTCCCCCCCCCTCCTCCTCTCAGGTCGCCTCCAAGGTCGCCGCCCGAATCCCCCCCACCGGGCTCTTCGGGAACCCGCGCCAGCCGCAGCCGCTCAATACGTGCGGCGCGCTGGATCACTTGTGCGGGCGAGAGGCTGCGGGGTCCTGGGCGGGGTCTTGGGCGCGGGCGCGGGTGGGAGTGTGCGTGTGCGTGTGCGTGTGTGTGTGAGTGGGAGGGCAGGCGCTGGTGCTGGTGCTGGTGCTGGTGCTGGAGTAGTACCATGTTTACTTGCTGTGGCTACCTGTGTCTGTGTCTGTAACTGTACTGTAACTGTGGTGTTAAGGGGTTAAAAAATCCTCGATTTGCGGGTTGCGGTGGTTGTTGGTTTGTCGATTGGCGTTTTGTCGTCCGTCCGTATGTAGTGTGTAGGTAGGTATGCTTGGCTGGATACGAAACGGGCTGTTATACCGGAGGCGAGGGATTCATGTTGGCCCCGTGCTGTTCGGGTTGCAGAACGTGAGGCTGCCCGGGGGGTTCTTCATGCGTCGCGGGGACGCCGGAGTCGAGGTGAGCGCGAGGGGTGCGTGCGATCACGTTGTGTCACTCGCTCGCGATAGATATGCATACCTACTCTACATAGCTGTCGGCAAAGTGCGAACTCGACAACAAGTGCACGGATATGGCCGAACTCCAATACATGTTAAGGTCGAATGCAGTGATGAATAAACACAAACACAACCCCAAAAAACAAAAGCCAACTCGGCATGGCCGATTGGCTGGCGGACGGACGCCGGACGCCGGACGGACTGGCCGATTAAATACTGACTTATGTACTCTACCTATCAAACGCGCGCGGACGTTCGGTTTAGGGCCTGCGCCGATGCTACTCGGTAAAATGGCTGGCTGGCTGGCTGGCTGGCAGCGAGAGTCTGAGAGTCTAAAAGTCTGAGAGTCTGGAAGTCTGAGAGTCTGAGAGTCTGAGAGTCTGAGGGCTGTGAGGATAAGGCGGGGATTTCGACAAACGGGCTGGCACGGCCGTGACGGACCTGACGGACGTGGTGCTGAAACCAGATGACTTGCAGGCTTGCAGGTTTGCAAGTTTGCGGCGCGGGTAGGAATGTGTCTCTGCTGGGTGTTCAAGTGGATACGCATCAGTAATCCACGGTAAAGATTGTTACGACGGCAAGCATTGAATCACCAGGTGGCGGGTGGCAAGTGGCGGATGCAGCTAATCATGCGGATCCACACGGGGTCACTCGATAGTATACCATCCAACGTCACCCTCCTAGTCCGACGAGGCAGTCCTCAGAGGGGCGACGGCTCGAGGGTAACTAACAAGCGAGGCGACCGGAAGGAAGCACACGTGTGAGCACAGGAAAGATACATCATCCGGGGAAGTGGTCACAGCGGCGGGGCCGTGGCCATCGTGGTGGTTGGGAAAGGAACGGCTACTTATCTCGTTAGTTTGGGCCGTAGTTAGTTCCCTCTAGAGTCTGCTAGTAGACAGGCCGTATCTATGCAAAATAAATCAGTAACCTCTCTCACTCTCTCCCGAGCAGTTACATAACACTCTAAGTTAGATACATGCTACGGTTGGTATCTCCTGGAGTGCGAGGCGTGAGTCCTCCTTTCGTACATACGAGGTTTGGTAATGAGTGGATACAGATGTTACTCGCCACTTGATGATTCTCACCACGATTCAGCAGCTATTATGCCCTCAAGGCGTGTTTCATTCGTATCCAATTCTTCTCCTACATGATATCAATACGCACATCTACACATCAATAACCTCCGCTGTACCCTCCACCTCCACCTCTCCCTCTCTCCGCCGCATCCCAACCACGGTCCCCTCCAACGCCCTAAACTTACCAATCCTCTCCACCGTCTCCCACACGCCCCGCAGATACTTCTCCATTTCCCCATCCTTCGCCCTAACTACGACAAGTCCCTGGCCCTTCTCCAACAACCGCAGCTTCGCAACTGCCCCCATCACCCTCAACACCATCTCATCCTCACTCTCAACCAGTGGAAGCTCCTGTACACTCGGCCAAGCCGCAGTCATGATGCTGACGCCGTCGACGGCCGCCCTCTCTGCCGGCCGCAGCTCCTGCCACAGTCCTTCGGAGAGGAAGGGCATGAACGGGTGCAAGAGGCGAAGGAAAGTATCGAGCGAGCCCTGGAGCATACTCATCGCGTTGTCCCGCCTTGCCGTGTCAGCGTCCTGGGCCACCTCGGTTTTGACAAACTCGATGTAGACGCCGCAGAAGATATCGTAGACGAAGGCCCTGATAGCTTCTGTAGCCTCGAAGGGTCTCCGATTCTTCATCGCGGTGTCGACGGTTTCAACGAGGATGCGGAGGTGATACAGGAGGTACCGATCATGCGGCAGCAGCTCGTTGATCGGGACAGCTTCCTTGATCGCGAATGGCGCGCGCTTCCTGGACTCGTGGAAGAACTTGAACGCATTGTCGATTTTGATTGCGAGCTTCCGGAAGACGTCAACGTGGCGCAGCTCCATGTTGATTTGTCGCGCCTGGCGGGTGTAGTCGAGGAGTGCTATGCGAAGGGAGTCTGCGCCGCTGCGCGCGATGCCGTTGGGGAAGGCCTTGCGGATTTCGACAACTTTTTTGCGCAGCTCTTTGGTTGCGTCGGCGGCTTGCGTTCCGCCGAGAGAGAGCTGCCCTGCGTACGTGGCGTGCAGGTCCGTGAGTAGGTCGGGTTGAGTGCGCCCTGTCACGATCAGGAGCGGGTCGAGGACATTCCCGACGGATTTGGACATCTTGCGGCCGGTGGAGTCGCAAACTAAGGGATGCAGGATTATCTCCGGGAAGGGTAGCTGGCCGGAGAAGTGCGTGCAGAGCATGGCCATCCGTGCAAGCCAGAAGAACAGGATGTCACCGCCGCTCTCGATGAATGTTAGAGGGTAGTTGTCTCTCCAGCCGGGGAGATCGGCCTCACCTCCACGCCAACCAGCGGTGGAAAGAGGGAGAAGGCCGGAGGAGAACCAGGTGTCGAGGACATCCTCATCCTGTCTTATTGTGAACCCACCGGCCTTTTCTTCTTCAGTAAGTTTCCCCAGGGCGATGTTTTCACTCTCCGCCGCAATCCACCGCACAATCTGATCTCCAGGGTCGAGGACCATATATGCTGGAATCCGATGCCCCCACCAGATCTGTCTACTCAAACACCAATCTTGGATCCCGTCCAGCCACTGGTCCCACAGCAATTGACTAGGCTGTCCAGGGACAAAAGTGAGCCCATCCCTCTCTGCCACTTCTTTCACCTTCTCTGCCAAAGGTTTCATTCGCAGATACCATTGCGGCTGGAGCATGGGCTCGATGATGGTGCCAGAACGCTCACACATCGGTAGGCGTACATCATGCGGTACTTTTCCTCTGTAGGCGCCGGCATCTTTGAGAAGTTTGACGACGCGCTTGCGTATGTGAAAGCGGTCGTAGCCGATGAGGGTGGGAACTTGGCAGGCGGGCAGCATCACGCCAGAGGAGTCGAAGACTGAGATGAGGGGGATGGGTAGCTTTTTGATATCTGATTCGGAGCTAGAAGATTTGGGTGTAGGTGATGTGCAGAGGGATGAGTGGCGCTTCCAGAATGCGTAATCAGAGACGTCGTGCGCAGGGGTGATTTTGACGGCGCCGGAGCCAAAGGCTGGATCCACGAGGTCGGCATCAGGTATAATGGGGATCGTGAGGTCGGAGATGAGAGGATGGCGGACGAGTTTGTAGTGGAGATCCTGTAAGGTCAGTCACGCGAAAACAGCGGACGAAGAAGGGAAAGAGGCACCTTATAACGTGGGTCATCGGGGTGAACAGCCACCGCTCGATCACCAGGAATCGTCTCTGGTCTCGTCGTAGAAACCACAATCTCGCCCTCCCCCTCTACAAACGGAAAGGCAAACTTATGGAGCACTCCAAACTCCGCTCTACGAAGTATCAGCAGAGTCCATCACAATATATCACTCGAAAAGTGCACACACCCATCCACTTTCACCGGCTCCGTGCCCAAAATCTCCTTGGTGGTAACCTCGATATCGCTCACTGCAGTCTGAAGTTTGACACTCCAATTGACCATCCTCGTATCTCTATACACCAACCCCTGCTCCCACAAGCGCACAAACGCGGCATGTACGGCCTCACTCAATCCTTTATCACGCGTATAATATTCCCTCGAATTCGTCGTCGACGTTCCGAGTGTCCGCATCTGCTCCAATATCCGCCCTCCGTACTTCTCACGCCACGTCTCCACCTCCTCCACAAACTTCTCGCGGCCCAATTCCTTTCGCGACTCGCCGCGTTGTGTCGCCAGCATCCGCTCAACCACCGACTGCGTAGCGATACCGGCATGATCTGTCCCAGGCGCCCAGATAACCGGGTGCGCATTCATCCGGTAGTACCTGGCAAGAGCGTCCTCAATCGACAGCATGAGCGCATGACCGATGTGTAGCTCTCCGGTAACATTCGGCGGGGGCAGGAGCATCCGGATCGCCGGTTTCGTGGGATCGGCATCTTTGCGGGGTTCGAACAGACCGCGACTGTTCCAGTAGCTGTACCAGCCGTTTTCTATCGCACTCTGAGTGGCGTCAGTTGGTGTGGCCGGTCGCGGCGGTGGGAGCCCGGGGGAGTAGGAACCGGATCGAAAGGTAGGGACAAGTCTCGTCGGGGCTTCCGTGGAAGCGTGGATTGGAATCGAAGCTGGCCATATCGACGAAGGACCGCTGGGGTTCGAGCGCGGAGGGTGGCGGCAAACATCACATATGTCGCTGCCGTCTTCGGATATCCGTCTGAGCTGATTATCTGTCACTCGCAATTCATGGTTGGGTTTCTTTGCAAGACGAGACGACCGGGTAACGACACCAACGCTAAATGAAAAAGTTACGTGCGTTTTTGTGCTAGTTTCCTATTACAAGAAAAGGCTGGCAAGCTCTAGCGAAGCTCTTGTGAAATCCACGTTCCCTCTCACCTTCTACCTCTCATTTCCCCTCCACCCCTCTTAGCTAAAATCACTTCCCAGTCATGTCACCCCCTCCTGAAGAAAAGAAACCCACTACCGTCGCCAATGATCTCCTTCTCGACTCTGAGTACGATTCCGCCGATGACAGCGACTTCGATCCTAGCGCACTAGCCACCACCGCCGACAATAACGTCGAAGACGACTTCACGGCCTCGTCCGATTCCGAAGATGACGCAGCACCAAATACCATCCCCACCACAGTTCCTAAAAAGAAACGAAAACGTGCGGCCTCAATTTCCTCGATCCCCAGCGACGATGACGAGCAAGGCGCAGAAGTCAGCATAATCAAGACACGCGCGCAACGCCGCCTCGAATCTCCTAGCCGCAAAACTGGCGGCGTATCAGCCGGCACCGCGACCACCGATGTCGACGCCCTGTGGGCCGCTATGAACTCCCCCGCTGTACTCACCCCACTTCCTACGCCACAACAAGCCGAGTCGGAACCGTCACCGCCAGCCGTCTCGTCTACTACTGGCGAGAAAATGGTCGAGATTAAACATACCTACGAGTTCGCCGGCAAGACAATAACAGAGTCGAGGATGGTCCCGCTGAGTTCGGAGAGTGCGCGCGTACATCTGTCCTCTGCATCTGCATCGCCAGCACCTACACCGCCGACGGGGAGACGACCACCACCGAAGAAACGGGCGAGCGCGTTTGATGCAGCAGCCGCATCGAAGAGCAAGGCGGCGACGGCACCGGCAAAGATAAACACACTTGAGAAGAGCCGACTAGACTGGGCGGGGTTCGTAGATAAAGAGGGGATTGGTGATGATCTTAAGAAGTGGAATAAGGGCGACAAGGGTTACCTGGATCGTCAGGCGTTTCTGGGTCGTGTGGATGACAATAGGGATAAACAGTGGAAGGAGGGGAAGAAGAAGTGATTGGGCGATAGAAGGAGTATACATATTAGACCGTGAACGGACGGAAGGCGGTGAGCCTTGTAAAAGGAGTTGGCTTGGGATTCTTCAACTTGCTTTGATCGATTGGTGATTCTGGGAGGCGCGCTATAGATACTACATTGATGTTCGGATTGTCTGTCTGATTTTCACAGCTCCGAACCATTCTACTCGTCCCTCTAAGAGATAACTAATAATTTATGCGGCCCGTGTATATGTACCTTTCGTCTAATCCACCTCCTCCACTTTGGGAAGACCCTTTTTATCCATGTTGTTCATACACTCCGCCCTCCAGTCTGTCGGCGCAATCTTGCCCACCACCTCTTTGAACGCTTCCATCGTACAGAAACTCTCATTCCCCTCCAGGTGCTTGCCCGCCTTCTTGCAACCACTGACAACCACAGGCTTTTCATTATACCTCAACCGCACGTACCAACCCTCATCGGCGCCAGCACCCGTAACCCTTCCCCAAAAGCTGCGCCTATGGTCCTTCAATCTGAACGTCTCCACCGCAATCGCCGACGTAAACGGTGGCCACTTTTGATCGAACGCTCCCAGCGAAGCTAACAATCCCGCAAGCGTAGTATCATGACACCCCATGAGCGCCAACCTAACCTGACTCTTCCCACTCGCCACGGCGGTGGCACGATCCCTGATATCACCCAGCAGCGAGCCGACACCCAGTCGTCGAAACTCTACACTCTCCGCATACCCACGATACCACTCATCCACATTGAAATCATTCATGATGCGGCGTACATCCTCGTCGTAGAACTCACCTGGCAGACGGGTCTCTGGGCCGTGCGCGAGGGTTGCGTTAACGGTGTCCATGATCCCCGACAAACGTGGGTGTCCGTCAACGGCGACTTTCCCGCCGGCAGGCATCCACTTTCCGAGCTTCGAGTTGAGCAGCGCCATCTCGGGGGAGTCGTTCCAGCGCTTTGCTGCGACATCGGCGAAGGCGCGGGAGAGCATCGCGAAGCGCCGGCAGTTGGCTTCGTTCGGGAAGAGGTTCTCCTCCTGTAGTGAGCGCGCGAGGATGACGGGTGGAGGAACGTCCGTTGGTCGGTGGCTGGCTGGGTATAGTCCTGTGAACACCTGCTGAAGGGACTCAAGCGCTCGGACGATGGATGTGGAGCGCAGGTAGTATTCTTCTGGTGGGGCGAGGGTGGAGGGGAGGAAACCCAGTTGGTCGACGTAGAGGTGCCGCAGGCGGTGGCCGAGTGCGAGAGTCGTTTCCCGCCCGCGATCGGTGAGTTGCCCCAGAAGACAGATGTCGTCTGTAACCTTCCCGCTGCCGGTGGAAGCAGCTAGTACGGCTTCGCCTTTTCCGCCGAAGGTTTCGAGACGCCGACGGAACGCGAGGTCGTCCCATCTGCCGTCTGGGCCAAGCACTGGGGCAGTGAAGAGGGATGCGGATTTACAGTATGGCCAGAATGCTTGGAGGCCAGTGTTCTGGAAACGGGGCGCAACGGGGGTTCGCTCACCTGGTGAGAATTAGCTAGGAATTTTGTGAGCAGGGTGAGATGAGGCGTACCATGGCGGAAGATGACTTGTACCTGGTGAAGCTCAAGGTTCGAGGGATAGAGGGCGGCGAGCTGCTCGGCGGTGTATGGGGGCGGCAGATTTAGAGTTGTCATGGCTATTCAATTGCGCAGAAAAGAAGACAGAGGCGAACTGAAGATGGTGATCGATGGGGATTCCGGAGAGGTGATAGCTGTCCTTATGTACACTATCTCAGCTGTACTCGGGCTACATCCGCCCAACCCGACGAACCAAGCCGATCAGTTACAGGGTTCGTTGTCAACGCAGTAGGGGCTCTGCAACTGGCCGGTGGAGGGCGGCAGATGTGGATGACTGAGTTCGGGGAGGAGTTCAGCTGACCAGATCAAGACTCCAGGCGGGAAGAAAGAAAGTGTTGATGTTTTGGCCATCACAAGCTAGAATGAGCCATGCACCGGACGTCAATCGTTTCAGCCCACTTGTCACACCGCATTTGGTGGTGTTCTTTTTCCTGAATAGCTAAGCCCGATGAGGTGTTTCTGCCCCTCAGTCACGTGCTATTGGATAACCGCTTTTTTTTTGTGAGGCTCAATAACTCCTCTAGCTCTCCATGCAATCTCTCCACCGCCATCTCCGGAAACACCGGGCTGTGAATTGCCATCGGTGGATCCAAGCAGACCCAACTCTTCCTCTCCACCGCCGCATGGTCGTGTCAGCACCAATCGCCCCCTCGGCCCGTCCCCGTTGCGATATCCCTCAGGTTTTCAGTGCCATGAACTAGTGATGTTGCATGCCCTAAGCGCATCCGCCTCACCAGCCCCCGCCATCCAAAACCCTCCTCGACAGGACGTTACATGTCACCCATATCTCTGCAGGTACCCTATTCATTTCCACCACCACTGTCCACCACCTTCCTGTCACCGCCATTGCCACCACCATGCTCACCCCCGCCGTTGGCAAACCATCTGACAGCCTTCCCGCCCGATTCCAGACCTGCTGACTGTCCTGCACCTCCAGGGCCCACCGGCGTCCATCTGCCGCAATTGCCTCAAGCTGCTTCTTCGCCGCCTCATCGCACACCCCCGAAGCACCGGCGCAAGCACTCAATTCGCCTCTAGTAGGCCTGCCTTTTCCCCGTCGTCGTTCCGTACAGTCTATACCTCCTCCGCCGCCGGGCGACTCTCCACCCCCGGGCGACTCTCCACCCCCGGGCGACTCTCCACCCCCGGGCGACTCTCCACCCCACCAACACCGATCCCGCGGGCTCGAAGACCAACCAACAATGCTGCACTGGCATTCCCCCCCACTGCCCGGCGGGTGCCGCCACCACCGGCAATACCCCCGGCGGAGGTACTCTCGCTGATAGAGATGGCGGCGCAATCGTCCGATCTGCTGGATATCTACACGGCGCTGCAGCGGCTATTACCGCGGGAGCGGCGGGACGAGGCTGCTTGGGGGAATCTGGCGGTTTACCGGCCGCTGAGGAATTTGATATTAAGGCTGCTGGATGATATTGCCGGCGATCAGGGGAGGACGCCGGGGTTGCCGAAGCCACTGGAGTTGATCTCGCAACTGGATGCGCTGGGGATGGATGTGAGGAAACATTACCTCGTGTTGTTGTCACGGCAATTGGCGGCCGAGATGCCCGCAGAGGAAATACTGCCGGTGTTTGAGGCGGCGGTGAAGTCGCAGGTGTCGTTGAAGAAGCCGGAAGCATTTAAACTTTCAGACGTTGAGCAGTTATTCGGTGGAGCTGATGGGGAGAGATTGTACTGCATGTACTTGTATCTACACCATCTAGAGGCATCCTCGCCGGTGTTGGAGGCCATCGACGCCCATAGTGCGCCCTACCACCAGCCGACCCGCGCGCAAGTCAAAACAGCGCTGCGGTTGATCCGTGGGCTTTCTCCACGGTTGGCGCAACAACTTTCCGAGCTTCTAATCACACTGAAACTGCGACACATGCTCAAAGAACATCAGGCTCGACTACGGCCTGTTCTGGACCGGTTCAAGGAAACCAACGACTTGCCCGGTCTGACGAGTCTCTACCGCTCTGTTCGAGCACTACAGCCATCCCCAATGCACGAGGGGATCTATGCATACTTCATCAACGCATTCTTAAGTTTCTGGCGATCGCAAGATATGGCACTGCGGGTATGGGAAGATATGATAATGGGCGGGATCACGCCCACCGCCAAAAGCTGGAACGCGCTCCTCCGATACGGCCACGGCCGCGACCGTACTGCCCTCCTAGCCATCTGGAAGCGAATGGTTCTCACCGGAGTCGTCCCAGACGTGTACTGCTGGACAACGCGGATCCACCTCCAAATGCTCGCAGACGAGGTCCAAGACGGCCTTGAATCATTTGAGCAAATGATTGAAGCAGGCGTCAAACCCACCATCGAAACAATAAACGCGGCCATGGACGGTCTCCTCAGCTTCAATCGCTTCGACGAGATCGACCATGTCGTCTCCATGGCCGACCACCTCGGCGTCCCTGCAAACATCATAACTTATAATACGCTCCTCCGAGGTATGCTCCGCCGCCGCGGCGCCGCAACCGAAGTCATCCCCCTCCTCGAATCCATGCATTCCCGCGGCATATCCCCAGATGTTTACACCTTTACCATCGCCCTCGATGGTTTGTACAAAGCCGCGCGAGTCGCCGCCTCCGCCTCTTGGCACCACTCGCAAAACGACGAGTCCCTCCCCAACCCGGACGCCCCCAGCTTCTCGTACATCCTCGAACTGTTCCGGTACATGGAGGGCCTAGGGATCGACGCCAACGTGACGACATACACGGCGCTCGTCGGCGGCCTCCTGGACACCGGCAACCTCGCGGCGGTGGATGTGGTGCGGCGCGTGATGGCGCGCAAGGGCGTCGTTGGCAACGCCGACTTCTACACGGTGCTGATCAAGTCTGCGTTTCAGCGCTGCGACATCGGCGCGGCGGACCGCTACGCTGACGAGATCACGCACCTGCGCGTGCGCCGCGACCACATATTCTGGATGGAGCTCATCTGGGGATACGCGCAGTTCGGCGAGACGGTCAAGATGGCGGCTGCAATCGATGCTATGAAGAGGGAGCCGGTCCGCATGGTCATCACGCTCAAGGGTCACGTTACCATCCTGCGTGCGCTGGAGAGGAGAGGTGAGAGGATCGTTGCCAAGGGGATCATCGAGGACGTCGTTAAGGAGTGGGAGGCGCCGCCGAGACTCCCTGACGCCCCCGATGCGCCGAGTAAAGTCGAGATGGAGTTTTGGAGTGTCGTGGCGAAGATTGGAGGGACTGGGTGGATGGCGGCGTTGAGAGAGGAGGCGGGGCGCAGGGAGGCGAGGGATAGAGAGGAGATTGCGAGGGATCATTTGGCGAGGGTCGTGGATATTGTGGGGGTTAGGGAGGAGAGGAATGTATGATAGCTCATGGCTTTCGGGATTTTGGGGGTTTATGATGATGGGACGAATGTGTATTTGTAAATAGGTTAGGTATAGAGTTGGGATGGGTTAAGTGTAAGAGAGTAACAGAGGTCTCAATTCGGGGCACGAGCAGCAAGAATATCAAGAAGCAAGCAAGCAAGAAAACAGAATTCCATGCGCAATCACTCCAGCCGCTGAATCGCATCCCACCGAACCAACCAGTCGACCGACCAACGTGACAATCAACGCATTATCGATTAAAGAAAAGAGGCATTATGCAGCGTGACAGAAGACACGAAACGAAAAAAGACAAATCTCCATCCCATCCCATCGCTCAACTGCTGCCGGCCACTAATACACCTGCCCGCCGATCGGCTGTCCCTGTCCCTGCTGTCGTCTGCCACCCTCCGCGAGCACATGTCCTCCGGCGCGCAACTGCTTAAGATCCGCAAACCACGGGTGCCTCAGCGCATCCTTCGCGCTAATCCTCATCTCGGGTCTCAACTGCAGCATCCTGCTGAGCAGATCGAGGCCCAGCGGGTCGATCTGCGGCAGGATCATGCGCAGCTCCTGGGTCGCAAATACGTGGAAGGTATTCCTGTACTCGGGGTAGGCGCTGATGCCAGGCCAGGTGCGCTCGCTGGGCGTGCCCATGAGGCGGAAGATCTTCTGCAGCTGGTCCTCGTTTGTGGTGCCGGGGAACAGCGGGCGGCCCGTGTACATCTCGGCCATGATGCAGCCGGCGGACCAGATGTCGATGCTGGTGTTGTAGGTGCGGGAGCCGAGGAGGACGTCGGGCGCGCGGTACCACAGCGTCACCACCTCGTTCGAGAAGGTGTTGACGGGGATGCCGAAGGCGCGCGCCAGCCCGAAGTCCGCGAGCTTCAGCTGGCCCTTGTTGTTGATCAGCAGGTTCTGCGGCTTCAGATCGCGGTGCAAAACCCGGTTCTCGTGGCAGAACGCGATTCCCTGCAGAAGCTGGTGCGTGAAGCTCTTGATCGTAGGGTAGTCGAGCGCGCCGCGCTCCCCCCGCTGGTCCATGTACTTCTTAAGGTCGCGGTCCATGTACTCAAACACAAGCATCAGCTTCGACTCCGTGTGGATCACGTCGTGCAGCGACACGATGTTGTCGTGCTTCAGCTCCTTCATCAGGCTGATCTCGCGGATCGCGGTCGACGGCGTGCCCTCTTCGCTGTCCAGGTGGATCTCTTTGAGCGCGACCAGGTCGCCCGTTTGCCGGTTGCGGCCTTTGAACACCTGTGCGCGCGTGGCGTCAGCTACGACCCCTCACCACCCCTCACCGCCACCACCACCGCCGCCACCGAGGTTTCGATTCGTGATGGAAAGCGTACCGTCGCATACGTGCCCTCTCCCAACTTCTCCAGCTGCTGGAAGCTGCTGGGGTGCCGCTTGTTGTCCATCTCGACGGGGCGTGTGAATGCCGGCTTCTTTTCGGTTGTCGTCGAGGGATCCCACAGTAACGATGCGACCGTGGCGAAAGGGGGTGCGGCGGTGGTGTCGGTGGTCGTGGATGTGGATGTGGATGTGGAGGTGGAGGTTGTCGTGGTGAGGGTCGTCGTTGCAACTTGCGGGTCGTGGTGGGGAGCAATCGTGGTAGCGTGTATGTTAGTCACTTAGTGGCGGTCGCCGGTCCCGTGGCGAACCGACTATTTTTAGCGAACAGCGTGGTACGGTAGGATGAAGGCGGTTCTCTCGTCACAGGTTCGTTTCGAATGGGAGCGGTGGGTAGGTAGATGAGAATGGGAAGTGCAATCAATGATGGGACTCGGAAGGCCAACTCAATGGCACTCTTGTTAAGATCGATATCGAGGATGAACGGGCGGAGGAGGAGGATGGCGAGGAGCTGGAGGAGGAGCAGGAGCGGGCGACAATGACGGAAACATCACAGAAGCCCGAAGAACATTAGGCGATAACAACCCGCATCACAGCATCACACAGCATTAGATCTTGACACTCATTCACCGATTCCAACTCTGGGTACTTCCAGGTCTACGTATTCTGGTATTTCGAGAAGCCCGTTCATGCCTTAGCGCCGCAAGAAAATTCGTCACAAAAAAACAGCAGCATGATAGAATACCTCAATTTCAAACCCGGTACGTAACAGAACCTCCCGAGCGGGATGTAACATTGGGAACGAAACAACCACCACTTCTTAACCCCCGCTAGGATTAGGCTGAAGGATGAAAAATAAAAGGATGAAAAATAAAAGGATGGAAGAAAGAAGAGAAGAAGAAGATTCATCAGTCAATCATGGTCATAAATCCGGCCTCATTGGAAAGAAGAAAATGAAAAACAGCTTTCCACGCGCACCGCAAGCTCCCGAATCCGTCTATGCTTTTGAAAGGAGAAAAAAAGGGAAAAAGAGAGGAAAAAATGGTAAAGAGAACAAAACAAAAGATTTCCCAGCAATCAGCCAGCCCGAAAGGAAGAAGAAGGAACAGAACAGCCAACAACTTCAAACCCTCCATTGCTACAGCGCACTCTTCTTCGGAAAGCCCACGCCCTTGACCGCATCCTCGTCGCAGAACCAACTGACCTTCTCCCCACCGTTCATGTTAACCAGCGCACACGGCAGCACCTCGCCGCCCTCAAGCTCAGGATGCGTATCAAAGATCCTCTTGAGCACCTCCTGCTTTCCGGCGCCGGTCGTCACGAACGCAATCTTGAGCGCGTGGGTAACCACGGGGAGGGTGAGGGTGATCCTCTTCGCAGGAGGCTTAGGACTATCCTCGATGGGGGCGACCCAGGCGACATCCTCGCGCAGCAGCTCATGACCGGGGAACAGCGAGCAGGTGTGTCCGTCCGGGCCGCAGCCAAGCAGCATCAGGTCGAAGATCGGGAGCTTCACCGTGTCCCGCGCCGCAAAGTGCTTGACGAGCGCCTGCTCGTACACGTCGGCAAGCTCTTGCGGGTCGTCGAGGAGAGACTCGTCGATGGTCACCACGGTCGGCGCGACGTCGCCCGGGATCTTCGACAGGAACTCTTTCTTGAGCAGGGCGTAGTTGGAGTCCTCGTGGTCGAGGGGCACTGCGCGCTCGTCCGCGAAGAAGATCTCCCAGGCGCCCCATTTGCAGTCGGGGGAGTTGAGGAGCTCGCTGGATGAGAGCATCGCGGGGAGAGAGCCGCCGGAAACGGCGACGCGGAACGTTGAGTGGCGCTTCAGCGCGGCGTTTTGCGCTTTGATGATGTAGCTGGCCAGGCTGGACTGCAGTGCAGCTTTGGAGGCGAAGGCGTATAGTGAGGGTTGCTTCGTCATGGTTGCAGTAGGTTCAGAATCGTGATTGTGCTTGTGATTGTGATGGCAAGTCGTGGAGCTTTGATGTGTTTGTGTAGGTGTGTAGGATGTGCAGCGTATATACGGGTGGGGTTCGGTCAAGAGACGAGAGGATAACGGGGAGGAAGACAAGACAAAGGTCGTGTCGTGTGTAATGATAAGGAAAATGAGATGGGGCCTAAAGATGAGGGGTCCAGGTTTACACACACCATACTGTCGGGGGTGGGAGGCTGGCTGGCTAACTTTGCTTATTTAGACCGAATGTGACGTAGAAGAAGAGGGGCAGCAGAACGTATTAGTGACTGTACCGACCCTGCAGCTCCAGTTTCTGCAGGCATCTGTCTGTCTGTCTGCTCACTCCGACTCCACAGCATGGAAAGTCATCTGCCATAAATACCGTATCTAGAACTCTCGAGAACGAATGGAAAAAAGAAAAGAGGGAAAAGAAAAAAGAAAAAAATAGGTTGTGTCTCGGCACGAACCGAGGAAAGGCAGGTCCATCACCCGCCGTTTTCTTCCGCCGCGTTTCTCCCGCCGCCTTGGTCGAAGGCGAAGATCGCTGATCACCCTTGACTCAAAGCCGACGAGGGAGAGGAGGAAAAAGAAGCTGCAGTTGTATGATACCTAGCTGAGAGCTAACTACCGGCAGTGTCGATTGCGATGTGATGATGTAAGGTGATGTGTGACGTGATTGACGGTCAAGGCGGAGGCGGCGGCAACAGGGAGTGCTGTCACCGCAAGTCCGCAGCACGAGTGCAAGGCTGTGAAGACCACGATCCGATCACGTTGGAAGCATACGATAGGTATATGGTAATTGGACAAGTTGCCTGTTACTTACTGACCAAGAACCAAGGAACAACGGAAGACAAAACCAAAGGAAAATAATCATGGTTGCGCCGCCAAAACGAAAGAAAACAGACTCCCCCCCCCATTCCCACCTGGTATGTAGAGTAGATACAAAAGCCACACGTATCATACACACCTATCCCATCCCGCGTCGCGATCTATGTCTACGGTATAATCTACTTGTCCTTCTTGTCCAGCTTCACGAACTCGCTGGCCGCGGCTGCGCCCTTGCCAACGAAGCGCACCTGCACCCTCCACATCCCCGCCACATCCGCAACACTGGCACGAACCCTGTCCTCAACCTCCGCCAGCTCCCCGATTGTCCGGCCTTGGTCGACCGCCACCGTTATCGTCAATAGGTAATTCTGCCCGCTCTTGATGCCGTCGACCGTCACCAGCTCTTCCCCCGTCTCACCGACCTTCTTCGCAACCTCATCCTTGACCTCGCGCTCGACACCCGCATCCGCCAGCTCCTCCAGCGCAGCCCGGGTATTCCCCGCGCCAGCCTGCACCACCATCGCCGCAACGAGCAGACCGCCGACCGGATCCATCCACGACGCACTCGGAAACACGTTCGAGCCCGCGATCGCGACCAGGGCCACGATGGCGGTGAGGGAGTCGACGCGGTGATGCACGGCGTTCGACGCCAGCACCGAGGACTTCTTCATCTTTGCGATCTTCATCGTCTTTCGGTAGAGCCATTCCTTAGCACCGATCGAAGCCAGCGCCAGCCAGGCGGCGTTGATGGACGGGATCTCGTGGGAGTGCTCGTGCGCGTGTACGTGCGGGAGGTAGTGTGCGAGCGCGGGCGCGAAGTCGCCGAGGAGGTGAAGTAGAGAGCTGTAGCCTGCGAGCGAGCGCTTGTTCAGCATCGCGTTCGCGCGCTGCACGGGGAGGGGGGGAACTTACCCATCGCCATGCCGCCGAGGAGTAACAGGGAGGACACGCCCAGCGAGCCCAGGGATTCAATCTTGCCGTAGCCGTTGGGGAAGCGGTCCGTGGGCGCCTTGAGCGCGAAGGAAACCGTCGCCAGCGTCATGATGTCCGAAACCATGTCCGTCAACGCATGGAACGCATCCGCAATCTTCACCGACGTCAGCGACGACCACTTGGAGACGCGCGGGAAACGGGTACGGAACAAACCAGAGCTTGGGAATTGAATATCCATCCGCCGAACCCCTTGGTGATGACCATGCCCAGGTTCACGAAGAGCCCCACGCGCGTTATCCTGACGCCGGGATCGGTCTTGTCCTTGCTGGTGAGGAAGGGATCGGCGCCATGGTGGTGGTGGTGGTGGCCGAAGAGGCTGTGGCTATGGCTGTGGTCGTGGTCTTTCTCGTCGTGATCATGTCGGTGACTCGAGTGGTCCCGAGCTTGCTGTGAGGTCGCCAGCTTGAAGGATGTGGGTGGGGGGCACCGGGGAGGATGATGCGTCGGAGCTGTCAAAGTGTAGCACGAAGCTGGGAACGAACGACGACGTGTCCGGTGATACGGTGCGAAGGAGGTAAATACTCGCGGACGACGAGTGAGTTGCTGGGTGAGTGCGATAGGTATTCGACGCAGGAGACGCTGAGGTGTACTTGTAGTGGAGAGGGTACGAAACGTCAAGAACGAAGATGAAAGAGTCAGGGAGTGGTGCATATGATATGTAAAAGGGATATTCTAACAGGTAGGGTAGTCGTCCCAACTATACACTCCTTCTCCGGGGAACGGAAGGGGTGTCGTGTGCGTGGGTGTGTGTTGCTGTGGCTGAAGCTCGAGCTGCTGCGGGAAGGCTTTCGCTTGCTGCAACTGGGGTCTAGTCGATGGGGGGCGGGGGATATCGTGGCTGGTGGGGCTGACGGGCTGTGTATCCGAAATAGCGAAGAATGAGAAGAGATGTGTCCAATTCCAACACCAATTCCGGGTCTGGTGGGGTGGGTGTGCGTGTGTGTGGGTGGGCGGTATCTATTACGCTCCTGCAGGGGCACACTGTGCGATAGTGATTTGTCGATAACTATGGAGAAACAGCGGTTGAGTATGATGTTGCTATGTACCGGTGAACTTTTTGGTCGCGCTGTGAAGGTTCTGTCCTGAAGAGACGAGATGGCGATGGTTCCTGCTTTGCCGGCCGGGCCTGGCCGGTCAGGGCGAGGATTCCCTGCCCACACGCACGCACACACATACCGCTAACCCGACCGTTCGCGATGACGAAATCCGATCGGTTTTTTTCTTCTTCCCCTTCTTCTTTTCTTCCATGCCATCGGCGCTGCCGGCCATGAATGTACGCGTCAACTGCTTCCCTTACTTCGGCAACCTCCATGGCTCCGACCCGAGAGTGGAGAAGGAGTAGGAGGAGTAGGAGTAGGAGGACGAGGAGGAGGACGACGAAGACGCGTACGTACGCACGTTCCGGATATGAGGCTGCATCTGTGTACGTGAAACAGACAGCGGCGGGGACCCGAGGACCCGGCGGAAGAGTAGGAAGCTTTTTTTTCCCGTCGGACGAGACGGAAACAGTTCCTCAGCCGGCGTCACGGGCTGCTGGGGATTTCTGCAGCTTGCGGCCCCGTCCACCTACCTACTCTATTCGACCTATAGAGTGGTATAGCTGCTCGCCGCAGATTGTACCGTGCAAAGTCCAACCTCGGGGAAGGTGCGACATCTGGATGCAGCCTGGTTGTACGCGTACGCGGGGTACGAGTAGAGTTACATTAAGCATGTATGATATCTACAGGCCTGTTGATGGCGACGCCTCCCCTGTAGAGTAACGAGGTCGTAGGGGACAACATCCATCACAAGTTTGCGAAGTTCGAATCACTATACGAAGTAGTGCTTTTTCTTCATCTCAAGTACAAATTCCTCAGAATAAATTCCGTATGACGCCGCCGCCGATTTCTAGCCCTTCCTGACGACCAATAAAGGAAGTTCATGGCCAGATGCCCAGCTTCTGTGCTTTCCGTAGAATCTCTCTCCGCAAGACGCGAAAACCCCCTCCTCGATTGAGCGATGGTGAGGTCGTATAGTAGTGTTAATCAAATCTGCGTGGACTGTAAAGAGAAAAGGAAAAAGAAGAGAAAGAAGAGAGGAAGCGAGGGGAGGTAATATGGCTGTGCGGCTAAAAAAATACACTTGCTGGTGCGGCATAGGGCTCGGGGTTGAGCTAGGCTAGCGGAGAACAGGCTTTGCACCAAGAAACACTCGATGCTTCCGGTCTGGTTTGCATCTAGAGTGTCGTACATCATCTGGAAGCGGGTAAAACCAGGTGTACTCTGGACAACAGCCACCGTGGTCCGTCATATAGCCGATGTTGAATGCGAATAAACGCATAGATAGGTGGCATGGGAAGAAACGAAGGACTGAAGAACATCATAGGTTGACGATATTTGCCAGCAAAACTTGCCGGAAAACCTTTCTCCCCGCCGAGGAATGTGATGTACACGAGTATCCTCCATCCTACCAGAAGATACGCAGCTCGATCGGCGAGATGTCCCTCGCTTCCTGCCGGTGGGTGAAGCTCCCCAAGTCATCATGTGACCAACAAAACACGAGTGACCTCATGTGCAGCGCTCTTCACGATACCTACAGGATACAGCAAGAAGTCACCAGATTATAGAATAGAGATTAATTCAATGAAGCAAACTTTTATAAACATAGAAAGCAACACAACCATTGCCATTAACCTCACCATACGCCCCATCAAATTAACGGCTTAATCACCGACTCCAATCCATCCCATTACTCCTCATTTCGATGCAACCATACCCATCGAATCCACCATGCGACCCATTAAATTAACGGCCGTTAAATTATCGCCGACTCCAATCCGCCCCAAAACTCCTCATCTCAATCCAAACATGCCGAGAGATCAACTCCGCCAACTGGCTCCAACTTCAACTTTCGAGACCCTTAACATCTCGATCTTATTTTCTCGAGTGAGCGACTCGAACTGATAGTTGTAGCAACCGGTGCTAACAAAGCTGCGCGCAGAATAGTACGTGCTGCTGGAATCGAGCGAGGATTTGCGGAGGCCATTTTTTGACGTGCTATTGGAATCGAGCGAGCTCTTTCTGATTCCGGTTTCCGACTTGTCTTCGTCTTCGTTATCGTTGTCATCGTCGTCGTCGTAAAAGACCGGCTCAGCGAGGAGGTCGTAGGTAGTGTAGGGGTCCTCATCCTCATCGACCGGGTGATGCTGTGTGATCCTGTCGTCGTCGTCGATAGGAGAAAACCTGATGATAGCTGGGGACGAGGCGACTGCAGAGGGGAAGCGCGACTTCTTGCTCTTGCTCTTGCTCTTGCGGTTGCGGTTGCGGTTGCGGTACGGCTTGAGGCGGAGGACTTTGTGTGCGAGAGCGGCGAGCTTGTGGAAAGCGGTAGAGATGGTACTGCTGCGCCCGACGGGAGAGGCGGGAGAGGCGGGAGAGTCAGGAGAACCGGCCTTGTGCAGGTACAAAAGCGTCGAGATAGTCATGTCGATTATGTCGATATTCGTCAACGAGAGGAATATTCGGAAATAGCTGTAGCTGGAAGCTGATATTGTGCAGGATATTGTTCGTATGAGGGGAGAGGTTGTGGATATAGATGTAAAGGAAGAGAAGATAAAGTTTAATATTGTCCCAAAGTTATAGGTGGTGGGTGGGCTGGGCCTGAAGGTTAATAGACAGGGTCGGCGGTGAGTCTCGATGGTATGCTATGGTCCTGGGTGGTGAGTTCGAACAACACGCGATGGTCTGGTGGCGTCAGCGAAGGTTTGGCTGCGTGAGAGTTTGAGGTTGTTATTGAGACCGCGGGGAGCGAGTGACTTTTTGGTGACTAGCGCGCACTAGGTACTTGAGATTGACTGGTGTCGGCGAAATATTAGGGCTTAGGGTGAGGTTATTTACGTATTCGCTGAGCGTAGGTTTACCAGATCGCAAGGGACTGAATTGGTGCAGTGTCCCCCGCACACAATTATCCTTGCCGAAATGCTGCGTTGCGCCGCTGGCACCGAGTGATGAAGATGTGATTGCGGGGGGTCAAAGTGTAAGGGGGGGGTAAGAATCGAACGGGCGATGGTGCGCTGAGCAGTACTGCACTACGTACAATCAAAGATCACTATGCTAGTCCATTAAAAACTACTTTTCTACATGGGTAAATAGTAGAAAACTGGCGGTGAGCCCCGCTTCCAATAGATATCGTGTGCACAGTGGCCTTTGCGGGAGTCTGTATGATCGTCTACGAAGAAGAAAGAAAGAAAGAAAAGAAGGGGACTGGCCGCCTTTAAGCCATTTATTGACAAGTAAACGAGCATTTCTAGGCTTCGGTCTTCGCGCATCTGCAGGACACATACCAAGAGCTAGAAATGTGATCGTTCACTAGCTTGGTCATGTTCGTTTCCGTTTCGCAGTATGGGGTCCTCGGCTTTTTTCCTTCACTCGTGCTGTCTAGCCATCCGATCTCTGGGGGTTAAAGTTCAACCCTACCGGATTGTGTGCGTTCACGCTTCCACGCCGCTTCTCCGCAATCTGCAGCAGCGTAAATCCTACCGGTAGGTACAGACCATCTGGATCCTGCTCTAGGGCAACCGCTGTTGTGCAGAAATGAAGTACGGTAGGTAAGTGGGTTAAACGGCCTGCACTCGGTCGTCGTGATTATCCGCCTGGTACTATAATTTTTCTTGGTGGGCAATGGTATGTACGGGTTCCGAGTTGGAGCCATTGAGAGCCTGGAGGCGTAGGAGAGTGGCCACGAGGTCGCGTATCTGAGGATCTGGCCAAGGCAGACTGTGGGGTAGGTAATCAAAAGGCCGTGTTTGGGAGCCTGGGCTTCTTCCGCATGGAGAAATGTGCCTACATACTCGGACCAAGCCTTCTGGGTAGGTACATAGCCGCCGTACGGTAGGAATCCCCCGATGAATGCTGCATCTACGGTTTATATACCTATGCGAGTTCGAGATCTGAATGGAGAGCTAGCAAGTATGTACTCTATGTAGAGGGAACCGCAGTCTCGACTACGTGATAAATGACTATATATCTTGGCCATCTGCGCAGCAGTTTATATTGCCTAGCACCCAATCGTGGCATTAGGAGCTGACAGCTGATAGCTGGCGGGTACTCGGGTAGAGTAAGTACCTAGATGTCGAGCTGTCGTTGTGTCAACGGATGCCGTATGTACCTAGTCTGCAATCGGAGGGGTTTCTGTCTGGCCCCGCCATAACTAGCAACTTTCGCCAGGAAAAATAGGCGCACACCTCATACCTAGAGCGGTCACCGTAGGCAGAGCGGGATGCAAAGTCTACGAGCACCGGCCCGGCCCGCCGTTAACTTCCGCTAGCTAGCAAGTGAAGTTTTTGGACTCAACATCCATCCATCTATGCGCGAAGTCCATCCAGCCTCATGAACGTCTGGAGAGTTTACATAAAGTAGATCTGTAGTTGCGTAGCCTGGCCAATACTTACTACACAGATACCTACTACTCTAGATACCGAGGCAGATCGCTACCAAGCGGCGCCTACCGGTACCTATCTAGGTGTCAATCTGAAACCATTTTCCCTGTCGGGTCGCCAAGCGCGTCAAACGACGAGCTTGAGCTAGCTATATAGCTGCAAAGCCACCGTGAAGCGAGCCAAGGCGTCGGATAATAGGCGAAGAACCTCCCAAACGGACTACCTACATAATCAATATCCCGAGGCTTTTCGTATGTACCTGTACACTATCGCTACTGGCGAAACGGATCACGCGACGATGTACACAGCGGAACATCGACCGCGTGCAGACTTGGTATGACACCTCTACTACATATATACGCTCGCGTGTTTGTGCGGGATTTGAACTAGTGACCAGGTAGTAGAAGGGTAAAAAGTGAGCCCGTTGAATATCTAGTACCTACATCAAGACCTCGGTACTATGAGGGGGAAATCATTTTATTGACGTATCTATAGACCTAAGTAGATCACGACGTCCGAACCAATGAGAGCCACCGCCGCGAGACTAGCTAATCGGCGTCTCTCGCCTGCCCGCGAGAGAGAAGTACACTAACCAACGAAAAGCTCTCCCAGCGAAGTAGATATATACACGGTAAAGACTGGTATGGGCCCGCGTGCCCGCCCCTTCCCACCTCTCCTCTCTCACCTACGGGCTGATACGCCCGCTCTTCCCACCTGCCCTCTGTCCCTTCGTTTGAAGGTTTCGGGCTCCTTCCTACGGGGCTCGCGTGCCTTTTTCGGCCTGGCGTTCTTGCTCCCACCGATGAAGACGGTCACATGTACGCCGCCCCTGCCGCGAGCAATATCAGCCCACGACGTGATGCTTCCCCCTGTTCCAAATGCAGCCCCTCTCTTCTCCGCTTTCCCTTTCCTCTTCCTCTCAACCTTCTTCCATCCCTCATCCGTCTCAGTGTCGCGGGTTCCAAGCTCCGAGGACACGGCAGGTGTTGGTGGTTTGGGTCGTACGGAGTCGGCCTCCAATTCCCTATGCTCAGATTTCTCAGGCGTCGGGGTGGGGGGGTTGGATCTAGCCAGCTTCTACGGTTGGTGTGGGGTTGGTGGCCCCGTCCGTTTCCGTTTCGGCCGGGGAGGTGGTGTCGATGAAGGCGGCGGTAGCAGCTGTGTGGCTTGCACTGGCGTTTGCTCCCGGAGCGCCCGGTTCTCTTCTGTGAGCTTTTCGATTGTCTCACTCATCGTCTCTATAAGGGCTTTGAGGCCCCTTATCTCCTGTCGGGTCTCTTGTACCACTGATACGAGTTCCTTGACGCTTCCTACTGACTCTCCGACAACAGCGCTAACAATGGCGAACTCGTCGCGGAAAATCGTCCGAAGCTTTTCGTACAGTAGGTTGGTGTTTTCGGCGATGGTCGGCGACGCAACAGATTTGTCGTGACCAAGGACGGAACGATCCTCTTCCTCCATTCGCTTTGAGGGCGTTGGGAGGGGGACGGGGCACCGGCTCAACAGGTGCCCGGGCCGCCCGCAATTGCAGCAGGTGCGCGGGGATATTCCAAGAGGGGTAGGAATGGACCTCGGTACTATTATAACTATATCAAGGGTAAATAATTCTTGGCGCTTGGGTAGACGCCTACTGGCTACTGCTCGATTAGACCGATCGTGGCGGATATCTGCAGTACTACATATCTCTGGACGAGCCCCCACGTACCTAGTTATGTATGTATGTATGTACGGAGTGGCCAAAGTTATCGACGTCCCTCCCCCACTGTATGTAAAGCGGACCGAACCACCGTTCTCTCGCTTCATCGCAATTTATCAATATCCCTTGGAGAATCGCCCGCCAGAAGAACCTACATACCATCTGGGAGACAAAGGCGAATAGATACCTAGATAGAGTCCTCTGGTCAGCAGTAGTTACGGGAACGGGTATCCGACGAAGAGATTCAAGTGAAGAGAAGAGAAAAAAGTTTCGCGATGGCTTCAAATGGCATTCTACAAGCTAGATGTAAGGTATCCGCCGTCCGGGCATTAGGTATACCTTCCGTGCATACGTCTACGGTATTTATTCCGGACCCGGCGGTGCCAAAGAAGCTGCGGAAAGTTTTGGGGTCACTCGCCGTATGTACATACTAACACTTGGTCTTGGAATTGTGGGGTAGATGTTCCTGCAGCCTTAATGGCTAGCTCATATAATAGTAATACGACCACAGCCTAATTTCTGTACATACCGAGGCATCCTGCAGGCTACGTAGGAGTACCAGGGACGAAGCAGTGCGGGGATCCCGACAGCGGATGTTTAACTAAATCTTGGCTGCAGGAATCTAACGGTTCGCATTTGTATGTAGTGTTCAATCAAAATAATACACCACTTCAGTATCCGAAAATATCTAGTAGCGGGAGTCTTCAAAATCTATACGGTGCTACCTACATTGAGTCGGTGGTGGAACTCCTAGACATATTTTCGCGAGTGGTGGAGGTCGCCTATGTATGTTGCATATGGATATCGATACGTGACTGTGATTTTGTACGTTGGAGCCTGGAATGCACATGGCCATCTCTATCCAGTTGCCATCATCACCCTCACCAGACCTGAACCAGATATGTGCCTCGGAACCAAAGCTGCAGCCAAACAGCCCCAAGAGGATAAGCTAAACAATGTTGCAGAAACATTCACCCAGCTGCCTAGACACAAGGTGATTTGTTTCTTCTTCGTCAATGAATTTCTTGGCTTTTCCTGGAGAAGTTTGTCAAGATATAGCAGAGAGCCTAACCTCAACGAGCCCCTTGGTCAGTGTCTTGGAGCGTGAGGAGCTGGTGATAGATACTGAGATCTCACGGCTCAGATTCACTCCACCGACCTTGGCGGCCAGATACCTCTCGTATATATACCTCGTTTCCCACCGGTATCAATTCGTTCCTCACCACCAGAAGTTCGAATACGAGCAGTCAGCAGCACTCTTCAGTCTTCCACTTCTCAGTCCTTCCCACCGGTCATCCCGAATAACCCTCTCTCCACCACAGAACCTTTCACGATGAAGTTCACCGCCGCAATTCTCTCTGCCCTGCCGCTCCTTGCACTAGCTGCGCCAACTGCAAGTCCCGCCGCAGTCACCGCCGCCGATGCCATCGAGCTCGAGCTCTTCAAGAAGAGTATGCTCGAGGGCTACGGCAACCTCTTCAAGAAGGGGATCCAGGAGCGCGAGGCCGAGGGCGCAATCGAGGCGCGCCAGTTGTTCAGCTCAACCCGAAACGAGCTGACCGCGGGACGCTGTGCCGATGCCATCGTCATCTTCGCCCGTGGTACCACTGAGACCGGAAACGTCGGAACCGTGCTTTCGGGCCCCCTTTTCCGTGCCATCTCCGATGAGACGGTATGGTTCACTCCGGATAGGGCAATGGACGTGCCGCGCTGACTCGGAACTGCCACAGAACGGCCGCGCTATCTTCCAGGGTGTTAATGACTATCCCGCCGATATCGCCGGCTAGTAAGTGTTCCCCAAAGACGGCACCCGTATGTACTAATCCCGGAAATAGCCTCGCTGGCGGATCCCGGTCCGGTGCCCGGAACATGGCCGGGCTGGTGACGCGGGCCAGGTCGCAGTGTCCGAGCGGAAAGGTCTTCATGATCGGCTACTCGCAGGGAGCCCAGGTTACGCATTTGGCGGGAGACCTGATCCCCACCGCTGACCGTGCTGCTGTCGGTACGAACTCTCGCATGATGCCGGGGTATTTCAATATTGTTATGTACTGACACGTCTGCACAGGCGGTGTCGTTGTTTTCGGTGACCCAAACCGTGGCGATCGCTTCCCCGGTACCTTGAACAACAATGTCCTCACAATCTGCGACCTCGCCGATCCTATCTGCTACGGGATTCCTCTACCCATCGTAAGCATATTCCCATTGCAGACCGAATAGGTGGTGAAGAACATGGACTGACCTTGACATAGGGCGAGCACCTGAACTATGGTCCTGATGCACCCCAAGCGGCGCGCTGGATCGCCCAGAGGGTGTAGATATTTTTTTCTGTTCCTAACAGTCATCTTCTTTTGTGGAAATTGTGTTTTTGATTTTGATGAGGTTCGGCGGGATTGGACTCAAACCTCTTGACGGGGAATTGGGGGCTGGAAGAAAAAAGGGTTGCCGAATTTTTCCCTCCGGTTGCGGAAACTGCAAGCATATCTACTGTAGTTAGCATCAGACTGGAGCAGTAATCCAACTTTTGTTGTTATCTTCTCAGAATGGTCCGGATCATCGAGCAGAACGCTCAAAAATCGTGGCATCACTCGATTATGCTGAAGCTAGTCCCTCAAGCCCCTCTCAGCCGCACGCATAAGTCGCTGTACCGGCAGGACCGACCAATCTAACTGTAGGTACGCTTAAAATGCGGTGTGTGCGGTGGCGGAGTGGTTCTCCGAGGAAGCCACCGAATCTCTATGAGCGACTCTCGTGGCCGTTTGAGGGTCTAGTCTTGTGCGAAGAAACGCGTTTTGTGTACATCGAGTCTCGACCAAGCGGGTTGCGATGCAATGGTGATATGCTGGGGTAGAGTTATTGGACGACACGCTGCGTGGTAAGCCCAGGCCCCGGAGCGGATAGGTATGTATGTAGCAACTTACGTGTCCGCACCCATGCGTAGGATTGTAGATCATCAATCTGCAGTCGTTCTGGTAGGAATCGATATCGTATTCTACACTTTTCCGTCCGGAGAACCCATCTGACTGCTGTGATTTCGCCACGACGTTCTAGGCCAAAGAGGCGCGGTCGCTTCTTCTTTTCTGGCGGCAAATTGCGCCGCAGGTGACACCTTATCGTAACCATGCGCACATGAGGAGCAAGCATCGGAAATGAAGAATTCGATATCGGTGATCGGTAGCTAGAGTGCCTAGGTCGGTGTTCCCTGTGCGCCTCTGGGTATTAGGTAAATCCCCGCCTGTGTAGTCTAGAGTACCGTACCGCAGCAGATCGCCGACTAGTACATAACTCCAATAAAGATCAGCGGAATACTGTTGCGGCCTGCAGAGACATCGCCATTGCCACCACACAACGCTCAATACCCTCCCGTATATGTTGTCGTCATACAAAACGAGCGGCCGAAGTTCTGGCCCCCGATGTCGGTGAGCGCTCTTGCGGGGGGAGGGGAGGGGAACAACCTGCAATCTCTCCTTGTGGGTTGCTGTCTCGTACGATGGAGGTGATGAAGAAGACGAGCGGACAAAGTGTCCAAGCGACGAAAATCTACCAGGATTTGCATGCAGGTCTCTGCCGCGCACCAACAAATCCCATCGGACGTATCCGGGTGCCCACTTCGTTCTGTCTGGAAACTGAAATTGTTGCCTGAAGCCAGCAGCAGCGCGCACGTTACCGTTGGCGGATTGGCAGACACTCCGTTCGCCACCGTCCACGAAGTTCTGTAATTTCTGTAGCTGGCTGAGTGAGCGTGGCGCGTCTGGATCGTCGAGGAGTGAAGGGAGTTGGAACTTGGACAGTATGATAAATATCACGGTCGTCCCTGATCATGGAAAGGCCGGTAGGTAAGTAAGTACTTCGGTAGGTTTCCGGTACATAAGCGGCTCAACCCGTACAAGTATGTGGGCCCCGTCGAGCCTGCCGAGAAGAAGGGCCATGATGGAGTCTGGACGGGGTGTTGCATGGCATGAAGGCTGGATACTTAGCCGGGATGACGGCCGCTTCGGATAGTGTTGGGGATTTTCGCACTCTATATTCATTTACGGATTCATACATTCTATTTCATTAGGTGAGAGGCATTCCAATCCTGTTCAAATTGTTTTTTGCACGGTCAGGAGGGGATCCGAGGTGCTGATACTATTCGGGGACGAGCCGCAGTGCCGCAGTGCCGCACACTGAAAGTGGTGGCTGGGCCTTCCTGACAAAACGTTTGTTCATTCCTCGAGTGTGCTAGCAGGTAGTCCAACGAACCAACCTTCCTCGGCGAAGCGAATGGTACCGTATACCTATCCCTACCGAACAGCCTTTCCCCTCCTCCTCCTCCCTCGCTGCACCGGCAGGTTCGAAGCTCGAACGACACTCAAGAGACGATCTCCACCATCCCGAGCCCGTCCGATCCATTCCTCGCTCTCGACACCGTCTATACCGCCGCCGTATGTGTGCCACTCCCCCACTGCGACGTTGGAGATGGGCCCATCTAGCGTGTGCCGAAGAGTGATCGTCTCCACCGGAGGGGCACTGTGGATTACCGATATCTCCATGGAGTCTCAGGCCTCAAGGAAGTTGGACCACCAGAACCAAATGACCTCTCGCATACCCGATCCCTCAGCCCTGTATCCTTCGATCTCAGCCAGTCATCGGAGACAGCGCGCTGAATCAAACCCCACATGGAGGATGGACCTCTCGCATACGGACTTCGAGTGGTAGATGACATGGCCGGGGGCCCAGCGGTGTATTCGTGCTGCACAACTGTCATCATCTTGCGGCGTCGATCATGCGGAGTTTAAATCGGATGTCTCAGATCATATGATTCGGATCTTGGATCGCGGATGATGTCTCGGCGGTGGGGCGGGTGCTGTCAGATCAGTACCTACTATACAGACGAGTGGTTCCGCAAGACAGCACCCAAACCCGGTAGGAAAGAAGCTCTTTAGCGGAACTGAACCCTCATTAACCGGAAGTGAAAAAGAAAAAAGAAAGGAAACATGGAGTTGAAGTGAACAAGGCCAATCATTTGATAACCCTAATGCCGGAGATCCACACTATTTCACAACACAACCGCGTCAACGAGTGCATAACGGAACAATTCTAGTAAGAACCCGCAACCCCACGATTAAATAAGCTAAGAGAAACATATAGACAGCTCAATAATAGATATATTTGGAGCAAACGACATCAAAAAGAAACTCCAAGCAACCTTTGGCCGGTCAAACAGATACCGCAGATACCACAGATAACCCCCCGGCCGACACCAAAGGCCATTTACTAACCTAATATGCACCGGTGTATCAGCAGCTGTACCTCTCGGGGTTAAGCAGCTGAAGAGGTGTCCTACCTACAACTACGCCATCGCATCGAGGATGGTCACGGTCCTATACCCCTTGTTCACTGTCCACCGCCTGTTTCCGGGTGGCATATTTGTCACGACGCATGACAATCTCGCGGCCCTTCAGAGTGGAACCCTTGAACAGCTCCAGGCAACGCTCCGCCTCCTGCTGTGTCTTGAACAACACGGTCCCGTAACCCTTCCCCTTCCCGTTGGAGCCTTTGGGAACTTCGCAGCGCACGATGGTGCCGGCTTCAGCGAGGTGGTCGCGCAGCTCCCTCCACGTGACGTCATACTTCAGGTTCCTCACGTGGATGCCGCGAGGCTCAGTCACAACTGCCCCATGAGCGAGGTTGATTGGCAGTCCGCCGGATATTGGTGTGACGGTGTGGGGGGTGGGTGGCACCCAAGGCTTCGAATGATCGATGTGGACGGGAAATGTGCCTGGAGGCCCAGGAGGCGGCGGCGGCGGCGCTGGCGGGCAGTCGTATCGGAAGATCGACCCGTAAAACGGCGGGTTATAGTACTCGGCCATGGCCGGTCCGACTTGAAACGAATGATGCAGGGTGGGCATGAAGTTTCCGCCGTATAGACTCTCGTCGTGAAAGGTGGGTTGAGGGGTCGGCGGTGTCTGATAGACGTCTTGGAACGTCGCCCATGCCCCGCATCCAACAGCTTGGAGATACGGCTGCGCCTGAGGAAATGGCTGCATCTGGGGATACGGCTGGCTATGAGGGGGACCATAAGGTGGAGGCGAGAGTTGCTCCAACAAGGGCGGGGTGGACATCCTCGAAGTCGCTGGCTCCTCGTTGAGCTTCCGGCCAGCGCCAGTAGGACAAACATCATGCTCGTTGCCCAACATGGTTATCAACGCACGACCTTCCCACTCGCGGCCATCGAGTTCTGTGATGGGGACATGGAGTTGGAAACGACACCCTGGAATCTTTAGAGGATGATCGACTTACGGAGAACCTTCATCGCCTCCTCCCTTCCCTTTACACGAACATAGCCGAATCCCCTCGAGCGACCGTCCGGGGTGACATAGATCTCAACGTGCTCGACTGCCATGCTGTACTCGCGCACCAAGTCCTTGAGATCTTGCCATTTGCATTTCCACGGTATCTGACCAACGACTCGTCAGAAGGAAGCTTGGGGAGCAATCCACTCAGACGAATCACTCACGTTTCCTATCAAAATGAAATATAGGCCGGACTGGGATGCACTACGTTGCATTACTGTCTGCCCCATGGAAGAGCTTGGGATGAATGTTTGGTCGAAGCAGACAAGGTTTAGTGTAGAGGAGTTGGTGATCAAGTCTGCCGAGAGATATGTGGCGGACGACCCATTATATGGTGAATATGGGTGAGGGGGGAGAACATGCACTTAATCATGATGGCGGGGAAGTTGGGGAGGGGGGAGAGGGGGAAGCTTCTAGGGTCCAGCAAAGCAAACAGCAGCTTGTGGCACTTTCTGAACAGTGGAACCATTCAGATTCCACAGGATCAACACGAACAAAGCGCCCCAGCGAGGGAAGACGGCGGTTTTTCCCCTCCGCATAGGACAAATGGCTAGGATGCTGTATTGTACCGTGAACCGTTTCCGAGGAATGCTCAGCAGGCGTGCGAGGCCTTGCAAGAGCCTGCAGTGCAAATGAATTGGGATGAACTGAGAGGCTGCAGATAACTGGTGGGTCCGCTCTACGCCCCCGTTGGACGATCCACAGGACGGCTGGCTACAAGACTCAACACTGAGATCGGGCTATTGCATCTCCACTATTTCGATATGGGTATGCGAATCTCGAGCCTAACAAAAATGTGAGCTATCGATCACTCTCCATTGGGATTATCCCTCCCATGGCGTCGTCAGAGGCGCTCGCGGATTCGAGGGACTCGTTGGTTCTCGCCACTTTATTTCAAAGATTACCGATCAGGCAGACAGTCTGCCATGGAGCGAGAGCACTATCCCGGGGAGAGAGGAGAGGGAAACGGATTATGAATTCACGCTGCAAAACTTTGCCTAGGTACGTCTCTCCAATGAAATAATCTTTTATGTATACCCACGATACCTGGTTACGCACTGCACCGACGGTATGTAGTTATCTGCATAGCCCTCTCAGACCCGACCACCCATAGTCGGTCATTGTGGATCAGTTGTACATACGGCTCGCTTGGATTCCCCCAAGTGTCAATAGTATCTACGATCGGAGACTTCAACCGACGCATACTATCGACTAGCTACAAGGGCGTCACAAGAATAGTTCCTCACATTATGACAGCACGGATTTGCACCAGACACCTTAAGAATAGTCTCGAGGCGATGGCTCCCAACTCCAACAAGCATTTGGCATCCGGTCAACCCCATCCATCTTGGCATCTTGAAGGGGTGGGGCGGCGCTCACCGCTCAAGCGCTGAGACAAAGTCGATCATGTTACGGTAACCGAGAATCCCCATTTCTTGTCGTTCAAGGGGCGTGGTCGCGACCAGCCTGGAACTAAGTACTAAGCAGTCTGGAAGCTTTATCGCATGGCCCGGCCCACACGACTCGTGGCTAGCAGAACAACACGGACAGACGGGGAACCCAGCTTTCGGCGGAACGATGCAGTCGTCTGGGCGACTGCGTCAACACATAATTCAAAACGAGCGGGCAGCAGAGACACACCAAGCCCATTCGAAGGGCTAAACCGCAGAACGCGTCCGAAATAAATATATGCGTAGGAAGGTTTCAGCTTCCCGTATAGCTTCCCGTACAGCTTTATGTACTTGCCGTCCATAATCACTAACCTCTCTGGTAAGACCGGCAGCACATCAGGATGGCAGATGTTGGAGCCAGCTGCTACTGGTATGTAGCAAGCTCACGGCTTCCGGAAATCCTCTCGCACATGGCTAGATGGACATTGGGAACCCTCCAGCCCCACTTTCTCTCAGGAAATGCTCACCGAGTAGGTATCTCTCAGCATACATGGTCGGAACGGCCGAAGAGTAACCAACGGCACAACGATGAGATGATACGTCCCTCTGTCTGTCTTGCTCGAACGTCCGACTCGTAAGATGCGGAAATCTGTACTAGTACAGCAGTATCTATCTACGCATTCATATGCTAGCAAATGGCAGTCAGCTTGGATCCGTGATGGTGGCTGTGGCCGTGGTGATGGCAGAATGGCAAAATGGCCTGTGCAACGTCTTTTCTGCCACTACACCTTTCGTGGGTCGATCAGCTTCTGTAAGCACACGAAGGGAGGCAACGCGTAGTAACAGCCGGGACACGCCGATCGGGATCCAAGAACCAGGCGTCATTTCATGTCTGTGTGCCACAAAGCCCCACGCACCAGCACGAATATGTCTGCCGTTGAAATCCGGGATAGTCCCCACGGATAACTAACTACTTCTTAGCTAAGTACTTTCTGGACTTCGTCCCTCTCCACAAAACCACAGCGACAGCGGTGTTCCATTGGTGTGCTGGATACTTCGCTAATTGCCTGACCTCCAATGCATGCGCGGCGGCACGCAGCAACAAAGGCCATAAGACAAGTCGGCTATACGAGCGCGATGAACAAGTCCACGGATTTCGATTGGGGCTGCAGGAAAAAGCAGCGTGGTGCACACTCAAGGTGCAAAGGACGCTGATGGCCGGAACTTTCACGTTGCTGCCAAATGGGTGGGTGCTGACTTCCCTCCGCCATGCCATTGTGGGAAACGGTTGTGGGTATGTCGATGCCTTCCGAAGTAGGTATACGGGTATGCTGTCCGGCGTCTTTGGCAGTCGAGAACGGGCGTCAGTCAGAGGTGATGGTGCATCGCGGCGCGTGGGATATCACATTCACATTATTCTCGTTGATGCACGGCCGACCTCAGAAACGGACAAGCCGACACGAAAAAATTTGGGCTTGCAGTTCTCGAAAACTCGCTCTCTTTCTTTTTCCCACTGCCCCACCGCAACAACCGCACGCAACGGAATCGGTGAGCACAGCCCAGAAACTAACAACCCATAAATGCACTCTGACGCCAGCCACCCCCTCAGCGGCCAATGCAGGGAGAACGGCCCGGAGGCAGGCAGGCAGGACGAGGAGTAATACTTTGTTCGAATTCTGCACATCCACGAAGGGGCTCCCCGTGCAAACCGCCTGTACGGGGCTAGGGCCAATCCGATTTCCTCACGGCAGACGCTTACTCAAGGCCAGTGTGCCCGTGCGAAAGCACGGGGAATACGTCTACGTTCCGGATGTTTAAATAGCTCATGCTGCTCGGTCACTCCGTGTGGTTTGATGTCGGCTCAAAATGGGAGAGGGAATATTCGCTGCAAGATCGCTGACTGCTTCCCCGGAAGCCAATACAGCTATCTGTGGGCTGTTTCTGTGATTCCGGGCACACAAAAGTTGGCGACGCACCACTTGGCCTATCCATGGAGCGCGATGAATCTAACCTGGGCTATAGCAAGAAGAGCTTGATGCTCCGTATAAGACGCAAGTACCCGCCCCAGGCTGCAGCTATAGTATATCTCCTGCACGCTCGGTAGGTTGAAAAGCTCCGCTTCATCTGTCTCTTCATTTACTTCCTATCCCACGGCTTCCCCCCTCCCGCCGTGAGATCGAGCACATTTGAGCGGTTTTCTCGGGAAAAAAACTCGCAGATGCAACATGTTGCGGGTCTCACAGGCCGGTAATCAAACCTCCGGCTGCAGTAAGCAGACGGGAGCCCCGATGTGGACTGGAGCCATTGGTCGAGACGGAGAGGGAGGAAAGGGGGAAGGGGAGGAAAGAGGGGAGGCGAAGGGAGAGCGGGCCACCGCAGAAGGAATATTCCAAACAGGCCAATCCCATCGTTCGAGATTCTCGACTCGTAAGGATAGGAGGGGGTTTTTTGTGCATTCGCTCACCACCCCATGCACCTGAAGATTGGTTTATGCTTTGTGTGAACTGATTGGTCTTCTACATCTTCTATGGCGACTGGATTGCGATGAACCCGCGAATATCCAGGGAGGAGTGTTCGGGCCAGACGAATGCTATGCTCGCCCGTCCAACAGCTGCAACAGCCAGCATTCCCATCCTCATCAGCACCGCACCCCTAAGGAGCGACACAACCGCTCAATATCGATCCCTGCGAGATGATTACTCTCAACGAAGGAGGATGAAGCTACATATTCGCGTCCACGCATATTACAGACCTACAGAATGCACTTCCGGGTTGCAAACTCTCCGTTGGCCAGGACTAGAGTGGTTCTGTGAGCCTAGCCATCCTTCGCCGCCGGTGGAAGTCGTATCCGTCACAGATCGGACGTACACCGAAGACTGTGTTTGCTTTCTCGACCCGGATCAGAAGTCTCTACCAGATGCACGTTGCCGTTACCATGAACTTGGCATTTTTGATGCTGTTGCGAGAAACGATTCGCCCTTGGAGGGGGGGTGTGGCTTCTCTTTCCTTTCATTGAGGGCTCCCAGCAACTCCAGTAGCTGCAGGCAGCCGTTGGTATTATAGCCTCTGCCGAGGCACAGAGAGTTGACTCATCGGACCCAGCCTTCCTCAAGAACTCCGAACTTACATTACAAACTTACGGCCGGAAATCTTGCACTTCAAGAAAAGCAACCGCTGGTTTGCTTGCTTGGCGGGGGAAAAAGGAACCACGATGTGGCACAGACGCCGCACGGAAGGAGAAAGGAGTCTGAGTGCCTGAATGCCGGGTAGGTTGGGAATATGTACTACCAGTATACATACAAGTGCACAGTTGGCGGAGGGAACAGAGAGGAGCATCGTCAGCCAAGGTATTTCGCGTGGTTTCGGTATCGGAACTTCTCTCGAGGGGCTTGGGTTTGGGTTTGGGAGCGCGTTTGGCCGATGCTCCTCGACGGATACTTTCGATGCTCCTGATCGTGCTCCCGACGACGGTGATACAGATATATTCTCCGACCGTAAATATAAATACACCAAAAAACATAAATACATAATTAACACCAAGGATAAAAACGACTAAGCAAATCCATCCCCTATTTCAGCTCCAGAACTACGATGGACAGTCCCGGAAGCGTGTAGGTGACTTTCTTGTTCTTGATCTGGCTACTCGTGAGCTTGAACGTCCTCGGCGAGATGGCCGTGGCGTTGTTGAGGTAGTTGAAGGCATACTCGTCGTCGTGACCGAGGATCGTGCCGTTGCCGGACGAGATCTTGGCGTCGAAAGTGAGGGTGACGGGGGATGCCGTCTTTGCTGCGTTGACGAGCTGTTTTCATGTTTGGTTAGCACTCTGCGTGGCGCGCGGGGGAGTGAGGGTGTAACTATCATACCTTGACGAAGATCTTTCCGCTCGCCAACGTGCCGGTCTGGGAGGCATCAATGCTCGCGTGCCACCAGACGGGGTTGAAGTCCCCAGCCGTGTTCTTGACCGGCAGCGTCTCGCTGCCCTTGTGGAGCGAGAACATCTGCTGCTGGTAGTAACTGGTGCTCAGCACGGTATCGTTCGGGTTCGCCGTGAACCCGATGAAGTTGGGCGTCCACTGGTAGCTGTTGAAGTTCTGGAACAGCGGCGCGTACGAGCTGAGCGTGGCCACCGAGGGATTGCGCTCCATGGCGAGGGCGAAGATCGCCTCTCCGATGGCGGCGACGGTGGTCGGGTAGCGGAAGCGGCCCTCGCCGTTGGCCCAGTCGATGCCGCCGGCGCGGTCGCGCCCGAGAACGGAGTACTCGCCCACGAAGATCTGAACACCCTCGTAGCCGGTGATCTCTTGCCAGTTGTCGAAGAAGTTGAAGTTGTCCTTGAAGAACTGCGGCGTCTCGTAGTGGTGCAAGTCCCACATGTTGCCGGACGGGATCGTAGTGTTGATGTTGGAGGGAGAGCTCTCGGTTGCTTGGGATGCGATGTAGCTGTGGGGGAAATCTCACGTCAGTACCTGAGGAGAAGAGTTCTTTGGTGAAGGTTCCTCTGTAGGTACTTACATGATATCCGGGTATACCGCCTTCAGACTGTCCAAGAACATCGGGAAGCGCCAGTAGTAGCTGTCGGAGAACCAATCCTCGTTGCCGATCTCAACGTACTTGATGTTGAACGGCTCCGGATGGCCGTGCTCGGCGCGGAGAGCTCCCCATTTGGTGTCGACGCCGCCCATGGCGTACTCAAGTTGCTCGATCGCCTCATCGATGTAGAACTGCAGCTCATCTTTGGGTACGGTGTTGGCGGGTTGGACATCGGCGACGTCGAGAGAGTATCCGGCCTGCAGTCATGGGATGAGTCAGTCAAATTTAAACCACCAGCCCTTTGATGAGGTATGTACGTACGTAGACAGTCAACAATGGCTCCATGCTCATGTCCTCACACCACTCCAGGAACTCGAGATATCCGAGACCATCGGTGTTGTAGTAAGACCAGTCCGCCGGTCTGCCGGGACGGTCGATCAGCGGGCCGATGTTCTTCTTCCACTGCCACCTGGTATCGATGCTGAGTCCCTCGAGGTTGTTGCCTCCGGGGAACCGCAAGAATTTGGGCTTGAGAGCAGCAAGGTTCTCGGCCAAGTCCTTACGCAGGCCATTGGGTCGGTCCTTGTATGTGGGAGGGAACAGCGAAACCAAATCGAAGAAGAACGTGTTTCCGGCAACCTCGGCACCATCGAAGGTGATGGCGAAGGTGTTGTTGCTGTTGGGGGCGGCCTTGGACGGGGTCAATGTGGTCTTGAACTGCGTGTAGTTGCTCGTGCTGAGCGGGCCGTCGACTTCCAGCGTCTCCTGGGCAAAGACCTCGCCGGTGCTGTTGGAGCGGATCGAAGCATAAATCTTCGTGACCTTGTCGGTGTAGAGGGCGTCGTTCGGCTTGATGTAGAAAGACGCAGCATAGGGATGTCTATATCAATGTTAGCCGGAATTGATCCTCCAGAATTAATGTAGGGCTGTGCATACGGCTGTACATCCATTCCCCACCATCCCTCGTTCAAGAATCCGATCTCCCCTGTCGCGTCCGTGGGGATATCAACCCTCAATACGGTCCGCAGAGCGTCGGAGAGCGGGTTCAGGACGTCAAGAGACAGTACGGCACCGCCGATTGGCTTCCATGCCGTGAGCGTAGGGCCCCACGGCACCTGCTCGTTCTCGGACCACACGATCCGCGCTCCCCTCATGTTGCTCGGGCGGCCAAAAGCGACGTCGGAGCCCTGGAATGCCCGGTTGCGGATCAACTCGGCGTAGATTCCTCCATCGCCGGAGTGCTGTTTTCCTCTCCGTTAGCATTGTGTTTCTTCGGATGAGCGGGGACGGTATGTACATTGATGTCCTCAAAGAAGAGACCATGGAGATACGGCGCGGTCTTGTTCCTGGTTCCGGACTTGGTCGTGATCTCCAAGTTTATACCGGAGGGCGTGGCACTGGCGACCGCGGAGGATGACCGAGTGGTTGCAGAGACAACAGAGGACGACCGAGTCGATTGAGCTGATGCCGTAAAGGCGAGACACAAGATCCCAATAGCTGCGAATAGTTGTACCATGGTTGCTGCTGTACCGAGGGATGGTAAACAGTCCAGATGGAAGCTCCCATGCCGAAGACTTTATAGTCGGCCAAACACGTATGAGAAACTCCGATCCGGGGAGAGAAGATTATCCCCCGAACAATGATGCACTTGCCTCTGCCCTTTTTTTCCTTTTCTCCATGTGGTTTCGCTACTTGCATATGGACCGGCTGGTGAACCGGTTATTGATCCTTTCACAATCAATATGCGGGTATGCAAGTAGGTATTCAGCATGCTGCCGCCTTCCATTCTCTCCCATCACGATGTATATGTCTAAGGGTAAATTGGCGCACTGTAAATTTTTAATTTTTTTTGATTCTGCCGTTGAATTGACTCGGGAATAGCCGTTCGTGCAGTACAGTTCCTGCAGCTCGCAGATGAATGGAGTATTATATCCGGGTAGACAGCGATTGAATCCAGGCGTCGTTTAAACGCGGAGAGCAGGCATCAAGGATTCGAAGGTTAGGATTTAGCCGTAATGCGGAGTACATACGACACGATAGCCGATCAAGAACACAGACCAGTCGATCCTGCGGGGAAAGCTTGAGCAGGATTCCTGGGGCATGCTTGGAAGCCGATTTATCCGGAGCGTGGGATAACTCGGGGCCCCGCAAACTGTGATTTCCGGCTCTATGTTGGCGATGGATGACAAAAGCCGACGGCATCCACAGCGATTGAAGACGGCAGCCTTGGCCGCAGGCCCTAAAAGCAATTTCCTCGTGAAGCCAAGGGGGCAGCTCCGTCTTCTACGTCCAGTTCGGAACAATGTACAACCGAGGACCGCAGAAAGATGATTCGCCAAGTGTGCTACCGCCGAGAGGTGGATCCCTACGGACGGCCTGACAAGGCCCCTACCATGCCAATTGTTCTTCCCGGGGAACCATCAGACCGAGACACGCGGATCACGAAGTGACGACACGGCGGACTACCGTATCCGAGGTCGAATATGGCGAAGCAACATACCACACATCGAACGGAGTTTCGGCTCTTTTGAAATAGCCGGAATACTACGCGATTGACTCAATTATTACATACGACCGGGCATCGCTGCGGGGCTGAGAACGGATCCAAAGCCTGTCGACTTTCTGATAGCATCGGTGTGGCCGTATGCGAGTCCTTCGATAGTATCTAGCCATCTACAAATGTTTCATCAGCTCATTGTTTCCACCACAATTATCCACCAATGCGATGCTCCACGTTACTTCCACGAGGTTGTCATCTATCCCAACGGCGTCTCGTGGAAAAGCGGGAACACCAACAAGTTTCCTGACCGGAATATACCGTCGGCTTACTATAATTGACGAGCTAGCTCTGATTGGAGAATAGGTACAAATTGGCACGCACGCCCAACCCGTCAATGCATATCGGGTGAATTGTGCGGGATCATGATTGCCATCATAGTGATCACCAGAGGGTACGGAGCACACAGTCCTGCCTTTTCCCGGTGGTTGCTATTGCAGCAGCTCAATATGCGCGTGAGCCGCAATGAACCACCATTGCAATATTTGGCGAGTCGTTGGCAATTTCACACCTAAACATGACCAGATACAACACCAATAACAACAATCTAACACATTCACAACTTCCAAACACAGAGAAATAAATAGAGCGAATCTTCTATATTGTAGAGTAGGTATCAAACAATAAGGATAAATTCAGATCCGAGTCCTCAAGATCGACAGTATAGTGAAGTTGGCTGACTCCCGCGCGATAGAAGACAGGCCATGCACGGCCGGGGGCACTTCTCGCTTCCCAAGGATTAACAGAGCATTTGCGGGCTCCGCAGTTTTATCCAGGGACGAAGAAAACTCGAGAAATCGCGAAGCCGAGCGGATAAAAGCATGTTCCACCTCGTCCGACACTATCTCGAGATGAAATCCTAACGCCCAGCCGACACATGTTTCTCACGCCTCTGCGACTCGTGTTTTCTTGGAGTTGAGATATAGACCATGGCATGAGGTGATTGTTTTAACCGCAGTGGACGCCCCGTTCGAAGCCTCCGGTCTATCCATAGCTTAAGTGCCGCCATGCGTTTAAGTAAGAGATACACTCCTTCCTGTTCCTGAACCACTCCAATCGACATACGGCCCATACGGCAGTTCTAACAGAATACTGGAGTGGATACCTACGCCGACATAGTTGCCGGTATTTTTTTAGCGGGCTCGCCACCTCCCTCAAGAAGTTTTTGGCTTCCCGAAGGCTGATGATTGTACGTTTCAGAGGCTGCGGTCCGCTTTCGTTTGCTCCGAAAAGGCCGCGCTGGGTCGTGCTATTACCCATATCATCGGGATAATTCTGCGTCCCATCACGGATGCCATCGGAGGAGTGCAGACGCTGTGCAGAGGTAGACAGACCGTGGTTAAGATATTGAAGAAAGCTGTTTGTTTGCCCCCTAGGAATGGATAATCAGAGTTGCTATCGACGCAGATCTCTTATTTGATCAGGACATCAGCTGGCGCATCTTCTAAACACAGAATTCCGCATTGCAGTCGGGAAATCTAGCTTGCGGTTCTTTGGATACTGGAGAAGAAAGGAGAAGTAGTCGATATCCTTTCGTCTTGTCACCACGGTCATCCTCGTGGGATTGAGTGCTGAGCGGCGAGTGATAATCACAGCATATCACTCAAGATGCGCGAGTGATGACACATGGATAGTACTAAAGAAAGCTCCAAAACAATGGAACTGCAATAAAAATCTTCCATGATTCACAAGATAGGAATCGGAAACTTCGTTTGGATATCAAATCGAAGCAGCCAAGAGTAGATGCTTGCTCAGATATCCCTAGGAGTTTTGCAGGCAGCTCTTTTGCCATAACAACCCTCCAAGCCAGAGGCGGGATCGAGAGGAGAGCACACATAGAAGAAAGAGGAGATAGACGTTGATCGCCTATTCCGTATAGGATGGCCAAGAAAAAAATGAGATGAAGAAGAAGAAACCCCGGGGGACCCAGCTTAATTTCCCCTCCTCCCCACTTGGTCGACCCCGCCATGCCCACCAACGTTGATGTCCGCTACTAACCACATTCGTTCTCTCCCGCCGACATGAGTTCTCCTCACTTCCTCCTCTCTCCAACAGCTCCTCGATCACTCCGCCAAAGGATTATTCGGAGTTTTTCGATGATGGAGAACTCGATTCGGCGGTTCAGCTCGTCTTTCGAGTGCGACTGCAGCGCATTACGCGGTTAATGCACTTGTGAGGGACAAAACTGAAAGATATGGATCGTTATTATTCGTTGCCCGAGGTGATCCCTTTGGATCTGGCCGATTCACTGCAACCGCAGCCGCGCATGTTTTCGTCCAACTTGGGCCGAATGCATGATCACACGCATGCCTTTGGAGAACCCAAAATCGGTGGTGTGCCGTCTAGCTTTCCTCCCTATGATACCCCTCAACACCGCGCTTCAGGAATACTTAACATGGAATGCTTCGACATAGAATAGGTGCATATGTCTTCACGCGCACGACGTTCCCCGTCCCTCGCCGCCGCAGCCTCACATAGTTTCCAAGAAACTCCACAGAACCATGCGTCGACCCAATTGGGGAAGAAAAGACCGGAAATCCCCAGCTACCATAACCAAAAATGGCCGAATGCAATGACGAAACGAAGAAAAAAATGTAAATCCTTCATATCGTATCACCCCACGACCTCAGCGTATCCACATTCACATGCAATCCCCTCACGTACGGCACCGGAACTCCGGTGTCCTCATGCACAACCATCACACATTTTCGCTTGCACTACGTACGTGGGCCCGAGACGCGGGGCAACGTGGCCGTGGCCGCGGGCGGGCGTGGAGACGTTGGAAATGCAGTAAATGCTCTAGTATCTAGTGCACAGATTTCTACATATATGTATTGTACATAAAGATGGGCCGATAGTGGGGGCTCCTGCTAATTGCAGCATTGGAAGCTGAATCCCATCTGAAGCCATGCACCTAGACCAGAGTGGATCTGATACCAAGGTTTTGAGCCGCTTTTTCTCCACCATGCAGACTTTTTTTGGGCGGAAATGAACTCAATTGGATGTCTATATTTCACTCGCTGTCGTCCAATAGTCTTGGCTTTCCGATATTCCCCCTGGGTGTGGAGAAAGACACTGGGTTTATGGAAGGACGGGACGGCGGACGTTCGAACTCGAGAAAATCATGCCGGTCACTCGCTTGGCAGTGACTACCTGGTGGTCTGCTCCGAAAGTTTACAGCGGGTGATTTACGCTGGGTACATGCGTACAGTAGATCGCTGGTACATAAATCACAGAATACTGTTGTTTGCCACCTCTATGAGAGGATCGATATGTAGGATAAATAGGGGAGGAGATCAGGAGCGATGGATGAGATTAGATAAGGAGGAGTGGTCGGCCGGATCGGGTGGATCTGAATGGTGGCGGTAACCGGATCGAGTGACACCGAACGTTGTAGGCAGCGGAGGGGAGCCATATGAGATGGCTCTTCTAAGTTGAATAGAATCCCAACTTCTCCATCCTTCTTCATTTTCACCATTGCCTTTGCTGGGCTACGTCAAATACGGAGACGAACACAGAAAGTTCATGACAACAGGGTGACAGCCGATGCTCCCGCAATCGTCTTAGGCTTTTCGAACCTTACTTCCACCTTTCCCCTCACCACCGGTCGATCCCCCACGTGCACCACAACTCTGGTCGTCGCCGTGCGGCGTGACGCTGAGTGGCCACGCAACCTGCAGGCTGCTTGCTCTTCAACCAAGCGGGCTCCTCCTCCCCCTCTTCCTCCGCCTTCACTTCCAGGTCTGCGGACTGCTGGCTAACCATTCTCCACAGAATTGCTAGCCGCAAGCCAACTGCAGTCTGCAGCGTCCCCAGTGCATGCCTGGGTACCCAACACCAAACTACCTAAGCTAGTATACTCGCTAGTCCAACAAAGGTGGGGACAGCGGTCGGACCTCGTGTGGCTGGTGAGGCTGCTTTTGGACTAGTTTTACCAAGTTCAGCCACACGAGGTCCGACCGTTGTCCCCACCTTTGTTGGAGAAGCGAGTACCTATACACAACATACAGTAACTCAGTATCAACAGAAGCCCGGGAAACAACACTTACCCACCCACGTCATCATTGAAGGAGCCGCTGCCGAACCCACTGCACAGCTGCGATTCCGGGTCTCTCATAGCAGCGTTCGATTTCGGGGCTGGATGAACGTGGACACTGCACTTTTTTCCATGTGGGAAGCATCAACGGTAGTGACGGCGATAACGACAGGTGTGCATGTAGGTATTCTAGTATGTGCATGTCTCTCGGTTCGTTGCGCCGAACAACACTGATATATCTGATATAACTACCGCGTCGCTATTTCCGTCCTCAACTCGGACGGCATCTTTTTTTCTCTTCACGACTCTCACGGGTCACGACACGCTGTCACGACGCCACTCAAGCACCTACCGTATGGCCCTACCGGAGTTTTGGTATCGGCGAGACCCCGCTGCGGTCGTCAGGCTGGTCTGGCCTGGGCCCTGGACCGACCTGTGCGAATACCTACATATGGGATCGCGGTATCCGGAGCTGTCGATCGCCCGCTGCAGTGGGTGATTTGAGCCTCGGAATTCCTTCTGATGGATATATCTCTACATACTCTACATGGAGCAGGGTACTTTTCTTTCGAAACCGCACGGCGCAGTCTCCTGGCCAGTTTTTCCGGATTGACTGTTCGCCAGAGTCGCCGATCAAACGCTGTGCCGTCACCCGGGGCTGAACGTCAGCCGATACGGAAAAGCGAGCTTGAGAATCGCTAACTACTCTACAGCTACGGTGTCGGCACCAACTTACTGGTAACTTGCTGGTAATTATAGTACATACCGGAAGAGCCCTCCATTGCGTGTCAGCCGCAGTCTAGAAGTGTATGGTGCTGCCATCTCTGGAGACGAACCTTCCTTGTGTGACCCGCTCGACCTGGAGGCTGGCTGCCCAGTGCCCAGTGCCCAGTCCGTTTCGACGGGATATACCCAGGACAACATACCTCTCCGCAAAGCATTCGCATCGAAAACCCGGCATCCGTAACAGGCTGGATATACCTACCCCACAGAAAGGAGGAGGGTTGCAGAGTGCCGAAACAAGAAGTGGAGGAAGCGTTGAGTGTTGGAGAGATATGTACTCGGCCGTATTTTCCTCACCTGTGGTTCAGGTTTGTCGGTGTATCGATTGTATGCTATCAACGGACCTTCCGAGACTCTACTTTACAGTCGCCGAATCCCCACAACGTCCTCATCCCGGAATGATTACTAACTACTGACTCTAGAGAGAACGCAGGCATGTCAGCCCAGCAGCGAAAACCTAGTAGCGCCTCGACATTCGGCATCCCGACACCTTCGACAAGCCGTCAGCATGCGTGCAGCGTGCTCTCCAGACTCCCGAGTCCAGAGTCCACTTCCGAAACACAGGATCCCACAACCGTTTACGGTGTAGCATGTGCAGTCAGCCCAACCGCAGAACCGGGAGGCTTCGGCGAGCAGTGGCAGCGAATCGAATCGGTACATATCCGGCAGCTTTCATCGGAAGTTTAAGGTTGCTCCGCAAGCCACCCAGCCCGTTTTTTTTCTTGGCGTTGGCCGGTGGCCACTTTCGCCTCCCCCACCCTGCAACCCCCACGGATTCCCGCCCCGTTACCCACTCACGACGGTCAGCGGGAAGCCGCCTGTGGGGATCAACATTCCGGGCGGTACTCTACATATGTAGAGTATTGTACACGGAGTGCCAAGCGGTGCGGTCATTGTCGCGATACGTCGGAATGGAGGCATACACAGTGCACACATACTCTAGGACTCGAGGAATCTGGGTGGATTAACTGGTACGCGGTGCGGTCTTTGGCGGCATGGAAGGGTGTGATGGAGGGCCACGACGACACGTACTCTATGAGTCCCCACACTAATGTGGTCATGCAGGTGCGACGGGGACTGAGCAGTGAGCAGTGAGGATAGGCAATCGTAATTCCATGGTCTAAGGATGTCGAACGATGTAGTGATGGCTGAACAAGACAACTGAAAAGAAAGAAGAAAAAAAAACAGAAAAAAACAGGATAAGTCATGCACCATCACCACCACCGCGCGCGAAAAGAAGGACCGAATTGGATAGATTAGGGAGATCAGAGTGATCGTCGGTGATTGTCATGCACGAACGGAAAGAGTCGTGCATCACCCCCGCTAGAGTAATCACCAATGACCGTCAATGTGCTGTCGCAGGCTTTGCAGAATCAATCCCTCGAACCCCACGGGCAGTCTACCTATCGTTTGCTCACGAAAATATCTAATTGATCCACTCTTTCCTCTCTACTTACTCTGATATCAGTTCATCTCTAGGTATTCTATCTACTCGTAGTAGTGAAGGCGTAGGTACCGTACCTATTCAAGCTTATGTCACCGTTGCATCAAACACGCCACCCAGCACTCCGGCGCTTCAACAGGGTGCATCGCACACCCTTAAAGTACACCCGGGTACCGGTACTCTAGAGTACATACATGCAACTCGTGAGATTCCAGACGCCAGAGTTCTTTTAGCGCAATCACATTTCTGGGAATGCGCATCTTTCCTCCCAGTGGAGATTCTGGATAGAAAACTCCTGCTTACGGAAAGGCTTCGGGCCCAGTAAAAGACTGCATATGTATCCCGATACTTTACTAAAGTACCTAGATGGCTGACATACTTGGGTACCTTCGCGCCCGACAGGTTGAGTGGCGGGATTCGGAGAGGAGTGGCGCGGTGGAATATGGTTGAGGTGGTGATGACGGTCTTCGTTTATATGAGGATACCTTTCTTCAAGCGAGCATTGCTTTTGCCATGGGGGCGTCGGCTGGGACGCATCGGTGACGTGACTGGCACTTCTTGGCTTGTTTGTATTGGTGGGTAGTGGGTGCTCCATTGAGAGAGGTACAGGAAGGAGCTGACAAACAAAACGGAGACAAAGACTCTGCTGCTGCTGCGTGGGATCTGTCAAAGAGGAGGAGTAGGAGGAGGAGGAACGGACGAGGCGTCTGTAGGAGACCCCTCACACCGAAAGAGAGAGCTTGCGTCTGCTCGTGGTGAGCATAACTTTTCGAGAATGCAGCTAATTCTTTGGCTCCAACGCCTTTCCTGATGCGGTAGATTCGCACCGGAGAATTTCCACTTCGAGCGACGATGTGAGCGTCTCAGAAATTCTTTCGTGCTAAAGAGAAGTGCGAAAAGTTTTATGCACATGTACCACGAGCACTCTGAATGGGTAGCGTGAGTGTGCACTGGTTCTAGAGTAACTACTCTAGAGGACTCTTCAGAGAGAACAGCCGAGCCGACGAACCCATCACCAGATCCCCAACTTTACTTGCTCTCTCTCGCTCAAACCCCCCAACCATCACCGCTGCCCACCACCTTACCACCACCACCACCACCACAGCCATAGTCGCTACCCACAAACCACCACCACTCGCGAAACCCCATCCACCCTCATCAACCTACCCGAACACACACAACAACCCCCCTCCCCCCACCATCACCTGCCGACACAACACATCCCCTCTTCGATACACCCTTCATCCCTTGCGACGATTAGTTAGCTTAAACGCGACTAAGTCAACTCTGCCGCTGCCCCGCCATCCCCTGCCCCCTTCGACCCGCGCTCGACCTTTCCCCACGTCCCACAAACCCACGCGAACCCGCGATCGCGACAGACGACCAACTCGAGGCTACCGCTCACAATCAATCATCCCGGATCCTCACATCAAAGCAGAGTAGTCATGGCGCACTCCGACTACGAGGATTCCGACTTCACGGCCGAATCCGAATCGATGATGGATATCGAAGCCGACAGCGACTACGACGAGATCAGCTCGCAGTACGACTCTTGCTATTCGTCCGGATCGTCCGTTCTCTTCTCTTTCCCTCTCTCTCTCTCTCTCTCTCTCCGTCGTCTTGTCGTCCCGGAGAGTAATGACTGACAACTGACACGCCGCTGCGCAGTGACAATACTACTACTCTCTTCTCGGAGGTCACCAACTACAAGTTCGAGCACGGCCGTCGGTTAGACACATCCCCACTCCTGCCCATCCGCACCGACGAAAAAACTGACCGCGCACAGCTACCATGCCTACGCCGAAGGTCTCTACTGGGGTCCCAATGACGATAAGCAGAACCAGCAGCTGGAGATCTTGTGCGTCGCATCACCCCTCTCCCCTCCCCCGGTTCATCGCCTATCCCGGGACTTGGTTGGCTAACAGCACCTCGGGTCCGACAGCCATCACATCTTCACCATGGTATTAGAGGGCCGCCTCTTCCTATCGCCGATTGAGCAGCCCAAGAAGGTTCTCGATCTCGGAACCGGTACTGGTACGCATGTCGTGCGCGCGCTCCATTATCAGGATTGCAATGTATCGCTGACGCTGAGGATTGGCTGCAGGTATCTGGGCGATTGAGATGGCCGACTTTCTCCCCAACTCGCAGATCCTAGGCAATGATTTGAGTCCGGTCCAGCCAACTTGGTTAGATTTCCCCGCGTGAGCCGTACCACCATCCCGTCCCCTCCCCCCCGTGATACCGCACGCCACGTTACGATGAGATGATCGCGTAGGGTCGTACATGACTGTGGAGGGGGTGGGTATCGCGGATTTATTTGCGTATGACGCTGACTGTGTTTCTTCTGCGTACAGGATTCCCGCCAATTGTAAGCGCGCTTTCGAGGGCGAGATACATAACTGAACTGACATAACCCTGCAGGCACCTTCGAGATTGACGACTTCCTGCGACCCTGGACTCACACGTCTGGCTCGTTCGACCTCATCTACGCTAGGGGACTCTACGGCTGCGTCGACGAGTGGCCTCAGCTCCTCAGCCAAGCTTACAACGCGCTAGCCCCCGGCGGTTGGTTCGAGAGCGTCGAAGTGAAGCCTTACTTCTGCACCGAGACCACTCCCGACAACAAGTTGGCCGAAGGCACCATACTCAAGCGCTGGGGCGAGTTGGCTGTCGAGGCATCCGTCAAGTCGGGACGCCCGTTGGACATCGCTGGTAATGTCGGAGGATGGATGAAGAGGACCGGCTTCGTGAATGTCTCGGAGAAGCCGTTCAAGGTTCCCTACGGACCCTGGCCGAAGGTAATACATGGATCATAGACTTCAAGTGCCCCTTTTCGTTGGCTGACGTTGTTTGGCAGGGCGAACGGATGAAGATGATCGGCAAGTTGATGTGCGTCAACGTTCTTGAAGGACTGGGTGAGTTGTTCCTTGAGGCTACGCTCTGGGGAAAGGGTATGCTAATGGTACGTAGAGGGCTTCACGCTTGCGCTGTTCACTCGTTACCTTGGATGGTCTGCGAAGCAGTATACCGATTTCCACAACCTGATTGTCACTGAGATGAGGGACCCACACCTGAATCTCTGGGTCCTGATGTAAGCCTCCCCGTCTCCCGCATGACTGATTGTCCTTATGTGCTCACGTCATCAGGTCCGTCACATACGGTCAGAAACCGTTGAACTCTGACACCCCCATGAGAGACAACGACAGCGCCTACCACAGCGGCACGCCAAGCTTGATGCCCCGAAACAGCATGTCCTCTTCCACCGTTGGATCGACCGCTTGATCGGCAGCATGCGGACCTTCCACCATCATCGTCAAGTCATACCAATTTCTACTTTTTTTTTTACATTGCATTTGCCTCCCTTTTTTTCCTTTTTTTTTCTTCGCTTTTTCTCTTTTCTTTGTCCTCACTCTCATTCTTCCACCTCACGCTACTACTACTACCATTTGAATCCGACTTGAATTCCATACCCACTTTGATGAATCTGACGATGTACATGACTGAACTTTACTTACCACCTAGTTACTCTTTTTCTTTCGCTACTTCTTGTTCGTTACCTTTGTTATTGTTACTTCTGTTGATCTACAAAAGCGGAGTGGGACCGGGGGTCGGGGTTGTGGGCGTGTTCCCTTCTTTTTTTTTCTTCTTGCTTTTTCTTGCTTTTTCTTCTTCCGTTACTCGGTTCGGTTTGGGGTCTTTCAGTTTCATACATTTTTTTTTCTCTTCCAGAGATCAGCGATCGTAACAGCCTACTTACTGTTGATGTGGTTGGGGGTGGGGGAATACCCGGGCTGGGGCTGGTTTGGGGCGTACCTATTCTTTTGCGGATGGCTGGATGCGTGTAAAGGGGGGAGGGGGTGCAAAGAGTGTACATATGCTTGGTTTGATTTGAATGGCTACGGAAGGGATTCAGGTGATTGCTGCATCGGGATGGTGATGGTGATGCTGATGAAAGGGTGATGTGATCATGAATCTGGTGACACGAGCCCACTGGATGATGGGAGGATGACCGGCGGGCCAGAGACAGTCCACTGTGCTAACTAGCTAACGGTGGAGGAGACGAGTGATCTTCATGGGGGCGGGTATGAATGTTTTCCGCCACAATTTTTATCCCTTTATGATGAGCCAGTGAAGGGGCTCGGTGACGTCTACCCATGATCAATGAGGCGGAAACGAGTGAGTACCTATTCCGTAACTCATATCTCCCATTTTTGGTTTAATCATCGTTGCATTCGAGCTTATCGGATCATGGCAGGTACACTCCGTTTCCACCTCACTGTCCCAAGCTCAAGCGGCAGGCCCGACCTGAATGCGACTCACATCCCCCTTCCAGTCGATTATCAGCATCCATAACGAGTGATACACCCCATACCCCGTACCCCATCACCAACCAACCGCCTAGGTACTCTATTTCGCACCCGCACCCGCCCCCGCCCCTACATTCCCAGTCCCAGCAAACCTAGCCGCAGCAGCAGCCCTCACCAGCTCCGCCAGCTCGGGCTCCTTCCTCCACTCCATCTCCCCCATCCCGGTCCCCAGCCCTCCAGCTCCAGCTCCGGCCGCAAGCACGCCCATCTCCATCTCGCCCGTCTCCGTGCCCCGGAACAGTACTAGTGGGCATACGTGCTCCCATTGCATATCACCTCCTGCTCCTCCGCCGCCGCCGCCGCTGCCGGATTTCTTCTTATTGTTGGGGGAAGGGGTGGTGAGGGCGGATGCGGGTGGGAGAGTGGTGGGCTGCGGGGCGGCGGGCTGCAGGGTGGCGGGGGGGAGGAGCTGTATTGTTGGTTCGTCTGGTTCGTCTGGTTCGTCTGGTGCGCTGGGGGAGGCGGGGGAGGCGGGGTCAATGGTAGTAGCCGTGGTGATTATAGTGGTGACAGTGGGCTCAGCATCGTCCGCCGCAACCGGCAGTCGTGCGAGCTGGAGCTCGAGCGGCCGCGGCATCTGTACCGGCAGCGGCAGCGAGATCCTCCAGCTCCTGGTGGGATAATGTATATCGAGGACTATTCCCGACGGTTCGCACTCTGCAGCAGTGGGCGGGACTGAGGCTGTGGCTGGAGGGCGCAGAGGCGGATGAAGCGGCTTCTGCACGCGGCTGACGTGCCGGTATGGTGCGCGGTTGGGCGACGGCAGGAGCAGTGCGAACGGGTTGTGGCTGGCCTGTGATGCCCGGCGCGATAGGCGCCGGCGCTGTTTGCTGCGGCGTTTGGACATGGTGGTGGAGTGGGGGGGGTGGGAATTGTACGGGCGGGGGGAAGGCTGAAGGGGGATATATGCGTGCTTCAAAATCGCTGCGAGCAGTGGGATGGGCGATTTCCCCCCCCCCCCCCCCACCCAATGGACGCCTGGCGGCGGATAAAGGATCAAGTCCGTGGCGGATGGAATCTTCACGGGCGAGCTGGAAAGCCTCCCCCGATAGGTAGGTACACTGGAGACGCCGGGTGACAAACAGTGATTAGGTAGCGCATACGGCGCGGCCGCGCCGGTTGACTACCTACCTAGCTGTTTCTTTCACGGCCCGAACCGTGGCGATGGATGAGATGGATGAGATGGATGGATGGATGGATTCTTTATTCCACCTACCCTGGGGCACGCCCGTCTGCCTGAGGGTGGAGGGTGGAGGGTGGAAGAGGTGGAAAGTGGAGCAAAGAATGTGGAAGACTCGGGGCGTCGCATCATCCCATTATTCCCTCGACAGGATGGTAGGGATAAATGCCATCAGATGGATGAGATGGGCATCTGAGAGGGTGCATGTCCGCAGCAGCAGTGTGATCCAAGCTTTGGTGGCCAACTCACCAGCCCGGTTGTTCTCGCCACCGTCCTTCGTTTTGGACCGTGGAGCTGGGTGGCTGGATGGTTGGGTTTACCGGTATTGCAACAAACTGCCAGGCTGGAGGCGAGACGAAGTCGGCGAGGAGATAGAAGGCCCAAATGGTGATAGGCACCCGCCAGCTAGGTACTCGAGAGAGCGGAGTGCCCCATTTTGAGTCCCAGATCTGGATCAAGGCTGGCGGTCGGGGATAAAACCTATCAACTGGTAAGAGCTCATGGTACTGGGCGAGGAGTGGCTTCTTCGACTAGGAACATAAGGGAAGCTTCAGGCAAGGACGAGCAGCGAGGGAGCAGTGCGCGGTGAAGCCTAGAATAGTATGTACCGTACCTACTGTAGATACAAAGGAGGTACATAAAGTACTCGGATGCCCTGTTTTTCACACATCACAACTGCAAAGCGACATGGACGAACTAAAGCAGTTCATGGCGACAGTCAGGGAGGCGGTCCCGGACCTCGTCGAGCGTATAGCAGCAACCACTTCCTCTGTGGGTAACGTCGCCGCGTCCTCGGTACGCTCCAGAGTTTCGATCTTCTCCAGTGCATCTGTTCGATCTTTTCCCAGGATTCTGGCAGAGACTCGGCTGTACAGGAAAGCGGCCAGGAACTCTTCAACGCACTCCTTCAAAACTATCGACACGACGGAATCGAAATGGTCTCAGCTCACCGGTCTGAGCCTAGCCCATATATCGAACATATCCGTCATCTATCTTCCCATCTACAGTTTCGAGCTGAATAATGGCCATATGTATGAGCAGCAAAAATCCAGCAATAACGTGGTGCAACTTCTCAATATCACAGTAGGAGGACTCCAACGGTTACAGCGGAGCAGCAGCAAGATGACTACCACGGTTCGGCTTCGCTTGATTCCCGTGACGGAACAAGTCATCATGTTGCACGACGCAGCTCGCAAGGGAGATAATGCCACGGTTAATACGCTTGTAGAAACGCTAGGAATCCATAAGGACTCCCGGGACGAGGGAGGATATACGGCGTTGCACTACGCAGTTATCTTCAAGCAGAGAGATACAGTTCTGCTACTGCTCGACCTCAGTGCAGACACCGAGGCCAAGGCAACCGACGACCGGACGCCGCTTCACCTGGTAGTCGATAACGGGCACATAGATACACTACAGCTACTACTCGACCGAGGTGCCGAAATCGAGGCCAAGGGCAGCACCGGCTGGACGCCGCTTCACCGGGCGGCCTGGAAAGGGCACCCGGATACACTGCAACTACTGCTCGACCGCGGTGCAGACATCGAGGCCAAGGGCAGCTCTGGCCGGACGCCGCTTCTCATGGCGACTTTGAAAGGGCACACAGATACACTGCGACTACTGCTTGACCGCGGTGCCGAAATCGAAGCCAAGGGCAGCAGCAGCTGGACGCCGCTTCACCTGGCGGCCTGCAACGGGCACACGGAGACACTGCAACTACTGCTCGGCCGTGGTGCAGACATCGGGGCTAAGGCAACCGATGACTGGACACCGCTTCACCTGGCAGTCTATAACGGGCACATGGATCCACTGAAACTACTGCTCGAACGGGGTGGTGACATCGCGCCCGAAGATCGAGAGGGTAGGACGGCGGGACAGCTGGCGGTGCAGAAAAGATACGAGCACATTGCACGGCTGCTCCTTGATCGAGAGACCGCAGACGCTGGCGAGCGTAATGAACCCGAACTCACAGGCTTAATTCATATTTCCAGCAGGGAAGAACCCCCGCGTGGTCTCGTCGCCTAGGTCGTGCAATCGGCGAGGGGAGGTGAGGGAAAGCTTCAAGTTCAACTCGGGCGAAAGACCTTTGTATTCAGCTCTTGGGATTTCCAAGCTACCCACCGGGGTGGTGATGGTTTTTGTTTTTGTTTTTGTTTTTGGCGTGACGGAGCGAGCACAAGTTGGATATCACTCGGTAGTTTTACGTGACACGTCTCACGCTGCCGGCTGTGGAGGCGGGAAGGGGCGAGAACTGGACTAATGAGTACCTTCAATCATTGTTAATGCGATTGGATCTTCTATCTCATCCAGCAAATAGTTTCTATACGATCCCCCAACTGCCGGCATTCAGTGTCTGCATACGCTCGCCGCCTCCACCACAACCAAAGTATTGAAACCCGCGGCGTGGTGGAAGGAGGCGTTTTTGTTATACGTCGATTGATCTTGGTAGTAACTATCCGGATAGTCGAGTTGCTGCAGTGCTGGTCTAATATCCACCGCATTTGTTGGTCCGTGCTGAGGTCGCGGGTATGTGATCCCGTTTGTCGATCTTCTGTGCAGCCTGCAATACGTCCGCACTCCCTCCCCACAAAACTCCCTGACTGCTGCTGCTGCTGGTCCATGAGTATCCGCCGCGTTTGTTGTCGAGTTGGTGTTGTCGTTGTCCAGTTGGTCCCCATGTTCCCACAAGCGTCTGCACGTTTGCATCGGCCCACGTTGGCACAGCCAGGGTATTAGAAACTAGATTGTGGCGTATGGACGAATGTTGGTGTACTCTACATCTTTCTGATTCGCGCAGGTAGTGTGGTGTCCTGCTCCTGGTCGGATGGTTCCTTTTTTGGTTGTTGTTTGTGCTTACCCAAGGCCGGTGGTGGTGGCGGTGGTGAGGAAGAGGAAGAGGAAGAGGAAGAGGAAGAGGAAGAGAAGAAATAAGGAAGGGAAGTAGAATGTGTGCGGCAGAAGAAGATGGAGCGCTAGTGTTTTCCTTCGAAGAGTCGAAAGAAACTATCACTCGGTGACAGCCGGGTGGAAAAGGATACATACATCTTATCTGATCTGCCATGATCTATCAAGGTCGAATGCAATGCTGATTAACCAAACAAATTTGGAGGCGAGAATCCCTACGATGAACTTTATTATCGAGTGAAGGGAGGAAGGAAGCAAAACGTGCGGTGAGGAAGCCAGATCCCCTACACAGGAGGTAAGACGATACACAAATCGTCATTTCATTCGACCTTACCGTAGTATATCATGGCAGATTACATATCCTTTTTCCACCTGGCTATCACCGACCACTAGTCGCCTAAACTGAGCTGCATCGGAACTTCCAAACGCCGCATACCATGTTGGCCGAGTGACAGCTTATGCATGGATAAAACCCAACCGACGGTATAATTTCCCGCTCGAAACGGGGAAGGGCCGCTCGCTTCACGATACGCGGGTCGGTGATGAGGTCTCGAACGGTGCACTTGGTGGTGCAGCGGTGCTCTAGGCTTTAGCTCCCGGTGGGATGGGATGGGGCGGAAGCCACGGTGGCCGTGATATTTCACTCTACTCTACTATAACTGCCGGACGGACGGTGGTTATGGCTTGCGGTGTATTTTACACTACACTAAACTAAAACACAATACAATACATGTACATTACAGTACGGTATGTACCTAATGTACATCCATACATTAGATCAGCGCTCCACCCAATCACGAGCGATCACCTACGTCTTCCCGCAGTGGCCACGTCAGCCCAGACACTGATTTCCAGGAGCGGACTTTTCTTGAAATTTCCGGTCCGGCAAACTATGATACCTACCGATAGTCGTCGAAGACCTTGAAACTCTCGACTCCCAAGTCGAGATGATGGTGATCCCCCTTCCCCCTTCCCCCTTCCCCCCCCCATCCAAGCACCCGAGCACCCGAGAGCACCAATGATATCCAGCGTATCACGTCTCGCGAACGGGGGTCACTCGCTCGCTCGCACTCATGAACCCAGGAACCCAGGCATCCAGGCACCCAGTGATATCAAAATGTCCAATGTCGCACCTCCCACGAAACAGCCAATAAGCTCTGGACTCTGGCTGGTGGGAAACACTGGGAATTGCAGGTGGGCGGTTTCAGTAGCCTAGGTAGCCTAGGTGGGGATACATACGCTGCCTACCGTACCCGTACCTGGGAAAGTGGGAAGGTGGGAAAGTGGGAAAGTGGGAAAGTGGGAGAAGGCAGAAAGGGGGGTCGCGGTCTCGGACTCTGTTCTTGTTTCCATGTTTCCGTGGTTTCGTGTTTCCGTGAGGCGGGGGCGGCGGGGTGGGGGTCGTGAGTTGGTCGTTGGTGATATCGCGAGGTTGCGACGGGATAGGTTTGCAGGTAGGTAGGTAGATGATATGTACCCATGGGCACGGAGATGATGGGGGTGGGGGGTAAATTTGCGTCCCGGGACCGGTAGATGGTGGATGATGGATCCAGTATTTGAGCTTCGAGGGGATAGTACTGGTAGGATCAGCACGATCTCTGCCCGATACCTTGGAGATGTAGTACGGTACATATGGCTTGTCTCGCTCCGCCCGCAATCTCGGACTCAGTCATCCATGGTACTCTCTCCCGGCGAGCGCTGCTCCTACTATACCCACTGCGGTTTTCCTGGTACGATAGACCGTAGAATCTCGGATTCTCGACATTGGCCGCACGGGCTACCCAGAGACCTACCTGTGAGCGAGGAAATCGAGAAATCAAGAAAGGAGTTGGAGCCCACCCATCCAGGTCATCGACCCCCCCCCCCCCCCTCCTCATCCATAGTCTCTTTTCTTCCACACCCAGCGCCGGCAAAACCTGCTACGCCAGCCAGTAGCCGCCGTCAAGCGTCACAAATAATCACTCGATCGCGTAGTGAGACATCCAAGGCATCCAAGACGAAACCGATGTAACGAGTAACGAAAGCTCCCCATCATCCGGGCTGCACCAATCTTGACTGACTGGTTGCGTTATTCGGAGCGATCGACGGAAAGGGGTTCCGATAGCAAATTGGTGCCTCTGCTGCTCGCCATTGGCAAGTGCTGTATCTACCGTACCTACACATCCCCACGGCGGGACTCCGCTTCCAATGGATGGTCTGGTCCGGTTCCACGAAACGAAACGGAACTTACCCCACTCTTCGCTGCCCGCTCCCCGCCGTTTGTTGCTCGCTGCTCGCTGCTTACCGCTCGCTGCTTACCGCTCGCTGCTTACCGCTGACCGCTTACTCACCCTCGTTTCTTTTCCTTGAGCTCGAGTCTCTCGTCTGTGGTGATGAATGTACTCTATCTATGGATAGAGTATCCACGGTCTAAATCGATCTTGGAATTTCAAGCTGAACTTTGAAGATCAGGGGAGGGGGAGGGGTCGGCGAGTGAGGACGAGTGAACTCTTCTGTCTATAGTAGAGTACGGAGTTTCGAGCGGTGATCGTATCCGGAGCCATCGAGCGAGCGCCAAGATGCCTCAAGGCCCAGCTGAAGGCTGAAGGCTGACGGATGATGCCGACGAGGCGTCTCGGACGACCGCGATGAATGAGGGTTTCTGTGTTCCACAAATAAGTCGTTGGAGGAAGCAAGTACACACATACACCACACGCCTCGTTTCGGCCGTTCGAAATAGGAGCCTGTTGACTGTTGACTGTTGATCGTGGAGTCCATGTTCCACAATAGATAGGTATTTCGAGGTGGAAACTTCTCCGGCTGTCACATATCAATGATCGGACAAAAAATAGATACCTAGATAGGAGAGCGCGCAGTCGAAATGTGTATACCATAGACCATCCATTGGGATGATCCAGCTAGGCTGACCGTCGCATGCAATCATCAACGATCAATCAACGCCCAAACAAAAAATAGACATCTGAATAGGATGGCGTGCTATGCATACGGAGATCTTCATATATCTACGTCGAGTACTCATGTATGACTTGCATTCCCATGCTCCTGTGCATAAAACCTTTGCGCCCGAGTGGGTGCAATCCCAACCTCAACCCCAACCCCAATCCGCAACCCCAATCCGCAACGGCGATAAGACTGAGCTCCACCTCGCTGAGGCAGTTACATATGTACTCCCGTAGTGGTGGCCGCTTCTCTGCAGAAATTAAATACGGCCTGAAGAAAAGGTGTGCGATTTTGCCGTCACTAGTATACTCTGGAGTGCACTAGTACGGTACCTGCAAAGTGCACTGTGCCGTAGGGAGTCGCTTGTACCCCAGAACCTGGAACCTGGCGCGCGAGCGGTGTGATGCCCTACAAATGCCACAGCGACAGCGATTATAGTACAAGTAGAGTATACACCTCGCCACCACCACCACACGTGCGTACACACCTATACACGGTAACAACGGTACGGGCGCACGCGGACTGAACGCCTGAAAGCGTGAAAGCGATGACACCTAGCGAAAGCTGGATACACTGTGCACTGTGCACGGTGCAGCTGTGTAGATGTAAGTATCCACACTGTCGGATCACTACGGTACGGCCCTTGGAATGGAGGGGGGATACATCGGTTAGAACTTAGGTGACAGGTCATAGAAGAGTGGATGGATAGGCGCCGTTGATAGAATATGCCTCCTCTTCCAAGTCCCCCCACCCCCGCTTCCCCCCTCTTCTCTGCTCATCGAGACTCGAGCGCGCGTCAACTTCCCCATCCCCCTTCTCGAAATGCTCGATCGTCAGCCCCACCCGCCGACGCTCTAACGCACTCTGCACTGCACTGGCCGGATCTCTGGCACGGCGTGTTATGCAGCACACCACCGCAGAAACCCCGCGCAGGAGCACAGCATGCCGCGATGCTCTCCGCTCTTCGCTCTTCGCTCTCCGGTTATCACAGTTCAGCCTGGCCTGGTCCTGTTCTGATCACAGTTGCACAAGAAAGAGGGGGGGAGGGCAGGCACCAATCGCAATCCGTAGTTCTATAGTTACTATTGTCGAGGTCGGTTTAAGCCGGATGCTGGAGCTTGGAAAGTTGGGACGAACACTCGGGGGCCTGAGAGAGGATATGAGAGGAGGGGAGAGGGGAGGAGTGCAGTGGAGAGGAGAGACACCGAGACATCAATACCGAGACATCAATACCGAGACATCGAGACCGAGACTTCGTTTGTTGAAACTTGAAAGCTTGGAATCGGCCCCTTGCTATTTACTTACCTATTCGTTCGAAGTTCGGAGTTAGAATCGCGAGCTCGCTATTCCTCATGCCCGCTTGTGATAGGTACAATAGGTACAATCACTATCAAAGTAGACCGCGATTGCTCTAACAGACGCCGGATCTACATACATTCTGGACAGGAGCCCAGTTAAAAGCATTCCAGCCCGACAAAATTGTACATGAGGAAACCCAAGTAGAGTGCGATAAAATCACTGTATATCACTCGCACTGCTGTTTCCGCTGTAGCGGTTTTAAAATTATCGCAGACACGACTTCAACACAGTGTCGTGCTCGTGCTGGCGCTGACTGTGGCCGCTGGCCGTCGGCCCATGGGGTTGAGGGGTTGAGGGGTTGAGGGATTGTGCCAGTTTTGCCTGGAATGCCATTGGGCTGATGGCGCATTCAACCCCGCAGCTACTCCATGTACTCTACATAGTACGGTAAAGGATGGGGATCAGGATGGGGATGAGGATTGGCATTGGGGGCCGGGTTTGCTGCTGTGACCGGTCGCTGACATGTAGATTCAAACAAATTTTGATTTCGCTCTTTCTCTCTCTCTCTCTCTCTCTCTCTCTCTCTCTCTCTCTCTCTCTCGTAAAGATTACCCATCGACAGCAAGGTGCGCCCCTACGATTGTATCGATTTACACGAGTACTCTACGTACGGACGAATTGTTCGAGCGAGCGCGAAAAAGACCCCACCATCCAGCATCCACCACCATCCATCATCCACCCGCACGCAGGCGGGCGGGCGGGCGGGAGTGCGGGAGTGCCACATTCAATCGAGACGCCCGACACGCCAAGGGAGCCCGGAGGGGACAGGAAAAGATATTTGCACTGTGCCTGTCTGTGCAGAATGTGCATAGCAGGTTTTTATTTCTTGCTCACTGCACAAGCACTGGCAGTCTGGCACAGCTATGTGAAGCCCCTTGTCGCCATGTAAACTTCCCTGTTGCGCACCTCCGTCCAATGGCGTGCAAAAGTTCCTGGTAGCGAGAGCGCCAAGATGCAAGGGTCGGGACGGGACTCGGCTGGTGAGCACTGACCAGCACCCTTTCTCTCGCCCTCGTGCTGGTGGTGGTGGTGGTGGTGGTGGTGGTGGTGGTGGTGGTGGTGGTGGTGGTGGTGGTGGCGGCTAAGTTCGACAACTTCGGGCCTCTGCGACGTTTTTGCCGTGCTCGATGGGAAACATACCGATGTACGAGTACCGTGGATCGGTTGGTGCGGTACAGTGCGGGGCGGGGAGACAAGTCGCGCATCCAACACAAAGTAGGAAGAAGCAACTCCACCTTCCACCTGCATGCTCCGCGGTGGTCTAGAGTAGGTACATGCGAGGTGAATCTTCCGAGTCTTCCTCCCTCCCTACGGCGAGAGTACGGGCACGGGCACGTGCACGCGTCCGCAGGTGAAGGGGAATCCACACATCGGTACCGGTAGCCCTGTCACGCCCCCCCCCCCTCGCCCCCCCCCGGCCGTCAAGTTGGTCTCTGGCGACGATGACGATGACGATGACGGCAGTTGGCGAGTTTGGACTTTGAAGTACCGCGTACCGGTAACTACTTGCAGAAGAGCTCTGGAGATGAGAACCTGCCGAGCAGCGCGAAAGTGCCTGGTCTTTGGTTGGAGTATGTAAATAAGAAGCATGTAAATAAGAAGCATGTAAATAAGAAGCATGTAAATAAGAAGCATGTAAATAAGAAGCATGTAAATAAGAAGCATGTAAGCACTTGGGTAAGGTAGAGTACACGCCAGACCTGTTGGTTACAAGAGCCTTTCATCACCACCAATGGTTAATTGGTGGGCGGAAACCTATCACCCTGCAGAACTGTGTTTGGCGGTGCCCACTCTACATACATTGCATCATACCATACCATACCACACACATCGTCCAGTATACTTCGACATGGCTGGTCCCGTTCTCCGCCTCTTAACTGCCTACACAACCTACATACGGTACTCTACAGTTAGGTGACCAACCGTAGCCTCCGCGTTTGAGGTTCTGTCCTTTCTTTAGTCCTTTCTTTGGACTCATCGGAAAGTCGCGTAAGGCAACGAACATTACTGGTAGTCTGTTATCAACTGTAGGGATTACCTGCTATTTTCTCGTGCCGCACACTTCCGTCCTCTGGTCACTGGTGCGAATTGCTGACTACGTTGTATGTACTGGTCCCTATCGGCATGGATGGGTTGGTGGGAGGCGGGGGGAAATACATACCGGTACTTGATTCACCGGGTTCCTTGAAGCTGCACCCTCCCTACGCGGTGACCGGAGCCGACTGCCATTGGACGCTCTTCCTGTCGCTGCCTCGCTACTTTGGCGAGCAGCGTCCTGGTGACGAGGGTACTTCTTGGTACAGCTGATACCAAGACAAGACCAGCCAGCAGACAGGTTGCGCCGAAGGGCGAGCGAGAGAGCGAGCGGGCGGCCATCGAGAGACAGAGAGACAGACGCCAGAGACCTTGCAAGTAGTGATAGTTGCAATGCTATAGGTGGCAACTATGGCGGAATCCCTGCGCATGGAGGCCGACGGCCCTGGCAGGCGGAGGCAGGCAGGCAGAGGCAGGCAGGCAGAGGCAGGCAGAGGCAGGTCGACGACCACCCACCACCACCCGCCACCACCCACCACCACCCACCACCACCCACCACCACCCACCACCACCCACCACCCACCACCACCCACCACCCTCCCTCCTCGAGTCCAGGCGCTTACCGGATAGACACCCCCCCCCCCCAGCCATGCAGCCATCCAGTCGCGACGGCAGGACGTGCTTGCTTGGTCTTGCTTGGCCTGGTCGCAGAGCAGAGCTATTGTCGACACTGCGGCTTTGCGCACTGTGGTTGGTGACAGGGTTGGCTGCACGGAGGGGAACACAATCCTCTCTGGCTCGCCAACCAGATCGGCGGGATCTATCGCCATACTTGTGTGTGGCAGGAGGAGGGGAGCGGACGCGGCTGGCATGGGTGCGTTTTGTTTTGTTTGGCTGCCCCGACGAATCGTCTCGTCTGCTTGGCTGGCTGGCGGCTTTGCTGCTGCTCATTGCTCGCCGTCGCTGCTCCTTCGGCCCGCCGCGAGAGGGAGGCGGCGAGGATAGGTGGGAAGCAGGAACGTAATAACATCAGCGTGTTTCCCGGTTTCCCACGAACGCTCTCTTTCTGTTCCTTCCGGACTCTTTCGACTCGTTCACGTCGCGACCGTCTCTGTCGATTTGCCCGACCCCGCGAAAAACACCCTCGAAACACACGACATCGCGCGCCATCAAAAGCCGGCGTCGCTTGGTTCCTTGATAATACGCTGCTCCCCCGTGTCCATGGGCATTTGTCCGTGACGGCCTCTCGTGCTCCGTGTCATTGCCGTGTAGTCGATCGTCGCTCGCGAAATCCGCACCCGCGTCGCGCCTCGGCAATTCCCGGGGAAGGCGGAGGAGAAAGAGAGAGAGAGCATCGGCGAGGACAGACCGTCGGGGGACTTGTTTGCGGTTGGGCACGGCAGGGCCGCCCCGTCTTGAGTTGCAGTCCGCAGGTGGTGGTAGAAGTCGTGCTGGACGTGCATACAACCAACTACCACTGTACTCCGCCTCAGTTTTGCGCCTCGCCACAGCTGCCTCCCTGGCTGGTGGACTACAGCACACCACAGCACAGCACAGGAATCACGCCCCACGACGTCGACAACGCACAGGGGGGGGGAGGAGGGCGGGTGCGAAAGCTGCAGGCTGGACGGGCAGCATCGCATTCTTATTTATCGTTTAGAGGGGCCGGTCGCTCGCTCTTGAGAATTCATTGTCAGAGTCCCTTTGCCACCTAACGGCGTGATCATCAACACCACCACACCCACCGCCACCTCTCTCACGTTACACAGACCCTGGTAAGGATCAATGCCTTCCTTCCTGGCCCGCCGGCCATCAATTGACTGCTCCATTCCTTCGTCTCCGTCACTGACTGCTTGTTCTTTAAACCTTTCCAGTATTTTCTATGACACGACGGTGATGGTTGAGCAAAGAAAAACATTACAAGCACATACAACACCCCCGGTGACATCGACATCGTCTCCGTATACATAACTCCCACACAGCCACATCATCATGGAATCGCAAACACAAACCCAAACACTCGGCCACGGCCACCTCACCGTGGGCGACCAGCGCTACACTCCGAGACTACGACCGAAGCCATCTTCCAGCAAGCTTCGCTCGACCGCAACCCAGTCCACCGTCATCACATCATCCAATCTCCTACACCCACCGGCGTTCAATCGCTCACGAACAGACCTGTCCGTCCCACGGACATCCAACCCAAACAATGCTCCTCTCGTCATGGATTCGTCGGTATTCAACAGGCGAGGACTTGACCGCCGGCCGAGTGGTCTGCCCACCCCGGTTGAGCGCTCGACAACACCAATACAACGGCCGCGGACCGGCCCTCCCACCAAGGACCATCGTGTCTTCTCCTCCGGGACCTTGAACAAGGCCCCATCATCCATCGGGTCGTCGGGTGCCTCGTCCGACAAGTCGGAGGCGGAGCGGAGGAGGAGACTGACCAAGAAGAAGACCTCGGCCACCAATTCGGACAGGTCGTATGCGCTGGGAAACAGCTCTTCCGGTTCGTTATCCACCACCGCATCCTCGCACTTTGGCTCCAGAAACACCTCGCAGTCCTCCGTGCTGGGCATCACATTACCCGCAACCTCAGCTTCCTCGCAGTCATCTCTCCATGCCCGGCAACGATCCGGCAGCATTCCTCGATTGTTAACGCAAGACCTCCCAGTCCCCTTGGGTTACTCTAAGGTTGCTTGTGGTGAAAATAGTAGCCCGTCGACAGGATGCACTGACTCGCCATTCAGCCACTCGTCGACACCGTCCTCCTCGTCTTCCCACTCCCCCGGCCCAGCAGCGATGCTGCGAGCAGTCAGCTCGAGCCCGAGCCGACCCCCGGTGACTCGGCAGAGAACCGGGAGTTTTGCCAGCGTGGATGGCAACGATACAGTCGGATTGGATCCGGTACGGGAATCCACCACCTCGACATCCTCGGATTCAACCGTCCGCGCCAACGACAGGAGCAGGAGCAGGAGTGCCCCCAAGCCCCCTACGAATCAGTTCAGTCTTTTCCCAGCAACCACACAGAGACCCCCGAAATTGGCCCCTTCACCTCAACTCGTCCCTTCCTCGAAAGCGATTTCGCCGGCTACCGGCGCTGCGCGGACCAAGTGGGGTGGAAACGCCTCCGGGATCCCATCTCGTCCCTCGAGGGAGGGAGCCGGGCTCGGATTGTCGATCCCCGGCACCATGTCCTCCGGGAATGGGCCTTCGCTTACCAAGACCCGCAGCAGATCCATCAGCACGACTCTGTCTCAGGGTAAGCTCCACAAGGAAAGGGCTACCCCGTCGCCGGGTCCCGCGCCATCAACCGCACAGAGGGCCGTTCCCAGGGCGATCGCCCAAGGACTCACGTACAACACCATTCCCCCTCTCCGAGGCACCGGATCGCAGGATTCGGTTGTGGCACAGAAACTGGCGACGCCAGCCATCACCAAGCCGGGATTCTTTTCTAGGGGACGGACAAAGTCGGAGGAGAAAGTGCCCGAGAAGTTGACCAAGCGCGGGCCGACTGCAGGGACGGGATACGAGGGGTATGGAACATTCGGCAAGGCTTCGAGGTCGAAGAGTGGAGGCGCCGGTGTCGGTCGTGGAAGAAGTGGCAGCCAGACATCCACGTCTTCCACTAGCAGGGAGAGGAGTGGGAGCAGACCGGGAAGTCGCAGCAGTGTCGAGATGGACGACTATCTTGCCGAGAGGCTGAAGCCGGTGGTTATCGCGGGTGGTGCGGTGGTCGAGAACCACAACCGACCGACGGAGATGGTTCGATCTGGAAGTTCGCCGGCGATTTTGGAGGCCAGGCCGGACAGCAGGCAGGGCAGGGAGCCGCAGAGGAGCGGAAGCTCGCTCGGCGTGTTCAGCAGAGGCGGAAGTCCTCCGAGCCCGAGCCCGATCGAGCCCGAAACCGTTGCGGCTCGCAGATTCAATGTGCCTGGAAGATCGGTGACGCCTATCCCTCCGCCCATCAACACCACCGGTTTCAGGATCCGTCCGGCTCCTAGCCCAGCGGGTTCCGTCGAGTCCTCGAGGAACTTGTCTCTCGAATCGGCGGACCTTACAACTCCAGCGTCGTCGAAGCCAAAGGCCAAGAGGTGGATCTTTTTCCCGAAATCGCAGCCGAAGCCTACCGCCGCGCCACCACCGCCGCCAGCAGCATCCCCAGTACCGCCCATGTCGCGGTCCACATCGAGACGCAATGTACCCGCGCACTACGCACTTCTCGACCAGGAGGAGCAACGCGAGGCTCGTGAAATGGTGGAACGCATGCAAGAACTCCGCCAGCAGAAGCAGCGAGTCGTATCCAACGAGAATACTGAGACACCGCAAGCCACCGCGAACCACACCCATGTCCTTCGCAAGCAGCCTCCCATCAATAGTACCAAGCAGAAATCGGCTCAAGCTGCGCCCGCTGCAAAGCCGGCCGGCCAGGCTCTTCTTCCACCGTACCGTTCCTTCCTGGATAGGTCTCGATCGGCTAAAGCCGAAGGAAAGAAGCCCGAGAAGGAGCCTGCCTCTGCGACCTCGGAGCTTAGGATCAGAACGGAGATGCCCCTCCTGTCACCTGAGGAAAAGGTTTTCAGCGCGCCCGCCAGCATGGGAAGAGTCGGAGGCCAAGCCTTCGAGCCACGCACAACTCCCAGCCCCGAAGAGTTTCAGATCAATTGGAAAGCGTACGGTCTCACCCCGACCAACGCGCCTTCCGGAACGGAAAAGAACAAGGACTTCTGGGAGTACGATCCTCTCGATACCCGCGGACGGCGAGCTGCAGTACCTCCGCCTTTGGGCACCGATACATCTGTTGCCGCAACCAGCGTTGCGTGGCCTCCCAGGAACGATTCCATCTCGTCAGCTGTTGTGAGCCAGACGATCGAGGTGCCAGCACAGGAAGAAGAGGAGACGCACGAGGAATTCTACAGTGAGCTCGAGGGCATGTATGGAATCCCACCGACTCCGGCAACGGCCACATTCGCTCCAGCCATCAGGCGCACCAACACGGTCCGGTCGACGACATCATCCCTGGGCTCGCCCTTCCAGTATGCCGATCTCTGCTCGCCCCTCCAGTTTAAGTTTGATCCGCTGGAAGTGGAGCAGCGAGAGGAGCACCAGCATGAGGAGGAAGAAGAGGATAGCTTCGAGTACGATAATTACTCGCCCGATTCGCCGACGCTTCCTCCTACCATGCCTTCTCGGACAATCCCTGACAATATTCCGATTCTGTCGCATTCCCATTCTAGTGTACTCGGACCGAGCCCAGACCAGCCTCTGCCATTCACCCCCACTTCTCAGGGAATCTTGCCTCCGTCTACGCCTTTCTCGATCTCTTCGTTCATCCGATACTACGGTGAGACCGATGAGCAGCGCGAGGCCGCGGTGAACATGGTAGAGCCCGTCAAGCACCAGCTCGACAGCCCTGAGGATACTCCAGCCAAGACCCACAGATCGACCGACTCCAATGGATCCACCGCTACGACCCAGTCCAGCGCCTCGGCCATTGTGGTCGAAGACGAGATGAAGATTCGGCCGTGGGCGCTCATTGCATCCCGATGGCTCTCGTTCGACAGGGTGCTCGTCAGCCCTGCACACCAAGCGTTGAGCAGTGGCAGCGGCGGCCGTGTCCTGGTGGTCGACGGCCTTGGAACTGGTAACCCATCTCCCAGCCAAACCCTAGTTGCCTCAGCTAACACCCCCATCGCAGATGATTGGTCCTTCTACTGTGCGCTCTCGTACCCTTCGGCAAAGGTTTACAACCTCTCGCAAGCTTTTCCCTTCCCGCCTCCGACGGGAAGCGCGCCCCCGGTCTCGCCATCGGTGCCTCGCCCGCCAAACCACCACCAAGTGCACTACCCGTCCTTCGCCACGCCGTTCCCGTTCCCCAAGGGCTTCTTCGACGTCATCTGCTTCCGGTTCCTACCATCGTCGTCGGACGCGCACTGGGCCTTCATCCTGAGCCAATGCAAGCGCGTGCTGCGACCGGGCGGGCATCTCGAGGTGACGCTTCTCGACGCAGACCTGATGAACGTTGGCCCGCGCACGCAGCGCGCAGTCGACCTGGTCAAGGCCATCATGCAGCGCGAGAGCGAGGCGGTCGGCTCCTCTGCCGCGCCGCGTCCAGCCTCTGAAAAGGTCCTGCGCATCCTCGCCAAGAAGGGCTTCGAGGACGTCAACAAGTGCTTCGTAGGCCTGCCGGCCGTCGGGAAAGTTGGCTCCAGCGGCGCCGGCGGTGAACGCGGCACTACAGAGCGCGAACACAGTCCTGAAGATCCCGACGACATCAACGAGGTCGTCAGCAAGGTCGGCCGCTGGTGGTACTCGCGCTGCTACGAGGGCGTCATCACAGCCCAGGGCGAACACATGGAACGCAGCATGTGGGCCGACCGCGCCCTGCTGCGCGAGTGCAGGAAGCGCCATACGAACTTTCGCATGCTCGTTTGCTGTGCGCGGAAGCCGGTTAGGGGGGAGGTTAGGGACAGGGAGTAGGCCCGTTTTGTTTTCACGTTTTTGTCGCGTTTGTCACGTTTTCATCACGTTTTTGTCACCATTTTCTTCGGGCCTTCGGCGCATCTGATGGGATTTTTATTTCATGTTTGGCGTTTGCGATTGCGTCTGTATATTTTGTTTTCTCTTTGTTTATTTCTTGGGAATACCTGCATTACTACTTCCTTGTTCTACGTTTTCTTCTTTTTTCTTCTTCTTTTTGGCTTTCTTTCTAGGCTGGCAGGGACGGGGTGGGGATTCGGGATTCGGGGTTTGGGGGTGTTTTTCTTTCTGGGAAGAACTGTTTTTTGGGCGCGAGCCACCAACCTTTTTTTTTTTTGTTTGTTTGTTTTGTTTGTTTTGTTTGTTTGTTTGACGATATGATATCTACTAACGACTCGATTATGACGGCGTTGATTATTTGGTTTTTGGTTTTACTTTTGGTTTTTTGTCAAGGTGCTGAAGGAAGGTGCTGAAGGGGGTTATACTTACCAGATTGATGTATGAGCGGTTTTGTCTTGAAGTGGTGGTGGTGTGCACTGTGGGGTGTGGAGGAACTGGTGGGTGTAGGATGGGATCGCGGGGAGGGGGGGATGGACGGGATGCCTTGCTGCGGGGGAATAAGATAGGAATTGAAGATCCGATATGATGAACACACCCTCTTTTTTTGGACTGTGAACTTGTGAAGTGAATATTTGCTGCCTTCAGGAGGGAGGGAGGGAGGGAGGGAGAATGCCTTATGTCTTGCATCCATGCAGCATGCAGCGTGCTCGGTGGACGGTAGACCAACCAGAACGGTAGGCCAACCAGAACGGTAGACCAACCAACCGGAACGGTGAACTAATCAGAGACCTTGGGCACTCGCTCGCAGACACACTGCCTAGAGGTTTGCCGAGAACGTGACTTGTTGTGTTACTGCAGGGGTTGGGGTTAGACTGGTTTTATAGAGTGGTTAAGCGCTGTGTTGATGGTGATGTTGCGCAAGGAATTGGGGGGATGGAGGGGAATCGGGGGAGGGAGGGGAAGGAATTGAGGGGATGATGGAGGGGGTCTTGGGAGTGAGGGTGGGGGGAGTGGGGGGATGCTGAATGTACTGAAAGACCTTGATTATTGATTGTGGGTTGCTGCGCATACCGCCGGCTCCAGCAACAGTACCAGCAGTAGCAGGACCGATTGATTGCTTGACAGGTTGACAAGATCACAAGTCAATTCCCAAATGGCAGACTCTCAGAGGGCAGAGGGCAGAGGGCAGAGGGCAGAAGGGCCAGAGGGGGTCAGATGTCAACGTGAAAACGCACGACCTAGGCGAGGGCTGGAAGTACCATGGGCAGGTTTATTGCTCCTCGACTTGAGCCTTGAGCCTTTCTCACAGCCTCGCAGTCTCGCACTGGTTGGAACTTGGAAGTTGGAGGTTAGAACTTGGAACTGGGCACGCTGGAACTTTGCACGCCGGAAGTTGAAGCTTGGAAGAAGCACTGCAGCGAGTCTTGGTTGTATCTGTCAATCTAGAGTTCTCAAGCCTCACTCGATGACGTGAGAGGTAGACTATCGGATTCTTCTTTCTTATGCTTTTCTCTGCGCACTAGTTACGGGTAGATATCTGATCTTGGTGTTCTAGGGGTGGTTTGTTCCTGTATTGTACATATGATACTACGAGTGCCGTAATTGATTGTCCTTGATCGTGCTGCCGTACAATACAATACCTACACAGCCAGCCTTGGAACATCCACCCATGAACATATCTACTCAGCAGAGCACCTACCCAGCACCCGGGTATGCCCAATCCCTCAAGTCCTAAGTACCCACCTGCCTACCCAGCGATCCCTGATCCCGAATCCCGAATCAGTTCTAACTTCTGGAGCGGCGGAGCTCTCTTGGAAGTTGGAACTTGACATGTAAGTTCGGGGGATCCCATGTATCGGCCCGTGGAAGGTGGCTGTGGCTGTAGCCTGTGGCTGTAGCCTGTGGCTGGAGGCGGCGTGGTACGGTATGTGCTCGTTAGCGCGGCGACGACGGTACTGTTTCTGGTTAGGACGTTTGAACTTTGATGGTGATAGTGATAGTGATAGTGATCGGTAGTGATGGGAGTTAGCGTGAGAAATGTCGAATACCCACTTCTGCGCGCGCGGAGGTTGAAACTGTTGATGCGAATGTGGATTGATTGATACTATGGAAAGGACAGTGTGTTATATAAACAGTGAAAAAACTTAGATACCGACAAAACCAGGTTCTTGGTGCCGAGCCCACATCTATATAGGCTCTTGATGCCGAACCCACATCCAGATAGACTTTTGAATCTTGATGCCAAATCCACATCTAGGTTCTGCTATGTATCCGCCGGCGCTCTCGGCATTCCACCGCCGATCACTCGGCTGCCTACGGCGTCGCCGTGTTGGAAATATACTCCAGAGTAAGATGTGGTGGTGAACAGTGTAGTATTGAAGTATAATGCTGTAGCCTCGTGAGAACAGAAGATATATGGGAATAGGGGTAAAGGCCCGTGCCTTCTACCATGACTAATCTAGGTAGACAGATATTGCAACACTTTCCCTCTTGCTGCCTACCAGCTGGCAGCAAGCATTGAACGAGGCAACGAAGGAGTAGGTATGAGAAACAGTGAAAAGTGAAAACAGTGAAACTGGTGAAACTCCTCATTGGCCTCAGTAAAAATCTATGCAGTAAACCCTGTGGGAAAAACCTGCTAGGGAATGAGTACCAACTTGCTGAAGTCCAAAAACAGTACAGTAGAAACTTGTCAAATAGGGATTCGGGGGCAAAGCCGGCCAAGCCACCGCCGCCGCCGGGCCCCCTCGGGCCGCCGGGGACGAGCCGCCGCCAGAAGTGAGAAAAGTGGCACACGGGCCCTATGCATGTAGAATGAAATGCGAACAATAATCCCCAGGTACCTCCTTAAAACTCGTAACCGTGGGAAAAACCTTCGTGGGAAAAAGACCACCGGCATAGGTAGGAGAAAGAGTGCACCGTCCAAAGAGAGGGGGAGCAAAATGACCATAGTTCAACCGCTTGTCATGCTTCACCAGAAGCTTCCACCGAATCCACTTCCCCTGTGTCCCAGCCCGTGGACATGCTTTCGCCGAATGCATCTCCAGGGGAAGAATCGCCGTCATGATGTCGCAAGTAGGTTGTCTGGGTTGCGTCTGTCTGGCACCCAGTGTCCAGTCCGGCCAAAGGTGAGGACATATCCGGATGTCGATTTCAGTCGCTTGCGTCACCGGCAGAGTTTGTGTCTTCGTCTCCGTCTTCGTCTCCGTCTCCGGCAAGATCTGCGTCTCCGGCAGAGTCCGAGTCTCCGAACTCGATGTTGCGCAAGGGCCGCAGGGTGTAGCATGTAGCAGTTAGCTTCGAATGAGTCGCGGTCCGAGATCTGTGATCTTGTATTCGGCGTGGTGGTGGTTCTTTAGTTCGGTAACTCGTTCCGCAAACGGGGATCATGCTCGCATCGGCAGAGGCCGAGAGTTCCGAGAAACGCGTCAATATGGTGATACCAACAGGCGGGCAGCTTGCCTCAGTCCGTGTAAAGGCTTCCTAAGTTTGCAGGCATGATGTCCATTCTAGTCAGTTGCCTCACGGATGCCCGCCGACATACCTAGCCATGTAGACTTCGCCGTCCACTTCCGGATTGAGGAAGGCAGTGACGACGTCAAGGTGATTGATCCTCCACCCACGACCGCATTCGATACACGGTATGCCTTCCATCGTAGGTACGCGCATCTCCGTGCCGGCCATAGCATATCCGCATCCGACACTCGTCGGCATGCTATCCATAGGTACGTGGACCTTATGGGTTCTCGCATCCGACACCATCGGTATGCCATCCATAGGTACGCGCACACTCGTGCCTACCATACATAGGGTTCTGACATCCGATGTGATCGGTATGCCTTTTGCCTTTATTCATTACTGCTACAAGCCTCAATTGTAATTTGGCAGTCTGTAAGGAAAAGTTCTGGACTCAAGGTTCAGCTGACACTTGATGGCGAGACTCGTGAGAGTAGGATGCACCTATGCAGTTGTCGGATTCTTCTTTCTCGTGCTTTTATCTAAGCACTACGGGTATAGGATACCTATCTGGTCTTGGTGGGTTGTTTCAAATACATACTACGAGTACTCGATTGTCCTGCGTGCCAGCTGCGATTGGACTGCCTACAATACTACCATATCCACACAGTCAGCCGGCCTTCCCGTCCACCCACCCATGAACCCATGAACCCATCCAGAGCACCCACCCATTAACCCATGAACCCATCCAGAGCACCCATCCAGAGTACCTACCCAACTACCCGGTACCCGGGTATGGTCAAGACTCAAATCCTCAGTACCCACCCAGCTGTCCGAATCCCGAATCCCGAATCCCGAATCGGTTCTAGAGCGGCGGAGCTCTCTTAGAATTAGAACTTGCCATGGCTATATTAGTTGCCATGTAAGTTCGGGCGACGGGAGGTGCCATGTATCGGTGCCATGTATCGGCCCGTGGAAGGCGACTGTGCGTGGACGGTAGCTGTGGGCGGAGGCGGCATGGGCGGAGGTGGTGTGGTATGCGCTCGTTGGGGCGGTGACGACGGTAGTCTTTCTGATCAAGATGTTTGAACATCGAATGGCCGGGTGAAGAGGGGTGGATGCGGTTTATGTGGTAGTAGGTAGTGATTTCGATGGTGATCCTTGGTGATGGGCGTGCGCGTAAGAGATGTCGAATATCCGCCCTCCCCCAGCCCCCTTTGCGGAGGTTGAACAGTAGCGCTGGATAGCCGTAACTGATGCATGTTCTTCCTGTGTATTAGGAGGGGAGGGGGCGCAAAAGGGGCAGGCTAAGCCATGGAAAAGCGTGAATGAGCACTACCTACCACCTTCCGGATCGCCGCGTATGAACGAATGACACACCCTGCAAGAAACATCAAGTCAAGTCAAGACATGAGAATTTCTAATCAACAGTAAAGAAATAGAAAACTAGAAACAAAACACTTCTGTGCAGGTACCTGCGCCATCTCCATCTACCGTAAAACACCATGAAACTCACCTGTACCCCCTCCCCTTCCCGAACCCCCCTACCCACCGGCTGTAACAGTCGACCCGCAAGCAAAGCAAAGCAAAGCAAGAAAAAAAGAAGAAAAAACAAACTATCACCATTTTCATCGTCATCTCAAACAGGTAAACACCTCCAGGCTCCAGATCAATATCGATCGAAGCCGGGCCAGCAAGGGGGACCCGGGAGAAAGAAAAAGAAAAAAACAAGCAAAAAAAGAAGATATTCCCATGTTCGAGCAAAATAGGAGATTCCCTTGTTCGAGCAAAACAGAAGAGATTCCCATGTTCCAGAAAAACAAATCGATCAGATCACACAAGTACCCAGGGTACCCGGGCTTCGTTGGACAAAGCCCCATGAGTACCACATCAGGTATTAGTGTGCGTCCCTCATCCTCTTGACCGCCTCCATGCGCTCCGACCGGTTGCCTTTGTCACCCGCGCGACTCTGACGAGCATCACGGGGAGTGGCTGGTCGAGCATGGTCGGCGGGCTTCTGCTTCTGCTGTGGCTGGTGCGTATAGTGCGGTGCGATGTCCTCGATGACCGGCATGAACAGCTCGAAGAACCACTGCCTCAGGTCCTGCTGCGAGCGCATGCTCACGAGGCCGCTGGCTTCGCGGTTACTCTCGATAATCGCGCCGATGTAGGCTCGGAAGAAACGGGGAGCCTGGATCGACACTTGCAGCGGATAATAGGCTGCCAGGAGGGAGAGTGTGCGGTCCGACACCAGTGCGCTGGCGAGGCCCTGCACAAGAGTTAGCAATTGATGCATCGGCCGCTGGGAGCCCATACCCTCAAATCACAACGCTGGCCAGGTTGGCCGAGGCCGAGGGTTTGAATCAGCTCCATAGCATGAAGCCTGAGCTGATTCTCTCCGGCCCACTCAAGTAATAGATGGCCTGGACTGTGATCATTCGGTTCAGCAGGGTCCGAGGCGCCAACGGGGCTGTACGTGACTAAAGGCTTCAGAGCAAGCCTGATGTCGGGCATTACGGGGGGATACAGCGGCCTCTGCTGGGACTGGGAGCCAAACTGGAACTGGGAGTCCTGCTGACATTGAAGCATGCCGGAGGGCTCGAGCTGCATTCCCGAGAACTGCGGGAACTGCCGAACAGTTTGGAATGGAAACTGTCCGCTGAAACCGGTGGCTATTGGTTGCCGTTGATCGAAAGCCATGGGGGGAGGCGATTTGATGGCGAGCGAATTGAAGCCAGGTGGCACCCAGTCACGACCAGGGAGGGCACCGAAGTGACTCTCTACTTCACGACTAGGAGGGGCGCCCAAGAGACCCTCTCCCTCACGGCCCATGCGAAGGTGGTCGCTCCAGGACGGTCTTGGGGGCTTGGAGGTGGACCTAGCTCTAATAGGCCTCGTCAGTTCTCTTCCCCTCGGAGCCTCCTTATTCAGTCCCTTGAGGTTTCCCTCGGTAGCTTCCTTGGCCCGGGCTGGACGATAGCGATCTATCTCGGGTCTGTAGCGGTCGATATTTGGCGGGCCGTCCTCACGCCTCTTCAACGTCCTGCCGCGGTTTTCATTGTATCTGGAACGGCTGGGGGAATTATCATGTTTATGTAGATAAATTTGATGGCGACGATGCTGCTTTTCCTTCCTCGACTCGATCTCACCATCCTCAAGCCCGCTGGTAGAACGCCTCGCACGCTTCGAGGGGGGCATAGGGCTGGAGTCCATCGTCGTTTTATTCTTGTCATGGGGCTCACGGGAGGCACTATTCTTCTCGCTGCGCGTCTTCTCCTTCTGACTCAGCGACAGAAAGTTACTATCAGGCTTCGTGTGAGCCACCGTGACATCAAACTTCTCGCCAGTCAAGCGGTTGTATTCGAGCGGGATGCAGTTCGTCTGCGTCTGCTGCCGCTGCTTCTTCGGCTGCTCCAATTCTGGTGAGGGAGAGGGTGAGGGTGTTTTCGGAAGTGCGAGCTTGGTCATCCGCTCCTGGTTGAAGGGTATGAAGTTGTCCGTCTCTGCAGGAAGGCCAACGCCACGCAGGGCCGATAGGAACTCAGAAGTGCCACTCATGATAGTATTTGGAGTTAAAGCAGCGGGCTCCCACATCCTGCCGGTGGGGACGGAGACGAGAGGAGCGGAGTACTTGGGGAAAACGGGGAAATTGCCATGTGTGTCCTGATACTCCACTCCCTCCTTCTTGATCTTGGTGGCGAGGTACTCACCTAGCTGCCATTTCCTCTTCGCCCCCGACCTCCTAGGAGGAGCGGCAGGCTCAATCCCACTCATATCAGTATCACCCACGCCCTCCTCGAGCTTGATGGCCGGCTCCAGCGAAGAGGGAGCCGGAGGTGCAGGTGCAGCGGTGCCGACACCAAGTCCCGACGGGAAGGACTGAGTGCCCACAGCCTGCCTAGAGGCCCTTCCAGGAAGCTCGTTGGCACTGCCGCAGAGTACCGGATAGCCACTCGTACATGCTGGAGCCGTAGTAGACGGTGTGCCAAGGCCAAAGGAAGCGGTAGAAGTGTTGAACATATCGTGAGCGCGGGGTCTCGTGCGAGCTGGCGCAGGCGTGAAGCCCCAGCCATGGGACAGGAGTTGCAGCTGTGGGCTGTCCTGCATTGTAGCATCCAGTCTACCTCTAGATGGAGCTTTCGCGGGCGTCTGGAATGCGGGGGTGGAAGGGTTCAGAGAAGGATCGGGTAGGCAGGTCAAGGCTGGATCGATGTCCTCCGTTTGCATGGCCTCGTCCATCTTGAGTCGTGGGATGGGGTGCGACCGGAGAGACTATGAGAATAGACTGTGAGGAGAGGCTGTGATTGCTTTCGGATTGAAGACGTCCTCACAAGGGGAGGTCGAGAGGTGGGGGGGTGGGGGTGTGAGGTGAAGAGAGGAGAGGGAGAGGATGGTATTGTGCGATGTGAGTTGGTGACTAGTGCGAGAGAGCAATCATTGAACGCTTACCGCCCCACAGTCACTCGGGTATGCATCTCGCTCAGATAGATCAAACAAACACAACGAAATCGATATTGTTTGGTAGGCAGCGGCGCCACATCGTGCTGGCAGGCAGCGGAGTCCCAACTCCCCGAAGGGCCAGAGTGGGCGGGAAAGGAGTGCGACAGTTCGCCATAGTCTACATATTGTGCTGCGAGATAAACGGAAGATCTCTCTCTTTCTCTCACAACCAAATCAATGTTTTTGCGTCTTGCATTCAATCCAGACGAGTGATAGTTTGTGAATGCTCTTTTCTCACGTCTAGATTAGCATCACGTGTGCATCTTGCGGTTGTCATGACATCACACCCAGCACCTTTATCGAATTTCCATGTAAAATACACAGAGTATCTGTTGTCTGCCACAACCATGAAAGGAGCAAACTGTATGTATGATAGATAGGGGATCACATAAGATAGAAAGAGGGGCTAGCCGGATGGATGGATCCAAACGTTGTAAGCAGCGGAGGAGAGCCATATGAGATGGCTCTTCGAAGTTGCATAGAACATCACCTTCTCTATCATCCATCATTTTCGCCGTCTCCCTTCCAGGGCTACGTCAGTATTGTCCCCAGTAGTGATCCGTACAGAAAACTACCGACACATCTTAGCAGAAACACGCTTCAGTCATTCCAATCTTATCAGACACCTTAGGTACCCGTCGGGATAGGCATGGCCGGAACCTCCGATGGCAGGCCTTGCCCACCACCTCCGTGATACCCGCTACCTTTCGCCGGAAGAAACGAGCATGAGCGAATCCGATGACGGGCCGTTTCCACGCCCCTCTTTCTGTTTCTCTACCATGGGGAGGTCCTCCGTATATGTGACTCGTCCATCTTGAGTCGTAGGGTAGAGAATGATCGGAATTCTATGGATCTGTGGGTTCGACGTTTTCCCTGTAAGGGAGGCGGAGGAAGAATAGAGCGTGAGAATGGCGGTGTGTGGCATGGTCTGGAAGAGCAGAGAAGGATAGGAAGACGCCGCGCGACGCGGACCGGCGCCCGACGCCTCGTCACCGCTCGAGAGCTGCGTTTGACACTCACCCGCAAATGCACCTGCCTGAGTGAGGATCACTCGACTCGACTGGATCAAACAAACACGACTACTTTCCTTTGTTCGATCATCTTTGTATTCGACGTTATTGGATCATGGCAGTCATAGCGAGCAGGAGAGGGAGAAAGAAGGCAGAAGAAAAACGATGCTCGTGCTTTTGTCCACCACCCTGCCGCCTCCTAATCCACAAGTACAGTCAGGCGTTGTCTCGCTGCTGCCATTGGTTCTTCCCCGCCTTGGTTATCCAACCTCAAGTCGGGGAGGAGTCCATCGCGGACGCGTGGCGGAAGTAGGGTGGTAGAAGAGTGTACTTCTCCTCTCGCCTCCGCGACGCGCGGGCTCGTGACCGCTCTGGTGTCGTCGCAGCTCCCGAAGGCCGGGAGTCCCGATCCCTCTCTCGTGGTGTTGCACCGCTCGCCACGCCACACCACACCTCGCCGTCTCTTCCCTCGCCTCCAGTATTTATAGTTCCTCAGTCGGGCATACCGTGTCTCGAGCGACTGCGGCGGCGGCCGAGGTTTGGCAACAAACGTTACTCCGAGAGAGAGAGAGAGAGAGAGAGAGAGAGAGAGAGAGAGAGAGAGAGAGAGAGAGAGAGAGAGCGAGATTTTCAGTTTATTTCGCCTGCAGCCTATCTAGACTATGGCGAACCGTTGCACTCCTTTCCTGCCCACTCTGGCCGGCCGGGGATTGGGACCCCGTTACCAGCCAGCACGATGTGGCGCCGCTACCTGCCAAACAAACAAATAACAAAAGTAATCGCACCAAGAAAATATCACCGCATATCCTCATCTCCTACTTCCTCGCACCGGCCGCAGACACAGTAGGTATCCTGCTGGGCACTCTTGATCTGCTCCCGATGCGATGCTTGCCTCGTCCTCATCCTCCTCTTCCGACGTGACTACGGATATTTCTGTGTCTTGCCACTCAAAGTCGACCGAGTGATGGTTGTGAAGGTACAAAACATGAGCAAAGGTCTAGGTGTCTCTTTTGCAAAAGGCGTATCATGCATCGCATTGATAAATTCACCGTGCTACGGAAGATCAGCGATCGCCAACTAGATAACCTCAAGCTCTTCAAGCCCGGCCCGTGGTTGAGTGACCGCGTCATCACATCAACTGATGCATCGTGATACACAATTTACACGTTCCCCAGACGAAGGGATATCCAGATAACACTTTCTCCACGCGATGAATTTCTTCACGTGCAAACCCCGCCTGAACCGAGTCCTGAGATATGTGTAAAAAATTACATACTATGTATTGAAATGCATCTACTATAACCAAGGCCCGGGAATTATCCGCAGACATATTCGAAAACTATACGCACCGCGAAGAAAACCCAAAACCAAAACCAAAAAAGAAAAAGAAAAGAAAAGGAAAAACACAGTGCATGCAAGTGAGCCACACATACATAACTCCGGAATAAAAGAAATTATGATACCGTCCAGGCAGAACGGGAGAAAATATCTAGATCGCTGCAAACTGACTTTTGAAACCAGATGAATAAGAAAAAGAAAAATGATACATAAAATCGAAAAAGAGGTTGCAGAATGCACGGTGGGAATGAAGTAAAAAGAGAGAGACGAAATATGTAGAAGATTCCTTATTCGGGGGACACAACAAAGACAAGGAAGAGAAAAAATTAGCAGTTTCACCGAGACAACCTATGTACCGACTAATTATTCAAGCAAATTCAAACTTTCTTCTCCGAAAACCCGTATTCCGTCTAACAGGCTTCAACCACAAGCGCCTCAGGAACGAGTCTTTCGTCGATGGTAGCCATCGCCAGAGTAGTGTCCGCCTCCTCCACTTCCTTCTCCTCGTGCAGCTTGGCTGAGACCATCAGCTCCTCCATGTGCTGAATCAGACCGTACCAGAGATATCCGGGGCTGACGATCTCGACATCAAACTCACGGACCATGTTGGAGATGAACTTGATGAAAGCCGTGGTGCTCAGGTGACGGCCAATGCACACCCTCGATCCAGCTCCCCAGGTTATCCATCCAGCCTCGAGGTAGTTCCTCATGGTTCTAGGCAGTCCTGTTCCATCCTTCGCGATCTCGGTGGGGTGGTTGCCCAACCAGCGCTCGGGCTTGTACTCCTCCGCATCTTCGCCGAAGTATTCCTTGTTGATGTTTGTAGGCCAGCCGGACATCGAGACGACGTAGCCAGAAGGAATGAAGAAGTCGTTCAGCCGGCAGCCGATCTGCGGCACCTGGCGGCCGAGTGAGAGACCGAAGGTGGGGCTCAGACGCAAAGCTTCCAAGATGGCTGCCTCCAGGTAGGGGACGCGACACTCTCCAAGCTGGTGCGTGGCATCCTCAAGCTTGACCGGGACGGAAATGGTGGCAAGCTCCTCGCGGATCTTGGCAAGGACTTCCGGATGCGAATAGATGAGTTTGACAACGGCGGGCAGCGCGCTGGATGCAACCATGGAACCGGCGCTGCAGGCAAGATTAGCTTTTTTCTTTTTCATGTAAGGGAGCGATACGATGCAAGGGTGCGTGGGGTGTGAGGCATACTATATGAAAAACACATTATTGGTGATTCCCTCCGTCCAGTTTCCCTGAGGAAACAACTTCCGGATCTTCTTCTCGCCGGCACGGAACTTGGACATTAGATTATCTGGAAGATGATCGGCAATCTCGTTGATGCGCTCCTACGTTCAATGTCAGTTTTTCGTATGACCCCTATCCGAACAACTCTGTGGACACTAACGTTCTTGTGGGACTCTCCCTTGCTGTACCCCAGACTCCAACGGAACAGATGCTCGAGCTGGCTGTTCAGAACACACTTCCTGATGTAACGGGTGGTGATGTCAAGGGCGAACGGGATGGGAACCAACGATCCGACCACGTTGAAGATCACACGAAGGGCACCGATCGCACCGTCTTGGTCCGAGCCCGCGGCGCACAGTCCGTTCGAGTAGCCACTCATCAGGAGTGTGGCCAGATCGAACATGAAGAAGTGAGTCCAGTGGTTCAAGCAGGCAACTTTTCCTTCGGCGACCACGTGCTGCTTGAAACCTTGGGTGAACGCATCGACAGCCTGGTACACACGAAATCGAGTAAGCAACGCATCACCACCACGGCTACTGGGGATTCCGTGCAACATACCTCATCAAAGTGATGCTCGAGCTTGGAGAGTCCCTTCTCCGAGTACGGGTGCGAAAGCGCATACTTGCCCAACCTAGCCCTGGCCGGGTCCGTCTCGAAGACAAAGTTGAAGTCCTCATTGAACAGTCCGGTCTGGAACGACTTGGCTTTGAGGAAGAAGCTCTCTTCCTTGCGCTCGTCGGCAAAGCTGTAGAGCGTGCCACGCAGCATCGGATCCGAGATGGAGACCTCGTCCGGTGAGATCCATACAATCGTGCCGTACTGCTTATGGAGCTCGATCAGCTTCGCGTGCCAGTTGCGGCGGACGTTGGCGTAATATGCGCGGTACCAGCAGGTGAATCCGGCAAGGAAGGGACCTGGGACACCCTGCCGTCTCATCGGAGAGTTGACATAGCGGATGACTCGGCGGCCAAGCTGGTAGGCGAAGAAGCCGGCAATGAGAAGCGCCAGGTTGCGCTTGAGTGCCGTGAAAACAGCGGCGAAGAGCTGGAGGACAATTTCATGAATCATCTGCAGGACAGGGAGGTTATGTCAGTGCGTGCTGCAATGTTGGATAAACGTGGATCAACTTGCCTTGGCGAAGTGTTTATGAGGCGAATCGAATTGAGCGAATCGTCAACGAACCAAAGGGAGATAAAGGGGAGTTGCGTCGGGAGGGGGTTACGCGGGAAGGATTGGGCGGGGATGATTCTGTCTTTCTTTCGATGCCCGAGAAAAGAAGTTGGTTGTGACTGGCGTTGTCGGTCAGCAACGGATCCGACGACGGCGAGCGGGAACTCGTGATTCACGACAAGTTTACCCTACCCGCAAAACATTCCTCGGAATGCTTCTCGGGCAATGGGTAAAGATGAAGTTGAAAATAAGTCAGGTACATACCTTCACTTCACGAGGTATCGTGAATGACCGGTGCAGAATTCAAACCCGGTGCAAAGTGGATGAAAAAAGAGGTAGAGTGGTGAAAGTGGAAGAGAAAAGGAGGAGTTGAGGTGTATTATAGGTGCTGAGCCTGGAGGAAACAGCGAAGACTTGGGAGAGTGAATTAGGAGTGGGGCAGTGAATGGGGGTGGGGTGAGAAAGCAGATGGATGACGGAGGAGTGAGTGGAGTGAATTGAGGGGAGGGAGAGGAGGGGAGGGGAGCGGAGGACGAGGGAGATGGGAAGTCAACAAGTACAAGTACTCGGTGTTGGTTTTGTCTGTCTATGCGGTGATCGCGGGTGGAGCTTGTGTTTGTTGTACACCATGTCCGTGTGTGCTATATGTATTGACTGTATGTATTGTACATGCGATGAGGTACCCAGATGATGGCACGCTTCCATCTGTGATCCCCCAACACGGCGGCGGCGAGCACCGCTGGAGGCTCTCTCGCTCTCTCGTATCTGCTGCCCGCAACTCTGTTTACGGCACGGACATTTTCGCAGGGAAGCAGGTACATAGCGAACCTACCATCTTCTACCATAAACCCTTCACTGTTGCATGCACTCCACTTTGCTATATAACACCAACAAGCACCCCCCCACAACAACCCTTCACCATCCCTTCCCTGGCCCTTTGCTTTTTTCCCCACAGACCTCAGGCGAATCGAGAATCCTCTGCATGTGCAGATATTGGACTGCTCCAACGACATCAGCGAGTTCTCCTTATTCCGTACCATTCCGTAATCCCGGGTCCGCCCCGGCTGGCTGCATCGCAGCAGACACCACCCACCCAACAATCCGAGAGCATCCTCCCTTCGTCCTCGCTGGTCATCGGCGACTTCCCTCCCTTCCTTCGTTCCCATCCCGGGGGACGATCATCCTTCCCTCTTTCCTTCCTTCCGTTCTCTTGTCGGAGTATATTAGTATTTTAGAGGTCGCGGAGAGAAAAGATAAAGATAAATAAGATCCTAGCTTAATAAGATCCCAGCTTATACCGTCGCTAGCTCGTGATGGCTGAAACAGATCGTGGACAAGGATGGGGACGCGGGCTGGGGACGGGGGACGGGGGCGGGATAGCGGCGGTTATAGGGGGGTGTGGTGCGGTGTAGGGGGATAGAACAAGCGCAATATTCGAGCAGGCCTGGGCTGGTCACGACGGGGATGCAGTCTCGTCAAAGTGATTCTCCTTAAGGGTGCGGTAACTACTTGTTGCCTATGTTTGTCAGACTCGAGAGCTCTCAGCCGCAGGAGGGCCGGGAAGTGCAGTTTCTCGGCTTCACTTTGCCACCTTGGCATCATGAATCGATATCAAGGAGTCGACCGCACTTCGCTCGACTGAGCAAGTAGTCACTCTACCTGCACCATCCGAGCCGCCGCAACGCTTCTCTTCGTCTACCTCTTTCCTGCTCCTCCTCCTGCTCCTCCTCCTCCTCCTGCCTCCTGCCTCCTTCAAGCTCTTGTCTGCTTGTCTGCCTGCCTTCCTGCCGCAGTGCCGCGGTGCCTGCTGCAGAGCCTGCCTACCCGCCCGCCTGCCTGTCTGCCCGACACCTAGCTGCCATCAACCGCGCCGACTCCATCCATAACTACTCCTACGAGAAAGAACCGAACCTGTGGGTGCGCGTAAACGCAGCTCCCCCTTAGAAAGGGAGGCCATGTGCTCATGCTGATGCTGTGTCCAGAAATTCAGCTCTATATATTTCTGCGGCTGCAGTCAGGCCGGCAGGCATGCAGGCGGCAGATCGGCTAGACTTCGAATCATCTCGACTGGACTGGGCTCCACATATTCACCGTAGTGCCCTGCCCTGCCCTGCCCTGCCTTGCACGTACTGCACTGCAGGGCAGGGAGAGGGAAAGTCGGAGCGGGGGACAACTGTTGCCGCGTGGTCGACGACCGGCCAATGCTACAATCCGTGGGTTGTGCGTATGTGGGATGGAGGCAAGGCGGTATGACAGTGCATTGTCAGGGCAGAAGTTGTGGGCCGGGAAGGAGTGAGGAGATGGTCGTACTGGTATCACGCATGACCATCAGATAGTGGTTCATTGGGGTGGGTGAAGGGAGGGGGAGGGTGGGTGGGGAGCGAGCGGTTTGGTTCGGTTCGTGTCCAAATCACTCCCTCACCTCCGTACATACAAACGGCGTCACTGATTTCACCACTTTGCCGCGTGACAGCCCCTCGGGAAGGATAAAAAGGTGAAGGGAAAGATAAACTTTTGCGCACAAATAAATCCTTCTGCATTATGTGTATCTAAACTTCAATTTATCCCAGACTCCTGGAACTCCTACCTACCCGTGTAACTAAGTACGTAGGATGTAGGTACCGTCTCTTCTCCTTGCCAGAAAGAAAAAAAGCTCCATATTCCGCAATCCCCGGCTGGCGGGAGAGAAAATACGGATGACATGGCATGGTGAGAACATGGCGAAAGCATGGCAAGCCACGAGGTGGATGGATTCCAGCATACGCAATGTACTGCATGGTACAGTATAGTACCTAGGAAGCCAAGTTCTGCACAGCGCCCCGCAGTCAGCCGCCTTCAAAATCGCAGTCAACTGGAAGGATAGTTGCACGCGCAGTGGTGAGGAGTACTCTACATATGATGGCAGCAGCAGCAGCAGTTCGTTCGGGTTCGTTCGGTTGCCTTATCACGATGCAGCAGGGTGCAGTGTCTGTCGAGAAACTGACTGCAGGAAGGTGATTGGATCGGAAGGAAGGCCGGACACCAAGGGCAGCAATGCAGCTTGGAGAACGATCATCGACGAGAGGATTTAGGAACTCAACGCACGGCGCAACGCAGCGCGACGTTCAACAGCGCCCCGTGGGGTATGTACCCCACCCTTCAAAACTCTAAACATAGTGTCCCTGGTGTTGGTGGTAGTGGTTGTCGTTGTGGTGGTGGTGGGTGTAGGAGTAGTGGTGTACCAGTGAGGGTGTGGTGGTAACCATGGCGGTGTGGTGGTGGTGGTGTGTTACTGGTGGTTGACGGTGACTATAGTAGTGCTGGTGATCGATCGGGATCAGGTCTGTCTCGGGAGAAGGAGTAAAGGTGATCATCTCCCAGACAGATAAAGCAACTGCCACGTTTCTCTGTTTCTGGAAGCCTTCCATTGGTGTACCGACAGTCATAAAGTGAAGTCGAACATTGCCGGCCCAGTGTCACTCCGGATCAGATGCATCGGCAAAGGCCTAGTTTGGAGGCGACCGTGAATCTGAATCATGACAACATCCATCCTCACCCAACCAAATCTCGAATCTTGTTTTTCCCTTGCATCCCTCGTTCTGGGCGGTTCGATTTTGGAATGCTACGGCTGATCCTGAGCGGATGGGGAGTTGATATCGTGGTACTGACTGAGGTGAAGCCTGACCTTGAAACCAACGGTGGTGAAGACCAATAAGATGAAATTCTAACTACTGTTAATGCTCCGGGAAGCTGCCGTATGCAATTCCAGAAGCTAGCCATCTTTTCGAATCGAGTGTTGACAGATTCGGCAGTTGGGAGGCAAAGGACCGAAGTGGGAGAGTAGAAGCTTTGCAGACCTCTTAAGATCATCGTGGTGTCGGTGTTGGTTTATTTCAGTTCCGTGCAGTAACACTGATGTTCATGCGGGTCAATCTCCTTTTTTTTTCTTTCTTCCGCCGCAATCGTGTTAGCCAGAGACAGTCGACGAAGTTGCAGAATAGTGGTAACTTCCGAGAGCATCGATGCTGAATCCAGGCCTCAATCTCACCCGCGTCAACGTACGTGACGGTACTTATGTGGAGTAGTGGTACTATAGTCCGACCGCCGCGTCCTGGTCGTCTTCGCCGTCCATGCACATACCTTGTGATCACTCTCTCCCGCTTTCCCTAGCCCGTTCGTCCGACGGCATGCGCTTCAACATGATAGGCCAGTTTCCTCATATCGTTCGATGATTCTCCGTCGGCATTACCGACGGCGGGGGTGGTCGTGAGATCGTTCGATTATCTCCGCCATGGCAGCCACCCACATACGAAAGGGGGTTCGTGTCAAACAGCCGAAAGCGCAGTCAGGCAAAGTGTAGCGAAGGGCGGGAATCGAACGTGCCAAATGTTGGCTGCGTGAGAACACGGCAAAGAGACAGGGTCAGGAAGAGGAGGAGTTGCCTACCCTGCGGGCTATTCGCACTAAGCTGCCATTAGGAAGTTATTAAGATGCGGCTCTCCAAGGGCTGCACGGGCCATTCATAGGCCATCACTCAAGCTTCACCACTGGAGAGCTGGCGCAGGGAATCCGAATGGGTACTCCCAGCCGCCATGGTCTACCTAGTGAGGTCGCCTGCGACCATAGATTGGTGTTCTCTCTATAGGTCTTCCCAATTGTTAAACAAAAAACAAAAACCGAATGTGGACCTACTCTGAGAGGAGCATCCGAGGATAGATAGATAATCAGATAAGATAGGGCGAGGGGCTAGTCGAATCGGTGGATCCGGATGGTGGCGATAGCCGGGCTAGCCGGATCGGGTGGCTCCGAACGTTGTAGGAAGTAGTGGAGGAGAGCTGAGATGGCTCTTCGAAGCTGAATGAAACCTCAACTTCGCCATCATCTTTCATTTTCACCGTTTCCCTTTCAAGACTACGTCACCTACACATTCGAGTAGCCCTACACCCTCTCTATGCATAGAGAACTCACCCCGGACAGAAGCGTGAACGTGAGTTAAATAAGGAATAAAACTTTGATGCATTATCGGTCCGTTGCTTTGATTGCGCGTTTCATTTCCCATTTCATTTTCATTTTCCCCAACATCAATGGCTATTCCCCAACTTTCCTCCAGCCTTTACGGCCTTCTCGACTTTCTCCATCTCAGCTATGGCTGCAGTCCAATCCTGCCACTCCTTCTCGCCTCCCGGAAGTCCTCCGCTCAACGGCAACCTCGTCCCGTCCCTATCACCGAATCCGGCCACCCTGGACACCGCCTCCTTGATTCCGACGGTCCCAAACTTCACCACCAACTCCTCAGCACTCGACACAGCCCACTGAAGCCTCCTCGCCTCATCCTTCTCCACTTTCGTTACCGTGTCCGCTGTGGCCAAGTCAAACAACCGCACCACACTCGCCGGGAAGAACGCCGCCAGTCCGTCGATAGCACCGGCACACCCCATCTGGACAACCGAGAACAGGTGCTGTCCCAGCCCCGAGAATAGCGCGAACCGGCTGTGGTCGATCTCCGGGTCAAGCGAAACCTGTGTGTGCACCGACACATCGCCGTGGGAGAACTTGGCACCGACGATGTTGGGATGTGCGGCGAGCGTACGGATGGTCGAAGGTGTGATCTTGATGTTGTTCGATACGCCGGGATAGTGATATCTACACATTTCTGTTAGCCATTGAGGGCCAATCGTTCCGAGTTGCATTGTCCTTACATTAGAATGGGAATTGGGCTTCTATCCGCCACCGCCTGGTACCACTTGGTTATACCCTCCTGATTCGCAGCGGTGGCGAAGTAACCCGGTGCCAGCACCATACCCCAATCCGCACCGGCCTCTTTACTCTCGACCAATAGCTCGACCGTCTCGGCGATACTATTCGTCGCAGTGCCCGCGATCAATGGGTAATCCGGGAATCCGCCTTCCGCCAGCCCTTCTCTTACCGCTTTGATCATGATCTTGCGTTCGCTGCGAGTGACGTGCACCGCCTCGCCGGTGGATCCGAGAAGCACGAGGCCCTTGATTCCCGCTCTGGCCAGAAAGAGGGAGTGCGCGACCTGCGTGTCCGTATCGAGCGGTGGAACGACGGGATCATAATTCTTCGAGTCCCTTCTCGCAAAAAAAGTCGGGACGGGGACGAATATTCCGTGGGGAGGAGCAGCGGAGACGAGCATGATGGCAGTGGATAATGGAGTCGGTTGATTTTACGGGAATTGGAATTCAGAAGACGGCCATCGCTAGAAGATAAAGCTCATACCCATTTCGTTACTTCGTTGTCATCATGATCGCCTGTTCGGCACAGGGCTATGATGCTCAACCACTCGGCGCGAATTAACCCGAGCCCTTCGGGGCAACGAAACCACGACCACGCGAGCCGAGGTGGTCCACGACAGGAGGCTAGAGGCGGCACGTCGGCCACCAGTCCACTTCTCTATCCGCTGCGCTCGAAGGGAAGATTTGGAGCCTATATCCATCTACAAAGCTAAGAACTTCACGATGGATGAGATGTCGCCCCTGTTCTTTTGTCGATATTACTCTGCGCATGCGCGCCTCCCCGGGCGTCCCTACGTACGCCTTGCCACGGGGTTTAATATCTAACGCGATGATCATCGCCTTGTCTCGCTTCTCTCTTGGCTGTTTAAAGGGAACAAGTAGTGTCCGCGTACATAACACGGTGAGTGCTTCTGTATTTGGATGTCCCAAATACCGGGAACGCCTGGAATGGAAGGAACAAGAAGCGCGCGGTGAGTAAGAGTGTTAAGCGATGATTCGGTGGAGGGTTTTTTTTTGCGATCTATGAGACGTTTACTCTTTATGGAGAGTAGTGAGCCGCAGCTCATAACCATCTGCAGGTCACCTGCACGATCGATCCCTTTGCCTTGTGCTTCAGCCGTTCAGCCTTGGGCGAGTGATCCAGCGCAAACTGTCCGCATACCCGTATCTCATCAGCCTTAGAATTACCCGCGGTTGTACCTGTACTCCCGAGTTCCTACTCCCGCCTGGCCTATCTCCGCCGACGCTCAAAGTCTTGGGATTCTGCCGGATGACTTGCTGGCGGTAATGGAGTTTAGGATGACATTTATCCTTCCTTTCAACGTAGCCGCCTCTTCCATAAGCACTCTCGCCAGCTGGGTGTTGATGGCATAAGGCAAACGCATGTAGGCATGAAGGAATGAAGACATGCAGGCGGTGAAGTTTACTTTCCCCTTCAAGCAACCCTGACGACTTGATCGACTTGTTACATTGGAAGAAATCATATTTTGTTTACTGCGTTTGCTTTTTATTGATGTTCTCCGCCCGCAGATGAGGCATCCCTCACACACCAATACCCAAAATCTCTCCAAGAATGGATACTCCAACCCGCCACGACCACTACTGCAAATTTACAAACAACCCTCCGTCTACTAAAATCTGCGCACCAGTGACGTATCCACTGAGACTACTCGCCAAAAACACGGCGGGGCCCACAATATCCTCAGGCACACCCGTGCGTCCTAACGGGATCCTCCCCTCCATATACTCCCGCTTTTCATCATTGCTCAAGTCCTCATCATTCAACTGCGTGCGAATCGTACCCGGAAGGATCGCATTACAGCGAATGCCATGCTTCCCCAGTGCCGTAGCAGTGGACTGCATGAGCGAAAGCACGCCCGCCTTGGTGGGCGTGTAGTGCGTCTGCCCCGCGCCGCCCACGAGCGCGGAGATGGAGGATATGCCGATGATGCTTCCGCCCTTGCCCTGGGCGACCATCTGTTTTGCGGCGGCCTGGGTTGCATAGAACGCGCCGTCGAGGTTTATGCGCACCGTCGAGGAGTACAGCTCCTCCGGCAGCGTGAGGAAGTCGGCGAACTGGCAGACACCCGCGTTGGAGACGAAGACGTTTAGTTCCCCGAAGGCGTCGACGGCGGCCGCGATGAAGTCTAGCGACGTCTGCCGGAGTGAGATGTCGCCGGGTCGCGCGAGGAAGCGTGGAAGCTGGGAGGTGCACGGAATGCTGTCGATTGCGGTGGCGAGGGACTCGATTTCGGCGGATTGAGAGGGGCCAAGATAGTTTACGGCTACGTTCGCGCCGTGTTGCGCCATTCCGAGGGCGATTGCACGTCCTATTCCGGTTGCGGCGCCGGTGATGGCGACGGTTTGGCCAGCGAGGAGCTGGGGTGTAGAGGGAGTCGGCGGGATTGTTGTGGTTGTGGCTGTGGGAGCTATTGTGGTATCGGCCGTGGGGGTGATCGATGTGATGGTCTGGGATGATGTTGTAGCGGTTGTGGAAGCTGCGGATGTAGAAGCGGATGATATGGGAACTGCGGCTGCGCTTATGGGGGCGTCTACACTGCTGCTGCTGCGAAGTAAGTCAGCCACTGAATGCACGTAAATCTCATTTGACTGCAAATGAAATCCATTTCTTCTAGGCCGCAATGCAACCCTTCATCATCACATATACAGTAACGTACAAGCGGATAACCAAGTGCCTCCACATGTCCACATCTAGTACAAAGCCAAAAAAAAAAACAGACACACGCGCGCATCGACCTTCCAACCCCCCACCAATCGCACTTACTTGCTAACACCATTCGTAGCCTGACCATTCGTCTTCACCTCCTGCTCCTTCTTCACGCTCAACGGTCTCTCGGGGCTGGGGCTCAGGATGCCTGCCGCATCGATCAACCGCGCGCGCGGGTTGAGCGTCATTCCGAATCCCGGCTTGTCTAGTACGCTCACCGCCATCTTTCCGTTGACGGGTATGGGCTCGTCTAGGAACATGTCTCCAAACACTGGCATAACGGACTTTCCGTCGGGGGAGTTGGCGAGGTATTCCTGGAACGGACAGTTGCTCTGAGAAACCACGTAGTGGTATGAGTACGGCCCGCTAGCGTGAGGGACAACGGGAATGTCGTATGCGGCCGCCATGGCGGTGACCTTGAGGAGCTCCGTGAGACCGCCGACCCACATCACATCGGGCTGTACGATGTCGAGATTGCGGCCCTCGATCAGCTTTCGGAAGCCGTATTTGGTGTACTCGTGCTCGCCGGTGGTGAACTTGAGCTGCGGGAGCGCCTGCTTGAGCTGCTTGAAGCCGTCAAAGTCATCGGGGTGCAAGACCTCCTCCCACCAGTTGATGTTCAGGTCGAGGCAGGCGGTGGCCAGTTGGATCGTGTAGGGCACCGTGAGCGCCATGTAGCAATCTACCATCAGCGGGAAATCCGGACCGACGGATTCACGGTGTTTCCGGAGGAACTCGATATTCTTCTTCAGGCCCACGTGGCCATCGTCGGGACCGTACGGCAGCGGCACCTTCGCGCCGAAAAAGCCCATCTCCTTCGCCGCCACGGGCTCGGGGGTGGTGCAGTAGAAATCCAACGTCTCCCGCGTCGCGCCGCCAATCATCTTGTACACCGGCTCATTCCGGATCTTTCCCAGCAGATCCCACAACGCCAGGTCAACGACGGAGATGGTGGCGATCGGAAGTCCCTTGCGACCGTAGAACATGGTCGCGCGAAACATCTGGTCCCAGAGGAGGTTCAGGTTGCGCGGATCCGCGCCGAGAAGGAATCGCTCGAGGTGCTGGGAGACGATCCAGCATGCCGGTGGCCCGCCGAAGCCGGTCGCGAAGCCGGTTGTGCCGTCGGTCGCTGTGATTTCGACACAGAAGGAACCGAGTACGTTGATACCCCAGGATGTGCGCGAGGTCTTGTAGGCCGCGAACTTGGACATGGGAGTTGCGATGGGGGAATCGATAAGCCTGCATCGTCAGAGATAAGCCCACCACGGCGCGGAAGAGGGGAACTGAGGGGAAACAAACCAGTGGCCTCCCTCGACATTGTGGTAATCACCGCCGGAGCCTGCTCCATCGGTGATGAAGGTACGGATGGACTTGATCGTGGGGAATTCTTTGACGGACATAGCTGCGGATAGTGAAGAGTGAAATGAATAGAAGACAGAGGTATGAACAGCACAAGACGGCGAGATTAAGTATGCAGTAGGAGACTGCAAGGCAAGCCTGAACAGGGAAGAAAACGGAGACGTTTCCAAAACTGACCTCCCTTCGCCTCGCCCGCTTGCTCACATACGCACGCACGCGGGTTCGGTTCTCCTCAATCTATCTCCATCTCCACATGCCGTCGTTTGCTTCAGCTAGCTCGTAGCAGCAAAGGCGCGTGTGCATGTGGCCAGCTAGGTCTGTCGTCGCAGAGCAGTCTCAGGGCCAGATTGATCGACAGCTCTGCTCAGCTTCAGTTGTGGGGTTTGGCGCTAGGTGAGGGGCCGGCGATTGAATAATTCCGCTGCCGAGTGCGGGGTCGTCTTGCTAGCCTGATAGATAGCCGGGTGGTCTCGGTGGGCATTGTCCGAAGCGCCGTGGATGTGGAGGAGGCTGTGAGGATAGGCGGACGGGACATGTGGAGATAGCCGATGGCGTGGTAAGGATTGTCGGTTGGACATTGCGTTCATGGGTAACTTTGGTGAACCGAGCATCACTCGCGATGACCAGATTGTACAGTCATCATAAGGGTCTGTTAGTTCGAAGCATGGGGGTATATGCTATACCACCATCCGCGAATAGCAATCGAGCAGAAGAGAGGCCCGTGATTCTTGCGCTATCTTCTTTGCCGCCAAATGCGGAGCGCTACACCGTCGGTGGCAGATGCAGCGACATACAGAGTCGCGTAGGTAGCTCGGGGTTTGCTGAGCAGAAGAGGCCCCACCAGCCTCCAGCAGAAACTCGGTTATAAGGGCACCACGGTTAGACATCATTCCATCCACATTTCCTCTCTCACCGGCTCACGCACATCCAGTCTATATCCGATACTTCACTGCGGAATCCGGACTCCCGACAGTCTATCGCAGTGTCGGCACAATAAGTAGAGGGCTCAATCCTTCCTGTGAGCATGCGCGTTGTCTTCTCCACCATCCATACGGCCTGAACGACAAGCTCTGTGGTTCGTGGACACCGAGGCCAGGAAATACAATTGTTACGCAGCGCCATTGACTGTTCGTGCGCCCACTGGATGCTCGCTCCGCTATTCATCTTTGTCGATATCTCAAGGACAGCGAGCTGCCAAACGCCATGGTTGAGCCAAGATGGAGTGTTCGAAAAGCGTGTGGCTTGATGGGTACGAGTCATGGAGGGTACAATCGACGGACTACGGACCACGGACTACGGACCAAGGGAGACGTATCACGGGCTGATTCTTTTGTGGTGCTTGGAGTTTTGGTTGCAAAGGCTGGCATGGCAATTCTCCACGAATTACTAACGAACGACATATCAATTCGCATGAGTGCTTACTTTAGTGCTTAGGTAAATACCTACTCCCCCCTAGAACCAGAACAATCGGCTCCCGGAAAGATCACCATCGCAAATAGTTTCATCCCACTACCGTATCCCAAACTCTAACTTGAATAATACCAAGCAAAGAGAAAAGAAATGTGCAGACAGTTGTCGATGTCGAAAGGTATAAAGTAATGATCGATCGAAAAAAAAGATGCAGATGGACGAGTGGAAGAACGGTTCCGTCCAATCAGATGTATTTTTTTTTGAGACGGATTCCTCCAAAGCCCATTTTCTCTCCATCTCCCGGATCAACTGCGCGAAGGTGAGGGGGTATTCTGCGTCCTTGCAGCAGATTTCGGTCCACTAAAAGTCAACTTGGACACCCGTTAGCATGTGCATCTTCAGAGCCTACTCGATAAGCTTCTGATCCGTGACACCCGGTTTGCCGAACGTGAACTGGAAAGTCAGCTCAACATGTAGCTCCGAGACAAGTGCTAAACCAGGACACGGATAAGGCTGAGCCATGTGGATTTGCACTGCAGGAAGATCAATGCTAGTTAACGGCACCATCCTAGTCGTCGTCCGAAGTGGCACTGGGACCCCCATCATGACTGGACTCGTGGAAGCGCATAACTATGAGTCCCTGGCGGTCTGAAATTATGTATGCATTTGGATCCTCGCCACCACGCTCGAGCTCTCCCTGGGATTCTGCTCGACCCGGGAACCCTCAGCCAGCTCTTGTCCGATGCGCTCTTGCTGGTCTTCCTTTTTTAATCGGAGGATTCGATCACCGGGTTCGACAACACTGAGACAGATGTACCCTTGCAGCCTTGCTCTAGACAGTCGCACGCATATGGGGGGAGCTCTTCCAGAGCATCGGGCTGACTATTCCAGCTGATGGCTCGTTCTTGAAGTCTCTTATCCCTTACGATAATAGCGAGCTCATAGCCGAGGGCGTATATATAATCACCAAAAGCTTCGTTATTGTCCATAAGCACCTGAATATTGGTCTTCTGGGTGGTATTCCCGCTCTTATGGGCTACAACTAGACTGACCCGGGGCTCTTGCTACATACCGCCATACCAATCTATGACACATTAGAGTTTAATAGCATAAAACTTCTAGATATAAGAAGACAGAGAACCAGCAGAAAAAAAATCGTACAGCATTTTTCCCAGCCGGTGCTCAGTCAGCTGAGTGGTATTCTATGAACCTCCATGTTGAACTGCGAGAAATCACAGACATCGTAACTACTGGGGCTCATTGCCTAGTAGGCATCACTCTAACAAACAGCGCGAATGTATTATATAAAGATGCGCCCCTGACATTCTCGCGGCGAGTCTTATCTTCACCCCGTATCTGGCCTGTCACTCGGCGGCTCCCCTATCCGTCGCGCCCTTCGATACAGAAAACACCAACTACTTACGTCAAGCACAGCATCACGATTCACACCTTTACGTACACGACTTCACTACAATCGACAGTAAGAATCAGTACGCTATCCAGCATATACCCACAGTAGCAAAAAAAAAGGGACGTTTGTCGGGACCGGAGTGTTACTCGACCTAGGTATGAAATTCCCGCAACGCTTGGGTATTCTGATAGGATACCGCGCTCAACGGAATGCAGATCTAAACGAATGCGTCATATCTGAACTCCAGTCGCCTTACTAGAGCTGTGACACTACGTAACTTCTTTTTTTTACACTGCGCATTTCGGTATCGGAAATGCTTGTGATAAATTCCTGATTGTATGACTACGCGAACCTCCCTAAATGCTGGTGCTGCCATTTTGTTTCGGCAACGATCCATCACTGTTATATTGTGAAGACGACGGATTTTTGTTTTTGCAAGAACACCGGTTCCGCACCATGCCGAGTGATCGCCAGACGCACGCTTTGCCCCAGATCCATACGGTACTAGTAGAGCCTGGACTCAGCACGATAAGCGAAGCGTACTGGCGGCTATATATATGCTAGGTAACTACATCCCAGTATCACACGCGATTGCCTGGCTAATGATTTTCCCCCGTCCCCCCTCTCCCGCTTCTCGGCGAGCCGGTGAGTCGGAGGGGGTATCTAAATTCGGAGGACCCAGACGGACGAGGACGGAGACGGAGACGGAGACAACCCGGTGGATGGGATGGACAACGAGGAGCCATCACAGCTTGGAATGGAGGGAGTCATCGCGGCTCAGAATGGACGCCTGTACTCTGTGTAGGAGGGGCGAGGGAGTACCTACCAAGTGCAGTGAGGCTGAAGGCGGGGGGGGGCTATGTTGATTGCACTGTCTTTGGGGCGGGCCGGGCCGGGGAAAGTAGCGTGCCCAGTGGCGACATCAAGCGGACCTGGCTGGAGGGGTATGTACCTTGGCAGTGGGCAGTGGGCAGTGGGCAGTGGGCAGTACCTATGTGTGCATATTGCCATCATGCAGCAGTCGATGTTCAATGAAGAAACGAATAATGGGAAGCGTGGGGAAGCGGGGGAGACGAGGGAAGCGGGGGACGGGGGGACGGAGGGGGATGGGGATTGAAAGCTGATCATGGTGAATGCCATGCCATGCCGTGCTATGCTATGCCGTGCTATGCTATGCTATGCTATGCTATGCTATGGCTGGGATGGGCTGGGCTGATCACGGCTGATCATGGCTGGGCTGGCTGAGTTGATCATGGCAGGGTTTGCTGCTGCCAACTGTACCTAGGCACCACATATTACATGCCCACCGGACCTGATCTCTGGCTACATACATATTCACACCAGCCGGATTAGCGGAAGCGTTTACTTGGTTACCGTATATTTATGAGTGCACTGCAAGTCTGCAACCCATCCACGATGAATCATGATTCCGTGAAAAGGAGAAACAAAGCACCCGCCCTTCAGGCTTCTGGCCCCCTTGTGAGTCGAAACCTGGGGGATATCGGCTGAGAAATAGCCGCTTACCGGCAAGGCCAGGCAGAGATCGTGATCCACTTTTCCCCCTAACACCGACCACCGACCACACCGACCAGCGGTACCGTATTGAGTACCGTGTATTTACCCTTTTCAGTTTTGTGGGGAAGACACAATTAATAGTGTGCATTTGTTTATTTGCTAAGGCTCCTGCCCAACCGTGAGTTGATTGGTGCGTAATTCGAACCGGCATTTATTCGAATTTCGAATCCCTGCATTCTCGGAACTCCAGAGTCTAGGTACTGAGGAGGCTACGGTATGGTATGGTATGGTATGGTAGCATTTGTATGTAAGTATGGTACGGTGGAGTGTGGAGTGGAGTGGAGTGGGGTGGAGTGGAATAGAGTGCTTACATACATACATAGGTAGACCATGGTTCGCAATCTCCCCGCTCGCCCGCTCGTTCACTCGTACGTGAGTGGTGTTGCGGATGCCCCAGGCACCATATGCATACTAAGCATTCGTGATTGCCCCCCCCCCCGCAATAACTAACTATAGGTCCAATCGTCCCCGCACGTACGCTTCACATGGCCGGGGCAGCCGATGCCTAGTGTTCCACACGGCCCCCGCCGAACCATCCGTCTCGATCGTGGAAAGGTACCGTAGCCGCCTAACCAAATTCCTCATCCTCGTCCTGTCTTGGGCACCAGTGACCCACATCCGTACTGCGCAGGTAGTTCTAGATTTCTGGAAGTATGTTTGCCCTCCGACTGCAAGACCAGTAATTCAGAAATCGAGTGCTATTCCATGAACTGCAGTGTGATATACGAAATACTGTGGTATATATAATTCATCCTCGCCAACAGACAAACAAAAATAATAACACTATATACGCCATGCCATGCCATGCCATGCCATGCCACGCGCATGCCCTGTTCCCAAGCCAATCCAGATGCCCCGCATTACTCCCCCTGATAGCTTTCCCGTTAAAAACAAAAACATAATGGTATCGATCCAACTCCCAAAGCAAAGCAAAGCAAAGCACAACGGCCACCGTGAACAAACAGATAACACAAAAGGAAAAAACACAAAATCAAACAACCTGAAACAGCCAATCCGCCTCTTCCCCGGCTTGCGGACCGACCCACTGTCCGACGCCCTCACGACCTATGGGGGCATCACCCGACACCCTCGGGAAGTTGAACCACGAAAACACATCGACGAGGTCGCCCTGCATATCGCCGCTTCCGACAGGCGTGTGCATATCCAGTCCGAGTGGCATAGCGGCCTGCTGCTGCTGGAGGCGTGGATCCGGCTGGCGCGAGATCATCACGTCGACCGAGTACGCCGTCATGCGCATGTCGCTTAGGATCTCGACGCAGCTGCGGTCCTGGCCCTCGCCCTTGTGCCCGCCCAGCATGAGCTCGTCCAATACTCGCTCGATGATCCCGCCGTACCGGCTCGCGACCTGCCATATTTTGCCTGCTTCGCGCAGGGCGTCGAGGAAGAGCCGGACATCGGGGATCTCGCCGCTCTCGGCGGTCGAGGCGTGGACGAGGAGGAGCCGTGTGGCGACCCAGACTGCGAAGGGGAAGGTCGGCCCTAAAAGCGGGATCAGGTTTTGGGCGAGCACGAGTCGCGTGATGGCCGCGATATTTTCGACGGCTGATAGGCAGCGTTGCGATGCGCTGTAGCTGGGGCCGAAGATGGAGGAGCGGGTGGTGGGGTAGGCGGCTGCGGAGTGAAGACGGATTACTGCGCTGTAGGTGGGAAGGGGATGTTAGCGGGAGGGTGGTGAGAAATGGGATGGGGGGTGGGGAGTGGTGGGTGAGTGTGGTGGTGGGGGTGGTGGTTGTAGGGGGTGGTAATGGTGGTGGTGGTAGTGGGGGAACGAACGTATTGTAGTATGCATGTAGCATGACCCAGCTCGGGTCTACAGCGCCACCGCCCATGTTGAGAGCGCGCGTCAGGTTGCCAAACGACATTGGAAGCGAGTATTTCCACGACGTGAGCGCCTTGTCGAGGGTGCGGTACTTTAGCTGCCACGCCTCGACGTCGGAGAGGACATTGATATCGACCGTCTCGCGCAGGAATCGGTGGATCCGTCCGAGGATGCCGACGACCTCTATCTGATGGCTGAAGGCCGAGAGCGACTCGACGTTGTTGACGGATTGTGTCGGTTTCTTGGCCGGTATCTGGAACCACCGCGTCTGCGTGGGCTGGTTGCGGTCCCACAGGCTGTCGCGGCAAGGCAGCTGGCGCTCGACTTCGGTCTCGTCCAGGGTCAGGTCCAGCGACGTGCCTAGGGACGTGATGACGTCGAGGAGATAGATGACCCAGAACAGTCGCCGTCGGCCCTCCTCCTCGATCCAATCGCTGCTTTCCGGAAGCGCACGCACGCCCATGGTGCTGATCTGCGGGAGCACCTCCTTCGCGGGCTCGAGTGCCAGCCCCAAGTGCAATGCCATGCGGGTGGTGAGGGCGAGGAGCCCCCATCCGCTCGGCCCGTTAGTGGAGCCCACGACGTCCAACACCAGGATCGAGATGGCACGCAGCGACTCGACGGATGGAGTCTCGAGCGCGAAGAAGATGACTTTGCGCTTTGCGACTTGCCGGAAGTTGGTCTTCCATTGCTCCGTCAGGCGCGGGTCGTTGCTGAACCGCAGTGCGGCGGCGACAATGGCGTGCATCAAGATTACGTTTGCGGGGCCGACCTCGGTTGGCCGCCTCTGGAAGAGGCTATCGAGCAATGTCTGCCTGTGAAGTATGGGACATGTGGGATGCACGTGGTGGAAGAAGGCATCGATCAGTGTGCACAGGATGTCATCGGTCGGCAAGTCAGGGTCGAACGAGTGGGAAGTGGACAGATCCGCCATCTGGCGCGACGCGATGTCGGAGGTGGGCGGGAACGGGAGCTGGGGGGCGGGCGGTGTGTGGGACTGGTTAGACGCCGTTGACGGCGAGGGAAAGTGGTGCGCTGCTGCGGCATTGTGGTTATGATTGCTCTGCTGATGCTGCTGCTGCTGTTGTTGTTGCTGCGTAGCGTGCAAGTGGGATTCCAGCAGTCGCGAATGCGTCACCAGCATGGCCTCGACTCTATCGAGACGCTCTTCGAGCTCGCGCCCGATTCCGGCCCGGAGTCCGGGCTTTTTTTTTTGGCGATAGATACATTCCTGACCGTTGCGACTGCACCATCCGCAACTCGGCTGGGACCGGTCACACTTGACCTTCCGTTGTTTGCACGTCTCACACCTGATTGGTTTTCCCACCCCTTGTCAGCCGAGCGCCACCGACACGCCGCCGACGCCGCCGCCGCCGGAAGGCAGCAGCAGCAGCAGCGGTTTTTTTCTACGCTCTAAGGGCGGGGGACGACTCACGAAGAAATTCCGTCCATCTTGCGTCGCTTGCGCGCCTGCCCATCTTCATCGCCGTTCGCCTCACGCGAGTGCTTGAGGTCTTCTTCGGACGAGTTGCCGTTGTCGCTACGCCCACCGTTGGTGACAGTCGACTGTCGTCGCTGCGATTGCTGCTGCTGTTGCTGCTGTTGCTGAAGCATTGTATTCGGCGTCGGTGGTGGCGCCAGTACTGGCGACTGCGTGTGGTGATGTATGTGTGCCTGGGCAGGAGTGGTTACTGGTGAAGCCATCGCTGAAAAGCGTGGTGGTGATGGTGCTGGTGGTGGTGATGCTGGTGGTGGTAGTGGTAATGGTGGTGGTAGTGGTAACGGTGGTAGCGGTAGTGGTAGTGGCTTTACTTGCGAGTCGGATCCAGGGAGAGGGAAGCAAGCAGCAGCAGACACGAGTTGGGGAAGTCCGGGGATGGGGGTTCTACCTATATCCACTCTGGTATGTGGGGTAATCGGCACCAAAAGGAAAGGCCCTTGGTCTGGTCCGGCAACGCGTATGGCAGGGAGGGAGGTTGCCAGGGAGGTGGTTAGCCAGAGCCAGCCAGCCAGCCAGCCTTACTTACTCGCATGCTCGACTCGCCTCGACTGGACTCGACTCGCATGGCCATTTCCACACTACGGTAGTTGGTCAGTTCCTTACTTTCTTCTTCTTCATGATCGTCATCATCTTCTTCTTCTTCGTTGTCTTCTTCGTTCTCTTTTCCAGGGTTGTGTGTGGAGTATGGTGATGATGCCCATTGCCCATGGCCATTGCCCATGCCCACAACCCTCCCCCTACCTTCCCAGCGCCGATGGCCATGATCCTTTTATTATTCTTACCAATAGAATAGATGCATTTCGCCGCGTCGTCGCCGGCGCTTGGGGTTTGCGTCTGGTCCCATCCCCATCCATCCCCATCCATCCGCTTGGCAGTCGCAGTCCCAGTTGCAGTCCCAGTCCCAGTTCTCGTCACAGTCCCAGGCCCAGTCGCCGTAGAGTGTCTATCTACGAAAGTACTTCCTTATGACTTCCTCACTTACACCTACTTACCTAGGAGTACCAAGCCCATACTATATCTACAGCTAGAATACCTACTCTACTCTGCTATCTCGCCAGTTTACTTTTCCTTGGATTCTGGTTCGCCTCCCATTCGACATTCCCCTTTCCCCTTCCCCTCATCACCATTCTCGCTTCCACACTGGGAGCCTGGGGGCGCATTCACTTTGCCCATCCATCCATTCACCACGCCCTCGGGTGCTGGCCTTACGCACATACATAGCAGGAAGGAAGAAGGAAGGGGGGGAAGACAACCGCACGTTATTCGGATCAATTCGCGTCGGCTCCCCACATTTTTCTTTCGCACCCATGCACGCAGTAACTACGCAGCACGCTGGAACCTTGGATATTAGCCGAGAACCGTTAGTTGCTAGCATACTCTGTTTACTCGATTCCCCCTCCGACGGGGGCACGGTAGGGGTGAGTCGGATAAATCCTGCATGAGAAAGGAACGAACGAACTGGCTCCCCCTCCCTCACATGGGGGACATGGGCTGCAACTGCACCCCAACGGTTCTTCCCCAGAGAGAGACAGAGAGAGAGGGAGTGCCTGCTGTGCCTGCTGTGTGTGTGTGGGTGACGGAGTTGAGAGCGTTAGTTAGTTGGCCTCCCTCCTCCTCCTCCTCTGCAAACGAGGTTGCCAGTGGCTCACTAGCTCTGGGGGGGGGTTTCTGCTTGTTTTTTTCTTTTTCCCTTTCGTTTTTCCTTTATTTCCCCGTGCGGGGGTGGGGGTATGACGGACCGGCGCGAGCTTGCGGAGGACGGGGGACGGGGGATCAGGCCGATCGGATCGGTTGACGAGGGGGAGGATGGGGAGGAGGAGATGGAGGAGGAGGAGAAGGCCAGGCCCGCAGCTTGGTGATCACGATGGACTATGATTGAAGTGTGGATGGAGTAGAGTGGAGTAGAGTGGAGTAACTAGAGTAGGGAAACACCTTCGTCGACCGCCGGTTTTTGGTTACAGCCAAGCGAGTAAGTACAGTAGGCAGAGTATCTATAGTTATAACTCATGGCCACGAACTGGAAAGTAGAGTCGAGTATAGACATACGAGAGAAGCTCAGCGCTGAAATCGGCCAGCACAGACCCGCTGTTTCAAATCGAACAATAGGGAGGGTACTCTATGTACGCACATATTCGTATATTATGGGAGGTGAGAGTGAGAGTTGAGGCTTCGGGGGAAGGGGTGGGGTGCTGATGGAGTGCTGATGGAGTGCTGATGGAGTGCTGATGGAGTGCTGATGGGGGGAAGGGCCTGGGGGGAAGGGCCTGGGGGGAACTTGGAAATGGACTTGGAAGGGGGGGACGGGGGACGGACAACCAACTCGCTTACAATGATGAGTTGGCCCAGACGAGACGGACCAGCTACAGGCTACAGCTGCAATACCGAGGATGAGAAAAAGAAAAAGATGCGTGCGGAGAAGCGTTGTTCGTGGGGCTGGGGGAGGATCGGGAGGAGAATCAGGGGCGGAGGAGGGGGATGACTATAAGGATGAGTATGGGGATGAGGACAAGGACGAGCAGTAGTAGAAGGACGACGACGAGAAAAAGGAACGGCACAGGTATTTCACAACTCCCGTCAAACAATGGAGCTCTAGTTTCCGATACGGTGCAAAAAAAGCCACCGTCGGAGCAGAGCAGATTCAGGATAGATGTGCGTGCTTGCTCGCACGAAAGCAAGAAAAAAAAACGCAGGAACGCCGTCCCGCCGTACCTATTCCCCTCCCCTCCACGCAGCATAGCATGCGGACCTGGCACATCTCGCAGTTTATATTGAGTCGTGGGCCACCATCCTGTGCTCCGTCGCGGAGGAAAGCCTCCGCGTCCCCGTCCCCAGCCCCCGTTCCTCTAGCGATGGGTTGCTGGCAGTCACGCCGGCCTTCCGCATCCAGCGCCGGCGCGGAAAAACTATTGATCCGCCCCCCGCCGTGTGTGCCCACCGCGCAACGACTCAGCGAGTAGGGATGGCGCCGCGCCGGAATGCGCTGCAGAAACTAGTGTGGGTGCCTGGGTGCGTGCAAGCATGAGGTTCCGGTTCCGCCTGGAGTGGTTTCTCCAGAGATTTTCAGGAGTGGGTCAGATTCCGGAGTAGAGTATTAGAGCGGGTACTATTACTCTGGGTAGTTTGGGGTCGGCGCAAGAAAAAAATACGACGATGACCCGCACACCACCACCATCATCACGACCGTGAGATCGATGGCCGTGGAAAGTAAGCAAAGGCTCGTCACCAGAAGCCCCCTTCCCCTCTTCCCTCCACCCGCACTTGCCCAGGCCTTTTGGATTGCTTGCATGCAGCACGAGAACCAGACACCGGAGTCCCCTCCTCCCCTCTCCTCTGCCCTCCCCCATTGCTAGCGAATGGGAACACCGTGGAACTATGTATGTACCTCCAGTGTGGTGAGCCATCTAGTTTTATACATACACACATACACACATACACACATACACACATACATAGACGCATACATACGAGCCTACCTCACCCCGTTCACGGGGGCGGGGGCGGGGGGGTGGTGGACTCTGGAGCGGTGGGGAAACGAAGGACGGCGCTACCCCGCAATGGATTGCCCCGGGATTTTAGGCGGTCTTGAGAAGCGAACTCCGGACAAACTGTAGGCCTCCTTTGCGACTAGGCTAACTATGTGGGTAACCAAGTACATCCTGCGTACATGCGGAAAAAGGGATGTCCATCTAGATATCTAGAGTACATAGAGTATTGTACACGTGCTATGTAACTTGCTAGGCCGACCTATGTATGGGCGGCACGCGCGGTGAGGATGGGGATGGGGATGCTAGATGCCGAGAGAAAGAAGGAGAGGATCCGGACAGCTCGACTTGACTGGACACGACTCAAAAACCACCCAGGATTAGGGACCTACATATTCCTCGAACTTACGCATGTAAGTTTCTTTCTTTCTTTCTTTCTTTCTTTCTTTCCATTCCTTTCCCTTCCTTCCTTCCTTCCTTCCACTTGACCGGTTCGTAACTCCTTATTCCCGTTAACCTGCTTGTTCCTAGCTGCTTCTAGTCTGTAGAGTGCTCGCGAGTCGCTCCTGAAGGAAGGGAACCGGGGGACGGCCGGGGGGGGGGGGCTGGGGCCTGCGGCGCACGATCGAAATGCCTCTATTTTGGTAGGCAGTAATCCTTCAGACTCAGACACCCCTCGTCCGTCGTATGTGTATATGCGTACCGTATGCGATGTGCATTGGTGGTCGGTCTCAGGCTATGATACTCTGAGTCTTGTCTTAGAGTGTATTTGTGCTTGTCGAGTGGTACACAAGCGTAGTAGAATAGAGTAGAATAGAGTAGATGTATGGCTTCGCTCTCGGCTACAGCCGGCAGCGGCAGCATGTGAAACTGCCGTGTTCAGTACCGAAAGGCGGGTGAGAAACTGTGCATGGCTCGTCGGATCGAGCTTCGAATCGTGTGGAATAATCATGATTAGTATGGGTGCTCTGGCTAATGGCCATCCCTTACCTATCGTGGTATCACAGCTCATATTCACCTCGAGCCGGCGGTAACGTTGAACGTTGTACATAGAGCACCGTATGTAGTCCATCGCTGCGCTTGCGCTTCCGGCGCTGATCATTTCCGCCCAGCGTGGCACGAACCCGAGCGAGCGACGTCACCATTCCGTGATTCTTGACGTCACTCGCACCCCCCCCCCACCATACCATCAAAATGAAATGGAGACGGTGGGAGATTATCATCTCACATCCTATCAATCACGACGAGACCAAAGCACAAATATACACACACACAGATACTCGGCATGCCTTCTACTTCCAGCTTCATCCGCCTCAGCCCTTTCGTACAGCCTTCGCCGTACGGCAAGAAGGGCTCCAAATCTGTTGCTGCGAGATTCGCGACTGCGACTAGAAAGGACTTCAAGATCGATGAGGAACAGCCTTATGGCGAGGTTCGCCCCCATCTCGTATGAGGCAAGAGCTTGAGACGGTACTGATCCGAGTAGATGTGGATGGGCGACCACCCGAACGGAATGGCGCACACGCTGGACGGCCAATCACTCGGGTCGCTGATTGAATCCGCCCCAGAGGAATACCTGACATCCGCGGTCTACAAGCGCTTCAACAGCGACCCGCACCTCCCGTTCCTCTTCAAAATCCTCAGTTTCGATAAAGCGCTGCCATTGCAGGCGCACCCTGACCGGGCGCTCGCAAAGCGGCTGATGGCCAAAGAGAAGGCCGCGACAGGCAAAAACGAGACATTCGTGGACCCGAACCACAAGCCGGAGGTAGCGGTGACGATCTCGGACGTGTTCGAGGGGTTCGTGGGGTTCCGGCCCATCCACGAGATCAAAGTGTTCCTGAAAGTCGTGCCGGAGCTGCGGAAGCTGCAGTCCGACCACGAAACCGTCGAGGCGTTCCTTGCCGCCCCCGACGACTCCAAGGACGCGCAGAGCCTGCTCAAGACTATGTTCGCCGAACTCCTGGCTTCAACGCACACGGAGATCCGTGCGTGCTCCCAGCAGTTGCTGACGCATGTCGAGCGCGACGCCGACGATGCCATAGGCGATCTGGGACGGAAGCAGGGCCTCGCCCGCGTCATCCGTAAGGTCCTCTCGGACTATCCTGAAGACGTCGGGATGTTCGCCGCGGTGTTCTTCATGAACTATGTCGTGCTGCATAAGGGCGAGGGGATCGCGGTGCCGGCGAACTGCATCCATGCATACCTCGAGGGCGATATCATCGAGTGCATGGCGTGGTCGGATAACATGGTAGGCGACTACACCTATGGGGGGCGGGACGACTGAGCTGACCGGTGAATGGATTGCGTGCGGACTCGGAGCTCCCGAGGAGCAGAACGACGCTCGCGTATTCGTCGATATGCTCCGGTATGAAGCGTCGGAGTCGAAAAAGCTGGAGTTGAAGCACGAGAAGTGGAATAAGTCGGACAATGCAAAGACGCAGATCTTTTACGCGCCGATGGCCGAGTTCGACCTCCTCAACACCAAGCTCGACGCGGGGGAGCAAGAAGTGGTCGATAAGGGAATCGATGGACCGGCGGTCTTTGTGGTCACGCAGGGAGTGGTCACGCTGTGTCGTTCGGATGGAAAAGAGGAGGAGAATCTGCAGCAGGGACAGGTGGTTTTCATCAAGCCTGGGACGGGATTCAAATTTAAAGCGGAGAATAAGGCGGAGGTCTGGGGATCTTTTGTGGAAGGTTAGGCGCGAGGCAATGGGCATTGGGCATTCCGTTTGATTGAATTCAATCATGCACGTTTATGAATCATGTGTGCTCAGTAACTACCTGGCGAACATGCGTATCATACCAACATCATGATTCGGCACGCCACCTTCATTATGTGCCTTTCGATATCACGGTACATAGAGTGGGACAGAGTAGGTACATGCGTTCAGGCAATAAACAGCCTCGGTCATGGCCGTTGCAGGTATGTAACAATCCACGCTTCCGACTGTCCAACAAAGGAAACTAGGTTGCGGAAGTCGCGTCTATTAATAGCATAATCACTATCGCGATATTGCTTCAGCACGAGAATCACCGCAGCGCATCGAGGATCACCCGCGTTTTTACACTTTTTTGAGTTCAAACCTGACAGCAGTACGGTACTCAGGTAAAGGCAGGGTCGATTAAAGGATCACGGAACAGAAGTGGCAGGAGCGAATGAGATCGCCGATACCACAGTGGTTCGACTGTTGTAACTTATAACTTGGAGTCAAATCGCCGTGATTTCATCCCACCATCGAGACCCGCCGCCATGTATTCGCTTTCAAAATCGCTCCTGCTGTTGATATCCTCCAGTCTCTGCCTTTCCAGCGCGCTCGTGATCGACAAATTTGCGGCCGAGGACTCAAATGCACTCGGGAACTGGCATGGTATGTATACCTATAGCCCCTTCGTTCATGGAACCAACTGTCTCACCGAGGCAAATCAGGCTGCGACGAGGGCGACGGGATAACCTGCACCTGGCTCACGAACGGCCTCCGCATCCAATCGACCGACACGGACTACAGCTTCTACACGCAGCTCAACAACGGCTGCCAGGACATCACCAGTCTTAGCTCCCAGTATCTCCACGTGAAGCTGTCGGGCAGCACAGCCTTCTCCATTGCCCTGCAGCAGAACAATCCGCAATGCGACGAGGCTGTGGCGCCGTATCCAGAGACGTGGGACATCGTGTATGCCGCCGACTACGCGGTCAGCGGCGAGATCTACGTCCCGCTGAGCCACTTCAACATCAACAAAGCGCGTGCCGTCGGCTTCGCGTTCAAGGCATTCCGGTCCACCGCCACGACAACGCTCACTCTCGTCGAATTGGTCGCAAGCCTCCCCTCCGGGCGAACAGTGCCGGCGAAGAAGGCCACCGGCTCGCTGGTCTTCCAATGCACCCGCCCCAACAGCATCGCCTTCGGCATCGACGACGGCGTGCCAGAGCTAGCGCAGCAGACGATGAAGATCATCGCGGACGCGGGCATCAAAGTGACTTTCTTCACGGTGGGCTCGGCTCTGTACGACTCGTCGGGGAACTTCACGGCGGTGTACAAGGAGGCGCTCGCGCGCGGGCACCAGGTGGCGCTGCACTCGATGACGCACCCGAAGATCGAGGGGCTCGCCAGCGTGGCGCTGATTGATGCCGAGTTTCAGCAGTCCATCGCCGCGCTAAAGGATAAGCTCGGGGTCACCACCAAGTATTTCCGTGCGCCGTATGGAACTGATGGCGCGCTCACTCGCCAGCGCTTCGAGGCCGCTGTCGTCGGCGGCGGGAGTAGGATCATCAACTGGGTATGTCAGCTCCTTCCGGCCGGGGAACTGCCGAGTCCCATTGGCGCTACTGTAGAGGAGTCGACTGACCATCGGTGATTACTTACATATGTAGAGCATCGATATTGAAGACTGGCTCTGGGGAACTAGCAGTACTCCGGCGAAGCAGGTGGACGCGGTAACGAGGGATATCGCCAAAGGAGGCAATCTTTTGTACGATCACTCCCGACCCCCCTCTTCCCTTCCCGGTTCATCCGGTGAAAAGGTACCTACATGAAAGCGCATTGCTGATGAATGATGTCCGCAGCGTCGCTCATTACTTGTATCCCAGCACCGTGCAGTACTTGCCAGAGTTCATCCGGCTCGCCAAGGCCACGGGAAAACAGATCATGCGCGTCGATCAGTGCTTGGAGGATCCCGATGCGCCGCCTTTGTAAATTAACTAGTGGGAAGGGGCGGGATCGGTGATGTTTTTAAGATATATAATGTGGATCGTGGTACGCTAGTTTATTTTGAAGGCAGCATCTTACTTCAGATCCTGTAATTGTGCCTTCGCCAAACACCGGGTCACATGGTGTAATGGTTAGCACATAGGATTTTGACTTGGTTTCGGCCTTTTCAGAATCTTCCTGGGATCTGGGTTCGATTCCCAGTGAGACCTTCGTTTTGTTCTTTTTATTCTTTGTTTCTTTTCTTTTCGAATCTTGTGAAGTGTCATTTTACTTGTCAGGGGTCGGCATTATCGTTGCAGCCTCCAATCTGTCGCGGTGTCTGATATTTATCGATTCCAGACGATTGCGTTGCATGCTATCTACCTATCTACTGGTTCAGCGACCACCGCGTGAATCTATAAGATGGCCGCGCCCCACCCATAGTTATGCACGGCGTCCGTCGTGCCGGATATGTTTACGTTTTGCCGTTCTGAATCTTTACGCGTAACCAAGTGAGTTCGTGAGCGAGCCCAGCACTTCCAATCTAATCTAAAGTATCGTTACTGATTCTTGGCGACCCAAGGCGAAGGGGAAGGGGAAGGAATGAAACGGTTCGAGCGGGGCTGTGCACAAGTAATTGTCTGTCGCCGGCTGCGACCGGATCTGCTTGGCCGGCCTCCCAGCCAGCCAGCCAGCCGCGCGCCCGCGCGCCCCGCCCAGCCTTATTTCCGTGTCTTGACTCTGGGTAGTGCCGGTGCCAGTGTGAATGTGCCATGTCGCGTCGGATATTTGAATTTGGGGCGCACACTGTTACATACCGGCACCGGCACCGGGTGCTCGGCTGCCGACGCCGGGCGGTGAGGCGACGGAGAAGCATCGGACGGTTGGACGGTTGGACGGTCGGAAGGTCGGACGGGAGTTGCAGCATGCGAGGGGTTTCTACCTTTGAAGGAAGGGGAAACTGTGGGAACCGTGGGAAGGGGTTTTGCTTTCCTTCCCGCCGCGTGCAACGTGCGACGTGTGTATGTATGCACTCTAGAGTACGTGGAGTACGGTAGGCTTCCCGTTAAAAAGCAAGCATTCCCGATGCAGCCTTACAGTCCTCCCTTCGAGATGTCGAGATTCTAGAGCAGCGTTACCTACCAAGGTGTTTCTACTAACTACCGTACTGCATCTATCTATCGCTACTATCATATCTAGCCGCCTCGACCTCCAGGCTCCAGGCCTCCCCCCCTCATTCGAGCGCAGCTGCCAGCTGTGTACGACTCTACCAGTACTTACCTCATACTCTATTTCGAGCTCGCGAGCGAAGGCGTGCGACCGCCGACTGCTGCCTGACTCTGAGCTGTCTTCTGCCTTTTTTTTTTACTTCCTGAGGGCTTGGAAGTTGAGGGATCGCGAGCGGGGATTGGCCCAAGCGCCCAACCTTACGTTGATTCGGGCTTGGTGGCGCTTGCACTTTGGGAAAGTGGACCCTGAACCGGGGGAATCAGCGAGCGAGCCACAGGAGATCCTTCCACCCCCCGCCCAATCCAGGGGCCCGCCACAGATATTTCGGTATCAAGCTGCGACACTGGTGTGGATTTTTGAATGGAATCGCGCGATAGAGGTGTTTTGAATGAGGCGAAAGCGCGGCCGTTATTCGATACATATATGACGAGAGGCAGTGGCCATTGTCGTTGCCATTGAAGGGTTGCTTCTGGAGGTCCCATTCAACACGTTCATACGTTCACACGACCCCCCGTTCTTTGCGCTTTCACGGCTGTTCTCTTTCTTCTTTCTTCTTCTTCTTTTCTTCTTTTCTTCTTTCTTCTTTTCTTTTTTCTTTCTTCTTTCCTTCGTTCTCGACTCCCTCTGGAAGGCTCACGTCGTTGCAACATTCTCCCATTAGGTCAGGAACGTCAGCATCTTCGTTCTCACTCTCGCATTGGACAAGACTACTACCTATCATACCTCCTTGGGTATTTTTCCAGCAGCAGCGCCATAGTAGAGTGGATAGTCGTCGTTGTACGTCATCACTTGTGCATAAGCCGCCGCCGCCGTGCGGATTACACGCAGCTGCAGTGCCAAGCACGAAAGGCAGACCAAGTGAGTTCGTGAGCGAGCCCAGCACTTCCAATCTAATCTAAAGTATCGTTACTGATTCTTGGCGACCCAAGGCGAAGGGGAAGGGGAAGGAATGAAACGGTTCGAGCGGGGCTGTGCACAAGTAATTGTCTGTCGCCGGCTGCGACCGGATCTGCTTGGCCGGCCTCCCAGCCAGCCAGCCAGCCGCGCGCCCGCGCGCCCCGCCCAGCCTTATTTCCGTGTCTTGACTCTGGGTAGTGCCGGTGCCAGTGTGAATGTGCCATGTCGCGTCGGATATTTGAATTTGGGGCGCACACTGTTACATACCGGCACCGGCACCGGGTGCTCGGCTGCCGACGCCGGGCGGTGAGGCGACGGAGAAGCATCGGACGGTTGGACGGTTGGACGGTCGGAAGGTCGGACGGGAGTTGCAGCATGCGAGGGGTTTCTACCTTTGAAGGAAGGGGAAACTGTGGGAACCGTGGGAAGGGGTTTTGCTTTCCTTCCGCCGCGTGCAACGTGCGACGTGTGTATGTATGCACTCTAGAGTACGTGGAGTACGGTAGGCTTCCCGTTAAAAAGCAAGCATTCCCGATGCAGCCTTACAGTCCTCCCTTCGAGATGTCGAGATTCTAGAGCAGCGTTACCTACCAAGGTGTTTCTACTAACTACCGTACTGCATCTATCTATCGCTACTATCATATCTAGCCGCCTCGACCTCCAGGCTCCAGGCCTCCCCCCCTCATTCGAGCGCAGCTGCCAGCTGTGTACGACTCTACCAGTACTTACCTCATACTCTATTTCGAGCTCGCGAGCGAAGGCGTGCGACCGCCGACTGCTGCCTGACTCTGAGCTGTCTTCTGCCTTTTTTTTTTTACTTCCTGAGGGCTTGGAAGTTGAGGGATCGCGAGCGGGGATTGGCCCAAGCGCCCAACCTTACGTTGATTCGGGCTTGGTGGCGCTTGCACTTTGGGAAAGTGGACCCTGAACCGGGGGAATCAGCGAGCGAGCCACAGGAGATCCTTCCACCCCCCGCCCAATCCAGGGGCCCGCCACAGATATTTCGGTATCAAGCTGCGACACTGGTGTGGATTTTTGAATGGAATCGCGCGATAGAGGTGTTTTGAATGAGGCGAAAGCGCGGCCGTTATTCGATACATATATGACGAGAGGCAGTGGCCATTGTCGTTGCCATTGAAGGGTTGCTTCTGGAGGTCCCATTCAACACGTTCATACGTTCACACGACCCCCCGTTCTTTGCGCTTTCACGGCTGTTCTCTTTTCTTCTTTTCTTCTTCTTTTCTTCTTTTCTTCTTTTCTTCTTTTCTTCTTTTCTTTTTCTTTTTCTTTCCTTCGTTCTCGACTCCCTCTGGAAGGCTCACGTCGTTGCAACATTCTCCCATTAGGTCAGGAACGTCAGCATCTTCGTTCTCACTCTCGCATTGGACAAGACTACTACCTATCATACCTCCTTGGGTATTTTTCCAGCAGCAGCGCCATAGTAGAGTGGATAGTCGTCGTTGTACGTCATCACTTGTGCATAAGCCGCCGCCGCCGTGCGGATTACACGCAGCTGCAGTGCCAAGCACGAAAGGCAGAAGGTGGAACGCAGCAAAAGAAGGCGCAAGAGAACGATACCTTCTTTGGTTGTTATTCTTCCCCGCATCCAAAGCATTTCCGTCCGTTCCGCTTCGCTTTCTGGGATTCAGAGCCCGCCCGCCGCGCCCCGCACCGCCCCGCTGGAATTCCGAGATTGCTGGCCATCTAACGGACGAGGTAGTTTGGGTCACGGACCCTGAGGTTAGACTTTCCGCTGGTGGGCTCAACCGTCGGAGCATGAGCATCAGCATCGGCCTACTTTCTATCCATCTTCTCTCGCTCTCTTTCCTTCTCTTTCCTTTTCTCTCGTTTCTTCCCTCTTCCCTTTTTACTCCTTCCCCCTCCTCCTCCCCTTGTTCTAGTCTTCTCGTCTTCTCGCCTTCTCGAGAAGCCTGGCACTAGACGTCTTGAGTGAACTCCACCTACGTCTCACTCCATCATCCACCGCCAATACTTGTCTACACGCCTGAAAACCTGCTCGAACGCCGAGTACACTACTCGCGCTAAGGATCGCCCCCTTCAAGCCACCGTACGAACCAAGACGTACCACCAACCAGCGCGCGGAGTCGATATAGTTATCCGTCTCGTCACATATACCCGTCTGACGACTCCTCTCGTCGTAGTGTTTATATAACCTTCTGCTTGTGCCCACCTCCCCGCAAAACCCCAACATCCCCAGCAGTACCGTAGACGACGACAGCTCTCGCGCAACCCCCCACCCACCCAATATGTCATCCACTCTCGTCAAGCGTTTGGCTCTCGAGACACAACCCCTCAGCAAGAGTGCCATAGGAGCCATCGCCGGAGCGGCGGTCTTCCTCGTCCTCTTCTTTATCGGCATCGGTGTCTTCCTGTGGTTTTATATCAAGTCGTCGAAAGTACCAGGCACGCCGCATGTTGGCTCGTTCGACGATTCCAAGGTCGACCTCGAAGCAGGCGCGAACGAGAAATCGTTCGTGCCTTCAACCCCGTCTTCGCTCGTGCCTTCGACTCCGTCCTCGCTCGTGCCGTCGACGATCGTCCCGCCTTCACCGGCCCCCGCGCCGGCGAAGCCGATGCCCGCCCATCTCAATCTCGTCGACGAGACACCGGAGTCCGCCAGTGCCAACAGAAATACCATAAGCACCACTGTCCCGCCGACGTCGTCCCGGAAAAGCCGACTGCAGGTTGACAGCCAGAAAGCGGCCGGATACGACTGGAACCGAACCAGCACCGTCAGCAGCAGCAGCCTTGAAATCCCTCCTACGCCAGGAAAGGACTTTGTTTAGGGCTGGCATACCGACCTACATACGGCATACATAGTGCACATGTTTTTGCTTGGGGGTTTTTGGGTACCTTTGTTGATTTTGCGGGAGTTGTACGGATATCGGATGTTGCGACAAGCCGGGGTTCAGGGGTCTAGGCTACTTAGGACCGCGCCGACCGGATGTAACGACCACCGAGATCGGTGGGGGCTGCAAGCACGACACACGACACAGCACCACCTCGACATGGAATACGTACGCTCGTCGCGCACATGGGCATCAAGAGAGAGAGCTCCACCCATCCCATCGGCACGACGGGCGGAAACATCTCCGTCGGTCGAACGAGGCATTTCCAAGTTCAGTTCAGTTCCAAGCTTCTAAGTTCAAGTTGTGTCTCCGCTTTACACGGTGGCGCTCTCGACCTTGCACGCATCATTCACTACTGTACTGGGCGCGCGACCCCTCTATTCTCAACCCGAAACGCACTTTAGCCGTGCCTTTGCCCCACCAATCCCGGCGGATCGCTTTCAACCTCTTTGCTTTTTTCTTCTTCTGCTTCTCTCGTCTTCTTCCAAACGTTCCTTCATCTTCTTCCAAACGTTCCTTCATCTTTGCATCATCGAGCACACTTGCATTACATTTTTTTTTTTTCTTTCGGATTTTTCACATTATTTCATATCTATGGGAGCATTTTCTGTTGGCGACACACAAAAGGCGTTTTTTTTATTTATTGTATATTTTTTTGGGGCCGTGACGGGCAGGTGGTTTTGGCTTTTTGGTTTTTGGTTTTTTTTCCTATTTGTTGTACTTTTATCCCCATCTGTTTCCGCCCCATCTAGACTTTGTCACGAATCTCGTTTGTCCCGTCTGCGGAGTTTTCTAGGGGAAAAGGACTTGTTTGGCTGGGCGGGCGGGGATGGGGCGGCGGCAAGGGCGGGCGACTGGGCGACTGAGCGACTCGGCGACTCGGCGACTCGGCGGGGATAGGGTGGGGGAACGGACCGACCGGACCTCCTTGTTCATAGAACGAAGCTCGTACTATATATACGGCGACTTGGTGTGTGGCTGTATCATAGATAGCACGGGGGATCACGCAAGCAGAGCATGTACTGTAGAGTATGTAGAGTAGAGTAGAACAGTGTACTGTACATAGCAAGCAAGCAAGCAAATGCAAATAACTAGCGATGGCAAGCAAGCATCGTCGCCGTCGTCGTCGTCGTCATGAGGGTGATCTCATCATTATCATCATCATCGTAGGTAATCAACCTCAGCACCACCACATCATGGTCATCATCACCTCATCATCGCCCTCACTGCCTTTCACAAGCAAGGCACAGGCACGGGCCACGCTTCCTCCTGTACCCACTCTACCTACTCTACTCGCAGCCCACCCTCTTATTAATTATCCCACCAGCGATCTAGAATCTGGATTCCGACCATGTTTCTTTCCGCCGTGTGGGTCGGGTCAGGTAGGTCTTGATCTTGCGCCGGGAAGACGACGCGACGCGATCCCTGCAGTTGCAGTTGCTTGCAGTTGCAGGTAGATATATACCGGCTTTGCTGCAAAGCTGCCAGGGACCGGCGATTGGTGCGTGGACGGTGCGCGAGCGACAGCTCACATCATCGGTCGCTCGGTCGCTCGGTCGGCGGTCGGCGGTCGGTCGCGTTGCGTGCGTTGCACTGGCGATCACGACAACTAACTAACTAATCACCTCACGACGAAGGTTCCATGGTTTTGGAGAACCGGAGGGAGTTTCGGAGGCTGTGGAGAGCCTGGAGTGCCTGGAGAGGATTTCGGAGAGGACAAGGCGGGCGGGGTTTTCGGGGTATGGGGTGGGTACTTGGGTATTTGGGTACTTGGACTTGGGTACTTGGACTTGGGTAATAGGGTACATGCCGGGGAACTTGGAGTGCTTGGAGCGCATGCCGAGGATCTTGGAGTGCTTGGAGAGCTTGGCTTGGAATGCTTGGAGTGGGGACGTGTGTGGTCACTGGTGGTGGGAAGCGTGGATGGTGCGTGGATGGTGTGGCTTGTAGCTTGGAAGTTGGGGGACAAGGAAAGCGTTTGTTTGCGTCTCGTGTCGACTGTGCACAGGTTTCTCTCCTCCGCGGTTTCTATTGGATGGCACAAAGACGAGTGACGAAGCAGGCTGACACCTGAGATCGATGAGATCGATAGCCGATATCTATGTAAATATGACGCCATTCGCATACCAAGGTACCGTACGTAGCGGTTTCTGCAGAAGCCGGACGAACAAGATAGTCGAACACGCGCAGCCTGCACGCAGCGGATATAAAACAAACTCTCGACGCTACCACGTCGGAAGCGCCACAGTCATCATATCGCCATCACCGATAATCAACCATCGCTAACCCGAACCGAAGATCACCATCACCATCACCATCACTATCGTAAGCTAGCTACCGGTATCGTACTCTATCACCACGCGGGAAATCAGCTAGAAAAATCGCCCGACATACCTAAGCGAGGATAGTCGTCGGATTCAACATCAAACCTCCATCGTAATCGTTAGCAGCATCATCAGCAGCAATCATGGCATCCTACATCCCCGAGCCAGTGAAGCGACAAGTGAACGCCCTAAACGATACCTACAACCCTCTCAGCGCGGCGCAGCAGCCATCTCAAGCGCACGGGAAATATAGCTACGCCAAAGGTGGCTATTCTCCCCCTCCGTCTTCAATCTCCTCATTCCACTAACATCAACAGGAATCGCCTACCAATCCTACGGCGAAGCCGCGCAGTCGCCATCATGGATCGGCTCGGGGGCACAGCTAAAAGCGGCGGGAGTGATGGAGATGCAAGCGGCGGCGGCGGGCAAGACGGCGCGGGAGTTCACCGAGATGCTGCGGAGTGGAGATCCGGGCGTCGAGGAGGCTGCTCGGATGGGCGTGGATATGGCCGGCGAGGCGGGGAAGGGACTGGGAGACGGGGTGAAGATGGTGGGCGGCGGGGTGGGGAGCGTGGGGAGTGTGCTCGCCGAGAAGGGGACGGATGTGGGGAGGGGGACGCTGGGAGTGGGGCAGGATGTGGGGAAGGGACTGGGTGAGGGCGTGAAGGGTGTTGGAGAGGAGGTAGGAGGCGGGTTGGGGAAGGGAGCTGGTGCCGTTGGTGACGGGGTGGGGAAGGGACTGGGTGAGGGCGTGAAGGGTGTTGGAGAGGAGGTAGGAGGCGGGTTGGGGAAGGGAGCTGGTGCCGTTGGTGACGGGGTGGGGAAGGGACTTGGAGGGATGGGTCTTGGTTCCTGGGGGAGGAGATGATTATAGAGGGATTCAGAGAGTTGGAAGAGAGGTGGGACGCTGTCTGGGGAAGGGAAGGGAGCAGGTGCAGTCGGCGACGGGGTGAGTAACGGACTCGGTCGTGCGGAAGGAGATGGTTATACAGCAAGCCCCATTTTACTCCTTCCTACCTACTCACCTAGATATCTACCGGATGTAGCGAAGATGGCTTTTTCTGTCATGTTTTTAGTAGATAGCTTACCTAATACCCAACTTGATTTTGTCTGTTGTCGAAGTTCATGCCTCGATTCCACAGTGAGGTGAGATTTGGTTTCCATGTCATCACTCGGATCGGACATCCGTGATCTCTCAGCAATAGTTACTACCGGTACTCTACTTGGAGTATATCCGCGGCCAGCCGCGGCGCATTCGTGTCGGCCGACAGAACTCACAGAACTCGTCGGAAAGACATTTCATACGGGGCGAATTCTCATCACAGCTAGAGTGTTTGGTGGTGCCGTGGCATTCTGCGGTACCGTATGCAGCCTTTCGATTTCGTCGGGGGAGGGAGAGATGCCATGTACGGCTGTACGAGACACGAACAGCACTCGGATAGGTACAACTGGGTACATCTCGCTTCCTTCCCAGCAGAACGGGGAATCTGCGGTACATGGTTGGTAGCTCGTTCCCGTGTACCGGAACTCTGTGGTCCAGAACATGCAGCCAGTCCAGCATTCCCAGCACCCGCCAACCACGCCAATATCTAATGCATTTCTGGATCAAGTTTTTTCTATGTACTTTTCTTTTTTCCTCTCCGTTGTCACTTGTCAGGCCAGAAGCAGGCAGTGTGCCTTCAGCCCTCCGCCGACAAGCCAGCCATTAGGCGGCCTTGTACCGCTAGTAGTTGTGTCCTCACTGGTGCATTCGCTTCCCAGATAGTTGCCGGTATCTAGATTCGGGAGTAGCGAGCGGCGGCACCTGACGTCACAGCCACTCCATGGTTACCAGTACATACGGTACTCGCACTTGTATCCGCTGGCCACACGGAGTGATTATCTTGGTAGTTGTCAAGCCACACACGGTGATCATCGCGACCTCACCAGGTGCTAGTAGACACTAGTTGCGAAGCCACACGCAGTGGTCATCACGACCTCACTACTAGGTACCGAGCCACTCCAAGAACCCGACAAGACAAATCAAGCATTCCTGCCCGGATCTGCAGCACTATAACTAACATAACCGAGCCGAAGCACCTTCTGCATTCCGCCCAGCTTCTTGCCTCGCAGCACAAAACCAACATCACCCTTAAAATCAACAACAGAGACACAAATATTCCCACACTCTACCGCACGAATCCATCGCCATGTCGACCGGCATTCCCAACCTCAGCAACCTCAAGCCTTCGCACTCATCCTCGTCCTCATCCTCGTCTGCGAGCGCACAGAAGTCGCCGTCCTCCATGAAGGGCCGCGCAAAGTATGCAAAAGGCGTGATCGACGTGCGTCCATATCCCTGCACCCCCATATTTTCTCATTGTATGTATGTATAGCTGATGCATGTGCTCCCGGCGGCACTGCAGGAGGTGATTGGCAGGAAGAGCGCAGGCGCGGTTAACAAGGCCAACGGTGTGGCCGAGATGCAGGCCACGAAGGAGCCGGGCGATCGTGGGATGGAAAGAAGGTGATGGGGACGGAAAAGAGGACGGTTGGGGGGGGGGGGGGGGGGGGGGGGCGGGTGTGTCTCGTCGAGGCGAAGGAAAGCTGTGCGTGTGCGTTGGCCATCGGTGGCGAGAGGAATAACTGCCCACGGAGATGTTGTTGTTGGAGTAGATTTGCAATGGTTGTTGTTTTCTTACACCATGCAAAATGTGAATGGCAGTTGCCAGTCTGCTCATCCGGCGTATCCCGCGCCGGCATCGTGTCTTTGCATTGAATTCAAGGCCAAACCCCTTTCATCCCATTGAAGCTCCCAACATATCACTGCGCATGTTCAGCCGTTCCTTCAGGGGGTACTGGTACCTACCTGGCAATCCACGGAAGTTCCCTGTTCCGTCGGACTGACTGTGCTTTACTTCCCACAGTACCGGTTGGTATGAAGGGGGCGTACCTATAGTTGGTAGATACTTTTAGGTATCCTCCGAACGGGGTGGGGATATGGCGGACTGGGCACGCAGAAAGGCCGGATCCTTCTAAGTTCTGGTTTCTCGAGATATCTACCAGAAATTCGTGGTCGATTCTACCGTCTACGGCTTGGGATGATTTTGCCCGCCGTCGCACGCACCGCCGTTGGGTTCAGGTGGACAAGCAAAGTGCGTTTGTAGTAGGTACATAGATTGTTGAGCTCGCGGCATCAACTGAAAGCGGCCGGCGATCGGAATGGCATGTCCGTCCGATTCAGGCCACCACAGAGGCAACAGTCATTTCTATGACAAGATACCGAGATCGGTAGCCAGGCGAAGACGCCACCGCGCCCTCCGGCGAAACCGTACGTAGAGTACTCTAGAGGGGGCGTACGGTGTAGTATGTACCGCGGGACATGCCACCGGCGAGAGTCAGTTGGGTGTAAGAATACGACGGTGTGTGTCACTGTGACACCACAGGACGGCCTTCATAGGGGTATCTCGAGTCTTTGCATTCAGCTGATCACGAACACCGACTGACCGACCCGGCTCAACTAGAACCTATAACCTACCCCGGCCTTGATCGACCCGGCATACGTGCGGTGAACTGGACACTGCCACTAACGTATAAGTCTATTTCCTCGTCTAACACTTCGAGGACGGCATTGACTTCGATTGCAGATTGATGGGCCATGATTGGCCCGTCAGCCATCGCTTCGCTTCCCCACCAATCCGGAATCTTGGCAGTGGAGATTGGGCCCAACGAACAAGCTCTTTCTGCAGGGGGCGGCCTGATCACACCCACTCTTCATGCGGAAAAAGGCACAGCATCTACATGGAGCGACTACCAATGGGACAGGGCTGACACCCTTAGTCACCAATAAACGTCCACCTGCGCCGAGCAAGTAGGTAGCTATGCGGCTGAATCCCCTGAATTGAGATCTTCAATGCCGTGGGTGGTGCATGCAGCCCTTCCAATTTCCGTGCTGTTCACGGCGCGACAACTACTCGGAAGCAGAGGAGGAAGAAGAAGAAGAAAACATCATTCGGCCAGCAGGACGGTTCGCGGCGGGAGACCTCAACCTTCGCTAGTGCCCTCTCCTCCCGTTTGTTGGTCAATCCCAATCCTTGTATCATGCCATCTCACGTGGAGGCAGACTGCCGGGCTTTGGACGAAGCTGTGCGCTACTGACCTGGGCATCGTGAGAGAAGACACTCGGTGGATTCTGTATATAAGGACTCCGGACAGTCCTCCTCAATTAAACCTCACCAACCTGATCATCCATCCACATCCCCTGACAGCTTCTCCACTGCTCCATACTCCATACATACTCTCTAATCTTTAATCAACTCCCCTCAACTTCCTCCCACAAAACAATCATCATGCGCGCTGCTACCCTCCTCTTCCTCGTCTCCGCAACCGTCGGATTCGCCGCCGCCAACCCGGTGGCCGACGAGTACTACGACAAGAAGCACGTCTCGTATGTCGAGCCCAAGAAGAACACCTACTACGAGGCCCCCAAGAAGACCTACGTCGATGACACCAAGAAGAACTACGTCGATGACTCCAAGAAGAACTACGTCGAGCCCAAGAAGAACACCTACTACGAGGCCCCGAAGAAGCACTACGTCGAGCCCAAGAAGAACACCTACTACGAGGCCCCGAAGAAGCACTACGTCGAGCCCAAGAAGAACACCTACTACGAGGCCCCGAAGAAGCACTACGTCGAGCCTAAGAAGAACACCTACTACGAGGCACCCAAGAAGCACTACGTAGCTCCCTCCAAGAACTCGTACTACGAGGCCCCCAGGAAGCACTACGTCGCCCCCAAGAAGAACACCTACTACGAGGCACCCAAGAAGCACTACGTCGCTCCTAAGAAGCACACCTACTACGAGGCGCCCAAGAAGCACTACGTCGCTCCCAAGAAGCACTACGCTCCCTCGAAGTCGTACGCTCCCGCCAAGTACGAGGCCCCCAAGAAGTACACCCCCAATAAGCAGGACGACCACAAGCACGACCACGACCACTCCGACGATGAGTACGATCACTCCGATGACGAGCATGATCACTCCGACGACGAGTACGACTCCGACGATGACTCCGACGACGAGTACGAGCACGACAACGACCACAAGAAGTCGACTTACACCAAGAAGGCTCCGGTCAAGAAGACCTACTACTAGATTTTCTTTGTGTGCACGGGTGAGAGGGATAGGATTGGCTGGATTGGGGGTTGTTTATCTGGTGAAAGGGTCTGGCATTGATGGGTTGGGATGGGGTATGATGACGGGTGGGGTCTAATGTTTAGTTTGGCTTGGTGGATATTTAATGATAATATATCTTTTCTGGTATATGTTTGCATGGTTTGGGGGTTGTCGGGATTCAATTGACTTCACTTGAAATCGTGCTATGTTCGGCGAGTGAGACGGTGAAGCATGAGTCCATAACTTGCTTGATACTATTACGAGTTTGCCATACGGCTTAGGGAAGCCAGATCAAAAAAAAATCGTCCCATCAGAAATCCTGCCAAGTAAAAGGAAATAAGTCCACCCAACCAGCCCAAGTTCCTTGTCCATAGATATATGCCATTCTTTACGTCTCGCAGCCCGATTCCGCCCATAATTCAAGCCTGCTGGATAGCCAGCACGACATCGATACACGGATTCTCTGTTTACGCCACTCAGTTCAACCCCGTCTAACTTGGGGCGTTCGGTTGCTCACGGTTTTCAAAAGCCGGCTTGACGGATAGGTCATACGTTCCGGCCCTATCCTGGGCGACGCAGAAGGCTGTCGAGATTACCACGTCCCATCATCAGTATGTCACGTGCCGGCCCAAAAAGCTCAGAGGAGGAGGAGGAGAAGGAGGAGGAGGAGGAGGATCAAGATCTCGAACGTACTCAGGCCCGTCTGCCCGCCGGACTGCGGAACCACCACGATCTGCTGCGTGCCGTTCTCGTCGCACGTCCAGTGCGCCACGACACTCAGCTCCTCGCCGCCGGCGGACGAGAACCGCAGGTACCGGAAGACCTCCGCCGGCGGCACGAACTGCGTGATCCCGACGTAGCTCTTCCCTCCGTAGGCCTGCAGGTAGAGTCTGTTGTTGGTCATCCTGAGCTTCGTGAGAGCCGCGCCAGTGCCGGAGGCGGACCCGGCGATGACGGAGCGGTAGAGCGTCGGCTGGATCTGGATGAAGTTGATGGGCGTCTTGTGGAAGCTGAAGCTGGAGTTTTGCACGTTCACGGTGAAGTCGTAGCCGAGCCCGTTGTAGAGGATCAACGGGACGTTGCAGGGCTTCGGCTGCGTCTGCGCGGCGCCGAGGGCGGCCAGGATGGCGAAGAGGAAAGTGCAGAGGAGATACATCCTGGCGGTGGCGCTGAAGTGTATCGCGTTGGAAAAAATTAAAAATAGTTTGAGGCTTGCTGGTAGTTCTCGCTGAGACGGTAGTCTGATGGTTTCGATGTCATGATCCAGTGGTGCCGGTGGGGGAGCTCTTTATACCTCAATACTTTCGAACAGCAGATGGTGAGTGGAGAAGAGCCCCTTCCTTCTCACTCGTGCACTTCCCCGCCCGACGAGTTTTCATGACAATCGACTGGTGATCTATTAAAAGTGAAAATTGTTTGACGGCGGGCCAGCGATCCAAGGTGATGTTGATGCGTATGTACGGTCTCGTATCGAATACGATACTTGGCTGCGGGTGTGGTACAGAGTGACCAATTAAACCGGATCGTCGTCACGATGCGTCGCAGGAGAACGGTAGAAGCTATTCTTAACCATGGGATCGGATCCGTACCCGAAGCTTCTTTCTCGACCAAAGTTCCTCATCGGAGACGAACGACATGTGTATGCGCTCTTTACTTGATCGATCCTGCGTAAGGTTTCGGTTCCTCATTTTCGTATTTCAGCCCCAGCTGAAGATACTTTGGAAAAGATCGACATACAGATCTAAACTTTGTTCTACCTGTAGTTTTCTTTACTTTGCGATACCTGTATGTAATTGCAAGTGGCTTCGTGGATGATTGTCCTTCGGATCGAAGACGAATCTGCGGGTACGAGCTGAATATAGAACAGACAGCTTCACATATTCGACGTGGCCCTTTCTCCTTCCGTTTGTCCGCCAAAGCAGCATCGATACTACCCCAAACTGCCCATCTACGGTCCTTCATCCACCATGTAATCCCTTCGCATCCAAGAGACCAATGGAATCGAAACTGAAAGCGGGAAGAATATGGTCGTACCACAATCATCAACTATCACTCACTATGGCTTTCGGTAGCTGGATTGTCCGGTGAATATCTAGCAGAAAAATCCGAAAAGAAGCAGTAAGTGGAGTATCCGAGTGGAAGTGCAGGGAGTGGGAGGAGAGACAGGCGGGGACGCGGCGAGAGGAGGATGAGGGCACTGAGTTTGACGGGCCGGGGTCACTCCCGCTGTTTCTCCCCATACCCTGCTTATGGCATCTCCTGATCAAGAAGCAGGGGGCGATGCGAATTGAGGAGCGGGGCTTTCTATTCCTAGATTTGTTTTCTTGTTGCGCTTGACCTATATCTTCTGGAAGGCGAGGGCGAAGGGTAGAGGAAGCCACATCGGGCCGCTTGACGAAAGTTGAGTTGGACAGTGGACATGGGAAGGCAGTGTGTACATACATTGCCATGATCTAGATAGGTCACATGCAATCAATGATACGAAAAAAAAACATAGTAGAGGAATCGCGCATACAATTAATGAGTAAACAAACAAAAATAGCAGAGAAAATGGATTATTCTAGATTATGTAGGTCGCATGCAAGATGAATCATCATCAGCCGAGGGATCAGATCCGGCGAATAGGGGTTTTTATCGCGTGTAAACACAAGGATGAAGATCCCTCCGGTTAGTTCCCTGTAGGAAGTTGGCACTCAATTGACATGGTACCAGTAACTACATCGCCGATGGTCAAGATAGAGTGGGTACCTAGTCTCGCGCGCTTCGCAAATTCGAATGATAGGGTTGTCATCATCTGGACATATTGATATTTACAGGACTTAAACACACTTCTTCGGCGCTTTGATAATACATCATCTCATCGAGTACAGAGCAAGGTATGCCAGAACTTGCTCTTCCTCTTTGGTTCCTAGTGAGAATGTCAGTTTATAGGCTCGAGTTGGTTTGCAAAGGGGGGAAATATACCTTTTTCTCTCTCACTATTGGCGGGAGAATCTTCTGAGGGGATGGCGCAGTACGAGGCCGCTGATACCTCATGGAGCTGGAGCCTGGAATCGACAACATCGACTTTACCGGCCTCCGAGCTGCTACCCCAGGTGCGTGACTGTTTATTAAAAGAAGATTAAAATTGTACATTAGGACACCGAGGTTCTTCCTCAAGGTTGTTGACATGACCTCCATCGACTCGCGCTGCGCAACATAGCTGTGCCGTCGTAGCGGAGTCCGTGTCTGAACGATGGCCAGGGATTGGGACGACCGATATGCGCGGGGAGGAGGCGTTATCGGAGTTGAAACAGGCCGGGGTATCTGGAAGAGCATGTCATGTTAGGGGAGTGCGGCCCATAAACAAAGCATTCACGAGCAGCGAATCGACGTATCATACCTCTTCTACCTCGTCCTCATTGTCTGCTACCTGCCCTTCCAGCCACGAGAACCATACCGGCGACAGGGAGGATATCCGCCTGGGGAACTTGCGATGTCGATCCGAACCGGAGCCCGGCTCTGAGGTGCCGCCTAGGCTAAGAGCTTTGGAACGCGGGGGCTCTTGCCCCAGTTGCTGGTGCCAGCTGGAAAGTGTTTCACAGTAGGTATACGCGCCGAGAGAATCGGACCTTCCATCGCTGCCGGCAACCTCCGAATGTACGATAGTTGTCGTATTGCTTCGCACCGAGCTTCGGTCCGAGACGGTCGGCGACGGGGGAACACAGCGGATGGAATCGCGGTGAGATGTGAAAAAGTCAAGCCGGTACGAGTCGTGCTTTTTCGTAATATTTGGTACAGGTATATCGCTGTCGCAATCCTGGGTGGGGGCCGAAGCGAATTGCGGACTGGGAAGTTCGGGACTGCCAGGTTCGGGACTGGGTTCAGGGTCAAAGTCGTAGCCAATAGCTTCGGCATAACAGCGACTGTCTTCCTCCTGCTTGATGCGTCAACATATGCACTGCATGCTGACGAGATGAAGGAAATTGCTTACCCCGTCAAAGTCCCAGTCGCCGCCAGAAACGTACTGCGTGTCTTTGGTGCAAGTGAAGTCCTGGGAGTCGGGGAAAAGTTCGGTTTCAATAGGAAACTTGTCATCGTTTCGGCCTACCGGTGGTGGTGGTGGTGCCAGCACCACCGATGTACTACTGTGTTTCTGTGGGAGCGGAATCTGCTCGCTGCCAACTGATTGTCGGAATATCGAAAAATCGTGATTGCCACTCTGTAGGGGCATGCTCGCAGGTCTTCGCGTCTCTCCTATGCTCCTGTTCATCCCGGCGTCGGGTTTTGATGACGCCTTCCTTAGCATTATCGCAAGGGTGGGACTGGTAGGGCGATGCTTGTGCAAACTGGTTGATTTTCGGACGCGATTAGATAACCCATCCGATGGAGTGTCTTCAAGGCTCGACCTTGAAGATTGCTGTGAAGGGAGCTCTGGTAGAGGCTTTGACGTCCGGTCAAGAGATTGTGTTCGTTGTGTTTTTGGTGAAGAAGTGACGTTCGCTTGAGGTGTGTGTTGTGGCGGTTCTGAGGAAAGACCGCTCTCTGGTGCATCAGATAGCGTCGATTTGGGCGGCACTGGCATGAGCCCGACCAGCGGTGCCGAGCGATTACTGTGTAGAAAGACTGGTGGTTGGTATACCGGCATCCCGTAGAACCCGCAATGAGTGAGAGGTCTCTGTCGTCGTTCCGACGATGGGCGGGGAATGGGACTCGAGGGAGGATGAACTTCTGGAACGCGCGGAAGTTTTGCGGTGGCCGGCGGCGGCAGTGGCGACGGTGACAGTGATTGATTCTGCGACCGATAGTTAGGTATCTCGGCTCCTTTCCAACCCAACAGCCACGACCATGTCCGCCTCCGAGCGGGCGAGTCATCGTCTGGAGGCGTTCGTAGTGACGCCATGCATTGAAATGGACGAATCCTCAGGTGTATCGTCTGTCAACAGAGAACGAAAAGAGGAGACGATTGCACCGGTTCTTTAATATGAATTATCAGCGACTGCAGGTCGCCGTGCCCCGGCCGTTTTTGTGGCGGATATATTGATGTTCCTGCATACGGCAGCGCGCCAGGTAGTACCTGCATCCGAAGCCGAGGCCAGCCATCATCCCCACCTGCCAAATCATAGTAGCCGATCGAAGGGTTCGGTCGCCAAACGTCGTAGCGTGGGCTATATGACTATTGTATTCTGCGCGATGCGGAAGTCGCCATGGGTGCGGAGATCATAGTGCGGCGTCCGGTCCCGGTTGAGTCGTTATTCTGGAAGGGAGAAAGGGTCAGGCTGTGCGCGTCTTTTGTCTCGTCAGGCGTTGCCGCAACCGTAAGAACTAATGGGGGCGGCTGGCTAATGTTCCGAAATTCGAATGTCGGTAGTGGTGGTTCGACCGGGATGACGGCATCTAAATTTAGCCTATGTTTATAGATTGCATTGGCCGTTACAATTTACTGGTACTTCTGGGCAGTCGACGTAGAATCGGTGAAACGTACTTGGCTGTTCAATGAAACCTGGAGAGCCGCTTTGTACTAGGTATTCATGTCGCCTACAAGCACTCGTAAGCCGTTGAGAATGATGAAACATAAAACAACAAAAACAAAGCGGAAGTCACCTTTAGGACCGATAATATGATGGAAAGGACCACAAAACATAGCTGGATACGAATTCCCAAAGATAATCCTCCCGCCGGAACAACCATGACCATGTGTCATGCCGCCGAACATCAATAAATAATCCCTTCCACCCTTAGGTTGCACCTTCTCCGTCAACATCTCCATAATCATGCCGTAGCCTTTCCGCTTTGCGGATGATGGCGACGTCTGACTAATTTTGTTGACAGGGCTCCGAGTCAAATCTTCCGGCATCACGAGCATTGCCGCCTGATCTTCTAAGCTTCACCTTGCAGCACTCGAGAGGACCGTATTACCGTCGCTTCACATTCAGAGCTGCTCTGTCGAGGAGAAGCTTCAGGACCTCGTTGTGCCTCTTCCGACTAGTGTCGATGCTTGTCGGCCGGAACAAATAAAGACGGTTAAAGCATTAGCGAACTGAGATAGGTAATACGACGGGGTGTTGATGTCGATACCGTGGTAGGCGAGTAACAACCTGATCACCTCGACAAAGCTAGAGCCTAGGCATAGATCCGAGTAAGTCAGGGCCGCATCTAAGCTACAGTTTTTTGGATGTTGCCGTTGGTTTCCCAAGGGATCAGCACTGACCGGACTGTCTCCGTGTGACCATAATATATAAACCAGCTCAGAGGAGTATCTTGTATGTCGTCTCACGAGTTGACAATCACATAATGGCGAACAACAACAAGCTTCTCAATCGCCGGCGATGACTCCCAACAGTGAAAGACAGAGGCGTACTGTTAAGGTTCCGACGGCCGAGTGATCGGCAGTGGAACGCCGGAGCGGCGGCGGATAGCAGAGCCTAGATGTGGATTCGGCATCAAGAGCCTAGATTTGGAATCGGCACCAAGAGTCTACTTTAGTCGGTATCTAAGTTTTCACTGTCAATATAACACACTGTCCTTTCCATAGTATCAATCTATTCACATTCGCATCAACGCGTACGACCCTTCTCATCCCTGCGGTTAGCCTCGATTCCCGGTTGGCCTCGATTCCCGGTTGGCCTCGATTCCCGGTTGGCCTCGATTCCCGGTTGGCCCGATTCCCGGTTGGCCTCGATTCCCGGTTGGCCTCGATTCCCGGTTGGCCTCGATTCCCGGTTGGCCCGATTCCAGGTCAGCTCGATATCATCGCTGAAATGCCCAGGAGGAATACATTCTGTGAACTTGCTGGTACTGGCGGAATACCCAACCGTTCCGGATCCCTAGTGATTACGAACCGAGCAACTTCTTCGGTCGCTAGTGGCGGCGCGAGTAGCTCAGCGGCGACTGCGTACCGGATCCGAGCATTCTTCCAGGGCCTCGAGTACCACCGTTACTCTTCACGGGAATTCTTGGAAAATCCTGACAAAGATATCCCGAAGAGTTGTGAAGTTTGTCCTTCCCCAATCGGAAAACCAGCGTTTTTACTGATTGTTATCTCTCTGATCGCCATTAATTGCCTTCGAAGGCCTTAGCTCTGTTGGGTAACCAGACCGGGAGGTTGCAGTGCAAAATAAGTCAGCTCTTCCGGCTGGGACGTCTTCGTCGCCGTCCCTGAAGGAGAAGTACAGACATTTTTCCTCTGCTACTTTCCGTAAATCATTCCCGAGCTACAGCCTACGGAAATGGCTACAAGAACAGATTCCAGCACATGTAGCCACTATTATTCCGTGTAGATGCCACTGTAGGAAAGCGACAGAGCTGAACTGGGTTTCCGGCAGCCTACATATTTTGCGGTCCGGTACCCGCCCCCCGGTTTCCATTACTGATATCCCCGAGCATCGAGAAACTACTCGCATGTATCTTGAATCCGGCGGGTTTGTTCTTGAGAATTCCTCGTTTGGGTTCTGGAGGTCAAGCCACTACGAATTTGACCATCATGCTCAGAAAGGGTTCAGTACCGTAGTAATCTACTGCTGATGCAGAAAAGAAGAGGGGACTCGCGGTCCTGCCTTTCTGGTAAAGCTGCTATAGTCTCGGTACTTTTACACACTTCTTCGGCGTGTAAATCTGGGGATTACTTGCTTGTGATATGTCGGTGAGGTGCAGGAGAGGGTGCCGTTTGGTATTTTCTCAAAAGAAACCGTTTTGGCTTTCAATTCGCTAGCGGCGGAGGAAGTTTCCTATAGCCTCTTCAGGATCTCCTTCACAGTTTGTCAGTTAAAGGCGTAAATTCGGGTTGTGTGATGCGAAGAACGTTCGTGAATTGGAGTGACAGCGGGCTACTACCTGGTACGACACTGACTTCGCCCCGATTGACGCTCGCCTCGACTAGCCGCTACAGGGAGCATGATTGGCGGTCGCCATCATGGGATTAGTTTTGAGAACTGGTGGCCGGCCCCCGGGACAGTACGCGAAACACGGGTGATGGTGACTTACTGATGTACGTGGGACTGATACATACTCGTAAGAAGTGGGGTGAAAGAAGGTTGTTTTCTCTTACTCTCGCGGTAGTTGATATGGTGCCCCTCTCATCGCTCACCACCCAATTCCTATATATGGGTTAGCCGAATTGCGAGTGGCTTCACCGAAGAGATCACGCCTTTGAAAATAGCCGCGTAAGCTTCACTGGAATTCCTATGCAATGGGGGGTTGGTTACCCACTGGAACGGATAACTGTTTCCAAGTGCGCCAGCTTTAATGGTGATTATTATAATTGCTGCGTACAGCTTGGGATGCGTATTTTCCAATTCATCGGCGAGAATGACTGTGGTTGATCTGGCTAGAGCTTCATCATCCGAAAGCACTCCGCGTGTTCGGCCCGAAGACTTCGCAAGTCGGCAGTGATGATTGTCGACTAATGCCTCCAAGGCCTCAACGCGAATGTGAAAGATCTTCGTGTTCTCGTATAAATACCGGAAGATATGTATAGAGGGCCTCTGGATGTCAGGCTAGCATCTTACTGGCAGAGAGAACGAATGTCAGGGAATCTCTGGAAGCGACGAAACAAATGGGCGGAGGCTCTTCCATTGCCGAGTACGTACGAGGAAATCGGGGGAGTTCTGTTCGCGCTAGGGCTACCAAGCGAGGGTGCTCGCTGAGCCGGTTTTGCAGACCGCTCTTTTGCCAACACCCCTCCAGGCCGAAGGCAGGATCGAGAGGAGAGTGCACACAGAAGAAAAAGGGGATATAGAGGTTGACCGTCAATTCGGTAGATGATGCTCGAGATAGAAGAAGAAGAAGAAGAAGAAGAAGAAGAAGAAGAAGAAGACGACCCCGCAATGGCCGCCAACTTTGATTTCCGCCAACGTTGATTCCCACTACTGACCGCATTGGTTTTCGCCCGCCGACAGGTCCTCCTCTCGCTCCGCCACACCGGTATGATGCAAAACCAATCGTATCCTGATAGATTACGGTGCGCCGGTAGCACTGCCTACACTAAGCAGGTAAACTGGATTTATGGGAAACCTGCGTCGCAGAACGGTCGGGATATCTGCCACGCCAGATGCGATACGGAGGGACACCGCGGGGTGTGGGAGAGTTATTATACCCGAACAAGAGATCTTCCCGCAATGGTGCTCCGGGAAAAGAAAAGGGACAGCGAAGGATCGCGCACAGGAGTGATACGCCGGGCAGAAAATACCATACATACGATAGCTCTGCTAGATAAGTTTGCGATCGCGTCGGAAGCGCGGAACCGTATTCCACGTCAATCAGTACTGGCCTGCACGACGCGTGGTGGCGAAGAACGTGAGGGTAGGGTTATTGTCGGTGTCATCCTACGAGGGGATGGTCTCGAGGGCATGCTTTGCGGGAACGAATGAACTCCGGATCGAGCAGGACAAGCGCGACACCCTTGCACGCAAATGGCAACCAGGATGTTCCGAGTGCTGTGATGGAACATTCCTAATGTGGGTTCATTGTGGTTAAAGATTCCTGGGTGTGGAGGGGTATGGGGAAGAAGTACTCAGGTGATGGCTTGCGGGTGTCTGCAATTCGCGCTGCCCCTGGTGTGGTTCGCCGGCTCTGGTGTTGAGCGTGTGGCGTTGTGAATTGAACCGTTGTTGCAGCGACAATTGCACGGGAATCAAATCAATGGTGAGTACGATCGAAAAATCTCCAGATTTGGTAGTCGCTGGGCTGTGCCGTTTTGACGTCCGCCACACTTTGCCGTGGACCTCACAGGCCATGGGCCTACTAGATGCCGATATTCTCTGCAGCTGCGAAAGGAGATGGACGCATGGTGATGCCTCTCCCTATGAGGAGGTTGATGCCGCTTGCCAGAGCGTGCTGAAACCGAGGGAACCGAGTAGTATGCAGGCACTGCTGATATACGTACAGGTTAGGCCACCAGGTTCGTCACTCGTGAGTCGTGATCCTAGGAAAGAAAGTAATCCATCGTAGCCGCACGGCTAGATTTTAAATGCATGGCGATAAACCAGAACAAAGTTGGATAGCTGCCTGAGGACATGTGTGTGATGGAGTTCGCTAATTCTGCGCACAAATGTGGGTGCTTGTGAGAAACGACCCACCAGTAGTATTAGCCCTGTGAAAAATGGAGAACTGAATCGTGAGTTTCGACGTGTGTTTCGTATTGGCCTGTGTGCCGCGTGCTGCTTCATCTGTTGCGGGCGAACAAATGATTCTGAGGAGGATATTGCAGATGTATTATTATATAGACCTCTTGACGACTTCGCTTGAAAATTTCGCCCTGGCTCTGTACGGAAGCGCCCCCTGCTGCAAATTGAAAACCTCACCTAATAGGCGGAAGCCTCGTCTCCGTGCGATCGAGGGATAGTCGGGTTACCTTGAGGCTTGATGGGTGAATCTGTGGATAAGTATGTAGGTTTAAGGAGTGCTGATGTTGCGCTGTGGGTCCTGGTTTTCGGCGGTACTATTACTCTCGAGGGAGAGCAACTGTGCTGTGGGATACTGAGTTTCGTACCTATTGGTTCCATCGTGGCACGGCGTTCGCTTACAAGTTACATGTGGTATTCCGAACGAAGATTATGTTGTAGCCGGCGGCAGATGGAAACGACGAGACCACCGCGCCCTACGAAGTACGCATCGTTCATCAGGATAAGATGATGATGACTGAACAGGACTCTCGGCGATAGCTAAGCCAAAGTTGCCGACGAGCTGTATATTTAGTTCGGTAGCTCTGACTGGACAGGTGACCTAACTGTCTGAAAAGCTGGGTTGCGCGAGGAGCAATAATTGCGTGTGACTGAACTGCAATTACGTGTCGTTCTGGTGTCGCTTCGGGGTAGTGGACGGAGCCGTGACTGAGCCGAGGTGAGCTGCATTGGCCTGCAGAAATTGTATTACTTCGATCTGTGGGAATATGAGGGACCATGAAATCTAGTACCGTTGGGGTTTCGATGGACGTTGAAACTCCGGCTCTGCACTGCTTGTACCAAGCGAATGCGAATCAAGCTGTATCGAATTTGTGGGAACGAGTGTGTTCCTGTGAGTAGTCCACTAGCCGTTCGGAGGACCGGTGGTGGGGTTTGGAATATTCGGTGCGGTAGCGGGTCCAAGTTTGGTTTTCTTTCTCTCTCAATTTCTCTCTCTTACACCTGTAGCTCGTAGACGCGAATATACCACTCCACTCCTCTCCATCTCGATCTTTCCAGTGAATCACCCCCACGAGTCCTTCCAGCAGAACTGTCCGGACAGTTAACTGAGCTAGTAAACAGCTGTTGGTTAACAGTTCCACCGCAAGGGGCTGACTGAGTGATCGAACTTGTCCCGCTACCGAGACGTAGCTGCTTTGCTTTTCATATGTGTATGATCTTCTAGTGACCAAACACGGTCTCCCGCTCCGTGTGCTGCCGCTTGTAATCATTAAGAGCGTTCTACAGTCGTTGCTTATCACAAGTAATCAGCGTTATGCACGGTGAACATCGTTACACGATTGTGTGCCGCTGGCCGCCGAGCCGGCCGGCACCTGCAATGGGGATTAGCATGAATCTAGCACGAAAGGGAGAGCTTACGCCGAATACTGGTTGAAGTCTGTCGGCTGCGCGGTGTCTCGGAGTAGAATCTGCGAAGCGTGGGTTCACCGTTATTTCGTCCTCAAAGCTAATTACACAGCATTAATGATTAGTTATTAGTTATCAGTGATGCTCCCACCAATAGCGAGAGGCGCGGCCAGGCTGGGGCTATATCCCTTTCGGCTTGGGGTTGGATATGATTAATTCAGGAGGATGTGTCGGCATCGATTGTCATCGCTGAGCTGATGCTCAAAGCTGGCAATGGAACTGCAGCTCGAGCATCGCCCGGATATATAAGAGCCAGCCTGTGCCTCTGCTAGGTGTAGTGCAACTCGCAACCAAACGAAGCACAATGACACACCTTCTCTCGCATTTGACGGTTCTTCAAGCGGCTTCTCACAAATACCCTTTTGCAATCGCTTTCCAGATAGCCCGGGGAACCCCCTCTACCCCCGAGTCGATCTCATGGGAGCCGATTTCTTATCAGAGATTTCAGCAGGATGTTGAGATTGCCGCTCGCTATTGGTCTCACAAGCTGTCGGCTGATGGTGCAATTCCGCGGGATGTAGTTGGTCTCTGGTCAGTGTTCGCGCCAAAATAACGCCGATGAATATATGCAGTATTGCCGCGATTGACTGCTGACTGTTTGCCTAAAGGCTGACAGGGCTGCACTACAACGATGTCGTCACCATATATGGCGTGTCTCGTGCCGGATACGTTCCACAGCTACTAAGCCTACGCTTGACGTGTCTGAAAGTAGTATTCGACCTGTTGCGAGCAGCGGGGGCAAGAGCCCTAGTGATCGATCCCGCGTATTCTCTTGACGCTGCCGAGAATGTGCTGTCTTTACCTATTCACCGTTCTTTGGCAGTCCAATCGATGGACGAGGATAGCCTCGCACCGCTTGCCCCGCTTCCGGTACCAGACTCCAGGGACGAGACAGTTATGATATTTCATACCAGCGGCTCGACGGCGGGAAGCCCCAAGCTAGTCTTGTGTTCGGCTGCGTGGATTGACAGTGTCGTCTTCAAGTCACACGAGGCGTGCGCCCCGGTTGATCCAAATCGGCAGGATGTGGGCACCTGGATGTGAGCCCCTCTGTCACTCATAACAAAATTTGTCGAATTTATGATCCTGATGGTGAAATCACGTTCAGCGGCAGCATGTGCCACATCGCCCAGAATTTCGTCCTCGTCGGCTCAATGGGGCACGGGTCCTGTGTGATCCAGCCGATGGAGCTCGCTTTCGGCGCCTCGGAGTTGATGATGATGGTCACTCACTGCCGTTTGAATCGTCTCCATATGTTTGCCACCGCTCTAAGTGGCCATATCAGAAATTCGAGAAGCGATAAGAATCTGTTGGCATGTCTCAAGCAGCTGGATACTTTGATGTATACCGGACTCCCGCTGGCTGTGGAGGAGCAGCGTTTTGCATACGAAGCAAAAATGAAACTACTTGTCAGTTTTCATCGACTTAGGACATTGGTACCCCCTCTAACGAATCTGCAGAACATCTTCGGTAGCACTGAATGCAATGGTATGCTGATCTCCCGCCGCTCCGGTCCGGGTGCCCACATTCTCCGACCGCTTGCGGGAGTCGAGTACCGTTTCCAACACATCGAAAGCGGTGATGCCAAAGAGTGCCTTCAGGAGCTCGTCGTCTGCAAGTCCTCTCCCGATTGCCCATCGCCGGCTCTCGGTCGCAACCCATCATCTGGCGACTTCCACACAGGGGATCTGTTCACCGAGACGGAGTCTGGCCATTACATCTTCCGCGGGCGCGCTGACGACTGGATCAAGACATGTAACGGGCTCCGCTGCGATGCAGGTGCCATTGAAGAGAACATTCTTTCCGCGTGCAAGGGGCTTGTCAGCGCTTGTGTGGTGGTGGGGTGGGGACGGCCGAACCCAGCGGTGTTTGTTGAACCAGATGGCAATACGGATATGACCAACGACGACTTGAGGAATGTGATCGTAAGCAGGACCCGTGACTTTCATGTCCGCAGATATATGCATGAGCGTATCGACAGCCCGGAGTTCGTCGTGGTCGTTCAACCTGGGAGGTTGCCGAGAACCGCGGTGAGTTTTCTTTACTGGATCCGAGGAAGGCCGGGTCCTTTTGCTGACGGGCGAGTACAGACGAAAGGGAATTTGCAGAGAAAGATGGTGGAGCTGGAGTATAAGGAGTTGTTGGATGAAGTATATGGCGTGCATTAGTTTCTATGTCATGCACTTTGTAATCTTGAGCTCCGATGATTGGAAACATGACGGTGTAGAATCGAGCGACGCTCTTCCCGTGCACCTGAGTGAAGCTGTTGTAGAACTCGGTGATGCGGTGGTGGTGGATGTGCAAGGCCCAAGGGGAGGTGTATTTGGCGGAGACGTTGGTGATGGATTCGGAGCTGCGAGCGTAGGCAAAGAACCGTCTGGTATCAATTTCGCAAACCGCCTTCGGATGTTAGGAATCTGTGAAAGAAAGCCATAGCAGGACCGCTCTGTATCTCGCAGTACTGACCATTACGCTGCTGAACCACTCAATTTATCCTGCCAACCGCGCCTGCAGCCACTAATCATAAGTGGAGCAGGGCGAGTTGACGATAGCTGTACCAGTTTGCACCGAGGGGTACTGATCACTACACTGTACCATCAGCATATGGCCTCGCTCCAGCCCATCGCCCACGGCTACTGCCTCTACGCTTCAATATGGTCAGCAGCAAGACGCCGATAACAGTACCGCTCTGTAACGTGCAGCACTGATGGTTTTGCAGCTGTACCACCCATCAGGAAAAATATTTCTCTGTCAACGTAGTCGGCTGTGTGTATAATATTTGCTACGTTCGGCGCGTCGAGTGAGTTGGGAGGGTATGAACGGACCCACGCCACCATATTCCCTGGGAACGACGTTAGCTGGGGTGTTTGAACGTTCGTTGGAACGCTGTTGGTCAAAACATACCCAGAAATCAGTGATTTTTGTGGTATTTATTGCTAGCATGTGGCCTACCTGGACAATGGTAGTATCTACACCCCATCTGCTCCCACAACTCTCCCCCAGCCTCGCCCCTGACCGGCCTGTTCCCAAAACTCTTCCCCTGCCTCGCCCTTGACTGGCCCGTTCCCGCAATTCGTCCCCAGCCTCGCCTTGCTCTCACAACTCTTCCCCAGCATCACTCTTCCCCAGCATCGCCCTCGACCGCCCGTTCCCTGGGCTCTTCCGCGCCCTCGCCGTGCTCCCTGTATTCTTCGCTGGTCTCGCTCTTGACTGAACCATTCCCTCAATTCTTCCCCACACTTGACTTGCTCTCTGGGATCTTCCGAGGCCTTGCCTTGCTCCCTGGGCTCTCCCGCGGCCTTGAAATGTTCCGACAACGCTTCTGGGGCCTTGACTCTTCCGGGGCATTAACCCTTCCACTCCATGGAGTAGGCCACTCTGTCAACTGTTCCGGGGCCTTGACTTGGCTGCGCCCACGACTCTACCAAGACCTTGACCCTTCCGGAGCCTCGAAGCTTCCGCTCCCTTGAATCCACCACGCCCTCGGCACTTCCGCGCCCTTGACCGGCCACTCCTTCAACTCTTCCGTACTCGCAGAACTCTTCCGTGCCGTGATCTTTTCCGGCGCCGTGATCTCTTCTGTGCTGATAACTCGCCGGCACCGTCAACCCGTCGGTAGCATCAACTCTTCCGTACTCCCTCAAGCTTTCAGTACTCCCTCGACTCTTCCGCTCCCTCGACTCTTCCGGGCCGTCAACTCGTCGGTGCCGAGAGCTCGACCGTTCCGTGCTGTCGTCGTCGGTGCTGTCGCCGACGGTGCCGTACTTGTCGTTGCCGTCAACGTTTCCACTCCCTCACTCTTCCACGCAGTCGTTTCATCGGTGCCGTCAACTCTTCCGTGCTCCCTCACACTCCTTTGCTCCCACGGCTCTTCCGCTCTTTGACTCTTCCACCACCTCAACTCTTCCGCTCCATCAGGTCTTCCGCTCCATTAGCTCGTCTGTGCCGTCAACTGATCCGCGCCATCACCTGTTTGCCGCCCTTACCCTTGACTTGCCCTCTCCCTTGACTCATTAGGGGCCATGACTCTTCCGCTCCCTTGATCTCGACTGTGACTTCTCCATCAACTCTTCCGTGCTTCCACAACTCTCCCGTGCCGTCAACTCTTCCATGCCGTCAACAAGCTGCCTCAACCCTTCCTTTCCTTGACTCTTTTGCACCTTGACGTCCTCCCTCGACTCTTCCGCCCCCTTGACTAGGCCAGTCCCCCAACTTTTCCAGGGCCTTGAATCTTCCGGGATCTCTACCCTTCCGTTCCTTGACTAGGTCGCGGCATCGAACTCCTCCCTCAACGCTTCCGCGCCCTTGGGTGAGTCAGGGTACTGCCGCAACAGTTCCCAGGCCTTGACCCTTCCGGGTCCTTGACTCTTCCTTGCCCTGGTGTTGCTCCCTCGCGTCACCCGTTCCCACAACTCCTCAGCGTCAGGATGAACTGGCCGCTCCCCCAGCTCATTCGTGCCGTCAACTAATCCATGCCGTCGACTCGCCTGTGCCATCAACTCATCGTTGAAGTCAAATCTTCGGTGCCGTCAACTCTTCGACACCGGCCCGCGAGATCACTCTGGTGTAATAATTGCTGTGGGGTAATAGGTTTTCTGGGGTAATAGTTACTCTGGGGTGATAGTTGCTCTGATATGATTGGTGAGAGAGGAATATGGTTCTCGACACATGTCGATAGTTGGCTGTTAACCTTTGGACGCGCCATGCTGACATCACCCAGCACCATGAATACCCCGCTGGCAGCACCGCGAATGCGTTCTCACTCTACTCCTCCTCACCCTGCCCGGCCCGACTGAACAGATTACTGGTCGGCCATAGGCGATCTGGTTGCTCCACAGTGTTTCTCTACAGCCCAGCAGGATCGAAAACAGCTATATCGCAGTCAGTATTCGACTGTTTCTCAGTGAGTAGGTATTCGCCTGTTTCGCTCGACTAGACACTCGTTGGGACCCCCACGATATACTCATTCCACTGGGCACGTCGCTGGCCTCGCCCTGCCTCGCCCTGCCTCGCCTTGCCTCGCCCGGCCTCGCCCGGCCTCGTCTTGCCACAAAAACAGCGATTTGGGCATCCCATAGCCCAAGAGCACCCTCGAATAGCGGTACCACATGAAACATTATGTGATAAAAACGATTACCGTAAGTGCGGAGACAGATGTCGTCATCCGGTAGCCAAACGATGAGAATTCGCTGAGCAGCGCCCTCCAGTACCAGCAAAACAGCGATTTGACCTCGCCCAGCCCAAGAGGACCTCAAATGCAGTCCCACGACGTCGTCTCGCTCGTAGGGGGCGGTACCCTCTCACAGACCTGCGTCCTGGTAGTCCCTGCCCAACCTCTCGCTCGGTGGTAGGAGCGCCCTGCCACAATCCTGCGACCTCGTCTCGCTGCGTGACGGGAGTCCTCTGCCACATTCCTGAGACCTCGTCTCACTCGGTGGTGGGAGTGCTTTGCCAACGTCCTGAGTAGAGAAACAATAACAGCAAGTCCTGTACCGCGTCCCTGACAGCGAATCCAGTACAGAGCCGGTAATGGTAACTAGGATTGGCTAGCGAGTATGAGTTTCTTTGCCGTTTTCTGGGCTCACCTACAAACTAAAGCCACATTATCTCACCAGAAATCAAATGCCGTCACGGCGTTTGAGTTTCTGGTCTGAGCTAGTGTGTTTAGGGGAACAGTCAGATTATCCTGACTGTTTCTCTCGACCATAGGCTCGTTGAAATACCCAAGGTACGCACATTCCACTCCGCGTATCGTTCTGTGGGTCAGACGCAATTTACTGGTCGGCCGTAGGCGATCTAGTTGCTCCACAGCCCAGCAGGACCAAAAATTGCTATATCTCAGTCAGTATTCGCCTGTCTCTCTCGACCAGACACTCGCTGGAATCCCCAAGGTGAATTCATTCCAGACTCTTCGCTTGCCTCGCCCTGCCTCCCCCTACCTCTCCTTGCCTCCCCCTACTTCGCCCTGGCTCGGCCTTGATCGGCCCGATCCCTCGACTATTCCCTAGCCTCTCCCTCGAGTATTCATTCCCTCAAATCGTCCATGCCCTCGCCCGTGAGTACCCATTCCCTCGACTCTTCACTGGACTCGCCCTACCTCACCCCGCCTCGCCCTACCACCGAAACAGTGATTTCAGCCACCCCAGCCCAAGAGCCACATTAAATAGCGGTTTCACAGAGAACTTTGTATGACCAATATGATTTTACTATGCATGAGGATGGATGTCGTTGCGGTTTCAAAACTCCTGGCTACAAATGGTGTGTACTTTAAAGCAAGCGAGTGATACATGTTTTTTTTTTGTTTGATCATTGATTGCATGCGACTTAGCTAGATCATGGCAATATCACCCTGTCCACCCCCCGTTTCCACGCCACTGTCCAACCCAGCTTGTGTAACGGCACGGTCGGGCTAGGCTCCAGGTAGCGAAGACAGGTGGGCAGGTGAACAGAAATTGGGCTGGGCGAGGGCGAGGCGAGACCGGGAAACGAGGCAAGACAGGACACAGTGCAGACGGCAACTGAGAAACAAGGGTGGAGACAGGAACTACGGCACAGACGGCAGCCAAGGCAAAGACAGAGGTAACAGTTGTTGTATTAACAAGTTGTTGCGTGAAGAACTAAATACAGAGGGGCAATGGCCCATTTATATAGAAAATCCTCCACTTCTTCCCGCAACATGATAATGAGCATGGGCGTGTGCAAGACCCTGACAAATCCACCTTGCCGGTACTATGACACCCCGATAGGTATCGGAGGTCACGACAGTCGCAAGAGATGTGATTAGATAGTTTGGGTGATTAGAATAGAGTTGCGAGCCGAAGGGATAGTTAGAAGCGATCAAGGACAAGATAGGAAGGAGGAAGCAAACTGTCACGGCTCGCGACGGGACGTTCGAGGAAGAGTCGGAACAGGGGTGGGAAGGCAGCGCGGGGGCAGTGCAAGGGGCTGCGTGGGCGGCAATGCAGGAATGAGCCGGAGGAATTGGGGCTGTGTGCAGTAAGCAGGGGTAGTGCGGCTGCGCAGGGTATGAGTCACGGAAGCGGGGTACTGGCAAGGTGGATTTCTCAGGGTCTGGCACACGCCCACGGTTAGTGTCAGGTTGCGAGAAGAAGTGGAGGGTTTCCTATATAAACGGGCCGTTGCCCCTCTGTACTTAGTTCTTCACGCAACAACTTGTTAATTCAATCACTGTTACCTCTGTCCTTGCCTCGGCTGCCGTCTGCGCCGTAGTCCTTGTCCCTGCCTCTGTTCCCAGTTGCCGTCTGCACTGAGTCCTGCCTCACCTGGTCCCCTGAACCCGTCTTGCCTCTGCTGAACCCAGAACCCGATCCCCAGCCCGACTTCGCTACCTGGAGCCTTGCCCGACCGTGCCGTTACACTTTGTTGCGTCGCCCATCTCTCCACCTAGCGAAGAACCATGGCCACCAATACCCCAGCACCAGACCCTCCCCAGCAGGAGGAAGTACTGGTGGCACCCCCCTACTGTCGAGAAATTCTCGCCACCGTCTACGAACAACTCGAGATCATCGTTAACCACGACTCACCCGCCGACAATGCAACACTGTCGGGGTTGTATAACCAGTTCCAAATCATAGCCTGTGCAATCACCCAATCCCCCACAGCAGCACCCACCTGGCGAATAGACGACCTCGAAGAACAACTTGCCAACTCCCGTCGTATCGCCAACCGTCTCGCCACACTAGAAACCCAACCCCAGGGCCGCGCCGAGCGCGTCCCGGAGCCAGCCATGTTCGATGGCACTCGAGAGAAGCTCGAAGGGTTCGTTGCCCAGCTTCGACTCAAACTATACAGCGACCCTACCCGTTTCCCGTCCCCAGCACTCAGAATGGCCTACACCTTCAACCGTCTCGAAGGCCGTGCCCAAGCCCAGATACTGCCGTACATCCAGAACAACGTGATCAGCTTGACCGACGCCGATGCCATGGTCACCATCCTCGAAAACGCCTTCGGCGATCCCGACCCAGCAGCCACCGCACGCGCCGAACTTCACCGCCTCAAGCAAGGAAACAAGGACTTTACGTCTTACTTTGCGGAGTTTCAAAGACTCGTGTCCAAGCTGAACTGGGACGAGCATGCCAAACTCGACGCACTCCGCGAAGGAGTCTCCATTGAGCTCCACCGACAACTGGTGGGCCGCACTCAGGGACTCACCTACAACCAGTTCGTGGCTCTCTGCCAGAGCCTAGATTCCGAGCTACGTTCCCTGCAACTCCGTGAAGGCCGCCGCAACCCCCCGCGACAAAACCCCACCCCGCAACCCCCAGCTCCGCCGAGGAATCAAACCCATAACAGTACACCACCGGCAACCACTGCAACCGGAACAGCCCCAGGGGCTATGGACCTCAGCGCGAACAGTCGCAAGATCTCTGATCAAGAACGAGCTGCGCGTCTCCGCGAGGGTCGCTGCCTATACTGTGGAGGCAGTGGCCACATGGCCCGACACTGCCCGAACAAGAATCGGAACCCTTTTCGTGCCGCAGCTGCACAGCTGACGCACGAGCAACCTGGAACCCTGACCCCCGACCACCCATACCACAATTGCAACCAGAATTGTGGCGACAACCAAGGGCAGTCGGGAAAAGCCTAGACCAACAACTGCTTGATGGCACCGTTGTTGGTCGTACCCAGGATAAGTCTTTTTCTCCCTTTTCTACTCATTTTCGTTTGTCCAATTTGTCAGTGTCTGGGATGGTAGTGGAGGAATCATCAATGGAAGGAAAACATCTCGTTGTACTATGTAACCTTTCGTTTGGTGACAAAACCATTGCCACGCATGCGCTGATCGATTGTGGAGCAACCGGAATCGCCTTTGTAGATAAAGACTTCGCCCGCCATCACAACCTACCCCTTGTACCCCTTGAATCCCCGCGCGCCCTTGAGGTCATCGACGGCCGCCCCATCGAGTCCGGCGACATCACACACGTTGCCACCACCACCCTGTCAATCCAAGAGCACCACGAAGAACTCCCAATGTTCGTCACCAAACTGGGGCACTACCCAATC